TGTCATTCGAACGGCTCCCGAAAGCAAGATGTCCGCCAGAGTACTTTGAGATAGCCACACAATTCATCTCGGCGCGGGAGATTTGGGTGAGGTGCCTGTCCAACGTAATATCAGTACTCGGGATCGACGAGAACGAAGAACCTTTCACGGTAAAGTAAGCAGCCTACAGGTTGCGTTATAATTCGAGATCTTCCTCTCACGGATAGTGTGGAAATCCGAGGCCACAAATGTGTGTGGGTACTGACTGTAAGCAGTTTGCGGGGAATTGGGTAAACACTACTGAGAAATTCAAGGGCTGGTGTTACGTACATGTGACATCCCCCGAACGTTGCAACGACATAAAAATTGGGTGGGACGGGACAGGGCAAAGCAAACCGTGACCCCGCAAGAATCGCCGCAGACGAAAAACAAAAAAAGAACCCCTTGGCCCTTTCATCCGAAAGCAGATCGATTCACTCTTATCGAGGCGACACAAAATAAATTGTACTTTGATCGTTGCACCCCCTCAGCAGGTCTTTCCGGTATGAGCCTTGAACCGGATTAAGCTGCCATATCGTGCTTTTGTTCATATTGAGCAGAAGCGATCCACTGTAAGAGCAAAGTGGGTGGGTGGTGCATCGGAACGCGTCCATCCGCTTCTATCTGGGGTGGTTGAAGTGTGAACGCGGAAAATCGTGGTCCGATGAGTTCGAATCTAACGTCATCGTTTCTTGGATCTGGGACATCTTGACTTTGGGAAAGGTTAGACGCCCAAACCGAATGTGACCGGCAAGTCACCTGAGGCACCCGAGTGGGGGGGGAATATGGAGTTGTTGATAAAGTCGGGCCTCCATGCCCTAGTCGATTTACAAAAAGCCGGGACGATCACCGGGATGTCGGGAGACAGGTCTCGAAACAGCTTGAGGGAAAAGATTGAAGCAAGTACTGTGAAAAAAGGAATATGGCTTTTAATGATATTACCGGATTTGCATTCGGTTAGCTACCGACTGCAGTAAGCATGTGCGCCCGTGTTGCGAAAACGGCGTGGTAAGGTGCGCATGGTGTTTGGATACGCATGCATGATGGGAATTATCCTCACTCTCAGACATCGCAGAGAGATATCCGACGAAAACCCGTACCGCGTTGAGAGAACCTAAACATGGAAGAGAGATTCGTGCAAAATTTTGCTGAACACGTTTCAGTTTCGGATGCAAATGCCAAATTAGGGCAGCTTTTCTGGTCAAAACTCAACTTTTGTGACCAAAGACCCCTTTTGCCTGATGGCTGACTCGTGGCCCGGAGATTTACGAAAGAAATTTTTGAAAAGGGCGGTTCCTTTCTCGTAAGGTAGCTAGAGGCTGTACACTCTGCTGTCAGTGCCCGATCCCATTGTCGATGTTGAGAATATGAGACTTTGCACCCATTAATGCAACCCGATAATCTTTTTGCATAAGAGCAAGTCACAGCGTCAATAATCTAGTGATCAAGATGGATCAATTAGATTGAAACTTGGGCCGCGGCGCAAGGGGCTCTTTCACAAAAATCAAACGTAGATTCCATTGTGGATCATCAATGAGCCGCTCATCGGGAAATAGCACTACCTCGTTATGGGAACTCATCCCAAAGGAGATAGGCAAAGGTTTGGCGCACAAATGTAGTTCTCACTCGCCATGTTCGGAAAGGAACTGGTGCAGAAGCGAACACTCACCATCAAGAATCAAATGCATTAGGACTATCGGCATGTTGGCCGCGAGGATATTGCGGTACAGCGGCCGACTGCAACACTCTTTTGCTCAGTGGAGCGGGCGTTTGATTCGGCCGACGAATACAGACCCTTGACCCGAAAGCTGTCTTGAAATTGTGTCATGCCAACCAGGTTTCGCTTTCGGATGAACGGGCGGATCCCGAATCTGGGGGAAGCGAATCGTTCAAGTCAGATGAGATACTTCTAAGAGGATAAAAGCGAGTGATTGCTCTTTACAGTTGAATTGCCGGTCCGAGGAAAAGTTTTGGACATATGCACGACTTGGGGAAAAAACAAAAACTGTGCTGCCCTTCCGTGTGACCTTCTTCTGCCACGCATAATGTGGGATGGAGCAAGGACGTTGATCATCCCCCATCACGGGAAGAAGAACCACCCCCAATGACACAAGACATGGGACACTCGCTGCCATGCGTGTGGTTGGACGTTCTAAGGGAGACGGAGGCTTGGGGCTTTGAGTCTGTACGTATCTTACACCGTGTGAAATCGCATCGAAGGGGTGCGGAATAAGATTCACTAGAGATCCCGGGGGCAGCGCGTGGCGATGAGGTCAGATAGGGAGAGCAAAATTCGGGGGTTATGAGCATGACCGTGCCCTGAACACGTGTTGAGTCTTGGCGCCTGTCAATGAAGCAAGAAACAGAAACTTTATTGCACCGACACCGGTGTGACCCGCGAACGCCAGGTGTGTATTAACGCGCGGTGCCTTGATCATGAACGAGACATGGATTTGACGTGTTATTTGGGTATGTTGACACCGACCGCAACAGCGTCAACTTCACTGCGACGCCACGGGTGGATTTTGGCTTCGCTGTTAACGCGCTTGAATGAATGGGAGATCCTACCCTGATGGTGATCTTACTGAACATCGCAGCGTTCGAGGACTCACTCTGGTTAAATAATGGGACTTCATATCACGACTACCTAGATGACATTTTGAACGTGTCGTCCGCCATCAAGTCAGCGACTAGGAGTGCTCCTGGTTTGCAAAGGCTTGTTTCAACTTGACTATTTGTGTTTCCTCCGGTCCAAAATTGGGCCCAAGTTCTTGTCCAGCATGTTTTGGCTCTGGATGCATGAGTCTAATTTTCTCGCAGTGTTGAGCGTCAATGTGACTTTGGAGTCAACGTGTGATCCCCCCGTCGAAGGGAATGCTGGTGTAATAAACCCTCTGGACTGTCTGCCAACGCGGCCATGAAATTGGAACGCGTGGCAGAAAAGGTGTACGCATCAATCTCTCAGAAACAGCTTGTATTCACAGCGATGCCTCGGCCCGTCCGTGTTGTTATACTTTAACGATAATCGTCGCCTACAGCGACTTCAGCGTTTGCATGACGATTGTACTACGATACTCACGATCTCGACCAAATTTTAAATGAATCACCAGCTACTGCCCAACGCCCAACTCCCCCAATCGCGTTTGGGATGCCTGTTCCTTCTGGCGCAGCCAAGTCCGTCTTGGTTGCTTGCTCGCCTCGCAAATGCGTTCTCCGACCCCTTCTCTGCCGAATCGCTACGGTTAGAATGCAAGCACCCAGAATCATTAAAGCGTCCCGGCGCTCCGTACATTGACCCTACCACGGTAAGTTTTCGAATCAGTTGTCGGATGTACTCACATTTGAAGTCATTTTCGGTGTAGACATACAGCAACAATTACCCCTATGAGGCCTGCCAGTCTTCCGAGAGGCCATCTCACCGTCGGCGCCGGCTACCAACGACACGGAATTACCTACCTCCATCGTCCATTCTGAAGTGTCGTGGAGCCTAATAACACTGGAGAGGATCGGTACGCTGACTTTTATCCGCCGAGCGAGCCGGTTCCACACTATCCCCAGCGTTTTTGGATGGGGAGTCGACCATTCAGGAAGGTCCATTGGCAAGCCTGTATGGGTTCGCCTGTGCCTCCTCTTCCCGATGGCGCGCGACATGACAGGCCTGCAACCCTTGTTGGAACTGGTCCGCAACAAACTCTACCCTGGATAAGGTGGATGTGAATCAAGCAGAGTCTCTCAGGGCCCAGGCTGAAAGCAATGAGCTCTCGGTTCCTGAACCATCTACCCCTTGGTCACTGATCGAGGCCCCTCTCACCCCTGGTCCAATGCATCACGTTGAAGTCAAGCCGGCACTCGGTTCGACACTATCGCCGACCGCCCCTGAACTCCCAACTATCGCACTTGAAAGAACCACATGCACAAGAATTGAAGGGGTTTCGTGTAAACCAGGATTTTTCGCCCGTTTTTTTTTGCCATTCGATATGGGGGTGGAACGAGGGAGCGATCGTTCGTTCACATCAAGCACGCTTATAACTTGTATTGTACCACTTTTGGCGTGAAATTTGGTTCTGGTCCCCGCTAGTCCATCGAGGAACGACGTTGGGTTTACTCGAGCTTCTAGTTCTTGATATTTTGAGTTGCGAGTCCTTAATGTGCAACGTGCCATTGTATCCTTTTTCTGGCGTCCGCGTATGTGCTTTCTACTCTTGCCACCTCCCGTTAATAATCAATGTTATCCGTTAGATATTATAGCACAATAACAAGGTCAATAATCAATGAAAAAATAGAAAAGAGTGGTAGCAGGAGATGGGTAGGATTTAGCATCAATTGTTGAGTGTCTCATCAACATGGTGCTAAATCGGGTATCCTTTTATGGTAGCGATGAGTCAGCCGTTCCTGACTCACAACATCAGAGATGGATGCCCTCCATCTCACAGTGCACTCGAATGCTTTTACTGACTTCGTCTCCATTGCCGCTCACTAGTACTGGTCTCCATCTTACTCAGATGGACAGGAGGTTCAATTGAGTCATTCACGCATTCTCGGACACTTGAGAGCTACGTTACTGCATATCTCAGTTACATGCATGATTCGATCCCGGTTGTGTAAGTGAAATGATAATGTAGAACACGACACCGTTCTCTCTCTGCTCAAAATTGAAACAGGCATTAGTTGTATCAAGACAGAGGACACAGCCGAAGGCCACTGGCCTTGTATATCCTTCAGCCAATTATATCGGCACCGTTTAACGCAATTCGTGGATTCTGATCCGGATCAGCTAGGGGCCCTAGATACAGGTGGAATTTTTGTCATGCAGCCCGAATCAATCTGCACAATCAATTTTCAGGACCAGCTCGACTCTGCCATATGGTTGTATATTGTGCTAATACACTATATGATTGGCTTTTTGGACATCCTCTCAGCTTGCTGTCGGTTCTTCCTTCCTAATCCCCCTGTTCGTCACAATCCATCCAGTGGCTACAGCAATGAAGTCCTCAACCACGGCTATTCTCATCGTCTTCGTTATATTCGCTTCCACTATGACAACGGCCCTCGCTGCCTTTGTTCGTATCAGGATGCCGAATGGTCCAGTAAACCCTGACTCGTACATCATGTATGTCCCACACACAGGCGAAGCATAATACTGGCCGACTTATTACTTAGTGTGCTGAAATCCGGTACAAGTATGGATGACCATATCAAGAATGTGGCTCAGATATCCACCCGGAGCCCTGGGTCAGAATTTTCAGTCACTCACCGGTATGGAAGTAAGTTGACATCAGAGGATCCCCCAAAAAAATATGCTAACTTTCGTAGTTCTGAATGGATACTCCGCACACGCAACTGGAGCATCCCTTGCTCGCATTCTCATTTGCCCCGAAGTTGACTATGTCGAAGCTGATGGCATAGCCCCCATTGGCAATGACCTCCACCAAGTGAACGAGCGGGATGCAATGGAGCGTGACGGTGTTTCAGTTGGAATGGGGGATATTTTGGGTGGTAACTGGGGGGGGCTTGGGGTGGACATTTATGTGTTAGATACTGGAGTAAACGTTAAACACATCTGCTTTGACAAACGGGCTTTTGTGGGTCCTGTGGGTATCTCTTTATGCCCTCTCCACCATATGTCCACTCATACCTGCATGTATGTGCAGACCTTCGGTAATTACGTCAACATTGACACTGACGGTCATGGCACGCATATCGCCGGGATAGCAGCGGGGAGACCGTATGGCATCGCGACTCGCGCCAGAATTATTTCAGTTAAGGTTGCCTCCGGTAGGATGTCTGTATTTTCCACCAACCTGATCGGAGGTATCAACTACGCTTCTTACGAATCCCGTCAAACTGGTCGTCCTTCCATCGCTCTGATATGCGCCAGCTTAGATTTCAGTCGCACGGTTAACCGAGCCGTAAGCACTGCCATATCCTGGGGGTTGCACATTGTGGTTTCTGCAGGGAATAATGGGTTGGACGCGTCAAAGTTCAGTCCTGCATCTTCTGATGAAGCTATCACCGTTGGCGCTTTCAACACCCATTCAGACATGATAGCATCCTTCTCCAACCACGGATCTGTCGTCGATGTTTTCGCCCCAGGCAACGATATTCGAAGTGCTTGGATCGGAAGCCTGGGTGCAACGATGGTATCAAGTGGCACTGGTCCGGCAGCTGCATACGTTGCGAGCCTCCTAGCCGTGGTTTTAAGTCGAGATGGTCAGACGACTCCTGCCAACCTAAGCGATCAGTTAAAGAAACATGCTGCACCATTAATTGATGGCCAGCCATGGGGAACCACAGACTTGATGGCACTACTTTGGTAATTATTAAATGGGGCTCAGTGGCGAAACTCGGTACCCCTATAATCGCATCGAGTTTACATGTAGGCAGACTCGTACCCCGTCGTCGTCGCTCCGTGGACGCGCACTGTGAACACGCGATTTCAAGTACTGTTATTTGTTGAACAAGGCCAGGGAGCCTTCGGCTGTGTCCTCTGCATGCCTGAATCAATATATGTGGTCTTGTGATTGTCTTCGTATTGGCACATTCACGCAGAGGTGACTTCACGGTCTTACTGGTTATCTCAACTCCCTTCCTATTTCAGGTTGTGAGCCAGATGGTGAAGGAGAGAGGGAATTCGAACACAGATTGATATTTTGAGTAGAGAGAGAGCGAACGGTGTTGCGATCAACATCATTATCATTTCACTTACACAACCAGGAAACATGCCTTGTAACTGAAATATGCGTAAGGATCCATGCCGGGACATGCAGGAGGACCGAAGGATCTAGTTACTACTGTGAAGAATCGATCACCGATCGCGGAGTGATATCGAAGTTCATATTCACAGGAGGTTGCATTGTGTCAGCGGGGTACTCGGTGATCAGACGGCATGGATGACGTCGCGATGTTGTAATTCATGATGCGAGCGATCAGATTGCATAGTAGGTCAGTGCGTTGGATCGAATGATACAGCTAGTACGTCTGCGTCGTCCGAACCTGAGTCAAGGATGATCGATGATAAAAGAACCCCATGTACCAGCCGTCTTGCGGCTGTCCACGTCAATCCGCCAAGTGCGCTCTAAAGCCACGGGATGATTGACAGACGAAGACCGGGGGTCTGGCACTTGCATAAGTGGTCGCTCGCAGCGAGAGTGTGGCTTGAGCGTGATATAGGTATATGCCACGGATGTGAGGCAAGTGAACGCAGTCCCGATGTCGCTGGGCGCGCGGCTAGCCAATGAGAGAGCAAGAAGGGCGAGGCGACCAATCCGAGCGCTTCGATCGTCAGCTTTTAGTATATGTAGAAATGAACGTCTTAGTCTACTCTGGGCCAGGTGTCTCCGAAACATCTCTCAGGCACACCATATATACCCTCAAGTCTTTGCTTGAGCGTGCATATTCTGTTCAAATTATCACTTGAGGTTGAGGGCCATGAGGAGAGAGTTGAGCGAAAACAAAGACGTCCATCTAGGTTTTGTGCGCAAATCAATGACTGCTGAGTAAGAGAGTGAAATGGCATGAGGATGTAACTTGGGTTGGAACGTGCTGGATCGGTGGGGAAAGAGAATCGGGGCCGTCAATGCAGAATGCAATGCCCGTCCGTTGCGGGGCGCACAGGATGGGCATGTTGCAGGTGGGAGTGGAGGGAACCTGGCTGAAGTCCAAAGGAAAAGAAAGTGGAGGGCAGGGACTGGTATCTCGATGGAAAACCGCAGTGGAAAGACAGCGAGAAATTAGCGTAGTGGACGTCGCGCACAGAATGAAGCACATTGCACCGCTGAGAACGCCGCGTGACTCCGAATAACGGTTAACGCCAGCTAACGTAGATTTCAAGGCTGACAAACAAGATCCGCTAGAACCTGGAGATCATCGAAGGTCGCATCGTCATGAGTTACATAATGCTAGTCGATCAACAGCACGGGATCCTGGTTGTCGTTGAACTTCTCTCCATATCGCCAGTGTGGGCCAATGGCCCCAATCCAGTAGACCTGAGCTCCTGCAAATGCGGAATCCGTCTGACGATTAATTTTCCACCATCAGTGCTGGGATGCCGCTTTGCCAATGCTGGGAATTGGCAAGGAGAACGGTTCGAAACTTGGAGAATGGTGGTATGAGTTTCGCAACTAGGGATATGACTCTCGGTGTCGTCAGAGCGCTGCGGGGTGATGACGTGACCTTCGCTAGCGGGAAATAGGGTCGTAAGGATTGCGATCCACGGCCCATACCACTTGTGTTCAGTTGCAGGAGTGAGTTTGAAATTGCGAGAAACGTGACTTCAAATAACATGCTTGCGAATAGCTGGCCCTATTCAGTCAGCGCTACAGTCTCAGTGGCTGAATCATAGCAAGCTCCCAGAGCAAAAGTCGAGGGAATGAGGCACCCTGAGTCTGGGCACCTGTTGAACGGGCCGTGACGGGGACGTGACATTTTACGCGTTATTTGGGTATGTTGACACCGACCACAACTCAACACCGAAAGTGTACTTCAAATTCCCTGGCCTCACTCTCCTTGGTTGCGACGCCACAGCCGGATCCCGACTTCGCTATTATCATGGTTGGAAGAATGGGAGACCCCGCTTCTGATGGTGACCTTACTTTTCAGCTCAACCCCGCAGCGCTCGAGGGTTCGTTTCTGCTCAATGAACATTCATACGACGACTACCTGGATGACGTTTTGAACGGACAGGACGTGTCGTTCGCCATCCAGCCAATAGCTAGAAGTACCCCTGCTTTGCGAAAGTTTGTTTCAACTAAACTACCTGCATTCTCTCTGGCCCGAAATAGGACCCAAGCTCTGTCCAGTATGTTTTGGCTCTGCGCGTCTGCATGCATGAGTTTAATCCTGTCTCAGCGTTGAATATCAATGCGACACCGGAGTCAGCGCGTACTCCCCCTGTCGATGGAAATGTGGCTATATTGCGTAATGAGCAATCCGAACTGCCTCCTGATGCTGCCATGAAATCGGGACGCGTGACAGAGAAGGAGAACGCATCAATCCCTCAGCAACAGCTTGCATTCACAGCGATACCCCAACCCGTCCGTGTCATTGTGCCCTCTCTCTTTGCACGTAGATTATTAACAATTGTCGCCTATAGCGACCTCAGCGCCTGCCTGACAATGGCCCTACGATTTCGGCCAAACTTCCACATAAATCAGTGGCTACTTCTCACTCCCGTAACCCAAGCGCGTCTGGGATACCTGTCGCTACTGGCGCAGCCAAATCTGTCTCAGCTGCCCGACTCGCAAACGCGTTCTCTGCGTTCGACTCGCTCTCTGCCGAGTCGCCACGGCCAAAACGAAAGCACCCAGAATCATCAAGACTCCCGGTGCCTTCTGCGCCCCGCATCATAACTCTACCACAGTGAGTCCCCGAATCGTTTTGTTAGGCAGGCTTGCGTTTGAAACCATCTTTGGTTCAGTCGAACAGAATCCTTGACGACAATTACCCCCAAGGCCCCCACTGAGTCTTCTGGGAGGGTTTCTGTTGCGGAAACTTCCGAAACTCCCATCCCACTGTCAGCACCGGCTACGAACGATGAAGCATCAGCTGCTGCCGCCATCCATTCCGAGCTACCTCCATCAAGCCCACCACTTGTCGCGGAACCTAATAACACCGACGAGGATGAGTACGCTGACTTGTACCTACCGAGTGAACCGGTCGACACTGCCAAAGACGTTTTTCTCGGTCTGGGCTGGGAGTCGGATTCTCCTTCCCTCAGGAGGGACCAGTTGGATCCTATGGAAAACCAGCATACGTCCCTTGGGCCTCCACTTTCCGATGGCATGGGTCAGAGCAGACCTACACCCCCTGTCGGAATTGGTCCGCAACGTACTTCAATCCCATTGACCCCACCTACCCCTTCCAGCCCGCATGAGAGGACACCTCGTCGGCAGTCGAACGTGTACGAAGCAGAGCCTCGGCCCCAGACGGAAGCTCTGGAAAGCAATGAACTCTTGGTGCCTGAACCATCTGCCCCTCTCACCCCTAGCCCAATGCGTCGTGTTGGAGCCGTGCCAGCACTTGGTTGGACGCTATCACCAACTGTCCCTGGACCCCCGACTGTTTCACTTGCGGAACTGGATACCCAAGAACTAACTATTCTGGGTGACCGTGGACCGGTCCGTTACACAACTCCCCCTCCCCCTCTCCCTTCACTGCAAGCCCCCGTGTATGGTGAAGTTGTTGATCATGCTGAAATTGGATCTCAAGCTGTCGTCTCCGTATCAAACGATGGATACCCATTCCAAAATCCAATTCATGATGCGATGACCAAAACAGAATTCTCGGCATCCCAACTCCTGCTTCCGAAATCACCTGAAGGTGCAATCAAAAAGAAAGCTTCCTCGAAGTCCCTTCGTACATCCAAGTCTGCTCCTAAATGGGTCATACCAATTGGGGATTCGTCTAAGGTGGCGTTGCCCCCTGATTCTGAAGGTTCAATGGCACGTCCTGCTCAGTCCCGTATCACTCAATTGGGGTTCCGCTCTGCTTCTCACGAACATTCAGTTAGTGTCAAGTTGAAAGGAAAAGACAAAGAGGTTGTTGGGCCATCCCTACCTAGTCGTACTACTTCAAATCCCTTGAATCCCCATCTATCTGACGTTTTGGTCGCCGGCCACTCTCGGAGGGGCGCAGAATCCAACACGGACCATCCAATTGGCCAACAAAGTCGGCCAGAGGCTCTCATAAAGGCACCGTCACCAGCTCTACACAACGCCAAGGGCAGTAGTAGCTATGATGATTCTGCTACAAGAGTCGCTCATGAAGGTGACGCTCATGATCTTGACACATTTCAATCAGAGTGGTGTTCCCATCCTCATGACGATGCTCACATTCCAGACAAGGTGAGTGAAGCGGAGAGTTCTGGGAGTGGTAATCACGGTAAGGAGATCGCGGTATCATGGTATCTTCCTTCACTCATAATTGCCCCAGACGCTCTGGAAGTTCGAGAAGGATTCAAGGGGCCGAAAGATGGTGTACAGGTGATGGGGTCTAGAATGCAAGAGCAGAGCAGGAATGGGGCGCCTGGATTGGCGTTCCGTAGGGGCGTAGCCAAGCCAAGCAGGTCAATTCCATTTTCGTTCTGTCCAGCGTCCGCAAAATCGAACCTTCGTTCTTTAGTTCTAGATTGAGTCACCAAGAGCTCATAAAAAATCCAAAGGACCACAACGGAGATTCAAGAAATATTCCAAGGTCCGGGACAAAGGGAATGGAGACTGATGCCAAAGCAGCTCAGGTTCCGGAACGAGCGCCTACTTCCTTCAAGCAAAAGCAGACCGTTCGCAGTACCTCTTTGACTCGTCCGACTCTAACTTCATCCAGCAGACCGGTCTCATACTCTGATTTACGCACTGAACTCAACGCTCGACAGATACGCCGTAAGGAGTCCGTTCGTGCCGAGCCCCCCAGACGACCCGAGCGTGTGGTCACTCATGCCACTGAGAACGTACGTGATCGGCAACGAAGAAAGAAACGTGTACCCGTACCAGTTCCTGCGGAGGTGAGGGCGGAGTTACTCCAATCCGTTGTGAAATTTTCTCAGGTGGATGGAAATGGATCGAGGGGACGTACCACAATAGACATATCCCCGAGTGACAACGAAAGCTGTGATCTGCATTTGGGCCCCGTGGAAGATTCAGAGCCCGAAACGCCCCGTATGACACAGACCATTGATCGCGAAACACCCCATGAGATGGATGCAGTGGACAAGTCAGGCGATGAGTCTGCTGCAGAAGATGTGGGGACGTCAGCACATCGGGTGGGTGCTACGATACGATTAAAAGAGGCCCCCCTCCGTTCTCTTTTAGAGCAGGAATCCCAATTATCTTCGGACAGCGGTGAGGAGCTGCAGAACTTGGAAGTTGCAGACATGGAATGCAGACATGCGGACTCAGAGGACGCGCCGCACTCCTCGTCGACTCCATCTGGAAATTCTGGCAACAAAAGGCCATCGTTGGAGTCTCCTATCCGCAACAGGATTTCACTCACTAAAAAGACTAGAGTTGACAGGCTGCCCTGGCACGATCAAGTAGAACGCTGTCACAGTGGTACTTCCACCGCTTCTGCCATCATCATTCAAGATGATACCGATGTTGATGGAAATGAAGCTCCAGTCCAGTCGGTCTCGCCAATATCCCCGTTGCACGTCCTTAAGCGCGGTCAGAAGAGGACTTCTGCGGGCTCAGAAGATGACTTGGGCCTTCACAAACGACCCCGACTCCTGCCAGATAATCCCCGCCGTATCGTGTCCCATGACGCCGTTTTTGCTGGCCCTTCCTCCAAAGGACCCCCTAGGGGGCCAGCGCATCGTCCGCTCGCCATGCCCTTCTCCGCTCCGATTCCTGGCGAAGCATCTCGCCAACGAGCACTGGAACGACTCAAAAGGAACGAGGAGCGCGATAAAAGACAAGGGGATGAGCGTCATCCACACCCGCGGGAAAGGGTTGTCAACTCCTCTCAACAGAAGGTAATTGATCAGTCTTCGATGTGCGTCACGGCTCAGTATCTGAGTGTGATTGTAGGCAATTTCAGACCCCATTTTCGGAGCGAAGAAAACCATCGTCCAGCCCTTCAATTTCACTCTCGACGCTCGTGCAGCGCAGCACCGCGCTCAGTTCCAGGAACGCCTTGCTCAATGGGAACAGCGATCTCGAGAGGCCATGGAAGCAGCGGAGGCAGCAAAACGCTTCGTCTTACCTAACTATGCCACGCGGCAGGCGGAGCACTTTGCCAGAATCCAAGCAGCAAGGAAAGCCGCGAAGTCTAAAGTAACCCGCCCGAAAACTCCCGGGCTGCGTACCAAGATGAGAGTTATAGAGCGCCATGCCTTTGATGAGGTCATCAGAGCTAAAGAAAAGGCCACTATTGCTCTCAGAGAAGCGAAGCGTTTAGAACAAGAAGAACAGGAGCGAAGGGAGGTCAAGCTGCTTCGCAAACAATTGGATCAAAATGTCAAAGCCCATCCTATTCCGTACTGGAATCGCATCGACGATGAAATTGAAATTTTGGAAAACGGAAAGTAAAACTCTGGAGTACATGTACACGACATATGCAAACTTACTGTAAATATAGGGTAATCCAGCCAGTATTGTTCATATTGTTTGTACTCGGGCCGCAGAGGTCGAAATGGGTGGCCCGTCACAAATCCATATGCTGCTATCCATCATTACCCATCAGGGACGTACTGTGCAGGTTTGTGTTGAGCTCAAGAACCAGTTGAACCGCTTAAGTCGAGAAGGCATTAACCGCATGCTCAATATGTGGAAGAATTCGTTGTTCAAAGCCGAGTGCGTATCAAGTCAGCCAATACACTCATATGGCTTCGTTCTCACTGTTCTAATGTTTGTGTTCAATCTTCGCTGGCTACAGACATCTAGAACTTGCTTGAAAATGAGGCCAAACCCAATCGAAGTCGGGGGACCGCGACAAATTCAAATACAAAAGATCATTAGCAACGCATTTGAATGGCTTTAAGGCTTTCAACCCTCTGTGCCATAATAGATGAAGCGGTATTGAACTTGCAGGTGCGACATTTCTCATCAAATTTTCTGCCCAGAGGGTTCGAAGCCGCATCGACCCCGTCATCTCCCCGACACCATCAACCAGAGGACTTTTACCACCCCGACGCTGCCCACCCATCCCCACATCACTTTTTGATGATCCCTGCATGTGAGCTCAACATTAGGGATGTTGCGTAGTCATGCGACCCTCCGTCTCCAAATTGCCCGGCCCCAAAAGACTGCAAGTTGGCCAACCACTAACAGTGAGAATCCAAGCTAAATGTGACTTGCTTCTCGGGATTCCGCAAGGGACTGCATCGTTTAGCTCCTAGATAGTGGTTATCCTTCACCATGCCTTAGATCTAAATACCATATTGTAAAAGAGTGTAATGACACGTAAATCAGCATGGTACTCACCATGACCGAACGTTGGTTATTAGATGGAGTACCAAAGATTCGGGACGGCTGGAATGGGATTGGTGTATTTTTCGTGATTACTTGCTCAAAAAAACTGCCTGGGATAACGTACCAGCTGTCTCAGTCTCAAGACTAACTGGGCACACTTATCCCATCTGTTTCAACCCTTAAAGTGGCACTTTGGACAGCGGCACCATATGCCACAGCTTCGTCTGAGTTGATGCTAGTATTGGGGTCCTTCCTAACTTAAGGGCTCCTTGAGGAGTTTTCGGGTGGCTGGCATGCGTGTTGAGCTGCAGAGGGGGACCTGATACGGAGAATGCTAGGACAGTGACGTCAATCGGGAGAGCGCCTAAACTCAACCTCACCAACAACTTCTTTCCTGGCAGTTATATCCCTGATGACTGGTTCAGGGGCTCTTCGGAAGCGATTCATGTTAAATGTGCACGCGTCAGCAGCTCTTCGAAGTCATTCCCCCTTCAAAAGCTTTGATTTTCATTTTTGTCGACAGTTGAGACGTTTGGTGTGATTTGAAACACGTCTGAGTTTGCAAGAGCCTTTCCCGGTTCTGGCCTTTTTAGGTGATAGGCCCATTGTCGCGAAGATGTGCATCACCAGCACAGCGATGACTTCTAATGTCTAATCGAACATGTCAGTGTACTCCTTTTCCAAGGCCGAGAAATTGCATACAACGCTCTCGATACTCAACAAAGACATGTCAATGTACCGCCTCCCGATTGGCGGTACACGATGACTCGAGATTTTAAACCCGTACGCTATGGCTGCTGCGGTAGGCTCACTGAGGATTCTTCTTACATCCAAACCAGCGATACTTCCTGGGTCCTTTGTTGCTTGGCGTTGAGCATCATTAGGATCTGGGGAAAGAAATCGGCCTTTCCAACTAGCGCGCTCACAAGCGGGGACAATTATCCCAGCCTGCTTAACTTTTTGATCTGGGGGAGGCTTCGGCAGTCTCTTTCATTGACAGGACCATGACTCTCCTGAGGAGTTTGGAGTCGACTCACGTTAGTCCTGACTTGCGCTGGGGTTGTCAGGGGTCACCAGATCGTTTAAACTCGAATTGGACTTGGGACTTTATTAATAAATTTTCATATCATGCAGTAGAGCCTCATCGTAACCCCCCCCATCATTCTCTTGGCATCGAAGATGGGGTTTGCGAATTGAAATGCAATGAATTCTGTGCACCTTTGGCAATGAGTCTTCCGAAGGTCTGAAAGCGATAGACGTGGTTTGAAGTTTGAAATCGATCTTAGGACGTGAAGATAACATACGGCCCGCCGATCCCGACAACAGGACTATCGCCACTCGTCGAGGAGGGATCCGCTTTGGCCATAGGCTGTATCGGATGCCAATTATTCCGGGGGAAAAGGGGGCATCTTATTCCTGCATCGGGTAAGGAAAAGGAAAACAGAAGGCGAAAAGGACGCCAAACAATCCCCCGGAAATTCTCGAGAGGGGAAGCCCTTCCGTTCACTCGCCTCTATTAGCATTGCGTTATTAGTCAGATGCTGCGAAGGAGCAGATATGAGGGAAGCTGACAAGTCTAAGGACATGCCACTCGCATAGCTGCTGGGTCGTTGCTCAGTGCTAAACACAGCTACGGAATCCCTGCTCTCCTGGAAACTGCCTCACTGCAAAAACATAGCCGTGTGGGAGACTCGGTTTGGGACCACGTCGGTAGGCTTACTGGTGACAGCAGTAGCATTCATGCAGCCGGAGCTGGTCGGTGTGAAACTCGAATGGTCGCCAAATCGTATTGATATTTGTTTGTGCCGAAGGCGTAACACAGCTTCTCTCCAGACGCTCGTTCCAGTATCGCGCTCTCAACATCTGAAAATGGCTGAACCAACGGCAATGGACCTCGACATGTCCCTTGAAGATCGCATCAACCTTCGAAAAGCTGCTAACCGCACGAATCGGCGAGGCAAAGCGCCAGGAAACCGTGGTCGTGTTCCCTCTGACGGTTCTCTTCGCAATACTCAAAGCAAAACTTCCCGTCCAACCCCATACGTACGTTCAGTCCGCAAGTGGTGTCGATTCAACCTGGGAAGGCTCATATGCACTTCGTCAACCTTTCTTTGCGAATATGTCACTGCTCATGTCCTACTTGGATGTCGCAATCCCGTTTCATCATCAGGAACGTTCTCCACGGTCAACGGCACCAGATGGAAAGTGGGGTCATAATGGATTTCTTGAGCAGAACAACATTAAGGGCGGCACTCTCGCTGCTCGGATGGTTTCTGACCGCCCACCTGGTGGGGTCCGAGATGACTCAGAACACCAGGATCCTGCAAATCTGGATCGGTGGACTCACGACAAATTCTCCGGCGGTGCCACTCGGGGGAGACGGAAGGGTCCTGATGTGCCATCGGCTCTGGCGCAAAAGACGCTTGCCGCTTTGTCTGGAGGTCGTACGCCACCTTCAGATTCTCCTCAGCCTATTTCATCCTTCAACGTCAAGGGCGCGAGCGGTGCAACAGTGGAAGTGCGGCATCTTGTTCCTGGTACTACTGCGGAGGATGTTGCTGTACGTTCAATTTGCGTCTTTGGCCGTTGTGATCCCTGATGCGTATTTTCATTGAAGGCAATATTTGGGGCTAACGGGACCATCCTGTCTGCTACTGAGGTCAAAGGGAAAGCAAATTCTGTGACGGTACAAGTTAAATTTTCCAATCTTTCGGAGGCGAATAGTGCTGTGAAGAAATTCAATGGTCAAGAGGCGGACGGGAGAATATTAGAAGTCGTGGTATTGGACAGCACCCTACTGAAGAAGGCTATAGCCGCAGGCGTCGCAACTCCTCGAGAAACATTTGACCTTTTGCCGGATGCTCCGGCGAGCAGAATGCGAGTAATGCGGTTGTGCGCTATAACTCAAACTTACACATTATTTATAGGCGCTCGGATGCTTTAATGGCTGACCCAAGGGCGCAAGTCCAGACCGTCCCACCCATAATCTCGCCTGGAAATCAACAAAGCAGGGGTTTCCCTTGATTTGTGAAAGCAGTGTCCGAGGATTATCTTGTAGTTCATGTTGCATATCTGGATTTATTTATATCGACAAGTCCTTGTCCATATCATGCCAGACCGATTCTATGTACTCTCCCACACCACTTACACGTAGGACATGAGCAAAGGCTGCATGCAGAGCGAGGATCTCAGTAGTGAAAGTGAAAGTACGTCCACTATCACGGTGTGATGTCCTCATTTGGACAGTGTAGGTATTTTCTGCGCCCTGTCATGATGAAAAAATAAAATAAAATAGATAACACGAACGAACGAAAATTAGTTCCAATGGTGACATACAGTTGGCTGAAACCACATCTTCAAAGATCCCCACAGTGCGTGGAGATCTGGCCGGAGAGGCATGGCATTGTAGGGTTCATTTATTTTTGATCCCTGCAGCTTCCGTATCCCGAAGGCGCCCGACCATGCAAACACTCATTGCAGCTACTCCTGGAAGGGCGTCATTTTGATGTGCAAGATGGAATGACATGTACAATTATACTTGCCACAGACTTCTTATCCTTGCTGTCGAACTGATTCATGGAAAATGCAAAGATGTGAGTCACAATGCTGATGCAAGATGGGACGTACCAAAACTCTAAGAGCCTCCTGATCTCCATGCGATGCACTCTGCACGGGTGGGGGTGGGAGCGTCACTGTCGGTAGGGGTTTGTTGGTCAAAGGGCACTCCCCCAACCCAAACCAACATAAACTAGCTCTACCCAAATGAGTGACGATGTGAGCCTAACCCACCTACGTAAATAAGTCCACAATTGAGAGTTAGATTGGGCTCGGGTACATGGATGTTCAATACATTTAGTCATAAATAGCTGCAGTGTAGAGTAAGTGTGAACGAGGCACAGTGTGTATCTCCAAGTCTAGGATCCTAGAGTAGGTTGCTATTAACTAATATTGCGTCAAGGAGGGTTTGCTCCTCCTTTCGAACTACTTGGACCCTTCCCGTTGTCCCAGAAATTCTCCCAAAGCTTATTTCCGACCCTCTTGGCAATATCGAGGGTATCTCCATTCTTCATCTTTTCCCAAAGTTGGCCAGAAAAGCGTTCCTGTGCACCACCAGCCTCAAAGGACTTCGCATAACGCGTGGTAACCCGTACAATGGGCTCGATCAGCATCTCAACTCGTTCCTTGAGAGCGCTTCGAAATTCGGAGGGCAGAGGACCAAGGTGTATTTGAGCAGAGTGACTGTTTTCAGTTGGAAATTTCAGAATGGGCTGAGGATGTCCATCAAGTCGAAGCTTACTAGTATTGTCTTAGACGATCCATTGTTGCAGGATCCTTGCCTGTCACCCCGGACGCTGTCATCTGGAACGAGCGATGTGAGCAGCCACAGCATAAATTGGCGGGCGCACTTGCCATCTCTTCAAGAGAAGGATCTCTCGGTAAACCAGTACCCGACATACTGTACATACGATTGCGAGCGCGGTAACGACTGCGACCAAAATACACGTATTTCCCGTCAAATGCGAATGGCTTTTGCGGCCGCTCCGAATATCCTGATGCATCACCCACCCGCCCAGAATTGCCGTCGGGTTTCACTCGTGCGCTCTGCCCGACCGGACTATAGTCATGCGGGAAGAGACGCCTGTAGCACCAAGTTTTGCAAATGGGCGGTTCACCAGCCACACGACGAGCAGCGGTCTGCGTACAATATATTACGCATCTCTCGTCAACACGATTTGGGGCACTGGGCCATGGGGATGGACGTCCAGTAAGGGTGACGATCGAAGGTATCGTGAAGTTATCCGCTGCCTCGCCCTTGCCAGGGGAGCTGCTATTTTTGTTCTTTGTCCAGGGCTCATACTCGTGAGTTGAAGGAAGAGGCCAATCGGATCTCGGTGCATTCGCATTGGGAAAACTCCCCTCAACGGGGGTTGCAGGAGATGTGTGTTTTCCGTCATTCGCAGGTTGATTCTGCTGCTCTGGAGAGGAGCTTCCGGTCGATCCTGGGGCTGTTGTGCCTTCCTTGGACCGCTTGGGATCATCAGATGCCATGGCGTCGGTTGAGAGTCAAAGGACCCAAGCAAGATTGAACGGGACGCAAGCTGAGGATATGTCTGTCATGTGTGAATCGTCTGCCGAGAGCACGTGCGCACACGCCATAGTTTACTGAGTGAGATTAATTGTTCCCCCTTGGCTTGATACTTTGGCTTCGGTGTACGAGATCTTCCCGAGGCCATCTGGTCCTCGGTCTAGCCCACAAAGTTGTGGGCCGTTTGAATTGTTGATGCAGTGGATACAGGGGACGCGCGCCTTGGCCGGCGTGCATGTCCTTTGTAGAACGCGACAGCGATGGCCGGCTGCGCAGCGGGTGAGATTTGTCAGGAATGTTGCAAAATAGAGATACTCATCAGTGACCAGTAGTTACTACCTGGTCTGTGCCTGAGAGGCTTTCGGAATGGAACCGCAATTCAGCCCAGCATTTTCCCTCCCGTTCGCGTCTACTTGGCTAGGCATACGTCAACTACGACAACGAATGCGAATCTGACAAAAGGAGACACATCTAAGGCGGCGAACTCCCCCATAAAGCTCGATCACGGCCCCAATGCCACGATTACTGATGCTCCATCATCGCCAGGCTCCGCAAATTTGTCACCAGCTCAGCAGAGAAAGGTTGACATGGCAATCATAAAGGATCTACTGGCCAATGTATGGCCTAAAGGACATCAGGATACAAAAATCAGGGTGGTTCTGGCACTTTCTCTTTTGATTGCAGGGAAGGTGGCGTTCGTTATCATTAAATGGGGAAGGATAAATCTGACCTCAAGCATCAGCTCCTGAATGTCCAAGTTCCATTCCTCTTCAAGGCCATCGTTGATGGTTTAAATGTCGAGTTCACATCTGAGTCAACCGTATGGGTGGTTGCGGGTTCGGCGATTGCTGGCTGTACGTGATCCGCGTCCCAGTCAGTTGTCAATCTCATGTGGTTTTGCTCTTAGATGGACTTGCGCGAATATCTGCTACCCTTTTCTCTGAGTTCAGAAATGCAGTATTTGCCAATGTAGCCCAACGCGCCGTGCGACGTGTCGCCAGTGATACCTTTAACCATCTACTACAATTGGACTCGAAATTTCATCTTTCGCGTCATACAGGTGGACTGACGCGAGCTATTGACCGAGGAACGAAGTTAGTCATCAGTTGCTCGTAAATCCTCCGTGTTAGCTCAAGTTGCATAGAGGGATAACATTTATACTTTCGTCCATGATTTTCCATGTCCTGCCAACGGCTTTGGAGATTAGTATGGTTTGTGGTATCCTGGTGTGTTTTATTAGCCTCCCATTTATTTCGCCACTCACCGATCCTGCCATCAGACATACAAGTTTGGCTGGAACTTCGCCGCGGTTACCCTAGGTACCATGGCAAGTTATACTTGGTTCACCGTTTCAACCACTGCATGGAGGCAAGTCGGGGACCCCATAGCGATCGTCAAGTCGTTTTAATGTCAATGCCTAAGAACTAAGTTCCGCCGGGAAGCCAACAAGGCAGATAACAAAGCCGCAGATGTTTCTGTGGATTCTTTGATAAATTTTGAAGCCGTTAAAGTGAGTACTTCTATGCCTTTTCCGAGTCATCAGTGTTGCGTGATTGACTCCATAAAAATATTTAGCATTTCAATAACGAGAAATTCGAGGTCCAGCAGTATGACAAGCATCTTGCCACCTACGAGAAAGCTTCCTTAAAAGTTGCAACATCGTTGGCATATTTGAATTCCGGGCAAAATGTGATATTTTCAACCGCATTGACATTGATGATGGTTTTGGCGGCCCAAGGCGTAATAAAAGGTATGAAGTCAAACGGTAAGCAACATTGGCCTAATCATACATCTCCCAGGCACCATGACTGTTGGTGATCTCGTTATGGTGAACCAGCTGGTCTTCCAGCTTTCTCTTCCTCTGAATTTTCTTGGAAGCGTATATCGCGAGCTAAGGCAAAGTTTGCTCGACATGGAAACTTTGTTTAATCTTCAAAAGCAACACGCACCAATAAAGGTCTTTACCCAACTTTCATTTGCCCCCTTAACACTAAATCATTTTCAGGATTCCCCTGATGCCAAACCATTAGTCCTTCATGGTGGCTCGATACGGTTTGAAAACGTCAATTTCGGGTACAATCCCAACCGAAAACTCTTTCACGATCTCTCCTTCACGGTTCCAGCGGGCAAGAAGGTTGCAATTGTCGGCCCCTCCGGCTGTGGGAAGTCTACCGTTTTCCGCCTCCTCTATAGGTTCTACGAGCTCGATTCTGGTCGCATTTTAGTCGACGACCAAGACATCTGCAATGTTCAGGTGGCTAGCCTACGTGAAACTGTTGGAGTAGTACCTCAGGATACGCCTTTGTTCCACGCAGACGTGATGCACAATATCCGATATGGTCGTTTGAGCGCCTCAGACGAGAAGTATTCGAAGTTGCCAGGAAGGCAAACGTACACGATGCAATCGTGCGTCTACCTGAAGGCTATAAAACTCAAGTTGGGGAGAGAGGTCTCATGATCTCCGGGGGTGAGAAGCAGAGGCTAGCGATTGCTCGAGTTCTGCTCAAGGACCCACCAATCTTGTTCTTCGACGAAGCGGTACGTCCATTTCCATCTTGTCCTCTAGATTATCTTCGCTGAAGGTCGCCTCGTAGACGTCAGCCCTTGACAGCAAAACAGAGGCTGACCTAATGCGCAACATCAACTCCTTGCTTCGCGAGAAGTCCAGAACGAGTATTTTCATCGCGCATCGGTAAGCCATGACCGTTCACTAAGCCCACGAATCACTAAGTTGGGAGTGTCATCCTTTAGACTCCGCACTGTCGTAGAAGCAGGTCAGTTGACCCTTAGAGTTGAGGGTTTCAACCTGACTTACCACTTCATAGATCTGATCATTGTGATGCGGGATGGCGCAGTGGTGGAGCAAGGGACTCACGACAAGCTTCTTGCCTTGGGCGGCCTTTACGCAGACATGTGGAATCAACAGGAGGGCGAAGATGCTCTGGACGCTGCTGCCAGGACGATATCCTGAAGTTAACGTTTTGTCAATGATTTCAGATAGGTATCTATAAATTGTTCTAATCCCAAGAGTCGCATGCATTATTTGTACAGTATGCGGCAGGCGACACGAATGAATAATTTAATGGTAGTTATGATCCATAACGAGCTAATCATCCGCTTCCTCCTCCAATTCCAGTCGATAGCGTATAAGTTCTGCAACTTTCTGGCCATCGAGTGGTATCTCGTTGCCTTGGAATCCTTCGGGATAGCCAACTATGGAACGGGAACCATATGATTAGATTCTATCTTGTCCAGAACGAGATAGTGCACCTACCCGGTGGTAACTTGGGACTCGTAAATGACCTACGGATTTTCAATAAGAGAAATTCTGGGTATCACCAATACGGTAGCGAACCTATTCCCCCAGAAGCCATAATGGATCACCCCAAGAGCACGGGCAGTCCACTCATAATCGTAAGCGAAACCACCTGGATAGAAGAACTCAATAACGGTGGCTCGAGGCGTGGGATTCATCCAAAGCAATGATGTCAAACCGTTGCCGTGAACACCACACATAATCTGGGCCAAAGGAGTCAGAATAGGGTATAGCGAGAGGAACGCCGCATCCCACCGTTGTGCGTCCAGCGAGGCGGATTTGTTCGTGACGGTCCAACTTGTCCATAGACACGATGTTGACTTCATAACCATACTCTTCTTCTAAACCCTTCAAGGCAGCAACCAGACTATCATGAGCTTCGGGCAGTAACATGCGCCGCCCCCAATCCTGACGAGAAATATACGTTATGACAGGCTTCCCCAACGTGCCGGCCCCGGCACTTCGGTTCAGTCCCGCGAACTCTACGACATTGGAGCGTACTGGCGACCACCATGGACGGCTGCTTGGGAATGCGAATGCTTCTGAAGCTGTTCTCTCTGTCGCGACGAATTCGACACCCCTCATTGCTGCGCCACGGTCCGCCAAAACAACTCGGTCGAAGACGTATGGTTTGTGTATATTACTGCGGTCTTCCCAATCATATGCGCCTTCTATGGTCATCGAGGGAAAGGCACCTTCGACCAAGTATTGGTTCATGTTCGCATAGTCCCGCCATTCGTTGGTCTTTGTAAAAATGAAACGTCGCGGAGCAGGTAGCGACGTTATTCCATCTTCTGTGATACGGGTGTCGAGGGACGAGTATGTCCGCCAGAGCCCGAAGAAAAGTTCCGCAGAAAAGTGATAGTAGTGTTGGATGACTGACCCGAGTAAGTAACAGTGAGTCATTACGATGAATAAAAACTTACATTGGGGCGGATCATTGTTTAAGAACTGAAGAACAACTCAGCAGAAGAATTGTTGCAGGGCAAGGGAAGTTCTCACCGTGACACCATCAAGGCGATTGGCATATCGCCGAAACAAAGTTTTAGCACGTTTCGTACTGATGATTTGCATGTCCTTATCGGTTGGTTCTCGCTTGGCTACCTCTTCGGCGCCGTTGTGCACCTCATAACCAGACGACACTATCATACGGATGGCTGGGAACCGATCTGGATCGTCAGTAACGATAAAGAATGTCCCATTCAGGACGAAAAGGCGGTCAATGATAGACCACCCTAAGCGTCATCAGGTATAGTGAATTGGAGTTTCATTACGATGAACACACCAGGCGCGTGACGGAGAAGTTTGGATTCTGGCACAGGTTGAGTGTCCCATTCTAAGCGCGCATCAACGCCATGCTGTAACGGAGGTGGGAGAGGAGGAATTCCATCGTCTATCGATAAGTCTGCTTTGTCATTCCAGAAAGACGTCTTCTCCCTGAGCACCCTAATGGTCTCCGGAGAACTGAGATGAAGCAGGACGTAGAGGAAGAACACAAGCAAAAAGCCAAAGAGAATTTTGTGCGTGGTCAAAGCTGAGCGGTTTTCTGTCGCCTTCATGTTGGCCTCGAATACACCTCTGGCAAGTACGGGGAGAAATACACCAGCAGGCCTATACGTAAGGAGACAGTAAACCAAAGGAACTTGAAACCTGGGCCAATTTCAATTTATTCCTGCAATTAACCACGTGGCATCAGTAGAATTCTGCTACTCTCCCCGGTGGGCTGGAAGGGGTGTTGCTTTGAATGTCTCTGTTTAGAATCCTAGAGGCATGCATCAAACCAAGACTCCTTGTGCCAGCTATCAGAGTCAACAGTGAGTGGACATGCCTCGGGACTTTCTTCTGCAGCGCTTATCCGTTGCATCATGAAGCTATTCGTGAGCTAGATTTCCGAGGGTTGAGAGATGCTGGGTATCGCGGCGCAGTTTTTGATAAGGATAATTGCCTAGTAAGCTGCACCTCCTTGGCATCTCATGTGAAGGACGTCATATCCACTGATGTCCACCAGACCCTGCCTTGCAAAGACACTCTCGTACCTCAACTAAAAGTAGGGATGTCACTAAACGCCTCATGCGCAAATTGACGCATCATTCCTCATGCTAGGATGCTTGGGAAGATTGCCGAACGGCGTTTGGCAAAAACAACGTCATCGTAGTTAGCAATTCTGCCGGCACTCGAGATGATCCTGCGGGTCTGGAGGTGTGTTTTAATAGATTTGATCCAGGGCTCACTTTGATTGCCTCTCTATTAGGCTGAATCAGTGTCTCATCATCTCCGAGTCCCCGTGCTTCCTCACGCTGCAAAGAAACCTGGCTGTCTAGAGGTTGTTGAACATTACTTCGCGCTTCAGGGTGCACACGATGGGGAATCTCATCCAGTTCCGGGAAAGCTTTTGCGTAATCCAATATCTCATAGTCAACAACCAATCCATCCTTCAGAATTGATATACGTTGGGGATCGCCTCTTTACAGATGTTGTGATGGGAAATAAGTTGGGTGGGCTCACTGTGTGGACGACCGGCCTATGGGCTCGCGAAGCGATGGCACTACGTTATCTCGAGTACGGGATGCTTCGAATCATCGTAAAATGGCAGGCCTTCCGTAATAAGCAGGTAGACAATGTGGCAGACGAACGCGTTGTCCAGTCCCCTCAGCAACGATTCGTCAAACCGGATCCGAGACAGGCCAACCCAGGGCCCAGCACGGTTGCAAGAGTATGGAGCTGCTTAGTCGCAGCGTTGCGTCTGACGAGTGTTGTGGCACGTTGGTTTGGGGGCCTGATGAGTGCCCTGTATAGACGTTTGTTACTGGCCTACAGGAAACAGGAGGATGCACTACGTCCTAGGGATTCTATTGAAACGCTATCATCACAAGAGCCCTTCTCTTCAGGTTATCACCAGCCACACTTAATCGTCCCTAACGAACCCCAGGGAATAAATAGGTTCGCCAAACTCGTCGTCACCGTTCGAGACGCTGTAATCTGGACCACACACAGACGCGAGGCAGCCAACGGGGCGCGTAAGTCGGTTGTCATATTGGCGAATGGTCATATTACTGATCTCGCTACTCTAGCAGTTCCTCGTGAACGTTGAAATGTCTGTATGTGAGGTCAATTCCACAGTGCCAATATCAAGACAAAGAAGCTTGGCATACTTCACAATATTCCCTTTCGCGCGTCCCTTGCCGAGTACATAGTCCTCGGCGTCACCTCGAGTGCTATCATCTGCATTCCAATCTATTACCCATTCTCCAACAACTCTCCCAGAATGGTCCTTTGTACGTGCCACGATTTCCTGTGCACCAGGATACCTCCCGGTAGTCCTTTCCATCCGTACCAAGGAGACGAGTTCCCACTTTGCGAATGCACGAGTTGTTGGGCCAAGGAATGCGGTGTCGTACACCTCTGTACTTAAGTCTTTCAGCCAGAAGGATTTTGTATGGATCGCAACTCCCGCTGATGGAGTGGACGGTGACAGGTGACGCATGAATTCTACATACGGGGCCCCGCACCATGCGATCAGGGCTGTCGAACCCCCACTGGCTATGACTGCTGTAAAGGCTAATGCAGTGCGGGCACTTGTCGGTATGGGTGCCTCAACGACAAAGATGATGGGAGTGAGAGCGGCGGCGAGACCAAGCGAAGAAATGGAGAAGAGTTTGACGCGATGATATGCTGTAGCCAGCGGTCCAGTGTAGAAGGTTCCAGTCAAAGTTGTTGGTGTTGTGCGTGCGTTGTCAGGTGTTGTATGGGAACTTAAAATAACTGCAGATGTTGTAAATGTACGGGAATCATCATATCCTCGTGGACGGAGGTTCTGCGAATTCGACGGTCTGCCATGAAATGTACCACGCCACCGAATGACATCACTCACTGCGGTGGCATGCACGACGCAGTGGCTTTCACTTGAGACACTTGACGTGGCACCGAGAAAGCTGCGAAGCGGGCCTAGGCCACCGGAAAAGCGCGCGCTTGAGGCTCGAAGAAAGCTCATGAGTGTCGGAATAAGCCGTGGGAACTTGGCCAGACTTGGCCTCATTAAGTCTGCGAAACTTCTGACGATGCCTCTGATTGAAGTAAAATTAGCATTTCAAATGCGTCGATAGGTGCTGACGGATATCTGGCTCGATCCAGGTGATCGCAAATGATCGTCTCGGACGCAAAGGTACGTCGCTTAGCCTCACCATTGCTGCGTCAAGTATTGATGTCGATTCTTCTCGGCGACAACTTCAGTCCGCGTCAAGTGCAGCCCTGATGACACGGTTGGCGACCTAAAGAAGCTGATTGCTGCCCAAATTGGTACCGATCCCAGCAAGATCCAGCTCAAGAAATGGTGTGTACCACAATTCATAAGTCTTCCTTATCCTTGCGTTGAACACTCGAGTTTCCCCTGCTTCCCTCGGCCCAGGTATACCATCTTCAAGGATCATATAACGCTGGCCGATTACGAGATCCACGATGGCCAAAGTCTAGAAATGTATTGAGCCTGCTTTATATTCTGCCGCTGTATCCAATTTCTGCACTCTACCTTAAGTATTCATTGACTATGATGGCACTTTTCTTGCTGGGTGAAATATGTAAGGCTACCGCTCTGTCGTTATCATCTTCTTGCGATGTTAGCACTCGCAGCAAATAATAGTTTCGTTTGTTTCCAAATTAGGCAATAGCGCGGTGATTCGTCATCCCAGCTTGGCTCAAGAGCAGATACGCAAAGCCTTGGCTACGGTTGCTCTCGAATCTGGTTGACATAGACACCGACGAGATTCCTCCTGGCTGCACTCAGGAAGACTCATTGCTGCTATTGTTCCTTATTCAATTACTGCCTCGAGGCTCAGGTTAGGATCACGCACTTCTGGTTTCCGGCGCCTTTATAGCTCTGGTAGCCAGAGACCAAGGGTATCTCCCGCGAGCGTCTGACTTAGTTTTCCTACCACGCTCAACTCTGAGACGTATCGTTGCAGGCCGGTCCCTACAATATCCAACATTCTAGTCCCGCATATACATTTCATAATGGCTGATGAACGTCCCCCTTCCCCCACACTGTCCGTTGCGGCGACAGTGCCGCCTCCTAACACGGAGAACATAACGGAGTTGATGACGATAATGAAGAGCACGATGGACCAACTGGGCGTAAGTCCTTCTGTGTATCAAGGCTCGCGATGCCCAATTGAAGCGCAATTCTCCACTAGGAAACGTTTGATGCTTTGGGTCAGACTGGAACTCGCGTGGAGGATCTCCAGGCGGAGCCTGCCCTCGATAGTGTGTCCCAAATCCAAGCATTGCGTCGCCATCTTGTGTACCAGGATCGGCGGCAAGTCCAAAGAATGGAGGACATTAAAGGTTAATCATTCTACCCAAACCCTTCTCTATTGATGCTCATGATGCTCATGAAATATAGTGATGCTTAGTGAGGTTCTCCAAGTAGATATCGTGGACTACCTTGAAGGCGTGAGTGAGTGATCATTTTCCTTCTTGCTCCTGCACTGCGCAAATGCCTAATTGACGCTTATTTATAGTTATCCGAGAGGTGGAGGGCATTATCGACCAGGAAGTCGAGGGACAAGTAGCTGAAAGGCTCAAAAAACATATTCCTGACCATTTGCAACATATGGTGACTGAGCACAAACGGCAACTGGACGACGTAACGAGGAACTTGAACAATGTGTAAGTGACCTGTAACATCCGTTACGCGGTGAATCAGACTCTGATGCTTCAAGGATACTAACAGTGAAGCTCGGAGGAGAAATGCTGCGCTGAGGCATAACCGTGGCGATGGTTCGATTCATCCTCTGTACCTCCCTTCGGCAAAACGTACGAGATTCCATAAACATCCACCGACGGCATCCTGACGCCCTTGTTTAGCAAGCGACAATTTCCCTAAGAATTTGGACGAGCTTATCGATGTTGAAGGTGAGTTTTAGGGTGGGGCCGGGTTTTGCTGAACTAACATTGTTGTCACCGTAGCCGAAAAGCTAGCCAATATGATGCTAGAGTATGGTCTGCAGCCAGGCGAGTCGAGAGAAAAGGTGGGTAGTAGCATTACTTTCCTTCGGATGGTAACGGGAGTCTGACTGGCTTGTTCTCTAGAACCTGAACCGCTTCATGAAATTCTGTCATATTGGATATGAGGTTGTGCCACTGAACGACAAAGCAGAATAAGATATAGTTTGGTGTCTTATGCTGTCTTCATTCCCGGTGCTGCGCACTCCCTCCTGTATTTCGTATGTCCCACCGGAAACTTACTCCCCCGTTTCTTGTATTAGTATCTTGGAATAATCGATAGACCACATCCTGCATATCTCTCCTGAAGCTTACGCTATATGCACCTGCAATCTGCCCAATATGAAATGAATTGCAAGGAAAGGTCCCTGATCGTTCCCACTGTTCTCCTGGGTTGGGACTCCCATACCCACTCCAATCTTCATTTACACATTGGACTAGTCTATATCATGACCTTGTTTCTCATATCCAGTCGTAGATATCCACACAGTTCGCTCATGCCCACCGCACTGTCATTTGCTATTTGGCATGGACTCGAAGGAACCCCGGAACGCCCATTGCGTAGCCAAGCACTATGGTGGTTTGCATCCTTCACATCGATGACCTATCTTCTATGCCTGAAGGGTTTGGGCTTCGATGACGTAGCCACGCGCATAACTCATTGCTATTTCGAGATGGTGTCACCCAAGTCGGTTCTGTCAATGGCACCAGCGTCGCTGGGCGAATTCCATGAGTAGTTTGTGAAGCAAGGGATAATTCTCATTCGGGACCTTGATAGAGAGAAGATTACGAAAAAGCTCAGGGACCTATGTACTGGTGGCAAATCCTGGTGATTCCTGGATTTGATACCAACAGGACAACAAATTTGTGCTTGGGGGTTGCATTTGAAACGAGAAGAGGCCCGGTAACGTTGCAGAGGAACGCCGTTTGGAGCAACGCCATACGCGATGCTGAGCTGCTACGGTGTTGAAAACGGACTGTGGGAGAAAGAAACACCATGCACCACATGCTTCACTTCCATGGAGGGTGATACTTCGATTAAAGATCGATTCTTCAATCAGCGGTACTCTCGCATCTTCCCCATCGAATAGCCGTTGTTTATCGACTTGCTCAGTTCCGGTGATCAAAATCTCGGTCGAGCAGACCGATGGCATTAATCTGCAAATCAGTTTGCCATTGCAGCGTTTATACTATAGCTGTATTAAAGTGTTGCAGCTGCCCACTTGACCGGCAACTATCCGCAGCAGACATTGGCCCATTGCACAATGTTATGTGTAATAGGTTTAATGATATGCCTGATCATCAATGATCCTGCCCGCTCTACTGGAAAATGACCGGATTGAAGCCCGAAACGAGTCCTGGAGACAAAGTCTGCTCCAGAATCGGTTGCGGTGCTCTCCACACACACAACAGCTCATGATACTATCGTCGCACTCAAGCCATGGGGGGAAAGAGAATCAGACAACACCAACAAATTTACCAGCACCATCATGAACGGATGACCATACGCAACTATCGTGCAGACTGGACCCGCCGAGGCCGAGATAGGCCAGGGAACATAAGATTGTGCGTGTTCTGCGGAACTGAGGTAAAGCCCCGCTGAAAGAGAGAAAGATTAGCCTAGTTGATATCACGCAACAGTCCCGTTCGGCTGGTGCGTTTTTGTGGTAACCATCGCCCACACCCCCTCATGCCTTCCTTGAGGCGGCGTACTTATCCCCCTTCCACCATGAAAGTAACAAACGAGTGACCATCAATGAAGTACGCATGGCACTCGCTCTGCTTGGAGTCCCAGATTCCACAGGCGTTTCCTCGCGCTGGCACACGGAGGAACACATGCTTAAGTCGTTAATTGGAGGAGACACCGGCGACACCTCGTCAGCCTGCAGGATCGAGAGCGCAAAGTTCAACCATGGGTATGCAGTATGGCTATGAAAACCCTCGCATGATACAGACTTCACCGAAACATGCCGGTCCTATGCTCAATGATTTCCGCACGCCTTCCATCTGATCGTACCAAACTGTGAGTTTGCTGCTATATGTTCCCCCTGAGACTCTACGGCGGAAGCACCTTCGAGAAGAATAGATGACAGTGTTTTACGAAAAGTTGCCACGAAAGGAAAAGGTTGGGATCGGATTGCCGAGCCCGAGCAGGCTGAACACCTGCCCGAACGTGATAAGTCCGACTAACCGGCTTTAGCGTTCTTGGACAATACCAGAGTTGCGAGCTCAAGCAAACACCACTCATCCTGGTGTTGCGCCGCTGGGCGGCTGATAATAGCCTGCTTCTGATAACCAGATTGGTTCCATTACTTCCTGCTACTTCGGCATCAGTTTCTGGTACCCCCTTGGTACTCCATCTGCAGAACCTCCATCTCGCCTTCTCAGCCTCAAGTGCACAGGACTGTATCCCATATGCATTACGAGGGTATGGGTGACGAGGCGAGTGAATGCACAAATGTCTTCCAGCCATGCAAATAATTAGGCAGGTTACCAGCCTCTATTAGTATAGAACAAATAACTAAATGTAAAGCTTCAGCGCGATTTTCTAACAAATGATTTCGCCACGGATGACCAACGCCAACCTCTCGTGCACGATAAGTTGTCAGGTCCAGTGTGTGGAGGTCATCAATGTGGTTACCGGTAGGAAGATGTAGGATACAACGCATGGAAATGCTTCCAAGCAAGTCGTCCGCACTAGGAAACGGCACAAAAGAGGGGAAGGGAGTCCAAGAGACTGAGTGGGCCGCTTGTATCCCGCTTCGCTGTGGTTCGATGTGGCAGAAGTTGCTGGATGCATCGATTCAGCAGGAGTGGAAGGCCTTCGACATGGAGCTCTTTGCATGCCCCGTCGCAACCGATAGTACCCTTTCCTCTGGGCACTGCATCCCTATACGCTCATGAGCATTCTACAGATATAAAAATTCCGCAAGCTGGCGGACGTCCCTGATGTACACCTCGGCCAGAGCTCCAATTCGTCAGTCGCAGCGGTTTGTAAAGTATTGCTCGCTGTCAACAAATTCGCAGAGGAGCAATGATGGAAGGGGCTACGTCTTATAGACCAGTATACCGCAGAACAGTGATGGAGTCAAGGTTAGTGTATTCTGGAACCCCCTGGCCGCGAGGCCATGGCGCCGGTCACATTGAAAAATTGACCTGACAAGTCTGGACATGTGAATAGCGTGACTGGCTGACAAACAGTACTATTCATCAGTGTCATCACTCCGGCCAGGGGGAACCCGACTAATTGGTTGGTGGGCCCTGCGGCCCGGGCGCTGCGGCGGCCTAGGTAGCGGCCATGATTGCCAATCTTTCTAAATGCCTATTTTACGGAAGTCCTGCGTACTAAACGCCAGGCTGCCCAGTGTGTCTCCAGCAGTTCTTGATTTAAAACGCCAGGGCTGAGCATCAAGAAATCAAGACGAGTCAGGAGCCATAGCACCGCAATTAGTCTCTCATTGATTAAGCGCCAAAATAGACGCGTGTCGCGGCCTTTTGAATTGCTTGATAATGATCCGGATTGCCGTTACGTAATGAAGATGCATGTTGACAAACCTCAAAGATCTTACAAGTCTGAGCTATACCCACTACTCAGGCCCCAAGTCGACACACCAAAGGCAGCGTGCTCACCTTTGGAAACATGTCTGGACATCCATGGGTGAGATGCGCACACCAGTGTGTCACTCCGGCTGAAGACAATTACGTGACGCCACTGGCGGGCGCTAATAGCAACGCTGTCGGTGGCTCGCTTCTGTATAGCCCTTTTCAAATGCTTCAAGTCGGTTGAAGCGATGCACTAATTATGGAAATTTGACTGATAGAGCCCCTATAGGACCATAACGAGGACAATGACTCTGGCCTTGGCGATGATTTTTCGTTCGTGTTCACGTCTGGTGTCACCCCCCGCTCATCTTCTTCGATGGAGGATCGTTGGAATGCATTTTTTGATGACGAGCTCTCGTATATCTCGTCGAACAGTTCAGGCTCCCGATTCTCATTTCTGAGCTCCACGTCAACCCCTGCCACATCCCGCCCCACCAGTATAATTCGTGATCTTCCCAGTGAGTCACTAGACCATAAAGCAGCTGGTATGCGGGTTTTTGGCTCATTCGAAGAGGACGTCTGTGACTCTTGCACCGCGGTGAGCATCATTTTCGTGCCACGGTCCTCAAACGAAGCGCTCAATAATCACCCGCGACTCAAGTCTGTGTGCTCGCTCTCTGGAACTACCAGCAATACCATCGCGCCTACCGCGCCATTTTCTTCATTGCATGCTCCCATCTTCCAGAGCGACATCGCTATTGCCGACATCCACAAACACGCCGGGACTTTCTACTTCCCCCCATCCACGCCCGAGCCCTCCACATCCCGCTCAATACTCCGCTACCTCAAAACGAAGAAAATGAAGAAGGGATCGCCACCGGTGACCGATGAGAAACGCAAGATGCATTGTATATGCGGGAGTCCTCTCTGCGCAGAAATGTGGCTCCTTGAGCGGAAGCACGAGGGCCCTGGGGACCATTATGCGACCAACAACGCCCCATCAACAGCAGGTTTGGTCCAGGCTACAGGGCCTGCGGTGTTGATCGCCCCGCCTGATTCAGATGGGACACCCGTGTACAGGCCTAGCGCATCGCATCTGGCTCTGAGACACTCCAAATCGTCATTGAAGCTTGACGCTGAAACCCACTTCGCTCCCTCATCGCCACAGAATTCACAATCACCAAATAGTTCAGCTTCATCATCGTTAGGGAAGAAAAGAAGATTCCTACATGCTCTTCGTGCGAAGTTGGCGGAAGGCACTCCGTCGGCCTTGACTCCGACCCAATCGAAGGACATTCTGAAGCATCCGAAATTTACCGGGAAAGAGAAAAATGGAGGGTTAAAGGAGCCCGAGCCTCTTTCACCAGGGGAACTAGATGGTACGTGATCCGCAACTTTTCCATCTAATTACGTTCCTCATTCGCTCATACGCGTTCCTGTTACACACAGAGGAACGTTTATCTATCTCGTGGATGACACGTGAAACTCGCCAGAAGGCTGCTGAGAAAATGGAACGTGCTCGCGTCGCTCAAGAGAGAGTCCGGAAGCGAATTTTAGAGCAAAACATCAGGCGGTACAGCTTTGCTGGTACCTGGGTCCCCGCGCTTTAATTTCAATAATGTTCGATCATACTCTCCTTTTGCACCTATCCATTTTTAAAAAACTTATTATGATAATAGCAGCATCAGTCTTATCATTGCACGAGCTTCAAGTATTATTTATGGGACAATTTTGCAGGACTCACAATTTTTTTAATTCTTCTGTCATTCAGCTCCGTTTTTACTGTCACTTTCTGCCTACAACACGCACACTTGTTAGAATGCACGTTTATAACTTTGCGTTCCAGTCGCGAGGTGATGGAATAATGTAGTATCATTTAATCGCGCTTCTGTAAACTAATTGCTACATCCTTTAAATGATATACTAATGGTCATTCGAACTGCACGCTGTGGATGCGGACTTCTCGCCGCCTCGCGATGATGTGAATTCTAAGGGGAAAAAAAAACTCGATTCGAAACGAATGAGATGCGCTCAGCAGTGCATGCGGCCTCCGCTGGCCCAATTGCATGGACAGCTGAAGCATGCTGCGTGGCAATGGGCAGTGGTCATCGAACCAGGGCGTTACAACGATATGAGTGAAACAACAATTTCATCAATGTACCGCCTCCATGCCGGATGGTTAGGATGAACCAAGGCTGCCAATGGGTCGGAGGGCTAGCTCGGCGAGTCGATAAAGATAGTTCCGAGCAAGGGCCAATTATTTAGAGGTAACCAAATGCCCCCAGTACGGCGAGCACCCATCGAAGAGAAAGCCTCCGATAACGTATACATGCAATTGGTTCGTGTCGAGAAAGGGGAAGAGATTTCAATTTCATAAGGACTCGTAAAAGACGTCGATGTCGCTGCCCAGAGTATTTAGATAAGAGTCTTTTGGTCAATATGGCACCTTGCCTTGGGGGAGATGAAACAGGTTTGGGTGTGAGGTTGGCAGGGAACTCCACCCCGCACCGAAAGTGCGCGCCCATAACAATTTCATTGAATCATTCACAAGATTCTCTGGTGCCACTACAAGATCGCTTGTCCACATCAGTACCTAAGATAAAAAATGTCCCGAAGGCTCGCGAAGTTCCCTTTGGTTCTGCACCGGTCATATTTAGACATCCGCGTTCTTAAGTTACCCCATCTTGAGCGTACAGTATGCCAGGAGTAACGTAGCACGCACTACGTGATCCCAGTTTTAATAAGATTCGAGTCATGTCTTAGAAAGCTGAGAAAATACATCAGTTGAAAATTGGCGCAAACAAGCGGGAGTCAGCTCTCAGCCTATTTTACCGACAGCTGGAATGGCATAGGGAGCTATCCGTCGAGGAAAGCAGCGATACGGCCTCAGACAGGATCATCACTAAGTTAAAGCACTCGGCCGTGTGCATCAAGTACGGGGTTCCCACGGTAGTCGCTACGCATGGATTGTGTTAACGTGCACTCCAAATACATGAAGACCGAGCGAAAGTGAGCTACAGAGAAGTTGAGACACAAGGGTACAGCAAGAAAGGTATCAAAAAAACAAGACAGCAGAAACCGACAGCTGGAAATGACTCAAACAAGTGTTGATGGGGAGGACGGCTTCACTGGTAAACCGTCCGGTCCTGCAGTCTCCACCGACGCAGCGGACCCCACAACCAGAAGATAGAACCAGAAGGGGGCAGAGGATCAGGTAACGAAGTGACGGCCGAGCGAGAAGGACTGTGACTGGGTGATCGATTCCCCCGTCGCCTCGTCACCGAAGGACTTGCTGCCTCAGCGTCTACCTCCCGTTGCAATCTTTCCAATGCATCCCTTTGCTCATGTTCTCCATATTCATCTTCCCAGTCCTCCTCTCTTTCCTCGTTCTCAACGTATCGTTCTTGACTGAGAAGTCTTTGGGTTTTTCTTCGCTCTTTGAACTCTCTTATCCTTCGTTCAGCTTCTTCTCGCTGCACAAGACCGTAAGCTCCCAATGCCCAGCTTTCAGTCTCGCCGCCTTCGGACCGAAGATCAGTTTGGGCTCTCTCAACAGCAGCACGCTCATTGACAAGATTGGAAATACCCTGGATGAAGGGGAGGGTCTGAAAAAAAGTGTTCAAACGAGAGTGCGGACGGAGCGAGGTTTCTGTAGTTGTCCACGGGGGGGCAACTCTGAATGAACAGAAAGCGTCTCGCGGTTTCCAGTGTGGCCAGTGGTTGTATCGTGGTCTGAATCCACCGTCCGTGTAAAGTTCTGTCTACCCAAAGTTCCAACTAGCGGACTGAGGAAACGAAGGACTCCAGAAGCACTCGAAGTAGGCGGCTGCACCTCCGAGCGCTTTTTGCCTTTCCGTTTGCGCTCCTTCTCCAACGCTTTCCGTTTGTTGCGCTCCGCACGATACAGCATGTCCTCTACCTCGGGAATACCCATCCCCGAGCCAGCAAACCACCACCATCCAAAAAAACTCCTAAGAGGTAAACAAATAGCACATGAGTTCTAGGATAGAGTGGGACGTTAGACGGCACTCACTGCCACAACACCACGGCCCAGTTCATGTAGGGCAACCACACCAGGCGATCCTCGAATATTAGAATAAGATTCACGACGGTGCTCATCACAGCCAACAGAGAGGCGCCAGCACCAAACACTGCCGTACCGCCGTCGGTTCGCCATGCCTCCTTAGGGTTAATGATGAAGCCCCAAATAAACAACGCGGATGTGAAGAGCAGAGAGAGAGTCGTGTTGCAGATGCCTCGGATGGCGTCACCCAAGTCCTTGGCATGAGGAGTGGGCGATAGAGATGCGAAAGTCGTAGCTGATGATGCAAGTACGAGTGGACCTGCACGATGGATTTCCGTTGCGTAATTAGAATCCCATAGTCAAGGCAATGCGACAAACTGGTAACTTACCAAGAAGAAAAAATATTAGTTTCTGTTCTATTTTCGTAGGAAAGAGTAAAGTGAGAGTCTGGATGTTCGTGGTCTATCAAGCGCCGTGTAAGATGGCCATAAAGTGGTGCGGGGGAAAGCAGGCGTACATGAGCAAGTCCTGATGTGATGGCTTCCATGGAATACCATGAAATCTTCTCAACTGTCGTCCAATGATCTGGCGGGATACTTATTGCGATATAGTCAAGCATATACGGCCATCCACGACTGTAACCATGGAGTAAATGGAATACAGCAATTATGCTCGCTATCAGGGAGGTCAGTAACGTGATGACCCCTGATATTTGTAGAGCGTAATTGAGCCGTGCCAGGGGCCAGTGGGTGTGCGCAGTGAAGAGGAGGTGAATGAGCAAGACTGCCACAAGCGTAAGAATGACACCCAGAAGGAGTATTTGAACTGGGAGGGAAAGAGCAAAGTTTGGCTGGAAGTCGAGCAATGGATCACTATCATACGCCATGATGAGGACGCGTCGGTAGGTCAGTTACCGGAGATAGCAAATAGACTACGATGTGTTAAAGGCATGTCACACTTACTTTCCCTCAGGGCCAAACAACGGATCCATCGCGCTAACGATGTATTTCTGCGCCTTTGAGGGCAGCAGTCGCGATTGGGAGCCCCACCTATGCTATTCTGTGCAATCTCCGGTCCGCTGCTTTATCTGTGGCAGGTATTGACTAATCTGGCCGACTCCGATTTCCCTAACAAACAGTGCAGTGCGACCTTTTACTTTTCTTGGGTTGGACGTCGTATGCGTCTGAGGGCTAAAACCGGTTTGGATGTGAAAGAGTGGTGGCAATGGAAGATCCACATCTCCAGTCGCCCAGCAAGTCTTGGCATCCCTGCTGTGCGAATTTTCATCCACATGTGACTGTCGCACATTTGCACGACGGACTTCCCGCGGCCACCAGCTTCTGTTGTGATCCCGTCTTATGTATGGACCCGCTTGCTTAAAGTCTTGGTTGTGGGACTACCCATTAGGTCTTCAAGTCTATCTATCGGTTGGCAAACTCATAACCTCGCATTTCATACGCACGTTACATCTTAACGGCTCACTTCTGCGCCGCAAATAATCAGACTAGAAACAGATTTCATGTGGTTTTGTCCAGGACCGATCACATAAAGAACTGGGGCTTAGGAAGAGGCGCCTTCCGATCTGTCCCTTTAGAACCATGAAAGCCCATCGCGCCACCACCCATTGCACGGATCTTACGTATGTTTAAGCATGGGTCATAACCCAGGTTATGCACTCGTTGACAAAATTCGTTCCTACTCCATCCGGTTCATGATGTAACTCGTGGAAAGCCCCCTAAATTCAGGGGGTCATCAAGATGGATGGAAAATGCTCTTTTCCTACTCACAGGAATCAAGGAATAGCGCTTATCTGTTGCCCTGAGCTTTTCGACAAAGGCCTTGGAATCTGCATAGGAGGTGATCTGAAAATCACCCCGAACCAGTAAGTGACATGGTGGCACCAAAGTTGTCAAACGGGACCACGAGATCGCCGCTTCCGTGGATAACGAGCACAGGAAGATCCTCTGGCCACGTCTTGTAATGCTTCTCTAACAGTTGGGCACCCTAAGATCACTCAGTGAAGTGTCCTTCTTCCGCTAGACGACGTACATTGTACCAGATATCCTTCGCAAGCCCTACGTGGCAGACAGATCTTATAAACGGATCCGCTCGGAAGGCTAAAACTACTCGGTTGTCCCTTGACAGGAACTGGATGGGGCGTCATGTAAATGAATAGGCCGCGTCAAAGAGTGTTGGATGCACCTGTGCATTAAACCCCCAGTTTATGTCCATTCTGTCGTCTTGACCGTGGACCGTAAACTCGCCCTGCTTTATAGCAGGGCCAAGTGGTGGCGAAAAGGCGATGATTCCCTTGATTAACTTGAGTGCTTCCTTGTGAGGGTGAGGCCTGCAGGCGAACGAAAGAGATTCTGCACCTCCCTAACACGATGTAAGGTTTGGCATCAGTCAAGCCGCAACTTTTCGAAGTTAATTCTGTGCACCATTGAATAGCCCACTAGGAAAATGGGAACGTCCCCAACCCTCTCCCTCTCACGTCGAATGAAGAATGCAAGATCATTCATTTGTTGCTCCCAGCTCGAAACGGAGTACCGTTCCTCAACCACTGCTTCGCTCAATTCCTCACCCTTGCTTGCTCCGTTGTGCCATCGATCGTTCGCTGTTCGACCAAACCCCCTCTGATCAAAAGCAAAGACGGAGACACCCCTCGCAATCCACTGAGGAAAAATGAGGTCATGTCTTCCAATATGTTCAGTGTGTCCATGCACATAGATGACATGCGCCTGGGGGCGAGATGAAGCTGGATGGATATTATACGTGCGTGTGTAAAATTCGGTGTCATGGGGGCCAGCAACCCACGACTCCTTGAAGGGGTTGAGTTCAAATGCCTGTAAGTTAAGAGGAAATGGGGACTTGAGGGGACGGACGGTACAGACGAATTGTAGGCGTACCATTGTGCTTGATGTGAAGGAGGTTGCCTCGTCTCACCCCAAGTATTTATGCAGTACTGCAATTTATCGGCAGGAAGAGGGGGGGGGTTGGCCTAGCTTGTAGCGTCGCAAGGGCGACGGGGTTGCTCCGCCGCGCATGCAAACAATTGCCTATATCCGATCTCCACTAATGGGACGCAACGATGGCATTACGCCGTCCAATTCCAATCCTACGCGGTTTCGCAAAAAGGACGCGTAACGCGACGCATATATGCCATCAGCAACGCTGGCACTAACCACCTGTATATCGGAATACCCTTCGTGCGCCAGAACCTGTAGCATGCACACATTGTGTGAAACAATATATGCGATGTGACGCTGCAAAAAGGAGGCATGGAAACGGAGCAGAAGTAGGCTCAAGCCGGAATTAGTTTACGGACAATTTTTTTTGAGATCAAGGGAAGTGGGAGTGGCGGATGTGTTCAGAGGGAATTAAATGATTAGTAATTTACCACCTCCCAATGATAACGCCACGTTCTGGCCATGCTCTTTTCTGAGCACTGTATTCGACGATTATTAGTTTGTCCAACGCGGTATTGACGCGAATACTGCTGATACCATTTTCCCCTTACCTTTCTTGATTGATGTATTGATCCTTGCTGACCACTGCAAGCTCAGTGCCCGTTGTATCAATGGCGTGGGCGCTTGAATCTTTTTCTTCCTTCAGTTCTCAAGTTAGAGACATCCCTTCTTCGTTCATTAAATGTTCGTATAATTGATTGTACTCCCCGTGTTATAGTCCGTATATACAGCGCACCACCATTGCATTTTATCATTGCCTAACTCGATATATGGATTATCATTTCATTCCATAATCAACGATCACGACTAATGTGTCGTACGCGGACTGTTACTCATCTGCGTTCGATAGCTGTGTCCGGTGTTGATGAGGGAGAAGGAGAAGTTGATTTGATTCTCTTGTGATAGCTGTGGATTGTACTAATGTATACTCATACTGCCTTCGTTCGCAAATCTACCATTTTGTTTGCATCAAACTTGTCAGAAATGAGGAAGTGTAGCTACAGGTAGGTAGTTCCGAGATACATTCGTGTTCCGTCCTTTTTTAGGGCTCCCCTCTCGATCCTTATTCCCACCCTTCTTGATCGTCCCGGCATTCCGTCAGGTGGAGTCTCGAGGGGGGCGACCCTGTTTCTGTCATTCTTTTGATTGAAAAAACAATGCGGTGCCATCTATTTCATTCGAAGCTTGGTCAGAACGAGCCCACAGACTCTTGCGACCGGACATCCGCCGAAAATACATGTTTCTGGTGTTCCGATCTCAAAGAGTCCGAAACGCAGCGTAATGCGCATGTTGGAATTGGGCATGTGGATCTCTGTGGCGAGATCCATTGGTGCTGCGCGCTAACGCAAGGGGCCACGCATTAATGGAAGTGATCCAACGCTAATTGTGCAGGATGCTCACTTGGAGGAAAACATGAATATGAGGCACCCCACTCTCCTAATGATGATGAATGCAATCCACGGTTTGTTCGCATCAAAGTCTGTTGAAAGCAGTCAGACCAGGCAGCTGTAGTACGTAAGACGCCATAATGCACCGACCCCGATAACGAACCACAGGGCTGGTGTAACACCACGCAGTCGGGGGCAACTGCACGGTAACCTGGAGATGAGGGAAAAGTTGATCGCGCGAGAACAAGTATTTGGCAAACACCGCTAGTGGTTTTGGAACTCCCTCTGTACGACAGTGGAGGGTATGGCCCGATGAAAGTGAGATTCAGAATCCCACTCGGGGTGGGAATAGATCGATGGCGCCATGGCTTCCTGGGCCGAGACCATGGTACTGTGCTCCGTTTCTACACCTACCCCTTCGAATGATGAACCGGATGCAAACCGTACCCAAAGCATCGCTGACGTTGACGTGCTTGGAAGCATGGGGACCGGGCGCGCGATTCTCACGAAACATTGGGTGCTGAACCCTGATATGGGGCGCATTGGAGTCGCTCAAATGTACCATATTCTCTGTCAACGATCTCAATCACATCCTCTAAGTACCATCCGTACGAGTTTACGCACGCTCTGTCCAGTGAACGACCACCCGCCTTCTATGTGGTGCCCTAAGCCACTCGCGTTTTTGAGGCGAATTAACCCGAGCATTTGGTCCGTGAATGCCTCCCTCACTGCCGCAGGAGCCAGAAGGAGCTGGTATTTGGTCGAATTGACTTTGGCACGCTAATGTTCAAGATAAATATAGATGTCGAAGTCAGTGAAGGAACACTTACACCTTGCTCCCTCCATGCAGCGTAAGGAGCCGCGAGTTGATTGCCATAGTGACCCATTTTGGCCAAAGTGATGATACCAATGAAAGCCACATCACTGACAGTCATGCGATCGTTCACAGAGACCCAAGAGCCACGCAAGCACTGGCTGTTAGCGCTGTCAAAGCTGCGATATGATAGCGAGGTGGGTTGAACATTTCCTAGGAAGTTCTCGCTCTGTGCGTGAGCTAGCATACGTGTGAGGATAGCAGGATCCATGTTGATTGTGAAACCCAAGTAAGGATCACAATGGAGAGCGAGAGGAAAGAGGAGTGTTTCCAGGACTGCATCCAGTGTGTTAGGTTATAAAGGTATGTTGGAGGTTTGAGACAACGGGAGGAATGAACGTGATCTGTACAAGGTTTCGACTGTGAATACCAGATGCCACCGTTCATTGCAATTTGACCATTTTACCAAGCCTAGAACTTGGGTAATCATCGCCGTTGTGTCTCGGTTTCCGATCTATGTATCGATCGAGACCCAGACTGGGTCGTAATCAGTATGGGTCTGGACAGCTTTTCTTTCCACGATTTTGCCTGTGCATGCCTGAACCTAGTTCATAGGAATATTGTGTCGCATTTCAGCTGTTGTTCGATCGCCGCACAATGCGTCCCATCACACGTTTGGCACTGAATTGAACGGGCGCAAATTTTCTGGCGCAGTAGCGCGGGATATCATGACATAACATTGAATCGATCGTACACTTTCTAGATCAATTATCTAGAGTTCGGCCTTGTGCTTGCAGTCAGTCAGGACAAGTAGATTGAGGCAGGACAGTCGTACAAACGAGCGTAGTTACGCTCAAACGATGTATAATAGAGGCTGGTAACCTGGATAGAAATAAATCATGGAAATAAATCCTTGTAAAATTAGTGGACAGTCCAGTTGAAATCCATGATATCGATTAGGCCCAAAGCGCTACATACAAGTTTCAGAACATCGTATGACACGGGGCTGCACACGAAAGTGAAGGCAAGTTCAGCTGCAAGTAAGGAGGACCCTGGTAACCTAGTGGAAATGCATTGGAAACCTAGACGGCCATAGGGTTTTCGCGTCGCAAAGATTGGCTATGGAATGAATTGATTGTGTCGGATGATGCGGACGGTTCGTTGGTAACTGAACTGAGGCGTACAGCACTCGCCAGTGTCTGGCGGAATAGCGCAATGAGAATCAATTGTAAATAAACACTTCGGCATGATACGAATGGGAGAAAGAATGAGGCACGAATGAACTTCAGTCTTCAGCGTACAGCGCAAGGGGAATGAAACAAATAAACAAGAAACTAAAACGCAAGAAAAAATGTAAGAAAATAAAATAAAGTTTCATCCTTACTGACATGATGTATATATGAGTCTGTGACTCGTTGCTATCATCAGGAAGTGCATAGAGTTTAGGTTGTCTTGGGAGCAGCAGGTTCCAAACTATCCAATTTCCGCCCTGTCAAAGTGGTTGTGTCGCTCAGAACCGGGGAAGAATCCTCCCGCCACGAATACTGAGTACACTTCATAACTACAACCTTCACACATTCAACTAGACGGCTAGTTCGGAGACGCTCGACTAGTGTTCGTGATAAGTACAGCATAAAGACACAGCAACAAGGCGATAACAATCGGATGTCGATGCGAGGTGCGGGAAGCTACGCACTTGGACCTGAATCAGGGCCCATCTTGTTCCAGGTCCAAGGACGACTCAGCGCCAGTAGGCACTCGATGATCTTTTCTTCGAGAGGTTTGTGACCGTCCTCCTCGGCATAGATAAAGCATGAGTGGCGCCCGAGCCAGCATCCTTTAGGCACCAAGGGGTCACGAACAGAAGTTGCAGCACCGCTCCGCATTGAGGAGGATTGTCCTCCGGCCAGAGGCTAACGTGGACGTTCAGCCACAACGTCGGGACAGAGAATACGTCTGGGGAAAGAGACAAACGAGTTTAGCCCAGACCACAGGTTCGTGAACGGTCGAAGACGTATTGATAGTTGATCTTTTGTTTCGTAGGGTTGGGGATATATTCCCAGAGAAATAGTGGTTCCAGCGCATTTCTGTGTCAATTGGAAAAAGGTTGAGATAACAATGGACCGATCGTCGCACTAACCTATTCTTAGTGTGCTTGCGAGCTGAAGCACTATCCTATACGCCCTCCGAGCCCCACGGCGTGGGGCAGCTATCGACAGGGGGTCCCATCGCCTCAACACGCCGACAAGGTCAATCGAGGAGATAAATGTATACAGCCTCTAGGTACACCTCGGAAATTCGAGGCCATAATACTAACTTCTGAGTCTTTGGAACGTGTGGATGTTAATCAGGGGCAGCCTCCGCACCTGGGATTGATGGGACCATAGAGCGATTGAAGGGAGGGATCGGGAAACCTGAGAGAATCCCCCCGCTGTATATTTATGATATCAAGCGACACGCTTCGAGGTGGCTGGAGCGACGACTCAGCTTTTGAATTGAAACAAATACCACTAGATACGAGTGGCGATAGGTGGCCTAACCTTCAAAGCTCCGAAAGCTCATCAATAATTGCAATACTTAGTCTCAAGGTGAGATGTCCTAGAGCACCTTAAGTTGTGAACGGCGTTCCAAATATGGCAACGCGTCTCCCCGGAGCTCACTCGTAACATATGTAAGATAGAAGCGGGAAATATAACTAATGATTTTTGGGTCGACGTCCGTACGTATACATATACGAATTAAGAGTAACTCCTGTGCGGACTGCGCGCTTAGTAAAATCCTCCACATAGGTATATTCCGGTGACTCGAATCTCCGGTTTCTCCAGACGTAGGCAGGTTACCAGCCTCCAGACGCTTGTTTTGGCATCGATAGCCTTTGTTGACATCATCGGGATCAAGAAAAACAAACAAGGCGTTTTGCATCCGTCATAGAGTTTGTTTTCATACTCGGTGCCTTTCCCCGACATCACCCTTCGTTCAAGGACGTGTTTGGCTTTAGCCAGTGATTCATAGTCACCATGCCACCTAAACGTGCTGCTGCCTCCGCCACCAAGCCTGTCGAATCACGTCCTTCACGTAAGAGGCCTGCAGATGAACCGAGTCAAAGCCAATCCAAACGTCCCAGACGGGCTGTTACTTCTACAATCCTCCCCAAGGCTACCACAAAAACCAATGAAAACAGGAAACCTGCTCCTACCAAGGTTGCGGCGCGTTCATCTGTGAAGAAGGAAACTAAACCAAAGACCGCCACAACCATCAAGAAGACTGCTGCAACAAGCGCTGCCACCAGAAGCAAGGCGTCTAAGGCGCCAAAACCTGCCGGGAGGGCACCATCTAAGGTAGAACTACTAATTGCACGCGACTTGTTAATAAACCCAATGTGATGATCATTTTTAGCCTGAACCCACGAAAAAGAAGGTCGTTCCCCGACCTACTCGCGTTAAACCACCCCCTTTCAATCCACTCACCGCCATCCCCCGTACACGTGCCACTGCTCCCTTACATGCCTTCGTCTTTGGCACTGGAGGTGATGGACAATTTGGTCTAGGCACAGATGTCACGGGTGAGATTCCCAGACCAAGACTACATACCTGGGCAGAGGAATGCATTAACAAGGGAAAATTCTCCGTGAAGGGGGATCAGAAGGCCGGTCTGGAGACTCTTGTCGCCGGAGGCATGCATTCGCTCGCGATTGATCCCAGGGGCCGGGTAAGCAATCTGGGCCCGAAGAGATCCTCGAACATAAATGTTGATGTCTACACTAATAGGTATGGTCATGGGGCGTAAACGATGAAGGGGCTCTGGGGCGCAAGGTTGATGATGTTCTGAATCCCGAAAGACCAGGTGAGGTCTTCGAGCGAGCGGAATTAGAGGCAAATCCAGGCTTGGTCCAAGGTTTACTTGCGGATTTCCGAGCTGTCGCTGTCTCTGCTGGGGATAACGTGAGCCTGGCAATCGGGTCTGATGGACATCTTAAAGCATGGGGCAGTTTCCATGTTCGTCATGCTCTATTCGCGGGTAACATATTGAGATCCACTCACAATTTGCTCGCTTAGTCTTCAAATGGTTCTTTGGGGTTTCACAGTGCCTCAGGGGCGCCCAAGAGGCAAATGACGCCAGTTGCTATCCCCCAGCTTGAAAAAATCCAGCTTTCCTCCATCGCTGCTGGCACGAACCACGTCGTGGGGCTAACTACCGATGGGCGTGTTTATACATGGGGCGTCAGTGAACAAGGTACGCACAGCTACTAAACCTTCAAGGCTTGCGACCTCACTACGCTTCAGGACGACTTGGGAGGAGAGTTCTTGAACGACGATTAATCAACTCGACTCGCCCAGATCCCCTCCACCTCCGCAAAATTGTGGGCATTGGCTCTGGCTCTTACCATTCATTTGCCGTCGACTCTGACGGGGACGTTTTTGCATGGGGTCTTAACCAGTATGGTCAGCTTGGGCTTGAACCGGAGGTTGACGCCTCTGGTAAGAAACAGACTGTTGTCTGGACGCCTACGCTGGTCCCCGAGCTTTCACCCTCCGAGCTCTCGCAGGGGGGCTGGAACGATTCACGTGTTGTTCAGATTAGTGGGGGGGAACATCACACTATCTTCTTGCTCAATGATGGCCGCGTATTCGCTACAGGACGTATTGATTCGTCACAGCTCGGGTTACACTCTGATCATCCAGCAGTAAAAAAAGCCAAAGAGTCGAATCTCGATTATATCAGTACTCCAACGAGAGTTCTTTTCCCTCCTGAGCCCAAGGATGGTGAGCCCAATCCCGAAGTAGACCCTAAAGACGAGAAGGAAGAGAACCAGAGGAACGTTGTGAAAAACTCTATCGTAAAAATCTCGGCTGCTGGTGATGTAACCCTCGCACTTTCGAAGGAGGGTCATGCCTATTCATGGGGTTACGGGGCATCTGGTCAGGTGTGTACTGCTACTGCGTTAGTTTGATTGGGATTACTAAACGATTTGTTCCCTTCTCTAGCTTGGTTTAGGTGCTGATACAGAGGAGCAACGAACACCATCTCGCGTCCGTTGGAAAGAGACGGACAAGTGGTTTGTTGAGGATATCTCTATTGGTGGTCAGCATGGATTCATTCTCGCATGCGAGCGAGCACTACGGGCGAAGCAACTGGAAGAGTCGCAAGAGGAGGGAGGTGCTAGTCAAATCACCGCCGTCGAAGAAGTCAAACTAAATGGGGTCAATCCTAAGACTGTATCTGCCGTTGTAAATGACCAGCCCCAGGGTGACGATGTCATGGGTGAATCTGAGTAGATTCATCTGTGTGTGTATTGTGTTTCTTGTTACTTCATTTCACGTTATGTTGGACGCAATAATTCTTCTTCCATCCGATCACAACACAGTTGCGACACTATCCTATTACCAACCCAAATCTTGCTTGTCTGTTGTTTCTTATAGCCATGGGATTCGGGACAGCGCTAATTCGTCTCTTCGTTCGTACCAATCAGATGTGCATCATTTGTTGGACTCTGTCTCTTCATTGCGATTGTTCCTCCAACATTTTGGCCTGAAGAGTTCCTATATAAAAGCAGGATCCAAGCTTCCAATGCAGGGAATATGAATCCAACTCCATCTCAATTTGAATAACGGAGGCGCCGCTCCGGCACCCAGGGATCGTGGAACACGTTATAAATCCCCCCTCGACTGTATCACCCTAGGCCCGCGCGCAGTAGTCTTTCTGCCATTCTCAGGTAGTAGCAGATCCTCAGCTTTCTGTACTCATGACTACAGCATACACTGAGGCCTGGGTTTCTGGGCGAGACAACACCAATTTTTATACCAGAGCTTACTCGCTTCCCTATGGCATTAAGCCTGTTGCTCACATCGTCTTCATACACGGTTTCATCGAGCATATTGGACGCTATGACGCTATATTCAGAAGGTGGCAAACCAAAAACGTATCTGTATTTGGGTTTGATCAGCGTGGATGGGGAAGAACTGCACTGGACAAGGAACACAGCAGCTGGAACGCTCTTTATGGTTTGACGACCTGGGAGCACCAAGTGAGTCATGGACTGTTGTTATCCTCGATACAGTAGACTATAATTCCAACTCATAATAGATGGAGGACATCGCGTTCTTCATTAACCGCGAACGTCAGGCGGTCGGTTATGGTGTACCCATATTCTTGATGGGTCAATCAATGGTATGATCCTCATTTCATTAAACGTGGCCTTCACTCTGATCCTCGGATGTGCCTTGTCCCCATTTCAAATATTAATCCGTTGGATGTGTCATAGGGAGGTGGTGAAGTTTTGGGATTTGGCTCTACGAACCCGAAGGAGCGGACCATGGAACACCAGCAGGCACTGTACGAACTAACTGGCATAATCGCCTCCGCGCCTATTATCCGCCAGACGACTCCAGTTCCCACATGGCAGCTCCGCTTGGGCACCATCGTTGCAAAGTTCGTTCCTTGGATTCCATACAAGGCACCTATTCATCCCCAGGTACGTGATATTAGCTCAAAGCGAGGGTATGATTGAAATCATTTTCATTACAGGATCTGTGCCATGATCCTAAAGTCCAAGAGGACTTCGAAAAGGACCCACTCGTCGTTGGACGGGGTACAGTCAAAGGCATCACAGACATGCTGAATCATGGCATTCAACTGGACACGACCGATTACAAGTTCTGGGTCACCGACTTCTCCGTATGGCCATTCCTCACTTCCTGCGCTGACACTCTGATAATGGCTTACTAGATTCTTGTTCTCCATGGTGACGAGGATAAAGTCACCGCTTGGGAAAGTTCGCAAAAGTTCGTCAAGAACGTCTCTGCGAAAGTTAAGCATCACTCGCTCTATCATGTAAGCCTTGTTATCCCGGCCCCTAGAATAGCTAGTTACGCTCACACTGATCGCACGGACCAAACCGCAACTCACGCTGCGCATTATAGGATGGCTATCACGAGCTCCATAACGAACCCGAGCCGGTTAAAACCCGCTTCTTTGAGGAATGTTGGGCTTGGGTTCAAAGTCACAGTTCTCCGACCGGCAAATCCCCCAAATCTCTGGCATGATGAAGCCAATGGAGTTACCCCTCGGTTGGGAGTTTACGGGGAAGGGCACACTGGAAGCGCGTGTTAAACTTGGATGAAATGTAAATAGAGCTATTCGAGCGCTAGAGTTTATATAGTGTTAGGGCGACGTTGAATTTCCGCAGTACTTGAATTTCAGTCGTAGGAATCAATACAACCCTTTTTTCGACAGTTTACACCTGCCTGAAGGAGCTGGGCCTCCTTGGTGTGGCGCGGAATTAATTGCCTGGGATTGCCGCATTACTGCTCTCCAGTCCAGGTATTGAAGCCCCGAGTAGGTCGACGTGTAGGTTAGTCATTTGTTCAGCGAGTTTCATGTGGGCCACTACCGTTACAGACTGCTTCCGTAGATTGGAGTTTGTGTCCTTTTGTTTAACAGCTGTCATGTTTGTTCACCGCGTCGCGGTTAGCCCACAGGTGGAGGGTGTTAAGGGGCAGGGCATAAGGGTTTTCAGGGTTTTTCTTGAGATAGATTGGTCTAATGAAGATGGATTGAATATCATTCGCCTGGGTCTAGTTCACGCCAGGCCGAGTGATCGTGGATTGGACAAATCCAGCAGTGATCTATCGCCTTGAATGTTCGACATAGGACATCTGGGTGGACCCTTCCCTCACCTATGTTCTATTGGAGAATGCAGTCATCTTGAAGGGCCTAAGCCAATGGTCGTGGGGGGAGGCTAAGACTCCAGGAAGTTCATCAGGGACGGTGAAGAAGAGAGGCGGACGTGAATCTCCCACATGGAGACATCTTCATCCGCGGTCAGTTCCTTTTCTTGGGCAGGTTGGCGCAGTTGCCGCAGGTGATGCTGGAATACCCTCTCGGAGTAACTTGACCATCTGTTGGATGGTGTCCTGGCTAATTTTGTGGGTCTCCGAAGAAAGGCATGAAAGTGGACCTCGGGTCCTGTATTTGCTACCCCATTTGGGTTCGCACCAAGGTCGCAGAGGGTAACCACATCGCTGGTGGGTTCATACTTGAGGAGGTCGACCGCGATAAATATTATGGCTCGACCAAGCCAGAAGTGTTTGGCCGCTAAAAGGCGAGGATGTACGGAGTCTAGGCCTTCGACCAGGAATGCCCATGGGGTCCCAGCCTTGCTGTGTTGTTTGGCAAGAGGCTGGTTAACGTTGACTGTTTCTGCTGATTGGGGAAAGGCCCGAGGACCATTTTGTCCTTAGTCGGGTTGTAGCAGGCGTCTAGCGGCAGGGGCAGGGTGGTCTTGGTCTTGGTCTGCCAAACACGGAGGCGGACTTCACGTAGATTCGCAAGAAGCCCTGCAGTGCGGACACCGTGGGCCCGGAAGTTGGCTAGCTCTCCTTCGAGAGTGATGTGGTTGAAGTAATCTTTGCCATCCTATGGGCGGAGAGCGACAGCCATGACAGTGTCAAAGGTGCCAGCCAATATGACTTTTGATCGTGAGGATGGAAGCCCGCCAAGTCATCGCCCTCCCGTACACGACAGCGGTCCTCGGTCCCGATTCTTGGGTATGACAACCAACTAGTACTATGGCGCCCACTGACCATGATCCCACTATTAGTATTGCGAAGGGCGGGCGCTATACATTGAAATTTGAAGACGGATCAAGTTTGGGACTCCACTTGGTTGGGACATCAGGGCCACCCTCCTATTTACTCTGATGCAATCAGCGCTATTCATCAGGAGTAATAAGGGTCAGGGGACTTTCCCACTTGCAGAGTGGCGCACTATGTATGATGAATTTGATTCTGACGGTGTCAGAGTCCACAAGTTATACACAGCCGATTAACATTTAGTACGCCGCGCCGTGCAGTGCCGCCCCAGATCAATCACGCATCTGATGCAATATTCTTTGGCAGCTTGCGCTGTTATTCGCCTAGTTCGTGATGGATTCGGAGCTCGAGATTCACACAGTTAGTACTTGAGTTTGTAAGCTGATTATGTCCATCTGGGCAGCTTTGTCATGGATGATGAAAGTGGGAAGAGTCGAGCAAGGGAACTTAGAGGGAGGAGAAGAAAGCGCCATAGAGAACAGTTTGCATGTACGAAACCCTAAACACGTTGATTAATATTGATGTTGCGGTGCCGAGCTGCAATAATTTAGTGTTCATGACTGTGTCACCTAAACATGTTGCCCTCGCGTCCAACTAAGCATGCGAAATCAGGTCTTTCGCGCAAGAGTTCTATTCACGAACCTGGGTTGCGCGTCGTATGAACAGATATGGTTGCATGTTGCGTTCAATCGCCAGGAGCGAATATGTGCCTAGCTCAACTTACTCCCCCAACTAAGGCTACGCTTCCCAGCCTCGCAGACTCCGTCCCTCCCCTTCTTATGTGCAGCATCATTGGTTCTAGCTCCACTGTTGGTATGGCGTAGGGTCCCGCATCAGTTAAAAATTCTTTCAAGACTTTCTGCCAGGGGTTGCACAAGTCCGAATCTGGCCGGAGTCCCAGTATGATCGCTGTCCACTGGCCCGTCTTTGCATCAACGGAGCAAGTAGAGAGTAGCTGTGACATGCGCACTCCTGATAACTCTCTACAGTATTCTAGCTGGAAGTTCGCGCTTGGAAGGATTGGCTTGAACTCGCTGTCCGGACGACTCTCGCAATCAGTGAATCATCCATTTATCACCATCGGATTCTCGTGCTTCTACTCACCAATCGGATTCACATCGTTTGCCATATACCCCTGTCTCTTCATTGCGACCGGTATCTAACTCCGCTGCTACTCCGGTAGCAGGAAGTCTCTGGCCGATGTATATTTGGCAGTCACGGACTGACAGATGAAATTGAGCGCGAAAGCCAAAACGGGCTATTTCGAAATTTGCTGGACCAAGTTTAATGTCGGAGGCGTCGTTCCAACGCACTGAAGGGACTTCCAATTTCCAATGAAGGGATTCCTGCCCCGTTATTCGGATTCGGATACTAGGCAGGTTACCAGCCTCTATTAGAATTCTTCCTACATTCTACACGTTCTATAGTTTGCCGCTGAAACCGAACATCCCTCGCTTGCTGCAGGCGTGAATACAGCATGCGTTGGAGCCTGGGTCCTGGGACAAGACAGCATCTATTTATACACTAAAAGTTACTTGCTTCCCTATGGAGCTAAGCCTCGCCCTCACATCGTCTTCATACACGGTTTCGTTGAGCATATCCGGCACTCATTCTTGCGTTTGACATGAAAGACTGAAATAGATGGAGGGCATTGTGTACTTCATTAATCGCGAACGTCAGACAAAAAAGTTGGCTATGGTGTACTACTCATATTCTTGATAGGCCAATCAATGCATGGTATAAACAGCGCTGCGTGCGTGAAACGTCATTCGTCATCTGTGGGCGTGCTTTGTCCTCCATGCCATAGGCACATAGTCAGGTCACCAACTTGCAGTATCATAACCTCAGGGCTCGCAGCTCGCCAGCCGACTCAAGGCCCTCAATGGCCAGTTCTTCAGGCTAGCATAGCTGCAAAGTTTGTCCCTCAGTTTCCATGACATGCACCTCTCCGCGGGAAGGCGCATCGCATCAGTATGGATTGCGGCATGCGCACATCGAACGAAGGATTTGCTCTGATATTTGGTGTCACCAAAATTGTAGGACCAGTGTTACGATCCTGTCGTACTTGAGCAACCCAAGCACGATCCACTTGAGACATGATCAAAGGCGTCACAGGCGCCGCGCTGAACCATGGCATTCGACCAGATACAACTGATTACAAGTCTTGAAGTTCCTGAGTAGGCCGTTCTCTTCGTTCGTTAGCATGCACTGACAATCTCATGACAATCGCACAGGATTCCTGTTCTCCATGACGGAAGTTGGTCAAAAATGTCCCCACGAGGGACAAACACCACTCGCTTTTTCCTGTGTCTTCCGTATCGTCAGTTACGTCCATACTGATTGAATGGATCCCAAAACAAAAAATGCGACTCGCGCTGCATTTCACAGGGTGGTTATCACGAACTTCATAACGAACCAGAGCCAGCTAGAACCCAATTCTTTGAAGAATGCTGGACTTGGGTTCAGAATCACACTCCGACCAGCAAATCTGCCGCGTGGGAAGCCCCTTTATCGTAGCTATTCCTCGATTGGGGGTGAGAGTTGGAATGGGTGAGGCGTGGAGGTCGGAAGTCCTAATGGAGCGGCAGTAGGATGAGGCCAAGCACCTTGGAAGTTGAATGTTATACATATCTCGCATGTAAAAATTCATCTGTTTGGAGATCGGGGCTCACAGTCTGGACGGGAGTGGAGACCCATCAGAGAAGACCTGAATTTGGTATTTTGAACAAGGCTTTGATGCACGGACCCTACGTCAATATGCCGGCCTTCTTCTGTGTATCGCCGCACATGGACCGTGTAGGTATGGCGAGGTAGAAGGCGCAGAACGAACGTTATGGATATCCGCTTCACCGCCTTGGAAGTGGAAACCGACCGCGCCTTCCTGATCATGTGTGCATGGAACGAGAGGGGACAGGGGTTGGAATCATTGGTCGGGACATCATCAACCCCTTTCTAGTCTGTTAGACCGGATATGTGAGCATGTCGCAAACTCAACGAAGTTCAATGCGAGCAAGGCTAGGGAGATTTGATTGAGGATGTATTTCAAGCGATAGAAACGGTGTCACATTCTTGATTCATATATAGCTAAAACTGGCAAACTGTCTTGTGGTACTGTCCTAAGATCTCCCGGGGATATGATCGATCATCCATTTGATGCATTCATTGACAGCTTGGAGTCCTTGACCGTCCGGCTCGTGGTGGAGTTCGTGATACGCACCCTAGCAATTAAGTTTTTGGGGTCGTGGCCTATCAGCATGCTTCTGTAGACTAGTAGTGGTTATGATAGTGGGCAGGAGGCAGGGGGAGGGAGGATGGGAGGAGGGAGCAGGAAGGGGGGAGGGAACGCACTGGGTATGGAGAACAGGTTGCATCCGCAGCTTCAGTATCGCGCACAAAATCCTGAGAGGCTTTGCATGAGTTAATCTGTATATAATTAAAAATTGTAGCCGGACGGGAGGCCGTGCCATCGTTATATGGATGATCGCTTGATATAAACTTGATTTACACACAAGGTCACCATCGCCATGTACAATTAGGAGCTGACAAATGATAAAGCTGCTGAGCCTTGCCCCGACTAGGTACCGGCTAGACGGAGGTACGAACTGGGAGGTTTTTTGGCCAGTTTTTGAAATTTTCTTTGGCGAGGGCTGAGCCCTAAACGTGGGAGGAATGCCTCAGCCACAGTCTCATGGCATGGCGCCTGGGACGTACGGAAGAAAGGGTGTCATTTCGCAGTTGCCGGGTGGTATAGTTGTGAAGGAGAGGGTCAGTTTTGAATGCCTCGATTATGGTAGGGTTTCGTGATTGCCACTAATCCCAGCGTGGTAAGTCCCTCCCTCACCACGAATATGGGAAATTCAATGCTCGGCGTAGACACACCTTTCCAGCATCCCTCAGAGGAATGGGAACAACTTCATATGGATCCTCCGGTGTATCGTCACTGGGATCCCCGGGCTCTCGGGGTTCTTCTTCCCATGCGTCAGGGTTTGCAACTAAAAGCATCGGTCCCTCAGCTATCACTCCGCTAATACGATTCACCACATGATGACGGAGAGGTGGTGTTGCCACGATGCCCAAAACCTCCGTGCCACCCTATTCCAGATTTTTACTAATATTACAACCGGGAGAAGGCGCATCAAAGAAATACTCGCCATTGAGAAACCCATCAGGAAGATGGGTAGATTATGGCCGACTCTGGTAGACTCATAACCGATAAAGAATTCAAGGTCTTCAACTTGGTCCTTCCAGCATGATCGACACCAAGACGACGTGGCACTCTTATGTTCTTCATCGAGTGCGGTCCTCCCAAAACCTCTCTGATCATAAGCAAAAACTGAGACCCCATTATTGACCCACAAAGGGAAGATGTCCTCATAGCGGCCCACGTGTTCTCCAAACCCGTGAACATAAATCAAATGAGCTCTCGATTCGCCACTCGCAGAAGTCCAGAGCTGAGTGTAAAAAGCTGTGGCCGGGGGCCCACAATCCATTCTTGATGTACAGGCATACCAAGACGGTTGATTATTCGTTTTCTGCAAGAGTAAGATCAATCAAGATGAGTATTCCGGAGTACCTGTGATCGTAGAACGACTGAATTATGAGCCAGCCACCGCATGGCATTTATTTCAGTGGCATGTCCTAAACTGTGGGAACAAGTCCTCATCGCCAGAGAAGACAAGATATAGATCCATCAAGTGATTTCCTGGCATATATTGGACGGCTACTGTGCACCGCGATCTCACGAAAGTGCGCGGCAAGGGATGCAGCCGAATCTGGACTTCTCTTGTGGCTCATCGTTCAGTCGTGGCCAAACTAAGAAAACGAAAACGAATATAATTCTCGATGAGGCTGTGCTGTCGCCTCAACGCGTTTGGAATATTCGATTAGAATGATGACGACGAACAACTTTCTGACCGTCCCCCATCCTAGTCCAGCACCTGAGCCCGAGGCTTCAGCGACTTCTTCCACGTTGACACTTAGAGATGACCGTCTTTACGTGGGGAATCTGCACCCTAGTGTGAACGAGTTAGTAAATACCTAGTTTGGACCACTCGCTCGGCCAGCCACTGACGATAATTAGATATGCTTTGCTACAGGTTTTCTCCAAGTGCGGGAAGGTGACGAGACTGGATTATCTCTTTCATAAATCTGGCCCCCAGAAAGGTAAACCTCGGGGATATGCTTTCTTGGAGTACGGCACTGCAGAGGTTGGTAAACAAAGTCTTTCTTCTCGCGAATGTTTCAATGGACCGTGTTCAACTGTCTTCTCAAGGAGGCACGGAAAGCAATAGCAGCTTTCAACGATAAAATCGTCCAGGGGAGGAAGCTTGTTGTGACCTTCGCTACCCAATCTCCTTATGCGGACGTTGCTTCATCATCACGCAGTGGATCACGACGAACGCCTTCCGAGGCTTCTCGTCCAACAACCTTATCCCTCATTAAGTCCTCTTCGAAGCCAGAAACGACAGAGTCCAAAATCGCCGCTCTCGAAGCCAAGCTCAAACAGCTAAGAGCCCCACCAACCCCCGCAGGCGAGAAGCCAACAGGTCTAGCTGCACTACCCAAGAAGCCTCCACCGCCCACCCATGGGCAATAAGGACACTACGATTTCTTTTCTTGTATCCCCCAGCCCGAAGCGGACTTGTTGTCATGATATCCATTGTAATCCATAACTCCATTAATCCATCATATTTACATCAGACCGATACATGAATAATCGCAACAACGAAGGATGGCCCCAAATATCGAACAGATTATGTATATGATTGCGATAGCACACATTCTTACCACTCCAGTTTGATTCGTTTCCAGAATTGCCACCACTTTGGCTTTTTCTTCTTTTTCTTTGGCTGCTCTACCACTACCTCTTCGGGGGGTGGTTCCTTGATAACGACAGTCTCGACTGGAGGGGAGGACGTTGAAGGGATGGAGGTTGGAATTGAGGATGTAGCCCGCTTAGGAGTCGGTCCCGTCCACAATGCAGGCGATCTGAAGAAGGCAGAATGTATCCGAATCAGTGATACAATTCCCAAATTTGACAAAGTTACGATATCCGCCGCACTTGATTTGAATAATGTTCGTAGTCTTGAGCAGTTCTCTTTTGAGCTTCTCTAGCGGCACATTCATCCGCAATTGGATGGAAGGTGGTATTGTCAGCAGTTTGCGCCAAATTGCCATGGAGGAGTAAGAGTTAGAAACGAGAAATACGAAAACAACAGTGGTTGTAGTAGGGTCACTAATGAGGGCACCTTTGAGGTTGTGGTTGTGATGATCCGGGGCGAGAGCTAACGTACTAAGAGGCGATTGATTCTTGTAACGTGCGGTCGTGGGTTCTTTGTGCCTGATCGAACGGAAGCCAGTCGAAAACAGGGTCTTCGGGGTGACTCCGAGACACATATCCGGCGTTCGAAACCACGGCCCCGCGCTTCTTGGTTTTGAGGAATTTCTCCATCTATTTCTCTGAAAGATAAATCCACATCGCCTCCAAACTCATGAAACAAGCTCACACCAAATTTTGCCAAGGACCATGCTTTCCGATCTATCCAGTCGAGTAAATATGTTACTCTCTCGTCATGTTCTGGTTCCATCGTCCAGAGAATGCGTTCTGAACTGTATTTTGTGTATTATCAGCGGGATGTCTCGTTCTAACGATCCGCAGCTCGACATACGCTGGGCGGTGCTTCCCGAACAGCGGTCTAGTAGCATCGATTATTCCCGCGCCACGGCCGTCGATGATTCTCGCATCGTGTGGCGGAACACCGGGGGGTATAGCAGCGTTTAGGACTTTAGATGGGAGGGCGGCAGCCAATGTGAGCGTTCGTGACATAGGATGGTCGGACTTCTTAACTTGAGGTTGTTCTTTCGCAGCACTAACATTAGGCGCTGTTGAAGAAGCAATCGGGATTCCGGGGGCATTGGATGGCCCAGCAGCTGTGTGGTATTCCTGAGTGAGAATAGCGCCAGGAAGAGGTCGATACGAATTCCGTTGTCCTTGTGCCTTCAATGCAGCATGAGGACCTGGAGAGTTGGTGAAGCGCGCTGCTGCTTTAGAGACAGGTGGCGGACCCCAAGAGGTACTTCGTGAGCCTGAATCATATATAGAGCCACCCCCAACACCGGTTCCAACATTCGCGGTCCCGGCGAGGCGTGATGATTGATTATTTCTGATCTCTTCCTCCCAAGTTGATCCAACGGTACCACCCCATAAAGCTTCAAAAACCATGAGAACGAGATACACCAGCATGCTTAAAATCGCTTACCCATCGATTCTGGGTCGTCTCTGGCTTTGTTTTTCTTTGGAGGCATACCAACCTCGTGTTGGTCCTGTTGATGTTTATGTACCACTTGTTTACATCGGAGACGCGTTAAGAGATTTGAATTCGCCGCAGTTGAATCTTCCTAGGTCTGTTCTGACTTGCAGAAAATCTCTGAGGGCTTGGGTACCTAAGAGCTGCTCCACTGGACGTATCTGGAGCGTTCCATCGCACTGGGACCCAAAATACTATGGGAGCTAGGCTCGACAATTATCATTGGTGCAGCGTGAAAAGTTTTACAGGACTGGACACTATGCTATCCACTGCTGCTATTGGTTATGCCAATCTATTTATCTCTACTGATATTTATTTCTGTGCGAGTTGCTTTTGTGAAATTCTCAGGCTGTTTTTGTCCGTGGGGCTGTCTGCAGTTATCACAGGCGACAGTACTGCTCTCAATTGGCTGTACATGCATACAGCCCTTATCTCAGGACTCAAAACAACACTGCACATAGTTACTTATTCGGCTACTTAGACGGTTCACTCATTCAGTGTCTCTGACATAGTGGATGAAACCTTGTTTTTAGTTCCGACATTACTGCCACGGTGTTCATCTTTATCGGGCTATCTGGTCCTGAGATGCCTTGTTCATGGAGGAAAAGAGCTGAATCCGAGTGTGCTTGGTAATTGGCCGAGCCTTGCGGGGGATATTTGTATCATTACTAAGTGCAACCGAGAATGGTCCGCCATTCGGGTTTCGGGCATCTCCCCCTGGAGGATCCCGTGAGTTCCAGCCGGCAACGCGCACACATCTGAACCATCCCTCACCTTATTGCATTTCAGCTGATCAGTGCCATAACTTCCAAGTCAAGCATCATCGCGATCTTTTACATGATGGGAAACGATCGCCGCTGGTCTCAAGGGAAATAAATGGCCGTCCCGGGGACGCTTTTGCGCGCGGACTCTTATATTATGGAAAGATCCTTTTTTTCGGCATGAACTTTGGGGGATCACTGAACTTCAGGGCCAGGGGCTGGGGGGCTCGCCGACTGATCATTTTACACTGCAGGGTGACTCAGCCCACGGACGCGGAAAGATCTGATGTTTGAGGTGTCCTGTTCAGTCCTGTGATGATGATCCTGTTCAAATGGGGCGGCATGATGTCCCCGGGGTAATGTATTATGCGCCTTTCGGGTGTCTTGATTTGAACGCTCTAAGCGAAGGGACGACCAATCACTATCCTCCCCTCGCGACTTGACCAAAAAATCTCAACCTCGACTCCGTTTGCCGCCGGGCAAGCAGTTTGGCTCCATATGTGCTTATGAACAAAGGAAGCGCGCAGAGTGTCAACCTTGACGAGCGGGAGATCGGCCTTCTATATAAATGGTGAGTCTACTCCGTCTCTGTTCCCATCCCTAGGGACTACTGGGTCACTGGATCCAGACACACGCCCACACATATATATATACAAGCCCTCTGATTTCTTTAGAATGCACCTATTTCCGGCCACCTTCTTTGCCTCACCATGTCCTGGAACGACCATTACCGCGATTATCGCAAGGATGAGTTTGTGAGAGAGGAATGTGATCCACTTGTCAGTGTTTCTAGTTTGTTATAGTACGAGTAGTCTCATACGACACGGATCTAGGTGTCAACACGCCTACCACCTATAACATATTGCCAGGCAGGAGCCGAATTGCCTTTAGATCAACATCAGGTCAGTACGCGCTGCGCGATCTGAGAGTGTTCGTCGTCTAATGTTGTGTGAAGGGAGGAAGCTCAGTTCAGCGGAAGTCGCTTTTTGGACTCAGTCCGATCTTGTCAAACGACGACTATTCCGGTCCTTTTGCGAAAGGGCAGGAGGGCAGGAGACAGCCCATTATCTTGCCGTTGCCTACGCCATCAGTGCACCATCGTGGACCTCAACCAAACCTCCCAAACCCACACATACCTTCACAGTACCCTCGGGCTCGGCATTCCCTCGAAGCCATCAACCCCATGTCGTTGCATCACGAGGCAATATATCATTCACAGCCTGGCGTCGCATGCCCACGCCCCTTCCCACCCGAGATGGAGACACCGCCATACGCATATCAGCGAAGACTCTCTGACGACCTCTCAAGTCAATCTAGCACTCCGACTTCCCAATCTGCCGATCTGCCAGCGAATGTTTCTAACCTTCGCACGTGCAAACAGTGCGGACAGCCAGGCCGATATGTGGACGGCAAATGCATTGAAAAATGGGGCAAGGGCCCGCTCGGACGCGGGTCCATATGCGATCGGTGGTTCCTTTCTCCTTGTACGGCAATACAGCCGACGTATTTCATTTTTTATGCAGGTGTAGGAAGAAAAATAAACGAATGGAGAAACTGGCCGAACTCGAGAGAAGGAACCACGAAAATCAGAAGCGGATGCAGTCACAAGCCAATTCAGCTGTTGGCAGTTCAATATCCTAAGTTGCGTCGTCCATTATTTGCCCATTAGGCTATGGGTGTCTCTTGTATGCAGGAACAGGGAATGCTGTATTCTAGCGCACCTTTATAATCAGGCTCCACGTTTCCAGTGGCGTGCTGTCTCGTGAGAGAGTTCTATCTTTTTAATACTTTGTCTGCATCAATGATACCCTACAAATGGTACTAAATTGACTGTAATGCTCTTTTCCCAGCAGCTGCCGTGATGAGAGCGAGAACGGCTCCATAAGACAGCACTTGTCCGATTCGTAGGTCAACCCAATACCAAACAATCAAAGCCTCAAACACTGCAAGAAGGAAAATGAAAGGTGCAGTAGAAGTGCTTGGTTTGAAGTGAAGTGGCAGATGGGAGAGCTGCAGACAGTTCTTACTCAGTGTAATGCTCAGTGACTTTATTTAGAGAAGCTTACCAATGTGCAAAGAAGGATCCAAGGACTCAGTGCGAGGGCAACAAATATTAGCGAAATAGCCGCCGGGGGAGTGCGTTGCTCCGCTCTGAATGTGTGATAAAGAGGGCGGCGCGAATGATACATACTTTCTTCGGGATGAGGGGGGACTGCCAAAGAAGCAGGGAGTTTGAGCTTGAACAGTGGTATGGTGGCCGGGGCTCGCGTGAATGATCCCAGTATAAGGTCAACGTTGAGAACCATTCCCCTTACTGTCGGAGGAATTCCCGGTGGGGGGCGACGAGCATTCTGAGAATCCAGTGACTTTGTCAAAATAAATTCGAAGGGCACGGTGGCGGATGACCCTCACAAGTTCAAATTTTCCTTTCCCGTTGGCCCCCACTTTCACGGGTTGGATACCTTCCGAGCCGTCTTCGGCCCAGAAGCGCAGGAATGCTTGGTGGGGTTGGACGCCTGCATCCCCTTCTTCATCATCAATAACGGTAAAACTAAGCTTCAATATCCCTGTGGGCCCAGTGGTAATGGTAAGGCCTGGGTCCTGCTGTAGGTCGAGGCTGGAAAAGGAGCCAGATCAACACGTCGAAGCCTGACTGGGGGTATTCCTTACGAATTTGCAGACACAACTGAGTCTGTGTCCGAGAGTATCGAATACTTTGGCGACTCGACCGCAAGTTTGGCACTGACAGCACTCGAAAAACATAGAAGGAGCAACGCGGCGGCAAGTCTGGCCATGGCCACTCTGATATGCTGGCAGCGAAGAATCTGGGAAGGTCACATGATATGGCGACAAATTTTGATGTTCGTTATGCCAACTCTTCGGCCGCCTTCCTTGGGCGAAAATTCGGACAGCGCAACATTTATCCATGAGCTAGTTGCCGATCCCTAGAAACACAAGCCCACATATATCTATTCTACAAGAGGCTGCTTCAGCTACTGACAAACCTCGCGTGACTACGCCGGTTCAACCCTATCATGAGGTGGAACAACGCTGCAGCCCTTGACTTCACAAGACACGGTTCCCGGCAGACCCTTTAAATTAGCCGGCTGCAGCTAATGTTGTATAATAGCAGGCTCGTTCAACCCATTGTTGTCAACACAAGCGACAATAAGCTCGGTATCTTCCGGTCACTCCCGTAATTGGTTTCATTGTTGGTTGCTCTGGATTGTCTCTTGCTCTTCTTGTTTGCACTTCTGGATCACAAGTTAACAAAAGACCTACGACAACGTATCTCTCTGACAATGGGTACTTAAACTGCGCTTGCTGGTGCAGTGGGTTGACTCTACCGCCCTTTCACCGCTTCCACAAGTTTGATTTCTTGGGCGCACCTCCTTTTGTGGGCCGGATCCACGACCCCTTTACGACCACTGACTATAACTTGACCTGCAGCGCAGTGTCTCATATATATATTGCTTTGCTCGTCTCCATCATGCCAGCTTCGCCTGCTCCGATAGCATTCCGATTCCTCTGGACTCGAACATATTCCCCGTTGACTCTAGGAACAGAGTGGTCCTTCCATTGCCTGTGTTGAGCGAGCATAAGTTAAATATTTCCCTTCCTACTGTACCAGCAGTCCCTCGGGTTTCCCATCCGTCTAAACGCTCGATCTGCACGAATATGAGAACAGTAAGTTGACTGATTAGCCCAACCGCCTTCTAACTTCTTAACCCCTATTAGAAAAGTAATGCTCCCTCACGATCGGCAGTAGGCCACCAACGAAACGTCTCCAATTCTAGTTACTCGAGCACGAACTCTGCCATGTCTTTCGCATTCGATTCGGATGATAACACACAATACTCTGCTCCAACAACCCCTTCCTCCTCCAGATCCTCATCGCCATGCCAAAATGAATCGACCTTCTTCCGTCTCATTCGGCGCGACGAACCATTTCCACCTAACTTCGGTCTGTCAGATATAACAGCTGAGGACGCTCTTGTATTTTACCCCAATACAGAGTCCTCATCACGGGCTATTCTGTTACTTGGACCTGCAATTGCTCGACATCTGCACATGCAAAAACATTCCCTGAAACAAGTTGACGGCTCAGGGAACTATCGCACCCATCGCTATCGGATCACTCCTGGACGCCATGCCTCCATGTGTCGTGACGCTGATCGAGCCATGCTTCTGTCATTAAAGAAACAACTGGATAAGGCCAAAAGGGAGGATCGAACCGCTTGGAACACATGGGCAACGGGCGGGCCATTGGATTGGAAGGTATCGAAGTCGTGGGAGCAACGGAGGCGTTTCGGGATGAATCGGACCATGATGACTGAGTCGCCATCATGGCGCGCTGACTGACTCCGTATTTTTCATTCGTATTCTTGCTACTTTGTTACTATTCATCAGTATCTAACAGCTGAATCACAGTACCTACTGAGTCGAAGTTCTCACGGGTCTCGTTGTAATGTATGCAGTTATCCATGTCTACACTTCAGCACTTTTTGCTGCAGCCAAAAGTGTTTGCTTTGTATCGTGCCGCTATTCGCGCCTCTAGGTGTAAGTTAAAGTACTGGCAAAGCCGCATAGTCCCCGAAATCTCAACATAAAGTTGTCAATGGGTCGACATATGTACGTGTACGTGTACTTTCTGGTCGCGCAATGCTCCAACGACCTTGGCAACCGGTAGCCATACCCGATCCCGCCGTCCGGCGTGAAACTATTGCGTGGGTGCGCTCGGAATTTGAGCGGAACAGGGGTGTACAGAATACGGTACAAGTCACTGATTCCTTGTTCCTATGGTTCTAACGGCTAATGACGTCGGGTTTCTATTGGCAGGAGAGGATCAAGGATCTGATAAGATCGGGGAGGCGAGAAATGGCCATGTATCTGCCAGGAATCCGAGTGAAGTGACATCTTGCTGTTGGTATGTAGGTCAAGAGCATGTTGCATCTGGCCACTGTGGCACGCCAACGATCCTCCTGGAGACGTTCGTTAGCTTTACTCGCTCTCAACTTCAATCAAACCAAGTCCTCAGGGAAGAATATCCTTGTCTCATACTGTCGCAATCTTCCGGGACCTAACGATGAGCCTTTTCGCCATATCAACGTCACTTCTAGATGATGTTCCAAGACAACCGTTACAACACCATTACCTAGCACACATGGCCACAAAAATATGAAAATTCTTAAGTCATCTTGACAACCTTCGATCCATCGACCAAGCCGTCTAGCCGTTTCGCTGATATTATACCATCCACTAACCGTGATGGCGATAGCAACTCATCCCACCAGCCGAAGAGGAAGTCGCGAGCGATGAGTTTGAACCATGGCGTAAACGAGTTCGCTACAAAACAGCACAATACGCGGGGTTTTCTGACGTCAAAAGTGAATAAAGTCCTGGGAAATGCAAGGCCTACCCGGATCTTCGAACATCGCTTTCAACTCATCTTTTGAAACGTATCTGTAGTCTCGAATTTCATTGGGGTTTGGGGTAACCGTTACGTCGCCGGTGAAGAAAAGGATGTAGTCAACTAACAGCACACCGGGTGTACTCAATAATAGTCGGAACGAGATGACGGAAAGACTCTTACTTTCATGTTCACCCCACACACCATTGGAAGGTGCAAGGTAGTGAATTTTTGTTAGATATTGGAAGTCATTGATAGGAGTCTGGGACTGCGGAATACCCAGCTCGTGCTCCAATTTCCTCGATGCGGCGATTCGAACGCCAACTTGACCCTTTTCTACTTTCTCCTGTTCAAAATCTTCAAGCGGATGTGAGCAACATGTGTTGGTCCACATGTCAGGGAACGTAATTTTCTCGGTCGCCCGTTGCTGCAGAAGAAGTCTACCATCGGATGGCCGAAAAATGAATGCAGAGAATGCGCGATGCAAGAGGCCCCTGTTAATGTTCGCCATGAGATGACCTGAGTGAATGTGTGCCGAAAGTTTGTCAATGATAATGGACACCTATTAGTTGGTAACTAACATGTCTTCTTGTCTAGAGCCCCAATTGCTTTGTCGTTCTCATCGACAACAATACATCGCTCGTCCATTAGTTTGGACTGAGTTTTGTCATACCCACTGAGGTCAATGGAAGCGAAAGCTTCGGCAGCCGTGTCGGTCAACACCGTGCTGGTGGTTGTCATGGTCTTCCCCGGTGTAGTAAATGAAAATGAAATGCAGGGAGAGCGACGTAGACGAGACGCCCGCGGAGTCCAGAGGAGTCCTGGACGACAACAAAGAATTGAAATGTTACGATGGAAGAACATACGATCCAAAGTTTTTCCCACGGCTGTAAACTGGACCCTGGTGACAGGTTTTCCATAATAGGTGTTCTAGTCATAGTGGTATGCACGCACAGATAATTTTAAGCTGGAAATTTGGCGCTATATATATGGAACTGTGCACCATTGGGTGACTGAATTAAATTTCAAGGCTTGACTACACGTCCGAAGCCCCATAATTCGAGAGTTAGTGCCTGCTCAGAGGCTGACGACCACAACCACCGACGTGACGTGCTGTCCATATCTTATTTCACTCAGCCGTGTAGCCGATTTCGCGAACGATTGGCCACTGTCGTACGGAGATGTCAGGGTAGTACTTACTAGACTTCGCTCCACAATCCCCAGCCACTCCCGGACGACAGCACCGTTCGGCCCCATATTATACCAATTTCAGGCAATAAACGCGTACTACGTGGCATACACCATGACGATTTGGACCCATTCAAATATTTTCGAAATCCATTTGATCGTTGTTACTCACTAAACACTCTTTAGAATCATCTAAAGAAACAATGAAGAGAAGAGGGCTGAAGCTATCTCACTCCAATTCTATATTGGATCACCCAGGGGGGGATCCGATTTCACTCCAAGATCAGGTAACGACGAGCGTCAATCAATAAAAATCCACACAAGTCAAAAATTTTGTGGGAAACGCGTCACGAAAACCCAACAGGTTCAGGAGCAAAACTTCCTGCTCTAGAGTGCTAGAACGCTTGTTGGGTTTTCATCCCAGCTTGCCCTTATTCCTCCTTGACAGTATCCTCCTGCCACAACTTGCGGAATCAATATCATGGAGCTATTAGTTGGGTACAAGTGAACAGTGACAGGGGTACGTAGGGCTCAGATTTCAATTTTATGCACTGATTATCATCGCATATCCGTCAGCACACATGATCACGCGCAGCGTCTTGAACAGCTAGAAAGGAATTATCATCCCGGGTGGGCCAGTATCGAGCGTCCAAGTCGCCAATGAGAATGAATGCAGAAACCCCTAAACTGGGGTCGGCATCCACGCTCCAAGTCTTGAAATGGATCGGCGGTGCAGGAGGATGTGCTCGTAGCAGAACCTTCCAAACCTTATGTTCCAACGTTCAATGAGGACTTCGCAGTGATGATCTCTAATATGGATATGTGCAAATTCCCTTCATTGGAAACCCCCTGTTGATGCTTTGGACTCCGGATTTGCATGCACCGTTCCCGGAGTATTGGGGGGCGCGGTATGGTGAGTTGGATCGACCCTAGGTCGTTTCATGAAAGTGAAAAATGCTTTGTACGCAGTGGGGAGCAAGAATTTCTCATGCGAATGAAGGTCTCTTCCTCATGTTATGCTTCGGATGAATGGGGTTCGACTGGATATCAACATAGAAACCCAACGCAGCACATGCAGTGTAATGCAGAATGGAGAATGCTTAGCAGATGAACTATTCCATTATAATCCGACGGAGACCAATCTACCGATCTACCAAAGAGTTTGCGACGGCCGGCCCCCCTCAGACAGAGCAACAAGAGTCCGTTGAACCAAAGACAAGACCTCCAAGAGGCTCAAGACACACGAAGCTCGCGTGGAAAGTCGACTCGAAGGGCTCGAAGATGCGTTGGGTCCAAGACAAGTCATTTCATACATAGAGCAACTGTACAACTGGCTAAAAGGACCGTTCGCCTCTCATCTAAATCATGATCGCTGCAAAAGTGCCCCAACCAGCCATCACAATGCAAAGGGCCAGTAACACATAATCGAAGCATCTTTCCCAGAATGACGTTTCAAATATGGAGAGTTTTGCCGCAAGCGGACCGATGATGCACAGAGTGAACGCGCTGAAGGCTCCGAGGATGCTCAAGACGACGCCAAAATGAGGGACGGCAATGGCAACGGCAACTATACTTATCGTGAGTGCTAAAGGGGGTCATCAGACCAGCCAAAAAGTGGACTCAATGCTTGAGAAAAGACAACGAACCTGTCCGTTCCAGGGCCGTCAAGAAGGCAGGCGCCGTGATCAAACCAAACAACCTGGAAAGAGGGCCCTTATAGAAACCTTCAGTATCTGAAGACAGGAGAGCGTTTTCTGGATCCGAGTTTGAGGAAACCAAGTGACGGCCTGGAGAGCTCTCCAGACTGAATAAAGATTCCAGAGTCAAGCTCAGCGGACGCGAACTCAGGGAGAACTTCATTCTGAACCACGATATGTAAGTGAGACAGGCTGGTTCAGAGAGTCTGGACAAGTGGAAACTTACATAGGACTGACAACAAGCATCCAGGCACCGATCTTTGCCAAGGCCTCATTGTAACCCTGTGTCTGCAAAAGATCTCGACTGATCTGAGTTCACAGAAATCGTCAGAAGGAATCGACGGGAAAGACATCCAACAAACCTCATCTGTGACTGTCCTTCCAAACATAAGATAACCGCAAACACCTATAATCCCGTAGATAACGGTAGTCACAACCTGATTTGGTACAAATGCGCAAGGTTCGACAGATCAACGGAACCAAATCTGTCAGGCCACTCACAAACGCGGTGTTGATCATCCTTTCAAAACGTTCAGGCTCTCGCATATCTTGCGCTATAGATGGTACAACAGCATGTCCAGCAAACTTGAAACAATAAAGTGAGCCCGACGATAACAACGAGGGGATATGTCATAGTATGTTCTAGAGCGGAAGTACTTACTCCTGCCATGAACAAGCCAAAACTAAGTCCTAGTTGCATTGAGGAGACCGGCCAGACGTCCGTCGGAGCAAACTCGAACAAACTTCCGGGAGTATCATACTTGGAAAGTCCATCGATGACCACGACAACGATTACGAACAACGTAGCGACGACTGAAAGCAAGGATGCATAAGAGATGACCGATAGCGGGAGGAATGCAGATGGAACGAGGATGAATAGACTGAGGATCTTGTAGGTGTTGGCGGGGAAATAAGGGTAGAGGCATGGATTGAATCGGCATACAGAACGACAAGAACCACGCTGCCAAGAAGCTCGGTCTTTAGTCATATTTCAATGCTCTCAGCGGTTGGGTATACCTGACAGTAAAGAGTTCGACGAAGAACAATGTCGAAGTTATGACAGCTGAACGAGGTCCAAAGGCTTTCTTTCCACAGTCCGCGTATGTTTTCAGTCTACGATCTTCAACGATCATTCGTCCGAGTATCTTGGCAGTCTGGGGAAGGGAAGAAGTCCAAAAATTTGATCGCGATGGTTCAACATGAAACATTAGAAATGAAAATAAACTCACGTAACACGCAAGAGCTCCGTATCCGATCGTAAGGAGGGTTCCCATTACCCAACCAGCTTGTGCGAATGCATATGGCTCAGATAATATTCCCACACCTAAGAGAACCGCAGTAGAATTGAAAAGCTAAAGCAAATGGGCGTGTCAGTTTCATGTAAGTTCAGGCAGAGGGAAAGGTAGAATAACCCACGGATTGATTATACGTGCTTCCTGCACTCGAGTCAACTTTTCTTTCTCTTAATGAAACACTGTTTTGACGCCGAAGGGTCCCATGACTATGACTCTTTCTGCGACCAGAAGTCGTAGTCTCCGACAATCTTGACGCGTTTGGGGGTGAAGAAACAGGAAGTGTATTTTGAAACTGAATGGAGGACCGACGCAACAATAACGGCGACCTTTCAGTGACTTCTGTTGCCGATTGGAGATCCGGTTGCGGCTGAGTGAGGTACACCGAAGGACCAGAGTCAACGGGTAAAGATGAGTAGCGAGTCCCTTCGTATGTCACTGGGATTAGACCCGGCCCGGTGTGGCGTGAAGAGGCAGGCGAAACAAGCACGCCCGCTGTTTGACTTGGATGGTCGTAACCTGGAACTTGAAGTTGAGGGAAAAAGTCCAGAACATCATGGTCGTCTTCTATACCAGGCTCAGAGTCGTTGACTTCTTCGACATCGTTATCTTCTTCATCATTGGAATCACACTCGTCATCATTCTGACGTTGATGATGGAGTGGCGACCCAGAGATAAAAGATTGGGATCGTCCATCTAGGCATCGAAGTGAACCCTTGTGACATTTTCAGGAATGACTTACTTACAAGATAGTAAACCTTCCACGACAGTAGCTCTCGTCGATCTGAAGGACGATGGGATGTCCATGGTTGTAATGAAGAGGGTCGTGTGACTCTAATTCAAATACGCAGGTTTCCTAAACCCTAATCTTTTATCATCGGCACCGACCTTTCCGGCAACCGCCATGTCGACAAACACAAGCGCAGCAACGACATCGACGACGCGACCTGTTGTCTTCATGGATATCCATATCGGGGAGACGGCGGCTGGCCGCATGAAAATGGAGCTCTTCAGTGATATAGCTCCAAAGTGAGGATCGCTAGTTTGATCGCTCCTAGGGGCAACGTTGAGAGATCGGCGCGCTCAACCACCGTTTCCTCCTCTCTTTTGATATAGAACTGCGGAGAACTTCCGTCAGCTCTGCACCGGTGAACATCGGTGAGTCCGACCTGCTTCTCGATGCCGTGTGGTACGAAATTGGAGGGACGGTCCGTTTTTCCCCTTCAGAGTCAACTCGCGTCCCATGGGATACAAGGGAGCGACATTTCATCGGTATGTCCCGCGTAATTTCAACCATGCGATGAGGCCCTGACTGAGATCTCTAAATCGCTTCCAGTGTGTAAGCACATCAATAAAGATTTGCCAGATCCAGGTCCAAATGACCCCAATGTTTTCACGCCTGAAGCGTTCGTGATTTCATGGTACAAGGTAGTACACTCGACTGCTGCCCGTATGCACCTCGAACAGAACTGACATTGAATGTCCTCAAGGCGGCGATTTTATAAATGGGGACGGAACAGGAAGTTTTTCTATCTACGGAGAGAAGTTTCCGGTACGTAAATGCCGTTGGCCATCGAAGTGGGCGTATCAACGTCCGTTTCTTAAGGATGAGAATTTCGTGTCGAAGCACACTGGGCCTGGTCTTTTATCGATGGTAGGAGCATCACGAGATTTGATCCGAGCTCAGGTGTTTAAATTCATTCAGGCCAATTCGGGGCTAACACGAATGGATGCCAAGTTAAGGGACCTCCGTGTATCTGGGATGATAAGCGACTGATCAATGGCGAAACAGTTTTTCATCACTACAGCAAAATGCGACTTTCTTGATGGCAAACACGTCGTGTTCGGAAAAGTGATCGATGGTTTACTAACCCTGCGGAAGATCGAAAATGTTCCCACTGGCCCGAATAATCGGCCGAAGCTGGCTGTGAAGATAACAGGTACGTTGTTGTTTTTTTTGTTTGGCGGCTTGGGGCGGGTTCCGCTTTCTCCGGGCAAGAATCGCTCACAACGTGTGCGCAACTCTCTCAGAATGTGGTGAGATGTGAACACATCAAATATTTCGCGCTGGGTCTCACGTAAGGGATTGTTGGAGTACTACCTCGTGGAGTTACAGTATAGCATTTGGGAGATGCCGAGATTCAACCAGTCAACTGACATGCTTGTTTTTGGAAAACCGTCATTGCCATTACGATATCTCTGGACCTTCGAGAGCGGCATGATATCATCAATTATCGCTGGCTAATCGCGCGTGAAATGAACGTTGTCCAGCGCGCTTGAGGTCAGTGTCCAGGCAAGGATCAATGTCAAAAAAGTGCTCGTGACTTGTATTCTAGCACCTAATTTGCGCTGGTCAATGTGCTTCGCAATACCATTGTCCGCTAAAAAGGTGGGATTTCTTATCTGGCGTTTATCAGAGAGACATATCATATTGAAATGGCTGTGCTTCTTGTGGTCACTGACCGTAACGAACGCGATTCAGGATCTGACGCGCCCGCAAGAGCAAAGAACAGCAACATATTAAAGAACCGCTGGAGCTAACAATAGCTTCGCAATGTCAAGAAGAGGCATGGGAGACTGAGAGGCGGAGCGTAAAACACGTTCACATACGACATTTTTGTCAAATCCATGTCAAGTCAGCAATACTATCAGCCCAATATTTCCGGCGAAAGCGATAGTATACCGAACCGGCCATCCCAACACTATTGGTATTTAACGGGATATGAGATATTCCCTGTTAATTTGCTCGCGTGGTTCTTCTCGCTTGCCTCCCTCCTAATTCCCCTAGCAGCACTCGCTCGGCACCTCCTTGCCCTTCATAGCCCTCCCCGCCTCCTCATGAGGGACGGCACTAACGTCCATCAGCCTGCGGGACAATGAACTTGTCTAGCACTTTGAGCTCGGGCCTATCAAATGTGCTTGCTACACCGTGAGTACTACGCTTATCGTAACACATCATAGATCCACTGATTATATGTGAACGCCGACATGGTTGATTATCTCTGTCGACGCATCTATTAGGACGCACATCTTGGGGACCTCGAGCGTTTCCGGGACTCGTACCACCGGTAGCGCTTCGATTCCGTACGATGGTCCGTACACTTCATCCGAAACCACCAGCGGCTCGACCGATTCATCTATCTCATCATATCCATATGCCTCCACGCCTCGCTCTTCCCATCGTTCGATACCGACTACAAGCACCAGCTCCACCTCAGGAAGCGCTTTTCTATCCACAACGAAAACCCAACGACATTCACGCCATTTACGTTGCACACATCATCATCAACATCATCTCCCTCGTACGTTTCATCCCCAACTTCCCATCACCCGCTTGACGACTCAACGACTATTCGATCAACATCCTCCACTAGTCCTTTGTCTCATCTTCTTCCTCTGCTTCCTCTTCCTCCTCTTTTATTCAATGACCCCTTCTCCAATCGCTCCCAAAAACCTACAAATACTCTAACCGCCTTCTCAAGCTCCTCGATGACTACAACATTCAAAGGCATTCTTGTAACAACAGTTACCTATACTTCTACTGTCGTTCCCGTATTTCCCGCTGGGCCTTCGTGAGTGCTTTCCCATACCTATGCAGATCCTCGAAAACATTACCACGACTGTGCCTCATTGCCACTGAGCGATTTTGCCTTGTTTCATTTTTCCTTCCTCGCATCATCGCTGAATTCTCTGGTCCGCGTTTCGCACATCACTTCTTCCCAATTCCTGTTTTTCTAAACCGCCATCCGGCCCTGCAATTTGAAATTTTCGAATCGTTCACTTACGAAAACGTTGATTCTCAAGGTTTTTCCACCGGACCGGAGCTGTGGTGGGTGTGTTCCTCGCGGTGGCTTGGCAGCGGTAGCCATCTGTCTTTTGCTCCTGTTTCGGTGTACACGGCCAAGACAGGGTGCCGGGGCTGCAGGGGCTCTTGGTGAACCTCATCTGAACGAAAAGCGATCGAAGAAACGGGGCTTCATCGGAGGGGAGTCGAAGGACACGCCGAATCGCGGAAGAGGCGGTCGATTCCCGACGGGGGCGACGTATCCGTGGGATCCTTATCGGCAGAGGCAGCGGCAGCGGCAGCGACAAGGGAGACCATCCCCTCGTCACGTCGACCGTTTGGTCTTGATGAATGGGTTGAAATGCCTGTTTCACCAAGCTCTTCTCTTCGGAGGGGTCTTTCGGCGACCTCCTCTGAGTTCATAATGAATCCGATGGGTGTTAGTAATGGCCTCAATACGAACCATTTGACCTCTCGGTTTGATGACGGGAGTATGATCGAGGAAGGTAGAGGTAGAGGAAGTAGGGAGGGGCGTTCGAGAAAGGTGTCGCAGACCTCAGCCGATGCGTCTATGCATTCGGTTGATCGGTTACTTTGGCGCCCATTCTAAATCCGAATCCGTATGCTGGTCTAGACCCGGCGGCGGAATGGGAAACGCTTAATTCCCAAAGAGTCGTCACTGCCCCCTTTGGCGGTGCTTCCGGGATGCCCATGGATTATCAGTTGGCTGCAGGTACCGGGTACTTGGACCCGGTTCCTGAAGGAAGGCTGATGGAAGCACAGTCTGATCCGGGACATGCGACTATCTCACGCTCACTCTCTTCGACAAATCAACTTGCGCACTACTCCACTGGATCTTTGTCGAGGACCCAATCGCTTTCTCACGGTCGAACGCTTTCTGCGACCCCTCTTGTTGATGTCGGTGCGAGTAATGATGGCAGTGGCAGTGGTAGTGGCAGCGCCCCGCCGAGTCGAACTGTCTCAGGATCTCGTTCGTCAAGACGTGGAAGTATTAGTCCCTATCCCATCGATTTCAACGAGGATAATGAAGAAGATTATCACCGCAGGGGCCAAGATTCGTTTAGTCCAACGCCGCCGCCTTTGTCACCTGTGTCTCCGTATGCTCCTTTAGTCGAAATTCAGCCTCCTTCGCCTTCGTCCCCTACTGCTCCTTCTGATCTATCTACGCCTACGACCACGAAGCCGGTTGAGAGAAGAAATCGAAGTTCAAGTACGGATCAACGGCTCGATGCCGGTGTATTGCGTGCAACGAGGAAGCAACAACGTCGTGAGAAGAGTCATCGTCGCGAGATGTCGCCTTCGACGACGGCTGAAACGACGAAAAGCCGTTCATCCTCTGTTGATCAAGGTTCATCCCATGAAGATGGTGCTGAGGTTGCCGGAGTTGGGGATCGAAAGGATGAGGTGGATAGGGGTCGCAATCGTGATGATAGTGATGATGGAAGTTCGATAGATATCAGTACGGCTGACCAGAGCGCGCTTAGCCTTGTTGATGCGCAGGATTACACTCGGCGGGTTCTGAGCTCCTTGTAGAACGAATTGCATGTCGTTGCGTATGTTTTCAAGCGTTGGATCGATACTTGTCCTGATCGTGTTTGATTGTACGTTGGGGGGGCAGTATTTACCAGTAGTGAGTATATTTATTTATTGGGTTTTTTTTTCTGGTTGAGCTCTGGTTCAAATGACCTTGTTCGTATTGTTATTTGTAGGATTGGCTTGAAAGTGTGCCTTTAGCTGCCTTACTTCTATTAATGAAATAAGGTTTCCGTTGCGCTATCTTGCAAAAGGTGGAGAATGACACGGGAAGAGCGTTTGGAGCCTGGAACATTCAGTGAAGCCGGAATCGTTGAGAGTCCACTTGATTGAGCTGCTGACCCATGTTTCGGCCACTCATTGGAGTGCTGCTTGACTAGAAGTTTTCCTTCCAACTGACACGAATCATTCACGACAAATATCTCAACTGGTACGCATGTTCATTGCCATTCGCTGACATACATACTCATCTCCCTCATCTCTACTCACCTGCTATCTTCTGTGGTTTAGGAGTCATTATCTAATCCTTTCTAGAGACCAGGCGAGCATTCTCCATTCCTTCAGGCTTTGTCTGTCTGGTGGCAGTATGTGACTTGTTCGTCAGACATGATCCGCGGACTTAATCCTTCAAATTTCAAGCTGAATAGTTCTGCCGAGCACGTTTAACCCTGCCAAGAGGACTCACCAAATTAGGGGAGGAGCAACCTCGTTGAGCTTTTCTGTAAGCGAGAAACCAGCCCCCCCCCCCCAACCGCGCATGAGCTGCAAGTAGCTAGACCCTTTTGCTCTTTTCGGTTTTTTAATTGCAATATTTAGTCCCTTACACAGCTGATGCCTCGTGAGGCGTGTGTGTTATGTATATATTTGGTCTGGCGAGATTAAGGTTGAATCTAGGGCTGCTCCCCTCGGGGGGAGGGTCCACTATTTTCTGTCCAATCACGACTGCTTGAGCATGGGGGTACTATTGTGCGTACATATGTGACGCACTATGCGGTCAAGCCATGCCCAAGGATCAAGCTCACTTTTAGGCAACATCGGGCCGCGGGGTCCCACATGAGGCTGGAAAATAACTCTATGAGAAACAACTTGCTTGGTTGATGCAGTGCAGACACGCTCGTGGTGGTGAAAGACAAATTCTGCTCGGCTATTCGCGACTTTGTGCTCAATACGGTACCCCCACACAGTTTGCGCCGCCAACTGCTTCGAATATGGTTGCGGATCGGATCCTTGGATATGCAAACTGGAGCTCTAAACGTGTTCCCCCCCCCCCTTTCCTAAAAACCTGCATGCACTCAACTCCTCCTATGATAATTAACCAGATCGCGCGCGAGGAGAATATTGTTCATGAAACAGTCGGTTTAGGGTGAATAAGCGGTTGTGTAATGATCTGGTTTGGTTTTGCTGACTCTGTGTGGAGTCCGGATCTTAATTGGGATGCTGAGGTGCGCATGGGGACCCAAAGAAGCGGACGTGGAAAATTTGGGTCCAGCCTTTATTAATTACATGCGAACTTCGGTTGCCCAGAACGCCACACACACTCGATTTCCTATTTCTATCTTTCTTTCTTTTTATGAGGCTCAAGCCATCGGGTTGCATGGATGACCATAGCGAAAAAGAATTCCGTTTTCACGTCGGGGGATTGGAGATACTACTTTTGCGAACCATCCAAGTCGCCGTCATGCACTGCTGCTGTGAAGGGTTTGCGTAGTATGATGATTTTTTTTTTTTTTACGATACCAATAGGCCCCCTCGTAAAGTTCGGATTGCAAACTGAACGTGCAAGGTGAGAAGAGCAGCGGGTTCTGCCGGTCAGGTGGCCGTTCCAGGTCTGTGTAATCGTGTGTGTGTGTGGGGGGGAAAGACAAATTTTCTCCCCCAAATCGTTCTTTCATGTCGCCGATCATACTTAAGGGGCAATGAGACGTTATCATGCGGGCATTGAGAACACGATGGATGGTAAAAGGGGGAAAAAGGATGCTTTGAATATGAGCATGCAGTCATCATGCATGATAAATCAATACGTTTACGCACCAGATTACTATGACCCAATTATCATCTTTGAGGTTAACCGGTTCCAGGCCTTCCTCTGCACTGTCTGACTCTATGTGTGTGAGAGCGGCTTTCTCTGACACTGGTTGGTGAATCGATCGGATGTGATTATCGTAAGCGCGCATGTTGTTTTCTCCTCTTCATACTAGATGCAATGCTCTCATGCACTCACGGCATCTCGCCTCATGCCCTGCCTTATTCATCTCTTATCGCGTTAGTTCTTGAACTACTTTCCTGAATCGAATGATATTGAGTTGTTACCCGCGGTTCACAGGTTATTGGATGTTTGTCAATCTTGGACTGTAATGTAGGGCCAGGTTACCAGACTGTCATCTTCGCTCATCAGTATGTACTTACTTAATCGAAATGGAACTGGTTTTTGGAGAAGGTGAGACAACATGCGGTGTGGACTTTATGGCATGGCCGCTCCGTAAAGAAACAATCGCCCGACTCGACCCAGGACCCGGGGAAGGGCTGTGTCCAAACACGTTGGGGGAATGAATGGGGCGCCTAAATGTCAAAAAAAAACTTGCCTCGTTTCACGTTCTGAATTGAACGGGATTCCCAAATAGGACCATACAAGATTTGATTTTTTATGGGATCAACTTTGCTCTCTCTCGGCATTGCCGTTTGAATGCTAGTGTGGGTTTTGTGGGGGGGAGCCATGTATTTCCACACAACCCAATTCACATTGAACAAGCCCGTTTGCAAACCTTTCTCCTCCCTTCTGCACGGCCTCTGAAGCCAAGCTGGCTCTGATCTTGGCTCCCTCAGTTTTTTCTTTTTCTTTTTTAACTTGCTTACTCTTCTGGGTTCATCACCTGCCCTAGGTTCATCAACTTGTCGTTGGCTTACTAGATTCTTTCGCCGTCTCGTCCATCCCCCGACCTCCCCTTCCTGGGTGGTAATTTACTTTGGACATCCACAACTACTCACATCACATCTTGTACGTATTACCATCTCTCAATGGGCCAATTGGATATTCGGATTGCCCAAATCGATAACTAAAAAAAAAAATAAACTGTTGCTTTCCTTTAAGTTTTATTGACTGCTAGCTTTCCCTGCAAACTCGGCCACCAAAGTCTTTGCCCTTCCCATCGCTGCTGGCTTGCATTGTCATCGTCTTTCATGCACGGATAATTTGACGAATCTTATCATAATCAGAGCAAAGAGGTCATTGACGAGGGGTCCCTGCCTCAAACGGTCTTTAGTGTGGTAGATCAGTAAAACTGTCCCGAACGGTGCGTTTGATCTCGTCCTTTGCTATCACTGTCATCTCCTCCTTCCATTCCTTTCATATGCCTGATAGCGACCTTCCGGGTTTGAGCTGAGGAGTTTTTTTTTTCACGAGGTTCGTCACCTCAAGTGCATGGAGTGAAATTCTCTCCTTTGCTTCCTTCCTCCTCTTCTCCCTGGCCCACATTGAATTGCCCATACCTTGTGCGCTCCTAACGGGAGTGCTCAACTCGTTCTACTAGTTGAAGAAGAGCGGGGTGGGGGGTTCTTTTTCTTGCTCTGCTTCTGCTTCTGCTGCTTCTTTGGAGGTTGTCGAGTTGTGCGGAGGTTTGCTAGCTTGCTGCCCCTCCCCTACTTTACACGATTTGCAAACATCGAAAGCACGAGGTTGTCGTCGTCGTCGTCATCTTGTTCGTTCGGGTCTATAATCATTTTCGGATAACCTCGGTGGTGGTAGCTTTGACGTCGGTTTTCTTCATTATACCGACTTCGGGAAACAAACAAGCGCCACCCCAGGACCCTTAGCACGGACGTTCCATCCAAAAAGCCGCAACCCTACTGGTGGAACAGGAGAGTCTCGTTCTTTTGCTGCTGCTGGCTCTAGTAGGGACGCAAAATAGCGGGCCATTGGCAGTTGGTGCCAAGTCCTAATTTTTTTCCGCCTTGCCGGTTCGGCGCAACCTCGTCTTCTTGATTACGCCCACTTTCTACTCCTTACTAGTCATTCTAGTAGGGTTTGGGGGGAGGGAGGACAACTTCGGCCTCACCCCTTATTAGAAGCGCGTCGGTCAGGACGGGGTTCTGCTTCTCCACCGACCTTGTTTGTCGCTTCTGTTCCTGACCCCTGCCACCACCACCACCACCACCACCCCATCCAGTCAGTGCTTAGCACTGGGTTCGTCTCGGGTTTTGAGTGGGACGACAACGACGTCAGTGTTGCTTGCAACAACGGTCACCGAGGAACCCGTTGCCAAGTCCTTTTTTATCAATTCCACCTCTTTCCAACTTCACAATTTTCATTGCCACCCCCCTTCAACTTTCTCTTAACCTCGTCTTTCAAACCTCCTTTGTCGCGATCGAGAGTTTTCCCATTCTTCTACTTTCACTCGTTTCATCCACTTTTTTTTTTTTCAAACCACAACAAATGTCTTCATTTTCATCCTCCCCCATTATTGAGTCAACAACCCATTCGCTGACAATAACTTCTTCTTCCTCCTCCTCTAATCACCCTTCGTCCTCGTCACTATCACATCCCTTACATCATCCACTATTACACGATTTCCTCAGATCCCACCACGTCGTCCTCAAATTCAACTCCGTCGTCCTCCTCCTCGGCGCAATCCCCGTCCGGGACCCCAACCTCAACAACCAGGATATCCACTTCGAGTTCGAGTACCAGTCCGACGAGCGTTGTTGATACTTCGAGTTCCAGTTCTTCATCATCCTCCTCATCCATGAGCTCGACGAGTTCAAGCGGTGGCGGAATTTCTACCACATCGAGGAGTAGTGGTAGTAGTAGTAGTAGCAGTGATATCATACCCACTTCATCGACTACGACCAGTACGACTAACAATTCAGGAAGTCAAACCCAACAACAGACAACGTCAGCATCTCAAACTTCTGTTTCTCCGCCTGTAATTTCATCATCATCTTCCTTTCTCCTTCTCTATTTACTGCTACCTTGACCTCTTTTACCTCTTTGGGCCGAGTTTCTTCTTCTTCTTCTTCCCCCCTGCCTTCACAACCTACAACCTCACCCACACCCACACCACCCTCATCCTCACTCGCGTCCTCCTCCCCGTTCCTCCCTCCCCGTGTCCTCTCCTCCCTCTCCTCTTCTGTCTTCTCCTCCTCTTTCCTCCACTCTCCTCTCTCTCGCTCCATCTCCTCTCCTCTTTCATCCATTTCCCCTTCTATTACTCCTCTTTCCACTGCCTCCCCCTCTATTGTTTCCTTTTCTTCCCCTGGATCAACATCAAGTTCTGACGCTTCTTCAAAATTTACTCCCGCTAGCACTACAACTTTAGCAGCCTCTTCAACTCCCTCACCAAGCACGAGCCCTACCACACCAACGCCTCGACTTACATCATCATCAACAACAAGGGCTAATTCCGTACAACCTACTGCAACACCTACCCCTCCACCAAGTACAACCACTTCAAATGGGGGTACGTCTGCAACTCCAACGCGTCTAGCCCTCGTACTACTACTAGTCCTACATCTGATGCAGGCACGAGTACAGGTACATCATCCCGTCCCCACGAATACGACTCCAACGAGTCCAATTAGCAGTGGTGCTGGATCTTCGGTTGGTGTCCAATTCAACTCCATTTCATCACAGATCAACTAATGCCTCCTTTTTTAAATTTAAAAAAAAAAAAAAAAAACCATGATATTTTTCGGTATCGTTTGTGTTTCGCAAAATTCAGACGATTGTGACAACAGATTCGAGTTCTGTTGGCATTAGGTATAGATGCGTTTCTTTATATTCCATCTCTGTTTCATGAGTTTCGGGGATGAGGGTGCTGTGAAATTCTCTTTGCTGTGGGGAGGACAATTTTTTTTTTCCACTTGGAACCTTCCTTCACCCTTCCCGTCCCAAATGACCTTTCCGCTGTATCCTCTACTTGGTTTAACTTCAGCTAAACTAATGTTTTTTTCCAATTCTTTAGCCCCACCCCAACACTACAATCTCCTATTTCCCTCACGACCTCGACAGTTTCTTCAGCACTCTACCTCACCACAACGGCTCGAAATGGGCGATCGACCACGATGCCTGCACCGTTATCGTTTACGAGTTACCTGATGACGACGAGCCGTGGGGTTGTGGTCACTCAGACTATTGTCGTTTCTAATCCAAGTGGCGCTCCGCGTGCCGGTATTGGAGGAGGCGGTAATTCGTGAGTATTTATTCTTTTCTCTTTCGATTATAGCCGTTTTGACTTACCAATGCATATTCCTGTGCCCCTTGTGTGTGACAGATTCTTCAGTAATCGGGGGGCGGTGGCGGGTGCGTTTACCGTCATAGGCATAGCAGCGGCATCTATACTTGCTTATGCCCTGCTTGGATTCTGGCGTAATCGAAGACAGAGTGGGGATGCTTCCTATCCAATAGGTTATTGGAAGATCGTCTGGGTCTGGATCTGGGTCGAGATCGTCTGATACTGGTGCAGGTGGAAGTGGCGGAGCCGTTCGTGGACCGTTGCATGATGAATTGGAGGATGATATGGACCACTTGTATCGGTCTAGCCATTCTCACACGAGTATGATGAGACAGGTGGAGGCTGCAGCTGCAACGGGTGGAATGGTAGGAGGTGGAGGAGTGGGTTATGCGGTGTCGCCCGGTTTGGAGGCTGGTTTGTACGATCCGTATGACCGACGGCATCAGGAACGGGTAGCTACTGCAGGTTCGCCTGCGGTGGGTCCTTCTGGGATGGGAGATGATGTGTTCAAGGGAACCATCGTGAGCGCTGCTGCCATCGATGGGGATTATACACAGCTCCGGAAGAGCAGCACGAGTACTGGGAGAGGACCTAGGGCTGTGGAAGGGGGTGGTGATCTGTATTCTGGTATTCGATCACACCCATCTGCCGCTGGGTATAAAGGGCTGAGAGGTGGGAGCGATGAAGGTGGGGTTGGTAGCGCTCGTACTGGTTCCGGTCATGGTTCCGGTGATCCCCGACAGGGTCATCTGCGCGTTCCTTCGGATGATGAGGATCAACAGTACGATGATGGGAGTTCCGTTGAGAGTGAGAATAGCACGGAGGTAAGCGAGTATCCACCTGAGAGCGAAGTCGATGGTGGGTTCACTGTCCCCGTTGCGGATGGAGTGGACGTCGATCAGAGGATGAACCCTGTTGCTGTTCTTGGTAAACATTCGACAGGTGTCGATGTCAATGGAGGTGGGGATGGAAATGGGACCGGGGACGGGACCGGGAACGAACGATTGAACAGTAGTGGGAGTGGGGGGAGTGGTGAAGATGGGACGAGGAGGGCTTCGAGTTTGAGCGATGGGGAGGATTATATGAGACGAGTTACTGCGGTATGTCGACGGAGCTGAATCTTGCGTCCTTTTTGAGGGAGGGGAGGGGGGGCATTTACCACTTGGCTGACTGGGTCTTTTTTCTTCTTCTCTAGCCTGGTACCTGATGACCGTATGCTCGCCAACTTATGAACGACACGGTGCTTGACATCGACAAGAAAGAATGTTTTTCAAAAGATCAACAACGAACGAACAGAAGTGAATGAATTTTTTTTTTTTCATTTTTCCAAAATTCTTTTTTGGGTGGAGTTTTCCTCACCCCCATCCCATTGGGGAAACGGCCCTCTTCACACCCCAGTTACGATATCGTGCAAGTGACTGGGTTGGGCGGATCTTTCCTCTCATCATATCTCCTCGCTTTCAGCATACACGAAATTTTATTCATTTATTTTGATCCAACGCATGCATGCATTCATCCACCCCCATCCCATCCGTCCATATCACCTTGGAACTTTCATCCCTATATTTTACTATCACAGCACCTTGCATCCTATTCTTCTTTTCTTCTTTTCGCGGAATTCCCTTCTTCAACCCCGGTACCATTCAGATCACCTTTTCACTCGTAAAATCGTTCAACCCAAACCACCACTACCGACGACGACAGGCATGCTGATACCTCCCGACTGTACACTTGGTTTTTTTTTGGCTTCATAAGAATTCCCTCTCTCCGCGCAGGCGGACCACCTTTAGATCAGTCGTAACGTGTTCCGTGCCATGTGTACTTACGTGACTGCCAATTCCCAATGTAGCGCATTTTTTCGCCCGGCCCTAGCTTTTTTCTTTTTTCTTTTGCCTCATCTAAACGAACCAGTGATCATGAAACGGAAGACGTGCACGACGATCATGCACGTCCAGAGTCACATTTAACGTTAACGTTGCAGGCGATATAGAGTGCAGGAAAAAAAAAAGAATCCGATGGCTCAATGATGATTGACGTCTTAGATAGACGCATGGGTGGTTTGTTGACACATGCAGCATGAGTAAATATGTAGGTATTACGTTGTCATACGTAACCTCTGTGAGTCTCCCGCAGGTTGGTCGGGAAGCCTCAACGAAACAAGGAAGCGGGATCGATCGATTTGATTGCGATATATCAACCCTGCAAATGGTCATGCATTACTTGCATGAACGTGTGTCGGATCATGTCTTCCTTTTTTTGTTCGCCGAAAAGTTAGCGCGCATGATAGGGGTGAGGAATATATCATGATACCCCCACGGTTATATAACCGGAGGGGTGGCGGGGCGGAGGCGCCCAGTAACTTCGGCCAACTCCAGACGAGCCCTCTGGAGATTGACGTTGTAGTTCAATTGTCGCAGCATAATGAAACCTGCGCACCCAATACGCAGCCTGCACGGTCATATACCATCGACGTCGAACTTTTGATCAGAGCTTATCTCTTATCACGACCGAGGCGAACATTCCTACTCGCAGCTAGCTTCAGCCTAATTAGCGAGACAACTCCGCATTTCTACTGCCTGCGAATTTTGAACTACGCCTCCCAACAATCTTGACTTTCCCAACTCCTCCGCAAAAACCGTCCCTCCTTCTAAATCAAACCTGTCGAAAAACCAAAGTAACAATCGAGGTGGACCTGAATTTTCAGGTTGTTGTAGTACTGCTCCAGGGACACGAAAAATATGACGTGTCACATGCTCATCAGAACAGCACGTGCCTCACGGTTTGTTGCGCTTGTGGTACTTCCAACAGAGAGGTGTAACATGGTGGAAGGTCCACGTTGTGAAAGACACGTACCATTGATGCATATGACATGAGGTGCATCTGCCAAGTGGGTGTGGTGTAGATCGATCGACGCGAAGGTGCTATTTGCACACCTTGATTGTGCTGCTGTGGCGTGAATCGCATAAGTAACCACAATTACTTCCAACGAAGAAGTATGTCGTTATGGTGTATACTTGACACGATAGGAAGGCGTCCAAACTTCTCGTACCATAGCGCAATTGTCTTGCCGCCGATCCCCCGCCCCCGCCCCTGGTTCCTTTTTGAAATTGAGATTAGGCTTTCATTTCCAATGTTGTGTCTTGCCAAAACAATACTACATATACTGATTCGCGAGCGAAATCGAAGTCGGCGCGATAACATCGCAGTCTCCTATATTAATATAATTAAGTACACGGGTAACCCAGGGCGGTGCACGGTTTGTGACTGCAATCATATTTCACCGACGCTATATATGTGAACGCGTTGCCGAGGTCTTGTTGTGGGGGAGGGGATTTTTAGTGTATATCGTGTCGTCGTGCAACATGAATCTTGATCGAGGAAAAAGAGGAAAAGGAGTGATTATATAACACACATGTATTGTATGTATAGCAAAGGCTAATTGGGGAAGGGTATGTGGAAAGGAAATAATGTTCGAGGGAGAGTGGTCGGGTTGACCGTGTGACCTCGGCGTTCGGTAGCTTATTCCGGGGGCGTCGGGATCATTTCGGGTGCTTTGCTCTATTTTTCCCCGGAAGAGGTATTGGACGAAAGAGAGGGACGTGCGCGGTTCCGAATGAGTCATTCTAGTCGAGAATGAGATAAATCCTGGGGAAGAGGAGAGAACGCTTTGTTGCCCATATGGAGATTGGAGGTTGAGAACCCTGAAGAAGGCCAAGGTCACAAGTCGATTGAGGGTGGGAAAAGGGGGCATGTGGTGGAAGAAGTAGAAGGATCGAACCATGAGGTTAATCTGCTTCGCGAGATGTTGAGAATTATATATGGGCGTAGGCCAAATATTTGAGCCGGTAAGCTTGTTGTTGTAGGCGATAAGTAGACGACGCGCGGAATGGTAAGTGAGGACGACCACGACCAGGGGTGAAGTAAATGTGAGGATGTTATTGGTCGACTGCGCTTGGATTGGGGTTCATCGGTGGGATAGCATCCGCATATTATCCAAGGGGTGGAGGGGGGAGGAAGAGGCAAGTCATCAAGTGGGGTCAATTACTTTTGCGCATCTTTTCACACATGGGTGAACACTGCGCAGTAACCGTGATTGGGGCGGGAAAGCGGGGGGGGGCCTCTGATCATCGTTGAATTCAAGGCATTAGAAATGTGTAGACAAGCACGCGCGGGCTATGTCCATGTGGTTATTTGGTCATGCACATCATGACTAAACTGGCGCAGCTATTGCCGTGTCATATGCATGTCTGCTTGTCATAACCGAAGATAAACATAGTAGCTGGACATAGAGAGGCTGGTACTGTACTACTACACTAGTAAAAAGCTATGCATATAAGTACCGTGATGATCTAGCACAAGGTGCTGCGTATGAGAAGTGGTCCCCTTGGAGGCAGTTCGTAGCTAGCGCCCTTCGTCAAAGGATTTCCACGACCGGCCATCACGCCACCGGTTAATTACAGCAAAGCAAATGCATGGGCGCTCAAGTAGAAGCCGTGAATTGGTAGTTATCCCAATCACAGCATGCACCGCTTTGCATTTGGAGGGCCAGTTCATGCGTCCTTGAGCGGCGCATGCCAAGGCTATGCTGCCGTACTATTCTAGCTGCAGACGTACGTCTTTGCATACAGTCAGGGAATCAGGAGCAACAAGACAACGTGTATACGTGTACCGTGTGCACAGCATGTGGACATTTATCGGTGGCCAATAGGAAATCGCCAAGAATTGAAAATATTTTCACCAGTGTAAGTGCTCGCTAATGTCAGGTCTGGTTGCATTTAATGGTTGGAACGGGGAAATCGAGATAGAAGGGCAGAAGCTAGGTCTCCTGGCGGTGGGTACAAGGGGGATCCTTTCTTCATAGCATTACTAGGATTGTGACCCATGGGCTGTGGGGACATACGCATGCAGAGTATATAGCCAGAGTCTGTTGGTATCGTCATAGGTACCGGTGGTTATAGACGCATAACTGCATCACATCTCAGCTCGGAACAATGCATGCGGCGTTGCACGGGTACTAGGGAGGAAGGCTATCACTGGACTGCATACCACGCATCTTGACCATGGAACCCATCTGTATGCATGTGTACGCCTCGACCGAGAATACCCTGATTCCAGACCAGATTTATCGTAGTGGCGGTGAACTTGGATGCCATGACAATAGCGCCCATTGCTTACTAACTTCGGCTATCATAACTGTCGATTTTGCATTAGTTTCGTTCTGTGCGAAGACAAATAGTACGTACGTACGAAGGGTTGTAAAGTCCGTGGTACAGTACGCATCCACACGAGTAGTAGTGATATGCGGGCATTGGCGAGACGAGCTGGCGGTCTTACACGCATTATACCCCAAGTGCTCATATCACCACTCATCTAACGTTCTCCCATCCTGTCAGGCTTCGGTCTACGTAACCTCACACGACTTGCATGAGCGCTCGCAAACAGTCCACCGAACTATTGCCAATATGTAATATCTGAATTGCCAATACACAACTGCCCCGCCAACTTGGGGTCACAGAGTGGGGAGTGTGATCTATTCGTTTGTTGTTGTTGGGACGCGTATCTGGCAGTAGCGCCTGTGGATTTATATTGATCAGAGAGAGAGGGGGGGGGACTGGAATCGATAAAGGCCGAAAATTCGTTTGTGGCTAGAAGAAGTATGTTGACAGGGTTGATGGCGCTTATTGGGAGCAAAACACCGCCATTCCCATTCGCGGACCGATCCGCAACGAAAGCAGAACCCGCGGATTACTTCTTTACATACTCCTCTTTTTTTTTTTCCAACTCCTGCATTAATTTCCCTGTTTTGTTTTACGGTACTCGTTTCGTTGATTATATGTAATTTGGTTTCTCGATCTGCCGTCGTTACTTTTGTCATCAGGCCATACCCACTTACTCAGTGTCCCCCTAAGCGTGCTCTGGACGTCCTAACATTTACTGACATCCTCCCAGCTGCAGTTACGTGCATCTATCGCTATATATGGTTTGATTATAATCACATCAATATCATTCTGTTCCTTCCTTTTCCTGTGCTTCGCCAACAGTATGTGTGCAGCAGGTTCTTGTGAGTAAAAGGAAATTGATATCCTAGAAAATAATACAGCCATCATAAACTTAACCCATTTACATACCTTTTTCTTTTCTTTTCAATGAGCTCACACAAGATATTCCATCACACTGCCTCCTGTGACAACTACCTCCTTCCTTAGGCTTGAGGTGGGAGTTGGGGTACCTCAAGCGATTCCAGCCCCGTTCCAGCCAAACAAAACGAGCGATCAAGGGGACGTTCGACGGAGTGATTGATCTTCACTTGACTTGGGTTCGTCCACGATTTGGATTTGCTTGGGTGAGCCTCGGAGATGCCTAAGGCCACAACTACTGGTGAAGAGAGGGATCATTTGAGGAGGAATCAAGCAGTGAGTGTGCAAACGTTACTCTTTTGGATGGGGTTAGTTTTGTGGAATTGACTCGCGTTTGGTTGCTTTATCTTTATTTGCAGTGTCACCAATGTCGTCGAAGGAAACTTGTAAGTAGCCTTTTTTGATCTTTGAGAGACATGGGAGAGGGCTTTAACGATTCCACTGTTGCTGTTACTCTCGTGTCGGACCCGCGACGGTTCATGTACGCCAAAGAAATGGCAAGTTCCCGAACTCTCACGCCGACGATGCGCATATTAACATCGTCTCCTCGATAGTGATGCCAAGACGCCGTGTACATGCTGTAAACGATCTCATGCACATGTCATCGCTGCTAAAGCGATGAAAGGGGAGCCTTTCGATATTGCTCCAACTTGCACTTATGATGAACCCCGAGGAGCAACGGCGACGCAAGCGTCAACAACCGCTTCCTCTGCGGGTGTTAACTTGAGTTATTCAAATCATCATCGACGACGGTCTTCGAGCGTGGCTCACCAGCCGACCTCAGGGTCTGTATTAGGGTCGGCGGTATCATCCTCAGGGTCAGCTAGTCCCAAGAGAAGAGCTTACTGTTCCGAAATATCTTCAGCTGTGCCGACGTCGGGACATTCTCTCCACCCTCCACTGCAGGGCCTTTCATTTTCCCCATGGGACTTTCAAGAGAGGAGGCGCGAACTCCTCGTCACTGCTACTACCAATCATGGTGGAAGTCGTCATCATCAGCTGTCAACGAGGCCCAGTTCTGGCCCTGGAAATCGAACACCACTCCCTGCACCTAGCGGGAGTGGTGGTGTTTTTAATTCCCATCAGACTCCAGCTCCTTCGATGGTGGTGAATTTCGACAGGGTGAATAGCACCTATCATCCGCAGTCATCATATCAAGATGCTCCAACCTCCGGATTCGATTATGGTACTACTGCCGAGCCATATCCTGCAGTAGTTTCCTCTTCTCGGTTAGGTCCCGGAAAGCATATAATTGCCCCTCCATCTTCATCATCCACAATAACGACTGGTACTACGGCTACTGCTCCATCTTCTACTTCTTCATCTCCATCTTCGGTAGCTCGTTATAGGAGTGGAACCGCTACTTCTCGCTTGGATTCTTCGAGTCCTGCTTCATCATTGCTTAGCAGTAATGGTGGCGGAGGTGGAGGTGCTCATCAGCTACAACCTCAACAACTCCTACATAAATACCAATGTGAAACTGCTTCGTGGGCTCGATCGGTTGCCGTCGGCGTTGGTGTTGGAAGTAATGGTGCTGGCTATGGCGGTGCTTCGGCGATGACTAATCTCTTACCTCCGTCATATTCAACTACACAGCCCGCTCTGCTGGCTCAGCGCTATCAGCACCAACGTCATCAAGAATCACCCGCTTTCCTGGATCCCCCCTCGACAAATCCTACGCATACGACCCAACAGGGAACGTTCGCAAGTGTAGCTGGCTCTCATGACGATGTGCTTTATCCTGTTAATTCGTCTTTGTCGCCCAGGGTTAGCAGCAGCGACAGTGGACACGTTGGTGGTCCTTTCTCTGTAGAAGGCGTAGGTACCGTCGACTTACAACAACAACATTCTCATGTTCATCCCCATCCACATTATCACCCCCCGGGCCCTTACCACTGTCAAGACTATCCCCAACCACCGATATTGTCGCACGCGCCTCCCCATGTACACATGCCCAAGCAATCAGATGGGCCCTGGCCGCCTAACCTCCCCCCACGACCCCTCCTTCTCCGCCTGGTTCACATTTTTTTCAAAACCCAACCTTTAGCACCGTACCTCCTTCATCGACCCACGTTCATATCTTCCCTATCTACCGCTTGCCCTCTCAGTTCTGCTTCTCCGGACTCTAGTGTGTCAGGCGGACGATTTCCTTCTATTGCGTTATTACACGCAATTTGTGCCATGGGGAATATGTATTCCCACCCAGCTTGGCTTTCTCAAGTCGCGAGCGGGGACGAGAATGAGATGTCTCCTATTATGAGGATGAGCGATGCGGGAGTTGGGGGCGGTGGTGTGCATCCACAGGGGTCGATTATGACGATGTTTAACTCGCCAAATACGGATCCGGGGGGACGGCGGCGACCTTCTTCGTCCTCTGTGGCTGCTACTTCTAGCCTTAACGGTCTTCTTCCCGGATTGCGGGGTGGTGAAGCTGGGGATGAACAGGAGTATTCGTATTCAACTTTAGCATCTTTCTCTGAGGAACAAGCGACGTTTGCATATTCCCTTTTGGAAGAAGACATGAAAGGGTCTAGGAGGATGCTGGAGTGTGTACAGACGACGATCATACTTGCTTGGTATTACGTGAGTCTGTTTATAACCTGTTCCTCTCCCTCATTTAATATCTACTTGCGCTCTTTGGGTGTGTTCGTCATTGGTGATTTAATTCACCAATTGAATTGTTGTGGATACTTACACTGTCGTATCCTTATCAGCATGTCAACGCTCGGTGAGTTACATTTGACCATTGGGTGGAAGATACTACATTGGTGCTGATTCGCCTACTTTCATTTCCCATTTCACTTTGAATCCGGGTGTGTACAGGTGGATGGAAGCGTGGCAATGTTCCGAGTCGGCGCTTCGGCGATGTATACCAATTGGACTTCACATGGATGGGTTTCATGGCGGGATGATGTTGGTCGATTCGTGGAAAAATCGAGCGATGGTGGGCCAAAATAATGGGCCGGAGTACTTGGAGCAGCGTAGGGCTGTGTTTTGGATTGCATTCATGTTGGATTCGTTGTGAGTGTATATTTCCTTTCCTCCCCGAGGATATGACTGATTGCGCGTACGATTGGAAAATAGCCAGTGTATTGCGACGTCGTGGCCTAGTGGCCTCAACGAAGCTGACGTTAGTCAAACGCTCCCATGTACTTTGGCTGATTATGAAGCATCGGTACGTTTTCGAAATCCTTTCTCTCACATCAAAAGACTAAATATTATTTTCTTCACACACTCCCTAATGCAATGATTGATTTTATCGGCATCCTCTTTTTCTCGACATGATTCTCGTGTCATATTCCCATAGAAAGATGTCCGACATCCGCGCCAGCATTTGCATTCTGCGACCCTCTTCATCTCCAATGAACCCTACATCACCGATTCGTTCACCCTCCATGTCAAAGCCACTATCCTCGCCGGTCGAGCCGCCAAACTTAACACCCGTTTCCAAGCCCAGCGCGATTATCTCACAGAGGATTCACCAGAAAAAGTCCGCACTACGGCTGAGTTTATGCTCCTAGAAAGGGACATTGCTGCCTTTCAAACGGGTGTCCCAAGTGGATTGAATAAATTTATGATGGATACCTCTGGTGATGTTGGGCATCGTTCGAGCGATCCATACGCTGATATCATCGATCATAATGCGTATCTTGCGTACATTGTGTCGCATGTGTACGTGTGCTGAATGAATCCTTCCGCTGACGGGATTATCAATTTAACATTTTTTTCTCTTCTGCTTTTTGATAGGGCCCTCATCGTTCTTCATGATCCTCGGACGGACCTCTCAGATTTGAACGACTTGTCCGCGCGAACGATCCTTTCATCTGCGAATGCCATCTTGGCGACTATTCGTGCTCTCAGTGCAACTCCTTTAGATTTTTCGACCATGTTTCATGGTACTTCGGTAAGTTCCACCATACTCTCTCTCGCGCCCCCCGAGAGAGAAGAGTTCTCACTAATGATGTTTCAATCAATATTCAGTTATATTGGACTAAGGCTGCTGCAGTTGTCATTCGGTACTTGGAGCGCGAGCTAAGAATGGGGAATATAAAAGCTGCTGCAGTGCATGAAGCAGATATTGCGACCATCAAGTTGAGTTGATAAGTTCACTCTCGTTGGTGTTTAAGAACGCTTAATCGGCAACGCTTTGATTGCGATGTTCGTGCATGCGATATATAGGGGCGCACTGCGGCGTATGGGGAAAGGGTGCCCTGTAGCCAGGGCTCATGGTACTATGATTGCCGAATGGACTGAAGCTGCTATTGCCAATGGGAATAATGCGTGGGTGGGGGAGGGCTAAAAAAAAACAGTCCTCCTGCTCCTAGACGATAATGTTTTCCCTTGCTGACATGAGCTCTGAAACGGGTTACGCGTTATCTTTCTCCATTAGGACACCCGAGATAGATAAGGTTTGGCCACACGTTCGATTCTCCGAAGGCAAGCGTGTTGGCATTGGGCCTGCGTACCTGGGTAAGCTATTTGTCCATCTCTGTCATGGCAACAGCCTTCCCCATTCATCTTTTCTCCCTGTCCCCTTATTGACTTAAATTCTAAAAAAAAATGTCTTTTGCTCGAACCTCAGGGAGTCGATACACGGATTAATCAGATCGTCGCTTTTGTTTTGCTTTATTTCGTTCAAACCATTGCGTCCACTGTTCACTGATGCCACTTTCTTTTATCTCTGCTCAATACCATCCCGCCTTTCTTCCTTCTTTCTTTTTTTTTTACAACAGTATTCAAGGCTCATTTCGATAAATGCAAAATACGTCCATGTTTTTCCCCAGACGTCCCTTGATAGAAATCCGTTCGAACCCTACGAACGTGTTACTCTTCTTGATTAGTATGTGCAATTTTAAGCGTTGTGATTGTGTATGCGTGGTGCTACTTGCTGCAGTGTTTGGCATTGTGGGGGGAATTAAAATGTTTGTACACGTTCTTTACAACTAACCGTAAGTTACCTAGGCGCGCGTAGGATTATCGCGTGTCGCCTAGGATTTACCGTGTTTCTGTGCCGAGTGACAATCGGGTCGATTTCCAGGATTGAAACGTAGGGTTGTCTTTTGGGGGGTTGGGGTTATCTGGGTCTATATATGGGCATTAAGAATATCTAATCATCGGGTGGTGATCAATCTTCGATTCAATGGTCCCAGGTCGGGGTTGGGAGGAACATTGTCTGCATATGGTTCACCGGCTAGCTGCACTGGCTGCATGCAAGTAGAGATTACCCTCGTGTACATGGTTTACTGTAGTAGAGTCACTAGTAGTGCAGAGTTCCATTTTATTAGGCAGGATCCCAGCTCCTAATAGACCATGTTATACATCTTGTCGATCTCATAGGTCCGATCAACCCATGATTTTGTTGTTCGTGTTTGGAATATCATCAAACAAATTTTTCCAGTAATATCGACAATCAATTATCTCATAGCGTACATCGGCGCCATCTTGAACGTTCGATTGAGGTGATTGAGATAAAATCTCGATCTGTTTCATTAGTTTACAATCGTCCAATTAAACGTCGGAGATGTGCATGAGTGCATGTGCTATTTGATAATTTCCAGTGTTGTGCCGTCATTGTCATTTGAAAGGAGAGGAATCTTCATTCCCTTGCCGAGCGCGTACGTTTGTGGGTAGGTCGAAATTGGAGGACTGGGGAAATAACGTCCCAGGGCCACTCTTTTTCCGAAATTACGTAATTCGAGATAGGATCTCCAGAGAAAACAGTCCAGCGCATGCGGTGGGTGTGATTTATGTCCTCACACTATTCCGTCCATCAATTTTCATAGCAATCTCAGAACAAATCATTGCAGAAATAATGAGCAACAGCAACTCGATGTGGACCTATAAAGGAGCCTGAGAGCCAAGGCTATAGAGGATCTCAGCCAAACCCACCTCAGTCTTGCTCGTGTTCTTCTGTTTATTAGTAATACTGGATCTCTGGCTATGGTGGCCATTCCTGTGCTCTTTTCCATGACTTCAGTTTTCGTTTTTACGACTGAGGCTTTTCCATCCCCGTCGGGATGGCGTGGCGGCCCCGCTTGGCACGTAAACGGGGACGAGGCCAAGGCGTGGTACGGCTCTACTGGTGGCGATCCGCACCGCACCCGTCAGTCGAATGATTCGACGGCGACATCGTGCTATGCCGCTTCTCCAAATCAGATATCCATGTTTCCTCTTGCCTCTGAGGACGTTCAGGTGCGTGTTTGCAAATATAAATCCGATCCTCGGTAAATCATTGGCGCCAGAGTACTGCGGCGGGCGAGTGGGGTCCTGATTGGGATAAGATTCTAACAAATCTCGCTGATGTACGTGCATTCATCCTTAATCACTGGAACCGCTTATGAACTCGGAACAGTACCCGGATCTCACGGCATACATGTGTTATGGGACTGAGGGAACATATACGGTAGATTGGAACACAGCCCCTGTGTGCGAAAACTCAACCGCAACAGTCCATGGATACGTTGTAAGTCTTTCTACCTCCATCTTTATTAAGGCAATTCATCGTCGGCCTATGGATTTCCTAGAAACAAGGTGACAGCTCTACTTCCGTAGAGCTGTTTCAAGGGACCTCTGTCTCCTCCCAGACTACGGTTGAAAGTGAGTTGAAATGTGCCAGCATCCGTTGGTACCACCATTCATACTTCTATCCTAGAGGCTACTCAGCTCGGTCAAAAGCTCCAGGTATCCTACGAGAACAACGAGATATTCGCCGGAACAAAAATTGTCGGTAGGTGGCCCTCGAAATTCACCGCTTTCCCTCCCAAAAGCTCATCCTGGTTTATCAGAAAATTTTTATTCCCTTTTCACCGATACTACGGGTCACTCGCATACTGACACGGATGATACTCGCACCACAGTAACTGAAACTGTCGCATGCCCTGGCCCAGCCAACGTCTCAGTAGATGTCAGCCTTCAAACTTGCAGGGTTCACGGCCAATTCACCGTCCCGCTCACGTTGTCTGGCTGGGCGTGGTTTTTCTACACAACAAGAAGGCAAGGTCATTATGAATGTTTGTAGGCTGCTATTGGCCAACCACAGGGATTCACTGAGGCATTGTTCATTCCGTTAGGGGCCCTTAATATGGAGGCGATCAGTCCGCTTGAACATCGCCAGATGAATATGACAGTCTCCGTTCAAATGACTATGAAAGCGTGCGGCATCTTTTATGGTAAATTTCCCCCTTCCTCGGTGAGATAACAGAGCACCCACCTCCTTATCCAAAAGCCAATTGTGGTAAAGGCGCTTGACTTGTGTTGCACGACTTTCATGTGAAAACATCGACCCGGATACCTCCCTGATTTAGTGGTGACATGGAAGAAAAACATTGCATCCAGAAATTTCCACACCTAGAAACAAGATATGTATTTCAGTCAGGAAAATCTATTCCGGCGAGTTTGCCCTTTTTTATATCGAGAAATCCCCGCTACTCCGTATCGTTTGATCGCATGCAAGGTCCTCTATTATTGCCAACTCTACATAACCCAGCCTTCCTCCCTGCCTTCGCTAGTATTGTTCTACAATGCTTTCCGGTCCACCACATCCTTTACCGAGGACACAGGTGTGTGACACTCGTCCCACCTCTCTTAATTGGACGCTCCTGGATGTTTACCAATTGCAGTTCCCATTGTTGAAAATTAGGGCATTTCTTTGAATGTTTGGACTGTGCCACATATTCATGATCGTTGCACATGTTCTGTTCGGTGATTGTTATAAAACCCACAGTGATCCCGGCCATTCCCTACGCGGCTTGATTAAAGATACAACGTACTAATCATGATTGTGTTTCATCGATCGTTCAAGGCTCAGCAATATATGCCCATAACTGGGTTTTTGTCCCTTCTTCCATTTACTTTATTCCATTTACATTTACATGACACTCACGACGCGCCCTACATTAATGTATTGATGATCCCCTCTGTACGCCACGGCATACTCAACGGGATAGCCGCTCTGAGGCTGCGGGGTAATAAGAAGGATCTACCACCATTCAAGAGAGTGTATGTTTAGGTGCAATCCTACGTGAGGCTGCTAAGGCGGCTCTCAAGAGACACGAAATCACGGAAAATTGACTTCAGATGTGCATGTGGTGAAAATCGGTCCTTGCGATAAGAGGCATGTGGCCACATGCTGGTCGGCTGGAAGAAAGATGAAAAAAAAAAGTAGCTTGCCTGATTTCAGAGATAACACCTCCCCTAGGTCTTTCTCCCACACTGGCTTTTGCAAACCAGTGGCCGATTCGACTGGGTTGCAAATGACACATCAAGCAGGCCGAGTCACGCGTGGGCACGGATGCCATTGACGAGGCAGGAATTGCGAGAATTCCAGCATTCCAGGCAGTTCAGGTGACGCTAGAGTTGTACACGGCCTTCATTCCCTTTAAGACCAAAAATCATGCTGCGATCTGCCAAAGACGACTCGGAGGTCACTGACCAGAACATTGGCGACATTAAATACAGCGCCGCCATTGGAAAGCCTACGGAGCTAGTCCCAACTCTGACGGCTGCCACACTCGTCAAGGTGCAGCCCTGCGATAGATCCACGGTTCGGCCATCGGAGCCCCAGTACAGACACACCTCCCCTTGATTATTGGGACCAATCTTCAATGATCCCTCACGACCAGACCGGAGTTGGGAGGGAGCATTACTTGAACCACTTCATGGTTCATCGGCTAGCAAATAAGTAGATATTATCTTCGCGTACGTGGGTTAGCACTCGGCAGAGTTTCATTTACGCCACATGTCCCATCGATCTGACGTGGGTTGCGGTCCCATCGCGAGACCAAACTGAAGCGTTAAGTAGTAGCTAGAGACAGGTGGCCGGGTACACCCCGAAGGTAGCCATGACTTTGTTGCCTATGTTTGGAATATCATCGAAGTCCAAGTCAACAGTAATATTGCAATTATTCTTATCGACGATTGGCAACTAAACCGCCCAGTCGTACATCGGCGGAACTCGGACGTTCGATTGGGGCGATACTAATGAAATCATGATCAAATTCATTGATTTGAATCAAAACCATCCCAATCGAACGTTGGAGGTGAAATTGGGAGTTGAGATCAGGATTGGTACATGGAATTGGGGCCTATGTCTCCTAGGTATTCCACCCACCAGTAACTGGTGGACGCCGTCTGTCGCGGCAAGTGCTTGATACTCTTCCGTCCGACAGACTTTGCTCTTTTGCTGCGTATACAACAGTGCCGGAAACGGCAGATGCAACGATGTGATGCGGGAAACAAGCGAGCATGTGATGGTGAGAAAGGGTAGATGTACATGGTACAAGTGGTTAAACGGGGCCCCTTGCAAAAACAAAGTAGCGGGAATTACTCGCACGTTGCTATCTCAAAACAAATTGTTGCGAAACAATGGGCGGGATCTGGACCTATAAAAAGTGTGGGAGGAAGCCAATGCTCTGAGAGGATCCAAGCCAAACGCACGTCAGTCCTGCTCGTCTTACTAGAAGCACTGCGCCTCCAGCCATGGTGGCCATTTCTGTGCTCTTTTCCATGGCCTCGGCTTTCTGCTCGACTCAGGCTTTTCTTGCCCTGCGGGGCTGGCCTAGCACCCCAGCTCACATGAACGGAGACGAGGCCAAAGCGTGGTATAACCCTGCTGGTGGCGGCTCGCTCCACACCCGTCAGCAGAATTCGTCGTGCCAGACCCTCGATGTATCTCAGTTGAAATCGTTTGGTGTCTTTGAGGATGCTCTGGTATGTGTTTGCAATCACCAATTCGATCCCTGATAAATCATAGATACTAGCGGTATGCGAGCAGCATGTGGGGTCCTGATTGGGACAATATTACGACGAATCTCCCTGATGTACGTGCATTCCTCCTTAATCACTGGAACCGCCCATGACCTCGAAACAGTACCCGAATCAGACGGCATACTCATGTGCCCCGAATCAACCAGTACAAGAGGCATACTGGACAACCCCTACGTGCGCGAACCAAACCCTAGGGTTTACTGGATGCATTGTGAGTCTTTCCACCTCCATTTTTATTGCGGCATTTTATCATCGGCCCATGGATTTCCTAGAAGCGGGGTAACAGCACTGCGCAAGTAAACGTGCGTCAAGGGACTTCTGTCACCACTTCAACATTAGTTCAACGTGAGTTGAAATGTGCCTACATCCATTGGTACCGCGATTTATATTTCTACCCTAGATGCTATTGAATTTGGTAGCAGAACCCAGTACACTGTCTGGGTGGGTATTCCCTTAGTCTTTAAAATTGCAATCGTTGGTAGGTGTCCCTCTGAATCCGCCGCTTTCCTTCCCAATGATTCATCCTGACTCATCAGAAACTATTTATGCCTTTCTCGTCAATACGAATGGTCACAGGTCTACTACCACAGACGATGCCCGCACCTTTGTAACTCAAACTGTCAGTTGTCCCGGCCCAGCCATCGCCAATGCGAGTGTCAGCCTTCAAGCTTGCTGGGCTGACAGTCAGGTCGCCATCCCCCTCACAGTGTATGGCTGGCTGTGGTTCCATTACGGAACAAAAAGGCAGAATCATTATCTATGTCCGTAGGCTGCTATTGACCCACCACGGGGATTCATTGGTGTCTTGTTCATTCCGTTAGGGGGCGTTAATATGGAGACGGTCAGCACTGTCGACAGTCGCCGGCAGGGTGTAACACTCTCCGTTCACTTATCTGCCGAATCATACGGTTCCGTTTATGGTGCATTTTCCCCTTCTCAACGAGATGACCGGGTGTTCACCTGCATACCTAAAGCCGATTGTGTTCCATGGACCAACGATTCGGTATGCATTCAAGGCGGAATCCCCGCTCCTCCGTAGCGGATCCTGCAAGTTTTTCGACGTGAAAGCAAGGCTCTCTACTATAACACTTCAAATTCCCAACAACCCAGGGCCCGCACTTGGCACCAAACTCTGTCACCCGCCCCCTTTAATTTTCGTTCTGACAACTGCTACATGTAAACTTGTTGTAGATTACAATAGGGGTGACCGCACTGTTGTGTCGTCATGCGACCGCGGGGTAACAAGAGAGATTCATCATCATCATCATCATCATCACCGAACTCTATCAATCAGCTTCGTGGGCCTGAGCCTTATCTCCGTTCACTCATGATCGCCCCCTCTCATCAATAAAAGGAAAGGGGGCAGGGAAAACATACTTACAGAATTGTGATGAATTGGGAATGGAAAAACCAAATTCCAGAACCAGGAGCAACAGACGTCGTCCACAAATTATTTCTTAATATTCCGCTCCGTCGCGGCCAGGGAAGCATGTGTAGTTTCGTGCATGTCACCAAATTAAATATAACTGATGGACGCCGCCTGTTGCGGCATTACCCGCTACTCTTATCGGTTCTCTCATCTGACGTCTATGGAGGGGGGCCGGATTGAATTCAGCATTGTGACTTACAGAGTTGTCCCAAATCCCCCTGCAAATCCCCCTGGCGGTTAGCCAAACTTGTGTCACTGCGCTGGGGTACATTGGTATCTCCTCTTGAACGAGTGCTCTACCCATGTACGCTGTGGCGAATTCATGCATTTGCAACAAGACAACCCCCAAGGCCCTCAGCTTGATTTGAAACGACAAGAGTGGCGTTGGGGATGAAAATTGAGTGTCATCCATGGAGACTGCGTGAGCGAATCCGTTCAGGGCCGGGCCCTGATTTTAACTCGAGGTGGATTTGAATGCGCAACAGGATGCCTTCTTCATGAGGATTGTTTAAAGGTTCAAACTGCAGTGCGTCCTTCCCAGGATGGCCTGTGTTCGAAGAGCCTCAAGCCCTGGGAGCGCGACATTATCATGCCTTATTGGTAAGAATCCGCCCGGCTTCCAGGAACTATGGCCCTCCCTGATTGGGACCTACACCGACGGGCAGGGTACAAGGCTTTGCTTTTGGACTTTGGTAGACAATCCACAAGTAACATAAGTGCCCAGCGAACATAACCCCAAAAAAATCCATGCATGAGTCCGTCTGTAAATCCTACACATCCTCCCGAACCAGCAATGCAATGTTTATTAGCACAAGTTCGCGCGAAAGAACAGCTCATCTGTTTCACAACTCAAAACCTCGTGGGCACTGAGTCAAACTCCATTTTCCGACCGTGCAATGGGTGATGACATCATTGGCCACAGACATTGAGGAAACGTCGAATAAAGAGAGAATGGGTAATGGAGAAAGGAGCATGGCATGAAGGGCAAGGGAAGTTATTGGGAAGGGGAGCTTTTAAAGCGAGAACAGGATACGGAAGTTACAAAACAAATGCGGAAAGTTGGCTTACAAATCAAGACAAGGACCCTGGATAGCAAGGGAATTTGCAATAATACAGGACCTCTGGCACGGGCATTCAGTTTACGCATTCAAGACCCGCTACAGAGTAGCGGGAATTGGATCCATGCTGGATCACAAGGCTTCGGCAGAGTAATCCAATTCCAGGCCTCTAAAGTGGGATCGCACTCGGCATTAAAAATAACGTACCATGAATCATGATCGTGTTTCGTTACGTAGAGCAATTCCCCAGAGGCACCCGTCATCAACCGTTGGAAGGCATCGACAACCCAACCCTTCCCCACAAACCTTCAGGCATCCTGCCCGCGAAAGCTGCTGAAGGATCCACCAATAAAAATATAAAGACTCAGCAATGCATAATCCGTGCTAGCTAGGCAGGACTCCAGCCTCTATGACTTCGTAACAATATATAGAAATCCGTGCATGAGTATGCATGTTCCGGTACGATCGGGGGGCTGCTAAGGCGGCTCTCAAGAGACACGAGATTACAGGGATCGTTGAAAAAAGGATCGACTTCAGGTTACCAGCCTCTATCAGTATAGAGGAATCTAGATACATATGGCAATCCGTTACTCAGCGGATAAGTACTAGCTTGCCTGATCCTAAGGATGACACTTCTCTTATATCTCCCGCACTGGCTTTTTCAAATCAGCAACCGACTTGGGTAGGTGATAGGCAGGTTACCAACTTCTCTTACACAAGGCACAGCAGGTGTTAGTCACGTGTGGGCACAGATGCCAAGCATTGCCGGCGGGAATTGCGAGAATCCAGCGATCCAGGCTGCCTTGTCCGCCGGAAGGCGACGTTAAAAGGTACACGGCGTTCACTCCCTTTAAGGAAGCAAAAAATCTACCAAGACGAGTCGGAGGTCATTGATCAAAGCATTGACGACCACAACGCTGTCAAAGATTGGAAAGCGCATGGAGTCTCAACCTCGAACGACTGCTACACCGCTGAGGCACATTAATCCTGCGATGGATCCATGGTTCGACTATCGGAGAACGTGAGTCATGCCTTGACATAAAGGCACAGCATTGTCTATTTATAGCCTTTTCTATTATTTTCGGTCATTGCGCTTAACACGCTCTGTGCATGGAAAATGACAGGGATCCGTACCTTGACTTCCAGCCAAACTTCGCCCTTTCCTTACCGGTCCAGATCCTCCTGCAAGGTGTCATTGTAGCGCTCGTGTCTGTTTTGCTTATTCACCTCATCTTCACTGCACATTCCCACTGGCCTCTCGCGCGGCTCAACTATGCCTTGCAAGTCGCAGGGGTCACCACATTACTAATATCCTCGATAGCTAGCATAATCGTTGTGCTGCATCTGCTTCGTAGTTACAGTCGCGGATGGCCTTATATGCTTGACTACATCGCAATCAGCATCCCTCCTGATGATTGGCCTATCGCTGGGCAAGTTTCGTGGTATTCTATGGAAGCTATAACATCTGGCTTTGCTCACGTATGCCCAGTTACCCCCCTCCGTCTATATTGCCTCACACCTAGCTGACAGATTACGAACATCCAAACCCTCACTTTACTCTTTCCTGCCAAAGCAGAACAACGACTAATTTTCCTCCTACTCGGTATGTCATTGATGCGCCGCATGGCTGCGATTATCTATCCCCTAAAATTGGGTCACGTAGGACCTCTCGTCCTTGCTTCGTCAGCTATGACCTTCTCGTCTTTATCACCAACTGATCGTGCACAGGACCTAGGAGATGCCATTCGAGGCATCTGCAACACAACCCTCTCCTTGCTCTTCACATCCGCGTTGTTCATATGGGGGTTTGTCATCAATCGCTACAGAGCATGGCGAACCGACGGTGGCACAGCAGCGTTCGGTGCCGGGGCCTGTCTGTTAGCAGTGATGAGCGTCGTCGTGAATTTTATTCTAATATTCGAGGACCGATTGGTGTGGTTGCCCTACCTGAACTGGGCTGTGGTGCTGTGGCAGTGAGTTATCTGTTTGCTCATGATCAGGATTCGCCCTGAACTCATGTGCCGCCTTCTTGCTTACCAGGAGTTTCTTTGGGTGGTGGTGGTTTGCTGGCTCGGGGATGGGTATTCCCGAGGTGGGAGACATGCTCTATCGTGCAGAGCGCAACAAACGGAAGGCACAGGAGAAGGAACGCAAACGGAAAAGAAAAACGTTTTCGGAAGTGGACACTCCCTCATCGAATACCTCTGGGGCCCTTCGTTTCTTCAGTTCGCTGGTTGGAGATTTGAGTAGACGGAGATCTGCACGGACGATGGGTCCAGGTCGCGATGCCACCAGTGGCAACGAAGGGGACATCGAAATGTGTTCTATTCCTTCAGGGCTCGCCGCCCATCAGACAACTGTAAATGGTGCCCCTCATCCGCACTCCCGTTTGAGCAATTTCTTCCACGCTCTTCCCTTTTTTCACAATATTTCAAACTTCACCAAAGAGCTTGGCCATGCACATATACGTGCCGCCGTCGAGAATGCCCAGAGTGATCCTCGTCCTGAAGGTGGTGAGAGTGAAGGGTGGGGATTAGGGGCTTATGGTCTTACGCAGCGGGAAGAGGCAGAACGCAGGATCATGGAGTTTAAAGAGCGAAGAAAAGGTCAGAGGCTCCTCAACGTGGAGCGGGGCCCGGGGATCGAAGAACGAGAGGAAGATTGGGAAGATGAAGCTGGAGATATAGGCGAGAATGATAAGAAGGAGGCACTGGAAAGGTTGCAGCGAGAAGTTGATGCTGAGGCTGCTGGTCCTTCGACATCAGGGCAACAGGACACGCAAGGCCCAAGGCGCCGCCCATCTCACTCGACTCTCACAACACTGCCTGACCCACTTCCACCCACCGGCTCCGTTTTCTGGTGGTGGGGTCCACTGCGACGGTGGAGGCTTCAGGACCGGGCAGTTTACCAGTAAAGTCCTCTCGTATTTATCTCGCTACGGTCCTACGGTGGCTGTCAGTCCCCCACTGGTGTGCTTTTTAACTTTAACTTCAGTCAGCTGCACTTTTTATCATTCCCCTGCACCGCTTAATTCTACCTGGCAATGACTTTGTACTCCTACTGTGTATGTACTTGAGCATAATACTATCAAAAGATCACACCTTGCTCTAGCTAGCCTCGTTCTCAGTCACACAGCTGTTGGACTAGATCGTAAGGATTCGAGAACGATTGACACTGCTTGTGAGGAATCTCGGGGAAAGTGAAATTTATGTGTGAACTTCCAACCGTGAGTGTTAGCTGTTGGATGTTGCTTATGTACCTAAACGTCGTTGGTAAAGGTGCCATCCCAGATTTGTTTGATGTGCGTGTGGGACATGAGATTGGCATGCCAGTGGCCCGAGCGCGGGTGGGCATTTCACAGCTCCTGACTACAGACTGTGATCCTTTTGCAGGGATGCTTCTCGGCTCTTTTAATGCGTACACAACGACAGTGGTGACTTGTCTCAACATGAATGTTGGGGAGGCTGTCAATACTAAACCTCAACTTCTGACATGGCCCTTGATATCCCCGAGAGCATTAACACCACACTCAAGCGATTATCGAGCAAAGAGGAAATTTGATAGAAATTTGACGAAGCGCTAAACCACTTGGCTGATATCAACGACTAATGGGGCTTCCATCTCACCTTGGATTATGAATCAGTGGATCCTCTCTTGCGGAGGCAGGAATGAATTCTCCTGGGATGAGCTCGTTTCTTCCACTGCTCCAAACGCAGTATGATTCCCATCGCAAGCGCTGACATATCGGTCTCCAGATGAGAATCCAAGTGTGTGGCGTGGCAGATAAAGGTATGGTTCCAGGCCGGCTCGGAGGCCTCTGAAATCTGTATCGCTGGGAGACGGGTTACCATATTTGGAACGCCATTACAACAGCAGCTTCATTTCAGTCGTGGTTCGAATCCTCTGGATACAAAGTTGATTTACTGTGATCTCGTTCCCAGACTGTCTAATTGAACGCGTTCGGAGAACATCAATAATCACCGATACCTATGTTGACATGAGTACCCCTAGATGTTTTGGCAATGGTCTGCGGGTGTGGAGGGATGAAGAATAAAGAGTACCAGCAACAATTTTAGTGACATGGTTCCCACGCAATTGTGAGGTTTGAAGTGACCTTGTAATTTCCATGTAGTGGCAGTTTAGGAGAGGCACAACACAGATCACCCCGCGCCTTATGCTACCACGACCTCACTTCTGTTAATCGCAACCGGACACTCTGAGCACGATATCAAAGTGTCATTAAATATCGTGCTCTCAGCTCACACATTGCACTTAGATACTTTTCTGAGTGGCACAAATGGACAGGGGCCAAAGCGAACAACAAAGCTAACAAATAACGGCAACATCGGAATGCCACATCCAACACCAAGCTTCAAATGTTAACACGGAACAAAATATATATTGCGTTCTCCTAGTTAAAACTGCCACAACGATCCGATCGAAGGGCTGGCGGACGGCATGGTCGGTTCTCCTTACATAATCTCGGGGCTTGCCGTTCACTTCTTCTGAGCGCCCCATTTCTCTTCGGACCATATCAAAAGCTTGTCAACTAAACTTCTGCAGCGACTTGTCATGGACTCCCCAATGGCGCTCAGTACCAATGGAAAGTATAGCAATGGCATAGAAGATACTCCAGGACGAAAGTATGCAATGCGCTTATTTTTTTCCCTTAACGCTCACGTAAACTTTGCGTTCGCAGTTCTCCTAGTCGTGACCACCATTCATCTTCTCGAAGTGCTCACAAAGATTATAAGGATAGGGGCTATGACCGCGACCGTGATCGCAAGCGTGGTAGCGAAAGGGAACACACCCGGGACCCTCGAGAAGATAGACATGACCGTGACCGTGAAAGGCATCATCATTCCTCCTCTAGGAGGCACAGCGGAAGCGAGGAAAAATACCGCGAACGTCGTTCCGAGCGGGAGCGCGAACGTGAACGTGACAGAGAAAAGGACCGTCATCGCGATCGGGATAGGAGCGATAGGGACCGTGACCGAGAGCGAGGAAGGGATAAGGATAGGGACAGGGCTGGGGATTATGAACAGGATAGAGAGCGAGATCGCGACCGTGACCGTGAACATCGTCGTCGCAAACTGGACGAAGTGGATGGTTCTCCCTCCCCTCGTCTGGACGACCGCTATAGCAAACGACTCCGAGAGAGTTCAGTTGACGGCGGGGCTGCACCTCCCTCTAGCGAAGCTGGTCGTGGTGACACGAGGAGCGCATCAGACAGAGATTTATTGGACAGAGTGAGCAAATCATCTGCTCGAGACCGCTCGCGGGAGTCAGATAGGCGATCATCGTATACTGCTAGTAAACCTGGCGATGACGGTCCTAGGCATCCTCCTCCTGCAGATAGACTTCCGGTTGACGATAGGAGCCCGCCTCCTTATGACGATAGAAAACGCCGAGATGAGAGGTATGACCGAAGACGAAGTCCTCCTCGCAGGTGAGTCATCAGGCTCTTCTGATCATGAACAAAATTCCACGAATTCTGTCTCTGGTCCACCAGGCGCAGATCCCCCGAGCATCCTCCTGTATCCAGCGCAGATTCCGAAGCCCGGTCTGTTTTCGTATCTCAGTTGGCTGCCCGCGTGACCGCCCGTGATCTAGGCTATTTCTTCGAAGAGAAACTTGGAGAGGGCTCGGTCATTGATCCTCGTATCGTAACAGATCGTCTTTCTAGACGCTCAAAGGGGTGAGTGGAGTTTCACCGTTGGATAAGATGCGAATGGCCGATTTGTCTCACCTAAACTGACGCACAGCATCGCGTATGTCGAACTTGGATCTGTTGAATTAGTCCAGAAAGCGCTTGATCTATCGGGTACTATTGTAATGGGTCTGCCAATCAAGATTCAGTTGACTGAATCAGAGAAGAATAAGGTTCACTCCTCTGATATTGTGTTCGTCGTCCCATACTTTCTACTTCCCCTAGAGTCTCACTTTGTATTTATCACAGGGGATCACAGCAAGGATCCATGCAGTTGTACGTTGGCTCGCTCCATTTCAACCTTACCGAGCAAGACATCAAACAGGTGTTCGAGCCGTTCGGGGAGCTGGAATTTGTTGATTTACATCGTGATCCGGCAACCGGCAGGAGCAAAGGATATGCCTTCGTACAGTACGTCATTAATATTTCTAGCCCCCAATTCATACTGATTTGCTGCGTAGATTCAAGAGGGCCGAAGATGCTAAAATGGCGTTGGAACAGATGGAAGGCTTTGAATTGGCCGGTAGACAGGTTGGTATTCTCACATTCTCTCTTATCACCCTTTCAATTTCTTTCGAAAAGCTCCGTGTCAACACCGTTCACGAGAAAAGCTCTACCAAAGGCATTTCATATCAGGATTCCCTTGATGAGAACGGGGGTTGGTTGACCATTAATTCCCGCATTTCTGGGTGTTCACGTCCCTGACAGGTTCCTTGAGCAATAACACATCTCGTCACATGCTGATGCAGAAATTGGCTAGGACTGAACACGTCACCTCTCCTGCTCAACCGTGTGTATTGTTGTCTCCATCAGTCTGGTGCGACGTTTAACCCTATTTTGTTAGAATGCGGCCGGTGATTCCACAGGCACAGACGAGAAATATTCTTCTTAAAAACATGTTCGACCCGGCTGAGTACGTGGTCTCTTTTAGCCATTGGTCCATTTTTCAATAATGACGCCTCTTTCGCCAGAGAGTCGGGTCAAGATTGGGATAAGGAACTCGCTGAAGATGTCAAGAGCGAATGTCAGGTTAAGCATGGACGCGTTTCTGCGATCACGGTTGATAAGGATTCTCAGGTAGGCTGTACCATCTAGCGCCTCCTCTCGGACTCTAGAGCTCACTGCTCGCCTGCACCAGGGAGAGATTTACGTCCAATTCGATAGCGTTGAGTCGGCCTCCTCAGCCTGCGCAAGTTTGAATGGTCGTTGGTTTGGTGGGAAATTGATTTCCGCTGCGTATATCTCAGATGCAATTATGCAGGCGCACCTCGATTGATAGGCAACGATTTCTGGGGCTCCAGTTAACGCAGAATGATATCATTTACGCTTCCTTTCTCGGACGAAACTTATTCCTTTCCCCGTGTTATAGGTGCCGAGATAGTCCGTTCGTTGCTGCTTATGACACGATCTTCTTTCCCTTCCTTTCTTCATGCTGCTACAAGATGCTATGCACGTTACTCACTCGCATTGATGTCTAGCGTGTCTTTTATACTTCTTTTTTGGACATAAGTGCATCCTATACACCCCTTACTAACGCCGGCGCGCCATTCGCATGAAAAATTCGTGACATTGTCACAAAGAAGGCACGTCCTACTGTCTCATCCCACTGCTTATGCAATTTTGTACGATCCTTTCTCTCAATGCCCAATCCAGATAAAACTTTTTACAAGCTATGAGCAGAGAGGCCCAGACCTGCACCCTTCAGCTTGATGCAAAGAAATTGGGAACACCCCATGCCTGACCTTGAACGCATCTCTTCGTGCGATCGCACATTCAGAGATCGATCGACTGGAAGAAACTAACGTAGCACTCCTGCCCAATTGCAACAACTGATCCGGTCCATTATATGGCCAGCGGCGAGTTATTGGGCGATTTCTATGCCGACGTCGGTGCTGTCAAACCAGCCGGTGACTTTCCTCGCCTCGACAACGACCGGCAGCTAACAACAACTTCACTAGATGCCGGTTCCTTAGATACCCCCTTCGTTTTTCCGTAACTCCCCCCATTGCGGCGAATGTTCACATCGTTGTGAGTCGAATCGAATTGTTGTAAGATTCCGCAGGCCCCCATCGAGGAACAAAGACGGGGTTTCGGACAAGCAGCTACACAACGGAACCGGCAATCTTCCTTGGTTATAACGATGTTTCCGCGTCCCTTTGGCTATCTGACCATGATAGTTGCCTGCCCCGCTGCATGGACCCAACCGCTAGCCGCTGTCGAGTTGTCGACTGACTGTACTGCTGTGTCTGCTTGCCTCACACGTACTGTATAGGCCTCCTGGGTGCCGCTTACATTGCTCGATTGGAGGAACAGAGGCAACGATACTATGTGTATCCGTACTCCATATGACTCCCGCCACAAGAGCCCCGTCGAGTTACCCACCGACCGAATGATTGCGGCCCTCCCTATGCAAGAGGGGTGGTCTCGTTTCGAGCTCTTAATTTTTTAGTGCACGTCGATAGTCCTCAATTGATATTCCGCCTCCCACATACATGTATCCGCCGAGTTATATTGCACTCAGGCTCCTGCAGTTCATTGTGCCCTTCCCCCTTGTGTGCTATGGTTATCGACAGGATTTTCACACAGGCTGGTCTAGAACATATTATGGCAGGTGCTAAAATTGGGTTAATATAAGTATTTGGTGCGGGGACCCGGGGAAACCCGTCGTGCTGAAGCATAATTGGCAAAAAGTCAATAACACATGTAGGCAGGATCCCAGCCTCTACTAAAGTGGAACACATATGCATATGCTAGACCAGCCTCTTGCTTTAACGGAAAGGCATATGCATAGTGACAAGACAAGAAGGATGGGGACATTCCAATAGAGGCTGGCCATCTACTTAACGGGTGTTAAAACTACCGACCCTATAAGGATCCGGGCGCATCAAGTAAGCTTCGCCTCCGCGCAATCGCAAACGTACCTCGATATTGATTCACCGGAAGCGGCCGCAACACCGCCACCAAGGAAAAATGTGTATAAAAGGTCAACAACTTTTTTCTTCCTTAGTTCTTGCAACCTCCCTCAATCAAATTGTTCATCCTCTATCATAGTTCTGGCCCCGTGGTGTCAAATGTTCTTCTTAAGCCTCTAGATTATCTTTTTCCTTTATCTGTTCCCGCCCACTCACTCTTTCATCGTTAAAAAATTTTTGATCCATCGACGCACATTTCGGTGTACAGGATTCATGTTCACACAAGCTTGATTCCTTGAAGGGAAATGTGCAAGAACAAACACTACTACCAGATGTCATTAATGCTGGCGCGATATGATAATTCTAGCAGCGCGTCAGCTTTTGGCACTGGCACATACCCTCCTGTCCAACTTTGTGTCTCCCGACTCATGTTATCTCTTCTCTTCTTTTTTGTTTTTTGATTTGCATCTCAATGCATATGCAATCCAGGGCGCAAGCCACTTCTACGTTCTCGCACAACCTGCAAAAAGTGATGCGCACTGCAGCAGCAAAAGCGGTCGACGTACACCCTGCATGTAAGTAGGTGGCCAATACTACCATGTCCCCCCCCCCAGTGCAGTCTCCAAATGTCTGATTCACTTGAACAAGCGCAAGCGATGCATGTGTACTATCTAAGCGCCCGGTAGTGCGTCGTACTCAGGTGCAAGGTCAACCCGGAGGGAGGGTTACTTTTAACGCAATTCAAAGCGAGAGATATCACTGGCGCTTACCTCTAATCACTGTGGGGACATCTCGGCTTGGTTTTTCATACGCTGCGCGTTTTCTTTTTAGGGGAGACTTTGCGTCCCATCCGCTGCAATCAATCGCTTCAGCGCTAGCACTTGACCATCTCGCCGCAGCATGCACCGTCATATCGGGGTATTAAAAAAAATTGGCACTTATAGATATAATTTAGGCGCGAACGCCATAGCAGGTGTGAATCAACAACAAGTACGTTTCTCTTATCGTAGTTGGTAGTTGCTCTTAATTCGCGCGTAAGCCACTGAATTTTCGTTTCCCTTCTTTTTTTTTGGTGTATATTGAAAGTTCTTTAGTTGCATGCCGTTCGAAAAAGAGCAAGCTGGTCGGTCCCCTGTGGATCGACACTGGTGTTCAGTGTATATACGTTGAGCCGATTATGCGTACTTACTAGCGATAACCAGTGGGATGCCCTTAATTACACAATTAGTGCAGACTCGAAAAATAGAATGTAAACGTTCAAGCCTGGAATTATATCAAGTTCACATATCGGGAATTACATAGGAGCGCTATATAGCTTGCATGCGTGCATGCATATCGGTTGCGACCGACCACTTGCATGAGCCTCTTGAGCTAGGTTACCTACCGACTACATGAAAGGAAAATATAAAAAATTAAGGAGGCGCAGCTCATGCTGAAAACTCGTTTTTCTACGAGTTCGAGGCAGCTATATACACTGTGGGAAGTCCCCCCATCAGATTGTACTGGGTTGTACCATCACCTAATCGAGTCCCTATCAGCTTTTTGGAAATGCTCAGTCGTGTGTAGTACCGGGGCTACCTAGCATCTGGATTCTGACTTGCATATTGATACCAAAAGACAATTTCTCACATTAACTTAGAGCATTCCAATCCCTCATTCTCATCATCGCTGAGTTCCATGTCAAGTCCGTCCAGGTGTGGGAAGTTCCCCGTCAGATTGTACTGGGTTTTACCATCACATTAAAGTACTTATCATTTTCTTCGAAATGCTGCTCAGTCGAGTGGAGTACCAGGGCTACCGTAGGCATGTGATTGTTGGGAGCAAGGAGACCATTGGGAAGAGTGGAAGCGCGGGGCGCTAATGTCGGTTTTGGGTTCCTTTCCTCATCCTTGTCGGTTCGGGAGTTGCCATTTACTTTGGAACTTCGTCTCACCTGTCATCTCTCTTATCTCTGTGTTCCTACACACATTGAATCGACGCTGGATATCCATAATATGCGCAGCCACGTTTTTCTTGGCTGTTTTCTGCATCATAATACGTGCTTCAATGCTCTCTATTGCCACTCCAGGTTGAGCGATCTTGTGCAATTGGCTCATCCGATCTTGGCGACCAAGCCTGCATTGCACCCTTTGGTGGGGCCCATATCTGTGTCTGCTACTTGGTTTCTCCCATTATTGAGTCCGACACTGTGGGCCCATGCTCTGTTGCGCGCATGCCAGTGCTTCCATGCCAATAGTCGCTGGTGACCCCCTTGCAATTGAACGCGTTCTCACGCGTTCTTCACTCATTGATGCCAATATTTTGGGCCAACCGACATGAAAGGACGCAAACCAGATGTGTTATCATGGCGTTGCCCAATGCGCTGTTGCAAAGCCCGCGCTGGTGCCTGACCAAAAAGTGTGCCTACCACTATGCTCTTAACTTTTCTCCCCCTCCCATTTCCTTCTACTCGGTGAGGTACAGGGAGTTCTGGAACCCCGTGGGCCGGGTTTCACGGATGAGCAAACTATGTGTTCCCCGCCATTCACCTCATCATTTGCTTTGCGATCTACCCGCCACATTTACCCCACTGATTATTATATCTTTGAAACCGACTTGCTCTTGGGACCTACACCAGCCCCACAGACTCATCTCTGCAAGGGTGGCTTTCTCCTGTGTTCAAGCGCGGGGTTTATCCCGCACCCTCAGTATAGCCTTGGGGCACTATTTCTCCGACACACGCAATGACAAGCACCAGTTATGCATGTATTACTATATAGTACAATGCCAAATGAATATATTATGATTCACTATTAAAACAAGCGGGGTTACCTATCAATAACTTCCAGGGCACCCCGTCAGTACTTCCGGGGCACCCCATCAGGATGACCCCGTCAGACTGCGCATATCTGATAGGAGGCCCCGGCATTGGAAATCTGATAGTTGGCCCCGTCAAATAGTAATGGGGCTACCTAGCGGCACTGGTACCGGGGCAACCCTACACCATCTGCCAGGGTTACTTCCCACTGTGTATAGGGAAGGGAAGAGACTACAGTAAGTGCTACTACAAACTGCCACTGGGGGGGGAGGGAGGGGGAGGGCCGGGGCCGCTGCGAGGCTTATTCGTTCGATCCTGCATGCAGTAAAGCTAGATCGATCTTGCACACTTTTTTACCGAAATTAAATAACTACCTACCTTGCATGCAAAGTGGAAGAGTGGGACCACAAACGAGCGATAATGTACAAGACCAAACCAAATTTGCAATTAATAGTTAAAGGGAATAACAATTACTTAATTAATCAAGTCGTGGTCGTTTGCGCGGCGGCAGCAAAGTCTTTTTTTTTTCTTTTTTTTTTACATCAAGAAGTGTTTATACAATTTATGTAACGGTCATCATGACAAAAGTGCATTGGTTTCGTCAAAAAGAAAAGGAAAAGAGAGAGAGAGAGAGAGAGAGAGAAAATTATTCATCAAAAATCCGTTTTCGTGGAGATGCATGAGTTTGACAACGGATGTGTGGAGGATGATGGGGTGGGTGGGGGACAACAAGAATTAGTCACCGAGTGACTCTTTGCAGAGGGGGGGGAGGGGAATATTATGCATGTCACAAAAGTAACATTGGTTGTGTGTGTGTGAAACATGAATTGAGAAAGGTGAAAAGGCCGGGGCCCCGGAATAGGATGTGTAAAGTGAGAGAGAAGGAAAAAGAGGGATTAGTAGCCTGGTCGAATGCGCACGCGTTGTGTGTGTTGGGGGGAGAGGGTGGGCGTAGGCGGGAACGGAAATGAGCAGAAAACGACGCGCGTGCATGCAAATGGGGCTTGACAAATCGAGGAGGTTGTACCGGATGCCAACGGGGAATCGAAGGTTTGTTTTCAAGCACAAGGATTTAAAAAACGTAGAAGACGCCCTTTTTTTGCATGGGAAAGGTCCAAGTTACATAAGTAAGTACCCCCCCCCCCCCCCGAAGGAATCGAGAACCTCGTTTTTCTTCGAAAGACTTGAAGGGGTCCGGCCAGGACTCGGACTTCCAAACCTGCCCATGATTCTACTCTCAAACCGGCAGGGGATCCCCACACCAGTATGTGAAGGAATATAGTGGTGTGTTCGGGAACACGGAAAATCCTGTTTTTAACGCGGATGATTCCTTACATAAGCGACGCCACCCGAGGGCCCGTCATCGAAGCCCGCGCTAATATTGTTGTGTCATCTCACCACTCCGAGAGACGCGCGCGCGCGCCAGAATAAATATTCTTCCCTCTTGATTCCTAACCCCCCCCCCCCCCCTCCACACACACACACACACGACGAACTCACACCCTTTCGAGCCTGGTCGCATCCCCACCTCTCTTCTCGATACTATTGCTCTCCGAACCCATATTCCTCAGCGCCGGCACAGGAACACCAGAAGGAGAAGGAGGACGTCGAAGAGCGGGGAAAGTTAAGGCGATGGAAATGAGGGCTGTTAGGATCAAAGGCCATGGAGCGATAGCGAAGAAACGAGTGTATCCATGTACCCAATAATCTGAGCGTAATCCGAGTTGTTTTTGTAGGGTTCTATATAAAGACGGAAATAAATTAAAATAGAAAAAAAAAGGGTTATCAGAAAGAGAGAGAGAGCAAGAGAGAGAGAAAGACTGTACCGAACGACATCATCAGGTATCTTCACACCATCCAAATACGCAGAGGTCTTTGCATGTCGATGAAGAGCCCAATCGAGCGAAACGGCCGCGCTCACGAGCGTCCATACCAAGCTAACCAGCCAAAATCCAAGCAATATCTCCCAACCCCTTTTCTCTCTTTCTCTTTCCAAATCATCACGGTCACTGTCAACATGTTCATGTCCATGTCCATCACCATCACCATCACCATGAGGATGATGACGATGGCCGACGACAACCCTCTGGATGTACTTGCCTCCAAAGGGTAGGATCCAAGGGAGGAGGGTCAAGAGGGAAATGTAGGATGTGATTCCCAAGAGGACTTCACCCGTAGCGAGGAAAGCTCCAGCTCCGATGAGATCTGAGATGGAGATGACGACGGTGACACCTGGGAATGGGGATTCGGCTTCAGCCACTTGGATGACTCTGTGGACTTCATTGTGAGCTCTGAAGGATGGGTTATTTTTTTGAGGGAGGGGGGAGTTTTATGCGTAGTAATGGTAGTGTATATGCGTGTGTGCGAGGTAGTTGATAGTTGAGTATGTAAAGGAGAGAAACAGAGCGTCAGTGAAATCGATATGAGAGAGAGCGCGCGTTCTCGTTACTTTACGAAACAATTAATACATGCACTACCACCGACGATGGCGAATGCAAGGGTTGCAGCGTAAGCAATGGCACGGAGCCATTTGAAAGGGACTCCTCGATTGATGCCCGTTAATGACATGGATGTGTGTGTGTTGCCTAGTAAGCTTGCTCTCCTGCACTAATAGCAACGTCTAATGATCGGTTGCGTGGACACTCGCTCGCTCGATGACCCCCCCAAAGTAAGAGGGAAAAGGGAAAAGAAGGAAGAGAGAGAAAGGGGGAGTCTTATTACTTATAGCTGGTAAGGAGGTCATCGGAGCAAAAGTCAGTTCAAGCAAAAAACCGCCTTCTCTCCCGCTCTGAGAGTAAATTAATCTTCATTGGATTTCAAATGAAAAAAGTTGATCATGAATTACTTATCATTTCGATATGAATTGCGGGAAACTCCGAGTGCCTTGTGCTGTCAGCTGGAGGAGAAAACTACTTACGCCGCGCGCGCATCTTTTGCTCTTCCTTCGTATATGTAGTTATGTAAGTAGAGGGGGAGAAGGGGTTGGAGGGGGGCGGTCATGATTCGGGACCGAATGTCTTGACAATTAAGATTGATTTGCAAATGATGCCAATAATTGACAAGTCAATTATGCATATATACACATAATACATTCCGCTAATTACTTTGGTGTTCGTTCCCCTCTTCCTACATATGTAGTGTCTTGGTAAGGGTGAGGGCGCGAGGAAATGGTTACTGTATATCTCCATCATATATATATATATATATAATTATGTATTCATTTCGTCCGTACAACGGCGGTTCTCCTTGTTCGAACTATGATGCGACGCTTGTGCTGGCACGTCGCTATAACCACGTACTTGCACTATGGAAATTCCAAGCACAGTGACTGGCTAGCTTGGCCAGCGGAGACAATACTCGAGCTGATGGACATTCGATTTACCCCCGGCATATACATATATCCGGTTACCCTCGCGCCTCCGGAAGAGAAGTCCGGGTATTGAGGGCCGCGGAGTACTCGACCCCGTTTATACAGCACGCATGGAGCACATACCCCATGTGCAAGAGGTCACCTGCCTAAGTACAGTGAATATGGCCAATGTACAAATATACCCCATATGCTTTGTAGTATTGTTGCATGCTGCAACAAGAAAAGAATCGATCGAAGCACAGTATTCGGCTAAAATTATACACACTGTACATATGTACTTAGTAACCCCTCGGAATTCTCTTCCTCCACCTCCACACTGTACTAGTACTTGTACTCTGATAGCGGAATAGGAGCAAACTATCTAAGACTTTGCAAAGACGTCGCGGCCTCTTTGCCTCCATAACATCCGGCCCTAATATGTCTCAATCAACATCAACGGGTATACACACTTACAGTAGTATATTACGTTCTTGCATAATTAGCATAGCACTTTACATTGGTGCGGCGGCCATTCAAGTTCTCCTTCTCCTGTCCGAGTTCGAATCTGCCAGAGTCAACGTAACTGGATCCCAGCATCCAGGGTGTCGTTGGAAGGGTTGTTTTCGGGTCAGGCCAAAACATGGAACAGTCGCCGGACACCCTGAGCTTTGTCTCCAAGGTGGCACCAACCCCATAGTAGCGCGCGGCCTCCGTCGATCTGCACTTCTAGCCTATTACTTTTCATGTTGGGACTAGCTTCCTTAACTTATCTATGTATGGCCTTTTGTGGATGACTACTTACATGGGAGCAGTATATAATGGCAGTTAAGTAATGAACGTTGCCGCTTCGTAAGGCTCTTGCATTTACCACCCCCCTAGTATACTGCTCCCAAATTCCAATTCCTCGAAATACACACGTTAACTCTGAGAGATCCGATCTTGCACTTTGTATCGACGGTATCAGAGACGTACCTTGTTCCGAGGCTGATTTCTTTCCTCCCTCCCCTTATATATTCCACGCACCTCTGAACCCTATCTACCGACCACAAACGATCAATTATATAACCCCCCCGAATGCGCTAGCGCCCCAACGCAAATGATTTGAATGAAATAGTACATGAATACCTTGCAGTGGGGGCAAGAGGCAACCTAAAAAAAAAGAAAAAAAAAAAGAAAAAACTTCCAAGCTAGCAGCCCGGCCCCTGGATGTTCAGAAAAGAAAAGCTACGGGAGGCCAAAGGTTACATGCATAGCACAAAAATTTATTTATATGAAGGAATGCATAATGCACGCATGCAACGCAAGTCGTACACAATCCCTTTGACGGTTCTGTGGTTTTGGTTTGCATGGTTCGGTTCAGGAACCAGCCGAGCCCGCCCCCCCCCCCCCCCAACCAGCTTTGAAATTTTTGCAGAGAACCAGAACCGGGAAACCGTGGTGGGGTTTCGCGCGGTTTCAATCAACCCAATCAACAAGTGGTACCTTCGGTCCCCGGTATGTTCAAACCGGGTTCGATCTTTGAGCACGGCATCCCCACTCAGTTGTGATCAATGGTTTGACTATACATACATAATCTGCAAAACAATCTCGTCTAGACAGGTAAATTGATCATTGACGTCTACGAAAAGATTATATACTTGGTTGGTCTCAGCCCTACAAGCGTGATACGACTATGAGAGCTATATTAATAATCTTAAGGGGTTATATAAAAAGGGTGGCGGCCCTAACTGACAAATGGCTCATGGCTAGATAGAGGCCATTCACATGGAAAATCACGTATACACTCGTCTTTCAGATCGAATTATGTAGCTGTAGATAAGATAGACGTTTCCATTGGAATCAGGCGGTATTCGGTCAGCCGAGGACGGTGGGGGGACGGCCGCGGCTAGCCTGAGAACACTTGGCCGCGCATGGGACGGGGCCAGGGCCGGGGTTAGTCAAGTGTACTTATCGTGAGACCGATAGGCATAAAACATCGATCGAGATATATACGTAACGCCATCAATGACCCAGCTAGAAAAACTTTTGGTAATATATATTGGAGGTTGAAAAGCAAACCGACCGGCATGGCAGGTGACATGAGACGTACGCGTGACACTGACAGAACTCGGAGAGGTGGGATAGGAGGCGCAGAAAAATACTGAGGCTCGAGGAACCTCACAGGGTGTGAAGCGCCGTAGAATCTTCTGAGGCAACGTGGGATAGACTTCATACAAAGGCCGCGGCTCAAGCTGTACCCGAGTGGATGGTGCCAAAATTGCCAATGACTAATCGAACTTGTACTGTAATCGCGAATGTTTCGCAAAAAAAAAAAAAATTACGAACTTACGGGTCCCGAACTATAGTGTCAAAACGCACGAGGGCAATTAACATTGGTGTGACGGGACGAGGGATGAGGGAAAAGGCTAATCTCTGCCCCACCGCGATCATGCATGACGCCACTCTCTTGCGTTGTAAAAAAAAGGTGCAGGACTGTCTCTCGAATCGCAGGGCAGGATTTAGTCGAGTGAATTGAAACGCGCCATCCCTCGTGTATCTAGCTATTGAAGGGGGGGGGGAGGCTTCGTCGGGCATACCTAGCCTATGCGCGCCCCCTACCAGTGCCATGTTATCTGATCCAAAGTGAGGGTGCAACTAAGTGAACAGAGCTAGAGTAGAGCAAAGATAAAGTATCAAGCTTCTAGGAAAGAGAGCAATACGATAGCCCATATGCTGTATGCCTACTTCATTAAGCACGAAGTGATCCTTTATCCACACGATGACAAAGGGGAAGGGGGAAGCGTATCGCCAATGGACCCCCGCCGTCCCTCAAACACATTGTTGGGCTTCCACCATGGATAACAGGGACTTTCGCTATTTCAAGTGCGTCAACGCGAGACTCTTGATGTGAGGTGGCAGCAACGCCCGTTGAGACCACGGTTTCTTCAACGGAAAAAAGCTGGTGTGGAAACACACACACCGGCAGATAAGCTCGATCGTTATCTCAGAGTTCTTTATTTCAAGAACAAATGGAGAATTGCCGCAATGTTACCGAGGTAGTATGTATGGTACTATGAACTTGAAGCCTCGTTGGTAACGGGGATACGTGCGGATCTCTCCAATATGGTCGATGTGCTAGTAATAGAGCCAACCTACTACTAGCTCGCAAGTGGAAACAACAGTCGTCTTCGGCTCGAGCTTCCATGCGCAGAGGTCAAAGACTCGGCGGTGCCGCTCCCAGAAACTCGAAGGAGCACAATCTGGGCCATTGACCGAGTTTTGAGTAGTGTGATTCCACGTCAATGACTGAGCGCTTGGATGACAACAAACAGGCCAAGTCAGCTACAAAAAGATCCATATTCCACGTTAGCACCGCGAAGCCCGTCCCGCCCCACTCGACCCGAGGATGAAGTGCTAGGGACTGGGGAGCACAGCCACAGACCAACACAACCAGATCCAACCCAGAGAGTCGAAAAACAGCAAGTATATACCTTGGCTGAATTGTTTTTATCATGCTTGATAGAGACTCCTCATTCCCCCAAATTGGAGTCCCATGTGTTGCGGTTGGGCAATTTCTCTCCCACTTTCCAGTATTCGCTTCCCGGTTATTCATGCGATGCATTCAAGAGACCCGATGTCCCCCCTTAAAACCGTCGCACGCCCATAGAAGGCGTGGCGTGTTGCCGTGCTCCACCCTGATAGAAAAGTTTGAACCCGGAAATAAAGCGACTTCTCGCGCCGCAACTGCCGGCGACTCAGACATTAGGGGGCTGAGGAACCGCCTCCCTCCTGTCTCTTTCCAAGCTACTAGTACTGACTGGCGCGTCCAACCACGACGTTATCGATCACGGCGAGGTTGTAGCCTAATATATATATGAATGCCGAGAAACCTGCCATGCCAAGATTCTGGCGTGCCGAGATGCTGCCAAAGGGAAGACCACCGAGCATATAGACCCGATCACATTTGCTGGGCTATTGGAAGTAGACCAGTATCGGAGCATTGAGCGGAAGAGTGCCGAAATGAGACACTTTTCGGTGACTATGGTTTGAAATAACCACCGTGACCTGATGAAAGTGCACTGCTGAGCCTGAACTGGAAGCCGGATGACGCAATGACACTTGAGCCCTTTATAAGGTTTTTTTTATCATCAGGATATTTCATGTAGATGACCTGCACATCATATGGCCTTGATTATCCTCGTGGAAGGTGAGTGTTCCAATGATAGACTATGAGAAAACCACATTCGCAGCCATACCCGGGGCCGGAATTTTGATGCACACCAAATCCGTTGGCCCAGCCTTGTAGCACCTCGGGGCACAACTGCTGTTGTTTTCTGCTATTTATATAAGCTATTGTCGCTGAATCCCGAACTCTCACTGGTGCGAAGCGCGGCACCGACTGCTCTGAGGCCGAGGAGCGATTATGTGCAGCTTACGTGTTTCATCTCACCTGTAATCAAGACAGGCTGCAGACGCCGATTGTATGTTCTGGGAATCTGGAAGTAGCTTACGCCATTGTATAGGGGCGGCAGCCTGCTTTTGCGTGTTCTTCCCATATTTAAGGTTCTTACCTCCTGCATCCACGGCTCGCGGCCGCGCATACCCCCCATGCCATTTCACGAGTCAAAGGACCCGTCCAGGATATTGAGCACAACCACCACCTCGCTCGCGGATGCTATTTTTACCAATGGCTATGGCGATCCCGTTTTCACCACTCAGACGAGAGGTCGTACCACGGAATTGCTCAGAGTGGAACCCGCTACCAAATCTCTCTATCCTGTGGCGATCATATCATGGCCAGAGTATGAGGGCGATGAACCAATGATAACAGCTCTCGAGTTACTAAAAATGCCAGATGGCTCCACCTCTACGTGAGTCAATCTCAACAATGATGATCTCGCAACCACTCAATAAGTTGCTTTCTCTAGTGTGCGCCACATATCTGCACGAGCACATACGGCTCGGTGGTATCGTACCACAATGTCGCCAAGGAAGGATGTTTACGAGCGCTTCGCCACTGAACTCAGTACAAGCCGCGTGCTTAAAGCCACCATAATACGCCAGAAACGAGGTGTACTGTCGTGTAGGGAGGTCACTTGCGAATTTCGACTTTTCCCAGACGCCTTCCTCCGAGAGGATGTTGATAATGTACTTGCTGGATTGCTCCTCCTGATGAAACCCCAAGATTGGAGAACATATCAGAGTCAACTAACGCGGAAGCAGCTGGAATCTTGCATTGCGGTTACACAACTGAGGATGGATCAGGAAAAAATCTACGAAGTTTCGGGGCTGGCTGGTCAAGAGAACGACGAAATCCTGGTCTAGCGTCCCCTATCATGTCTACACATTCCCCCCCTCCCTGCGTAGCGCATTCACCTTCACCCAGTGACTTCGGGCATATCTAAGATTGGTTCCTGTATTACTCACTGATCGCTCCCATCGTTGTATCCGTAACAGCTTCCTGACTTTCCGAGTTTATCCTTGATCCACTATCGGTAATCGCCGACAATTTTTTTGTTATTCCAGCGATTTCACTTCAACAAGAATTGTTCCCCCCCCCCCTTCTCTCGCGGTGATAGTATATTTCCTGACGGCGGAAGTTTTCGTTAGAAGGGCAGGGCAGATTCATATGCTTCATCTACGCTGTTCTCCGATGGGATGCTCACTCCAAGCTCGCATGGCGTGCGACTACGTAGGGCCCTTGGCCTCCACAGATGTGAATTTTTTGCATCTTAATTACTTGTTTGGGCACCACTACGGTCCGCCGGACCTGTGGAGAAGAAAAAAACAACGTATCAGTGAGCTGCACGGACCTAGATGGAGGACGGTGCCGGGATCGCCGGCACCATGAAAGTCATTCTCAGTCTCATTCACACTCAATGACAGGAGTCATTGTGCATCCGGTAGCCTGTCGAATGAAATGGGAAGGGACAATAAATAGGTCTAGGATGGTTTACAAGGATGATACAAGGACGAAGTGCTCGATCCAGTCTTTAAACCCACAGTAAATGCGCAAACGAAAAATGCAGCCAAAATTGTACGTAACAGATCTCACTGGTTCAATACATTCAACACAGGAAGGGATGGTTTTATCTTGATTTTTGCCTTCCTTCTGCGTCGCGCAGAGAGGATCGCCGCAACTTCGAGCACAGTGCTGCCCGTCAAAATTGTAGTTGCGATTATGATTCTGTCCGATTGGGTTGAGCACTCTTTAAATCGTACACCTTCTCTTGTAGTGTCGGGCCACTTACAGCCAGAAGCAAAGGGACAATTCGGAAGATCTGGCGTTATCATTGGCGTTGTTAGTTGCAGAGTTGATTGCAACTTCCAAAGTCTTGCATTAAGGTGGCGTCAGATCAGATCAAGCCGGGTAAACGGTAAACCTATGTACCTTGAACAGGGTAGTTTCGATGGCCATTGTTGACAATACCAGCAACCAAGTGGAGAGGAGCCAGGCCGAATGCAAAATTGGTGGCATGCTCGATGACATCTCGCGGACTAACAGCGTTATGAAAGCAACTGCTGTGCTTACGGTTGCGATAGGATGTAGGACGAGAGCACGAGACAGGGAGAGGATTTCCGACCGATGGCTAGATGAGTTCATTGTGTGCGCGCCTGAATATGATTATGATATCACGCCCAGTGAATCTCGACGAGACATGGGGAAACCGACACACTGAAATCATAGCCAAAAATTGCAGCATCGCAATCACAACCAGGAGAGTGCGGGCTGAGCGTGTTCCTGTCAGTATGAGAAAGCGTAGAAATAAGGGATAATGAAGCCCACTGGGATCTACCGGAAGTGCATGTCCCGAAAAGACCAAGGTAACGTACGATGGGCATTGATGTTCTCGTCCCATTGACATACTCCTTTACCACAAGAAAACCCAAGTTTGAAGTAGGTGCAGAGAAGCAAACCGCGAAAAGGAGTGCTTGGGCCAAGAATATTAGGAGTCCTTCCAGAAATAAAACCTTATTTTCAATCATTTTGACGCCCTGAGGAGACCGCAGTCAGTCTTTTGCTGCTGAGGATCCGGAACCGATCCCCTTAAGCATAAAGGTTCTAGTACTTGGGCGGCCAAAGGCGGTTGCATGTATGGTAAAAGCCGCCGAGATGCCATCACGGTTGGTTGATGGCCGCGACACAATATTTCTCCGACGGGACGGTTGTAGTACGGTCGCATGACTACGCATAAACGGCAATAATTTCGGCTCATCGATGCAGTTGAGTCGATGAGATTATTAGATTGACGTCGGGCATGGCCGGGCTGCACATCAAGGGATGCAGCACAACTGGCAGGTATTAAGGGTCAAGCCAGTACGTGTGGGTCAGGAATGGTCAAGAGGTTTAGTGCTTTTGCAGCGCAGGCAAAACTTTTCATCCATAGGGTGTGAGATGGGTAGTGTTTGATTGTTGGGGTACAACAGAGGCAAAGTGGGCCAACAAACAAAAATTTTTGAGGGAAAACGGACTCACGTAGATATTCACGTGCCACTCGCGTCACGGTCCGGTTTCTGGTCCCCGCGCGCTCGAGGTGTCAAAAAGCTGTAGGTGGGGACCAGGATTCCTGCACCATGGGCACAATGCGGTTTTGGTTTTCTGTTAAAAAGTCACTTTTTCCTGATACCCTTCCACCGTCTTTCGCATGGTGGGGTACTCTAGGTAGGTAGAGGTGGATAGACTGCAACAATAGCATGGGGGATTGGGTTACGCTACTTTCTTTAGGACCGGTGGGATAGCTAGTAACTGTTTAGCGCGCATTCCACATGCCAAACATTCTGCCGACATGGTCCTAGTCACCAAGAGGGAACTCACAACCTCCGCCATCGGAGAGGCCGACTGCTCTGAAAGTTGTGGTTGTCTCTTTGATCTTTGATACCAGAATTGCTCCCTACGTAGCTCGAACCTCACATTTCCTTGAGTGGGAAAGTCTTCTGGGAGTTCAGGTGAAGGAATCTACCTGTTTCCCCGTGGGACGTAGACCAGATCCACCATCCCTCAGGGCTAGGCCCTGATTGATGGACGCCGTTTGCGTCTCGCTGCTGCAAGGAGTCGCTTTGTTCCGTCCGAACCTGACGCTCCACGTTTTTTCTTCTCATATCAGATCTTTTCATTATTCTAGCTGCTCGATGCAGGAGACTGGGATCGCTCCCCCTCAGCAGCATGAGGAAATTCCGGGCCATTTTTCTGTGGAAAAAAAAGCTTAGTAGCATTCCTACCTCCACCGCTTCATCAGCGACTTTGCTGAGACTTTCCGGCATACCGTCCTGGTATCCAGTACTCTACGGGTGATGTGGCCATGTATGATTACCCCTACTACCCAAGAGGCTCTAAAACATGCGTGGAAGTAAAACCTGGGCGCGTGAGCAGGGGTTGGGTGAAACATCAATTCTTGAGATTGTTATTTATAGAGGTCGCCCCCAACCCATCAATGGGCGGCGCTTCTCTTTGATGGAAGAAATAATCACGAATGGAGGTGGTATTCTTGATTTTTTCAAGATGGGTGCCGGATGGGAAACCTGATCGCATTCTTTTGCGCCCAACCTTCAAAAAGCTCGTTCCCGGCCATAGTCTGTTCTGAGAGCTCTGTTCCGTACTTTCCCCGGCCCCCAACCAGTAGACGCACGTCCACTGAAGTGCCACCACTATGTCCACTGACGATGGCTCATTGAGGCCATCGAAGAGTCCTTCCTCGACGACAGTAGACCATGAGAAGAACGCAACCCATCTAAGCTGCGCAGAGGCTGCAAATAACCACCTGCCTATCGAGATTCCGTCAAACATTGATTTTAGTCACCCTTACCACCCAATTCATTGGCCTTTGTGGAAAAAATGGTCACTCGCGACCATTTATTGGTGAGTTGCGAGAACGAACGATTGTTTTCGTGGGCCGACCCTTTCCAGTGGACTTGAAGTCTTTGTGACCATTCGGTCTACAGACTATTTGTCTGTGTTGACTTTGGTTCAGGAGAAGTGGGGAGGGTCAATTCAGGTCGTGACCTTAGGACAAAGCATGTTCATTATCGGCGCTGGTTGCGGACCTAGTTAGTCAGATTTCCCTTTCTGTTACGCCTAAAGCTAAAGCAACGTCCAGTCATCTTAGGGCCATTATCCGATATTTGGGGCCGTAAATGGGTTTACGTGTGGTCCACGTATCTCTACGCATTAGTGAATATTGGAGCCGCGATCCGTACGTTCCTGATCCCAGGTTTATGTCCAACTGAATCTTATGACACCTAACAGCGACGAGTCTACCAATGCTCATCGTTTTCATGTTCTTGTCCGGTGCGACTGGGTCGGTAGCGGAATGTAATGTAGCTGGAACTATTGCGGATCTGTTTGGAGACGATGCAGGGGCTGGTCAGGCAATGGGTCGTGAGTGATCTTGATTTGTCCTTAATCCTGAATTGCCAATGTTCCTCGCCAGTCTTTGTCGCGTGTGCGTCCATCGGCCCCACTATCGGGAGTCCGGTAGGGGCATGGTTTGCTCAGGATCCAAAATTAGGACTGCCTTGGACAGGCTGGATCAACGTTATCATCGGCACCGCGTATGCTACAGGCATGGCTTTACTTCCTGAGTATGTCCTTAGTCCCTAAACAACTAGTTCACCCTTTGACTAAAAGTGCTTGCCGATACTATAACAGGACCCTTCCAAGTATCGTCATTCCAAGGACGGCAATGGCGGAAGATGGCTTGGAGTTGGAGTTGCCCAAAAGAAATGCTCTAGAATTCCTCACTTTCACCTTGACTATGGCCCTTAAAATCTTGCTTTATGAGCCTATAGTGCTTTCCCTGAGTCTCTTCAACGGTTCGTATGTTTCAGCGACATTCAAAAGCAACGGGCCAAGATCGTTCTGGCAGGGTTCATATACGGACTCGGTTATCTATTCCTTGAGAGTGTGATTTATGTCTTCGTTGATAACTATCGCCTGTCATGTGCGTTTCTTTGACTCCTTATCGGAGCGGGGGCTTGAACTAATGCTCATAACAGATATCGATGCTGATCTCACTTTTTTAAGTCTCGGAGCAGGGTCCGTCCTATGATTCTTCACCGGCCGCGATCTCGGCAATCTGACCAACCTATCCATAAGGGTGGTCATCATGCTCGTCTTCCTTGCACCTGTGCAAACCTGGCTGGTCCAGCGCGACCGCCGGAAGAATGGTGGAAAGACCCGTCCCGAGGCGCGTTTCTTGCTTTCTCTCGTGACGTGAGCGTCCCTCCGTTAATATTGCTGGACCATCACTGAATATTCTAGCGTGTGGGGCTTCCCTATTTCTATGTTCTGGTTCGCATGGACCTCTGCCCCCGGCTTGGGTCATACTTCCTATTGGAGTCCCATCTGTGCCGGAAGTTGGTATTCGGCTGCTCCCCTTAGGTTTCGTTGGCCTTCCGCTAACCATGATGGACCGTGTAGCTTTACTCGGGATTGTCAATCCGTTACTTTGGCTGGGGATTCTGAACTATGTTACAGGTGATATTTGATTGTATGCTGGCTACACCATAGGTGCTAAGACAAGTCACAGATTCGTACCCTAATCTGGCTGGCTCAGCTATCGCTGCTACCATCATCCCATCATTCGCTGTTGGCGCAGGGTGTGCCCATCTTGGAATTTATATGTTTGATCGCCTCAGTGCGCAAACGGCAATAAGCATCCTTGGGGCCGTCAGCATGGGTGTGGTCGTCCTCATTTATGTGTATGTACTACGGTCCCTATTGCCCACGCCTCTCGAAGCAGACCCTTATCTTGTTTTTCAGCATGTACTTCTTCGGCCCCGTTTTGAGGGCTCGCAGTAGATACGCTCGCAAGTTCTAACACCCATTTTGGTCTTACTCCTGAATCAAGCTTCCGAAACATTCAACCCCCCTACACGAACCGGAGGGCGGTGTTTTCCTTAAGGAAAAAACCACTGCCTCTTCTCCAGTCGACTAGGAGACAAAGTTTGGATGCATTTTTTCGTGCGAGACTGACCCAAAAGAGTCTTATCAGTTTGTTTCGCTATGAGGATATATGTTTACTTAAGAATGCAGACCCCCAAGCCGGTGCCAGGGGAGGAATGAGTTCTCAACGTGGGGTATCCCTCGCTTTAAATGCGCCTCAGCTCACGTTGTAGACACTCTCCTACTGCGGATCCCTGGGTGGTCTTTGGCTGCATGAGTATTACTCTGTCAGCTGTCACCGGCATAATGGGACCGTGTGACCAGTTGTGGAGGCGAACCCGGGTGTCATCAGTGAAGGTGATCAAGAGAAGCGATCGTTGATGGGCAAGATTCGGAGCAAAGTCCCTCGATGTGAGAGCCAGTACAGTAAAGCCGCACCCCGACCCCATAGGCCGGATCAACGATCCACAATCTTAATTATTCACTCCTACCTCATATGTGAGATGGTCGGCCGTGAACTGCTCACTAGAGCGTCCTCTCCAAGTCACCCATCGCTAGCCTGCTTGCCTGTACCCAACAACTTGAACCCTCTAGTACCACGGCAGCTATGGACATTGAGAGAAAGGCGACAAGGGACGACATTCCTTCTTCCAGATCGTCCAGTGCATTCCTGCGAGGCAACTTCAGTTCAGACCCATCCATCTCTTTTGAGGCCTTCTGAATGACAATCCATGGGAGAGTCCTGTAAATTCCAGTGATTTTATGGATCCGGTGAGACGGACAAATAATCAAATACACACTCAGGAAGAAATATGAGAAACGTGGCGAACGCCGTGCCGATAATGACGTTAATCCATCCAGTCCAAGGTAAACCTAATTTTGGATTCTGAACAATCCATGCCCCTATTGGACTCCCGAGGGAAGGGCCTATATTCGCCGCTGCGACAAAGACTGCCATAGATGAGCAGCGACCCAAACCGTTTCAGAAATGACAGGAACAGATCATGAGAAAAAAGTTCAACCCACGACCCATCGCTTGACCAGCCCCTGCACCATCCCCGAACAAGTCGGCAATCGTTCCGACGACGTTGCACATAGATACCGACCCAGACACACCCGAAAAGAGCATAAAAATGATGAGCATTGGCAAACCAGTAGCTATTTTCGCTCCTCGGAAATGAGTTTATCCTTCTACGACGCTTGCGGACTTACGAATTGCTGTTCCGATACTGATCAACGCATAGAGGTAGGTAGAGTATACGCATACCCATTTACGACCCCATATATCTGACAAGGGCCCTAGGACGACTAAATGTAATGTGAATCATTCGCGCGATGCTCAAGCGTCGAGGTGGTGGCGACTTACTGGGTCCGCAGCCCGAACCAACAATAAACATGCTCTGACCCAGCGTTATAGCTTGAAGCGATCCTCCCCATTTCTCCTGAATTGAGGGCAAGACAGACAAGTAATCCGTAGATCGAATGGTGACAAAAACTTGAAGTGTGCTAAGAAGCGGTAGACGTTGTGGCGAAGACAATGCCAATATCGCAGCAGCTCACCAGTAAACGGTTACAATGTACCATCTCTTCCATGCAGGCCAATGGATGGGGTGACATGGATGATTGAAGCTGACGGCGTCGGATATCCCGTTAGGTAGTCTGTTCCTGCCGTCACCTTTACATTGACTATGGCGCTCAAGATCCTGGTGTTCGAGCCTATCGTGCTCTTTCTGAGTCTCTTTAATGGTGGGTACATATGGGAAACTCGAAGGAAGCGATCTTGGATACTCGTTAATCGGCGAAGTGATTCAGGCTTTATATACGGGCTTGGATTCTTGTTTCTTGAAAGCGTGACGAAAGTCTTCGTTATCAATTACGGATTGTCGTGTATGTGTTGTTTATTCCATACCGAGGTAGGGCTCTGTAGGTTCACCCCTTATTCGCAGTCACCGGCGGTGATCTGACCTTCTTAGGTCTCGGCGTTGGGTCAGTCGGTGTAACTTATTTCGTGGTCGTAGCCTTATTGATGACTATTCCATTTCCGTCAGAGTGGTAATCATGTTCATCTTCCTCATACCCTTGCAAACATGGCTCGTGAAGCGCGACCGCGTGAAGAACGGTGGCAGGATTCGCCCAGAGTCCCGTTTCTTACTTTCCCTATTCTTGTATGTGGCGTCTTCAATTACTCTTGCCTTGATCGAGGTCACCAAGTAACACGCAAGCCCACCGTGCTAGGGTTTGGGGATTCCCGATCTCAATCTTCTGGTTTGCTTGGACGTCTGCGCCCCACTTGGGTCATACCACATATTGGAGTCCCGTTTGCGCTGGGAGTGAGTATTCTTCATATCCCTTCGTTGCAATCTTCAGACCGTGCTGTGCATCATGTAGCCATGCTAGGTGCAATCGCACCCCTAGTTTTTTTAGGAATTCTAAATTACGTCGCCGGTGAGTCTCCTGGGTTAGCTTTGATGGTTCTGATGCTTAGGAATGTTGAAGATTCATACCCTAACTTGGCCGGGTCAGCCATCGCAGCTTCCCTCATCCCTTCATTCGTTGCTGGTGCTGCTTGCGCGCATCTTGGGATATGGATGTTTCAGCGCCTAACCACCCAAGTGGTGGTAAGCATCCTTGGAGGTGTTAGTGTGGGTGCAGTCATCTTGATTTACACGTAAGTTCTTTTCTTTTCCTTTTCTTTAGCTTCTCTTTGCGCGGATGCTCAGATAATATATTATTTTGAATACACACAGTGTGTATTTCTTCGGGCCAGCGCTGAGGGCACGCAGCCGATATGCTCGCAAGTTCTAGTTCTAGTGTTTCATGACGTGATGACCATCAATTGTGTGATCTGAGAGATGTCCCAGAACAAATTTTAATTGTATCCCGCATGTGCATAACATTCGTGGTTCTCCCATCCACAGGCCTCGTCCAACTCTGTCTTGTTAGGATTATTATCGTCTGCTTTCATTCATTTCTCTCATATCCGCGCGGCTCATGATCAATCGCATGTCTGTTACGTCTATTTTTTTGGGGAAAGTGCGATTCGGAAGGAGGTATCCTTGGCACTGCTTGGCATGACATCACAGGCACGTCACAGAGTTATGTCTGCATAGCTTGTTAGTTTTCCCTCAAACACACTTCGCGGCTTTCTCCACAAAACATTCATCGTCTAACTTGTTAGAATGAGGAAGTGGTAGCGTCCGAAATACATCACGACAAAAGTAAGTGCAATCGAAATGACTGGTGGGTCCGTGATAGGAGTCAAGAATTAAAAAGGGAAAGGAATGAAACCGTTGTTACTAATGTCATCAGCAAGCATTATCCAACCTGAGTTCAAGCGGGGGAGCAATTGCCTTCGGGTACGCAGACAGGTGAATGTTAGGTCATCCCACGAAAAGAGTGACTTACTATAGAAGTGACCATAGGTTTGCGTATTTGCGTTAACGGAGAGCGACAGGGTCTGTTGGCGATGTGCGATAGGGCTCACACCGTCTGCGTCCAGATTAACGGCCCCTAATCGAATCAACAGGACATCAGAGAAATCCCTAAGGTTGGTCAAAAGCAGCCTACGAACATTTGTAATGACCGTTCTTCTGGCTTCCATAGTAGAACCACACCCAGCCGCCCAGCGTGACCGGGAAGTTGACATTACCTTGAGCTGTGCAGGTTTGAAGGTCCACATCCACATCAACGTTGGCTGGGCCGTCGCAGGTGACAGTGTCCTGTGCCGTCGAGCGAGCATCATTCGTGTTCTGAGTAGTGGAACCCTTCGTGTTGGTGAGGGAGACGGAAACAGTTTCTGGTGGGTTCGGATTATTGATTTAGGGCGAACACTGTGAAATCAGAAAGCCGCCTACCGGAGATTGAGTAAGAAAACTGTGCTGTTTCTGGAATTCCGACCGTGACCCCAGCAGTGAATTCGGTTGCGCTGCCGATGGTAGTAGAACCTAGGATGGAGGCATAAATGGCGGCATCAATAGGTGCTGGCACATTTCAACTCACTCTCAACTGTGGTCGAGGCGCTGACAGAGGACCCTTGGTAGATGCTTACTTGTGCGGCATTGGTACCTTTAGCCTAGGAGGTTCATGTTCCAACAATGAATGGCTGTAACAAAGCTGGATGTGGAAAGGCTTACGGCGAATCCAGTGAATCTGACGCTTGAGGTCGAGCACGTAGGGTCCGAGTTCCAGGTTGCCGTAAACGTCATTGGACTGGGGTAGCATGCTTGCGCTGGGTTACCAGGGTACTGTTTCAAGTTAACAAGCGGGTCCAGCGGTACGTATGTATACACATACTTCAGGGGGATTCACTGTTATAGTGTCCCAACCTGCACCCCAGGTGTTCGTCGCATAGGTCTAGCGTAAATAAATCGGTATGACTCATCAAGGACGAAATTCATGTTTGGAAACACATACCTTGGCATCCTGGAGAGCATCCCCCATCGCGTTGAGCTGATCCATGGTGATGCTCTGGCATAAAGACTGCTGACGGATGTGGGGTGAGCCGCCATGAGTAGAGTTGTACGCTGCTTTGGCATCTTCCCCATTTATATGGGTTGGGCCATCAGGCCACCTCCGCAGGGCAGGAAACGCGTGAGCAGAAAGGACGAAGGCTGGGGCAATGGAAAGGAGCAGAGAAACGGCAACCATGATTAAAGGATCGGCTTCTGGTGAGGGAAGATGAAGACTGAGGCGGGTTTGCTGAGAGCTTAGGGCCTTGGCTCTCCTTTCCCATCTTATACCACCACCTTATGCATTGTAACAGAACCGCTGTAGCTGCGTGAGACATGCAAGGCAATGCGCATGCTAATCTCCCTTACAATGGCAAACTGTCACCATGGGAGCTGATGGCCGGGCGCTTTAGCTCAAAATCTGAATTTAATGATCCACCCGACACTAAAGCACAGCACCATGAGATCCGAGAGCGCAATATGAACGCTTATTCCTTTCAACTCCAATAGAGGCAGGTCATCTGCCTATCGTTCCTTGACAGGTGTCAAGAGTGGTTGCCCCGGCGAAACTCGAAACTGAGCCCCTGGGCCCATCATATACTCTACTCCCCCCTATGCCTCCGAAGTTTTGCACGTTCACGCACTTTATTAGAGATGCACACAGCACCTCTGTATTCAGAGCATGCGCAATCTCTCGGCTCCAGCAACTTGGGTTGCTGTGGCAAACTCGGCACATTTCTCAATGCGCTCCCAGGGACGAAACTTAGCTGGCCCTCCCTACAATGATGGTCTCTTTGCCCCGTCTCCGTGGAGGCAGGAGTCAAAAAGTTGCAACCATCATTTTCGTTGGCGGCGCACTATGCACATAGCCGTACAGTGCGATGCCAGTGACTGCTGCCCGCTTCAATGGAACATGCGCAACTGGTTTCGATGATGGCCGTGGCGCATGACACATTTGGCTGAATGTTTCACCACCGCATGGGCTATGTCAACTTCATGTCAACGTTCTGCTTTGGGCTCTTAGGCGCCCCTCTTCAACGGTCCCGATTGGAAGGATTGTGAATGGCCTGAGTAAGCTTGGTGGTCGTGTGTTGCCTTCTCCCTCATAGTCTGCTGACGCAACAAGGTTGTGAAGGTAGCTGTGCGAAAGCGACCAATTGACTGCACATGCATCATGTGCCTGACAGCTCAGCTAAGCACTTCGGAATACAAGTCGTATAGGCCTCAGGTTCATCACGTAGCTGTGTGTTGGTTACTAATCGCTTCCCGTGCCAAGTGCTGACACCACCAGGCAAACTAAAATTGTATTCATCATTGTTTGCCAAGTGAACTACTTGCGGCTGTGTAAGTTTCGGATCGAGCGTTCAACATCTTCCTTCCTGCCGCGTCTAAGAAACGTTCTGCTAAAGGAATTTTCTTGGTCATATTGTGATCTTTCTTCACGCGCCCGGCCCGGCGACCGCGGTTCCTGGCTGACTGTGACGGTAGCTACTGTGACGCCCATCCACTGTGACTGAGAGTCAGTTTCTCGTACATAGCCCCTTTTATGCCGTGCAAGCTGTAGACTAAGACAACCATCAGGTAGTATTTAAAGGCAAGGGGGGTGACGAATCCATCATCGGACTCCGTGCACCGCACGCACATCCACGGCGCCTTTGGTCCCTATCTGCTTACGAATGCAGTTTATTTCATCTTTTTGTTCCGCTTCCAGTTCTCCATTCACGTACTCTTGCATCATAACAGCCCTGTGTTGACTCGAGTCGCCGTCCTGCACTTTGGAATTCCTACTGTTTGTTCTCTAGCTCAATTCGCCATTTGATACTTTCACCTTGGTTCTTTTCGGAGTATAACCCCTCTTTCCCAATAATTTAAAAGCTAGCAAGGGTGCAAGGGGATTAGTGTCTAAAAGTCGTTTAGATGCCGGCGGCAAATTGTAAAGCCCACACTTAGAATGGAAGACTTTCAGAGACAACATTAACTTCTAACACTCGGTTCGCACCAAACGGGACATGTGGGGACTACATGTCAGATGTTACTTAATGTTACGCACGAATGCGTGAAGGTTATAAAACTCCAAGTCCCAAGGGTAGATGTGTGAGATGTGTAAAAAGACTGGCACGGGTCATAATTATCCGAAGTGTCCAGCACACAGGTTGGCCAGAAGGCAGACTCTATAAAATATAACTGGAGCTATAGCACGGCTCAGAAAGTGATTATGAGTACGAGGGAAGTCGCTAAGGTATTACGCCGGCAAGTCGGCAATCGACACACCATCCTAAATCAGCCGGTGATGATCCTGGCCTTACAATTCGAATTACAAAGAATAAATACAGCGTTACGCTCCGCCGCAAAGAGGTGTGTGTAGATTCCCATCCTCAGTGAAGAAATTGAGGGCAACTGATGGATCTCGGTGCAATTGCACAGTTGCAAGTGCAAAGAAAACTCGATATGTAGAATTACGCATTAGCGACAAGTCACGAGTGTAAGACGAAAATAAATGGGGTAGGAATTTTGCGATACCGAACTTGTTGGCAATACTGTCGAGGGATTTGGGCGCGCATCATTGGAAGGGCAGTACTATAGCTGGGAAAAAAGGGAAAGGGAAATTTGTAGACGTGTACTGAGGCACTATGATTACCGATCGATCGTAAAAAAGTGCGCATTTGCTGTTATGCAACTGTTATTTCTGGATATCAGCGTGGACTTGCACTGTTATTCCCGATTTGAAATCCCCATGGGGTAGGTGCTCCCCAAGCGCAGATACGTCTAGGATGTATACGGAAAATGTTAGATTGCAAACAGGATCAGCAGTACTGCGGGAGGGGATGTTTGGAGTCGGGTTTCTCCGGGGTCTACTGCACGTGAGCAGGTCTGGATCAGCTTGCCAGAAAAAGTAAGGCTGTTTGAAGATTGATCACCGGACTCCTTGCTCCTAAAACGAGTATTGTTAATACAAATTCGTGTGGTCACGCAGATTGGAAAAAATAACAACAAACCAAACTCCGAAGACAAGGAAAGAGGGCAAACAAGGGGCCAACAGGCTTGAGGCGAGCCCCTAGTACATGTTCCGTGCTGCGGAGGTGAAAAGAGGAGGCAGGGGGCGGTCGTTGCTTGGGGATTGAATTAGTCGTTGTGCCGTTCCTCAATTGAGTCTTTCCTAACTTGGGATGAGGCAAATAGATCACGACACCAGAAATCTAATTCAGTTAGCAGTTGCCCCGTTCTTGGAATAATATAATAATCATTTGCTCATAATAAAGTATCCTGGTGGTGGAAGCTCAACTAACTGCTTTGGGGGTTGCTCTCAAATTTTTTTTGTCGACGTCCTTCCCAACAGTCTTGAATCCCACCAGAAGTGAGCCCAACGATAATCGATTCAACTAACAAAGACGTTGTTCAAGGCGGCGATGGAAGACACAACCACAGCGAATCCCCTCGATGCATTATCCGACGCTGCATGCTCCTTGCTTAGAGCTGAACCACCTGCAACCTCCCCATTCCACTCCTTACTCGCCAATCTATCACCAGTACGACCATCGACATTGGTGCGACCACCTGCAATATGACATTGGATTTATCCTCCCTATCTGAAATCGCTTCTTCGCTGCCTCGTCAACCTGTCCCTACCCCCACTTCCGGGAACGACTCCACTACTGTTTCAAATGGTGTTTCCAGTGTCGGAACGACTACGAGCCCTGCTTCTGGGCCGGGTACGAACACGAAACCCCGTCGATTGAGTAGTGCTGGTCAAGCGAGACGTAGGCTCAGCGATGCCACCACTGCCGTTGTCACTCAAGCAGTTGTCTCCCGAGTCACTGGAGGCAATGGGACATGTCCTGGTAGCACCGGGTAGGTTCTCTCTTCTTCCCCGTGTTCTCTCCCAACATTTGGGTGCTTAAATGCTTATCGTTCAGCCTTCTGAATGCTAATTATACCAATGCCCCATTATATCCTACTACCACCAGCCCCGATCGTAACTCAGGCCTCAGTGCTGCTGTTATCTTAGCTACCACTGCCACTGGGCCTTCTGCTTCCTCTCACACAACCACCCCAACTCCGAAATCCAATGTGCCTAGCAACCTAGCACGTTCAATGCCTACTCCCCCAAACATCAATGATAGCAATCATGCCAATCTTCAGCACTTAGGTTCAAATGTAACTTTGCTTGTGCCAGCGCCCGCGGTACACCATCAGAAGAAGAAAGGTCAGGTGTTCAAGTGCGAGATTTGTTCCAAGGTGTATAGACATCCTAGTTGGTGAGTTGTTTATACTTGCAGTTCATTTTCTTTGCCCTTGGAGACCCCTTGTATTATTCGTGCGTACTCTTGGGAATTATTTGGATCGCCGTTCCTCCGGGAGAAGGGAACACATCCAACCCCCATTTATTTTTGTTCATTTATGGTTCATGCTGCTGGACGAGAGTTGCCTGACGTTTCTTTCGTTCCTGATATGTTGCATGCTGCCCTTTTGGCGATACCGACACCGACATACGACGTTGGGATGAAACATGAAGCTTGGTAAAGCATCGTTGGGAGCATAGTTCCTACTGGCGTGAGGCATCCAAGTTCTCCCTTTCCAAGCATCAACAGGTTCAACTTCTCGAGGTACAGTCCGCTCGACGACGACAGCGACGAAGATACTAATGAAATCAATTGTGATTATCCCTGATGTGAACGGTAATTGTACATTACCGTAACAGGCAGCAGCAATTCTCTCGCACATAACCCCGCCTTCCATCCCTTCCTCGTCGAGCGACAGTGGATTATCCTCCAAATCGGATAATACCACCAGTACAGGTACCAGCAGTAGTGTCAGTAGCGCAACTTCTACTGCTGCCACCACTGCTGCGCTTGCCACGGCAGAATCGTTAGGATTAACGGAAGAAGAAGCTCAGAGGATGTCTTCTTCATTGGGTACCTCTCTACCTGAGGATAGATCTTTATGGCCTTATTTTGTCTCTGGAGGAGCGTTACCCCTGCCACGTTCGGTTCCGTATAGGTCTTATGAGAATGGGTACACGGGTGTTAGCTCGAGTGCTAATGGTAGGAGGAGGGGGAGTTCAGTCAGCGCGGGAAGTGAAAGTGTTGTCGTCGATGTTGAGGGTGATGAGTTTGGAGATGAGGAAGGCGAGAGTGAGAGTGTTGTTCTCATTGAGGAAGCTGAAGAGGAAGGTGAGGGTGAAATGAGTGATGGCGAGGTCGTTAAGGAGGAAGGCGAAGACAGCGGGTATGGGAGCGGGAGTGGGAGTGGTAAGAACGAGAAGAGTGGCTCGAAGGCTCAATTGACTGTTCCCGTTGCGGAGGAACCAGTTGGGATGATGACCAGAGCCAGATCGAAGAGTACTTCGTCTTCTTCTCAGCTACAAGCGCGTTCGCATGGTCACGCGAGGTCGACTTCTGTTGGTAGCAACAGCGGGGTCGGGAAAGCAGTACCCAGCACCAGGTATTCGTTGAGACATGCTCATGCCTCGTCGTATGGTGCTAGGAAGCATATGAGGTCGAGTTCTCATTCACAGTCTTCGAATAGTGGAAATCACGGACATAGCTATGGACACGAACCCAGTCGATCTTTGCCATCGAGCAATATATTTCCCGATTCTACCTCTCCGAAGACTGCTGGTACCTCCCCAACTCGTAATCCATCTGCCACTCGTCCCCTCCCTTTGGTCTCACATACTTCAACACCCTCCGATCTCGTTGCTGTTCCAACTTCAGCCTCTGTGACTTCTAGTACTACCATTTCCACGGTGAGGTCTCAATATCCGCACAATTATTCTCATCCTATTACGGTTCCTTCCATTATGCCCAAACTTTCCCAAGCCTTTGCGATCATTTCGTCTTCAGCCACTCCACCTTCCTTGTCGACCGTTGCGAGTAGAGCAGGAGGACTAGCGTCTCCTATAAGTATACCTTCCTCCGCTATACGCGGAGTTGGAGGTGGAAGGTATAATATTGGTGATATGATGGAGGTTGAAGAGGAGGTTGTGGAATGCGGAGGCGAAAAGGGGAATCGGGAGGACGATGAAGAGACGGTTGATGGGGAGCTGGATCTTGACGTTGATGTGGAGGGAGAAGGTGAAAATGAGGATGGTGTGAGGTGGGATGAAGGGATGGATATGGACATGGACATGGATGTTTAATCGGATTCTTCTTGGGGTGGGGTCGTGGTCGCCCCGTGTGCTGGCTTCTTCTCTCCAGCTCAATCCCTGGTGATCTTCGCCCTGGATTCTTTCCTTTGGCTAGCTCGGATCGTTCTCCCCTTGTTGTTGTCGGCTTCTGGATCTACTTGCTCCGCATCCTTCTCGCCGTCTGGATATGGCGTGATAGTCTGGATGCATGGATGGATGAATCCCCTAATTCTTTCCTCATGTTGGTGCGTTGGCTCCAAGTTTCCTTTTCTTGACCAATATGTGTTGCGGCGCGTTTCAATTGCGGGGAATGCATATCGTTTGTTTGTTTTCGCCTGCACCTCGCAAACCCTCTTCTATGGATTTGGATATCGGTTCTATCGGATGATGGTTATCTTATTTTCGTCCATTGACTCAACCCGAGGATTTCATCCAACTTCCTTTCATCCTCGGGTCCCTCGTTTCTCGGTCCCCGCCCTTCACTCCTTTCAATCGTCAACCATTTTTGCATTAATAATTCATTTGCTTGGGGCAATTTCCGCGTTTCGTTTTTGCCCTCTGCATTCAATCCTGGTGTTTCTTCTTTTTGTATTTGTTTGTTCATTTTTTTGTTTGAAATGGACCGCGTTTCGTGCGCTGTTATTTTCTTGTCTTGCGTCTTCAGTACCGCACCGGCATTGTTCCACACTAATCCAAGCCCTTTCCCTTCATTTTTGTACTTTTATTTTTTTCTTTCTTTTCTTCCCCTATGCAGCGTGTCTCGATCTCAATATGCTCTCTCCCACCGGATTCTGTTATTGTTCCACTTGTTGCTCTTACACCAAACAGCGTGTTGTACCATGGTCCTTACCAACCAATCTGCCATTCCTCCAATATTCACATTCCCTCCTTTCATTGTCTGCCTCTATCTTCCCCTCTCCCCTTCCTTTCCTCCCACCCTCAGCAAACAAGCTAGGGCTGACGCAACACCCAGGATACACGGTGCGGCTTGATCGACCTTGAATTCCGGTTGGTCGTCCCTGGCTGGTAGCTCTTTTCTCCCCCTCTCTTACTCGCTTTGAGCCTGGCGTATAGTATTGATTGATCCCCGTTCGGTACCGGTGTGCCACGCGCCATGCATGACCGTGTATGAGTGGGCAGCACCTTCTGCCTTCGCTTCACGGAGCGTCATGCGGGATCTTGGTGTTGTTGCTTATGTACCCGCGCGCAGTACTGCATTGCGTAACCACCCTCACCATGTAGTTGTGTGTGTGATTTTTTTGTTTTGTTCCATCCTCTCTGTCTGTCTGTCCTTACCCCCACCTCCGCTGGGTGCTTTTGCGTTGTACACTATGTGAGAACAAGTTGAACAAAGTTTCTTCAAAGTTCACAAGCACAGCGCTCTCAGGTTGAGGATTCATTAGGATCCGCGGAGATCCATGGGATGAAGCTAGACTATGTATTCTGGAAGGCGAACCCCATCACTCGTGTCAAGTCAGCACGAAAGCTGTGTATGCATCATCATGGATTGATCGGAATAAGCATGAGCGCTAGCGTTCGGTCCAACCCTCCGTTGCCGTATTGAATCCTGACCACGTACCAGCCTCTAATAGGCCCGAGCCACAAAGTGAAAGTATACAAAAACGAGATCGGTCTAAACTCCATACTCACGAACATGTTGCTGACGTACTAGGATTAATCGACCGATCCAAGTGTCTGGACATACAGCCTCATTCTGATCCGGGCGATGATCCTGGAAGGGCGGTATATACGCAGTTGGATCGTCTCCACGAGAACAGAACCGTAACGATAAGGACAAAGTTCAAGCGAAAGATATGCGTGCACTAAACAACTGAACGATATCGGTCATTTCGGTGTCTACCGCGGCGAGCTGCTAGGAAGGGACAGAATTGTATCTGAGAACAGTTCTTGCGTGCATCCGCGCATGATGCGATTTGGGGCAATGATGCAGCAGTGTTTACGCTGTCAGTGAGTTTCCTCGACGCGGCCCGGGTGCAACAATTGGAAGCTGGAATTTCGGAAAACTTGGCCTGAACCCCAAGATGGCATCATCATAAGTGGCCGGCCGAACTGCCCCGCAGCCGCACTGAAGAGGGTTTGCTGCCGCAGAGCATAGCGATTAGGAAGATATTGTTGGAATTTGAAAGGGGCAGGAGAAGCTCTGCGACTTATGCCTGTTCCTACATTGTGTTCTACGTATGTACCCAAGTGCTGCACTTCTGAATGTGGAAAGGGATTGATCATTCAGATATAGCAAAAGTCCTTCAGGGGACATTTGTCGACAAGGAGCTAGCGTACTTTGGGAGCACTGCACTAAGAAGGTATCTACTTTAGAGGTTGCTGGTTTCAGCCTATATAGTACCAGCTGGGATAGACAGGCGACCAGCCGCTATTGGACTATCGATCGATTGTGTCAAGGCCAGTTGAATCTGAGGCACGGCCCGTTGAAACAGAAACACGTGTTTTGTAATACAACTGTACAGTTGTAACTGACGCCAAAGCGCGTAGCAAGCTCAAATCTTGCAGTTCTCCTCAAGCGTATCTATGTGACATTATACGCAGGATAATATTTGGCCCCGAAATTCTTTTTCGGCTTGTCGTCGTCGTAACGAAGTGGGCTCTGATCGCATGTTGTGCACAAACACCGAAACTTTTGCTGCGGCGTCCGTATTGACGGTCTCCGCGTGGGACGTTGAACACACACGTGTCGTCCGGATGCCCGACAACCATGTAAATGCAGGTTACTCTCAGAGTGGCAATCTTGCCCAGGAGCGGAAGACACAACCGTGACCCGATTGGCTTTCATTCTCTGTTTGACATCCGGGTTACTTCGCCTTTGTTCTCATTTTGTCAAATGCCACGAGGCAACAATGACTTGGACATAGGACTATGCAGCTGCACGAGTGTGCTTACCTTCTCTTCGTATCGGATTCGATAAACTGTATCGTTTCGCACGGTCGTTGTCAAGGGTTGCGTCTCAACTGGCTGTCCCATAAGCGCTTATGACGGTTCGTTTGTTGACCGTCTTCCATTGAGTTTCATCACCTGGCCTAGTTTTTGCAACTATTTGAGAAACCCCCGATTTCGGACAACGCGCAGCAGTACATTGATTGATATGTGTCGCGTCAGCAACAATTCTTTGTAACCATTTCATTAATGCGATCGCATTCGGTGGAAGAAGTGTCCGCGGCTCGTATGTCGAAGAGCAACCATTATTTTTCTTTCTTTCTCGCTGGCAGAACGGGAACACCCATCAGATCCATTTGTATATCTTCATTTGGTCAACCCACCCTGCGAAAAGAAGTGCCTGCACCAATACAGTACTATATTGAAAGATTGCTCGATTGAAGGGTCATGAATCGGTGGCTTCTCCTTCAAGTGCACTCTGCTTTTCTGCCTGGAGATCATTCCCCACACCATGGGTCATCTTTCTTTGACAATAACCCAATTTTGGGTGCCCTTCGGCTTGGCATTCTCTGAGGTATGTACGTCAAACCGTTGCAATCAAAAATTGAAACCCTCACCTCCACCACCAGGGCTGAGGAGATGGGCACTCTTGAGATTCTCGAGCTGTCCATCGAATTTGCAACCTCGTCAGGGCGCCAACTTCTGATCGGGTTCCTTTTTGGGCGAGTTCCATTGTGATGGGCTGGGGTCGGTTGTCAAGCCGAAACCCCTTCACACAGGCAATTTCAAGGCAATATGCGAATCAATTGGCCAGGCCCGGTTTAGGTTGTGCGTGGCTTTTCTGGCAAAGAATCCATCGAGCTAAGTACTGGTAATAGCTATAACAGAAAGAGATCGTAATCATACAGTCGCCGGTATATATATCTTGCCTCAGAGTACCCATCAGCTTCATCACCATTCCCTCTGCTAACTTTCCCCTTCCCCCGAATCCGCAATAAATCCGCAAGCATCTCTCTTATACGTGCACTGCGACGACAATGGCGAGCCTTGCTTCGTCTACACCCTTCGAATCCATCTTGTCCATACCTGGTCCAGTCCCATTGATTATTGACAATAAACCAGTAACCACTTCCAATACGTACACCGTTCTTAGCCCCAATGATCCTGAAAATCCGCCACTACATGATGTGTATGCTGCGAATTTGACACAAGTCAACCTCGCAATCGAAAGTGCCCAGAAAGCCTTCGGCAGTGAGTGTCATTTCTTCACTATTTTTGTCGATTTCTCCCCCTACCACGATTTCGGACAGGCGCTCGCCAGTGCTGGCAGTGCCGGGGCGGCATTGAATTCAATGTACCATTGCACACCCTCAGGGAGGTGGTTCTGTACTTGCCCATATATGGGTATTCACTTCGTACTCGTACTGCTTCTTTGCTCACGCGATCTCCACGTTTTCCGGGGGCGCTCGAGTGCTCAATGCGGGCGGGCGCCGTTTATTGATCTTTGACCATTTAAATTTAAATGGATTACTGACTTCTTTCTTATCGCATGGCGTGTTTCCTGCATCCACTGCACTTAATCCGATGCTTCTGCCGCTTGTGTCGTCAATTGGCGCTTCGGACGGAGTATAGCATGGCGCAAGACAACTTTCCTGCAGCGACGGGAGCTCTTGATTAAGGCTGCTGATATCTTGAAACGAAGAAGCGAGGAGTTTACCGCGCTGACCATGAGCGAAACGACGAATAGTTTTGGCTTGGCTGCGTTCGAAACATGGAGTGCGGTTACACAGTGAGTGATTTGCTCCGTCCTTGAACGCGCCCGAATGCATGCTCACGTTGTTCCTTTCCTTCGCTGCCGGATCTTTCGTTTTAAAATTAGGCTTGACGAAGTGGCGGCTAATATTGCGACGGCAATGACGACCGTTCAGCCTCCCGCTCTCGATAACCCCTTCCAACAAGCATATGTCTCACGACATCCATTCGGTGTCGTCCTTTCTGTCGTCCCGTGGAATGGCCCCATAGCACTTTCCGTCCGTGCCGTCATTAATCCTATTGCGGCTGGGAACACCGTCATTCTTAAGACAAGCGAGTACTCTCCGAAGAGCAATATGATAATTGTAGACTGTCTGAGAGAGGCCGGTATCCCTGACGGTGTTGTGAATGTCGTTCACGTCAATCGCGAAGACGGATGGGGGATTCTGGAGAGTATGATCAAGCATCCTGCCATTCGGTTCGTTTGTCTCACCCGTTTTTGGGAATCCTGTGAAAATTTCCAAATTGACATCAATGTCTTGACAGAAAAGTCAACTTTACAGGTTCGGATGCTACGGCGACACACATTGCTCAGATATGTGGGAAATGGCTCAAACCCGTCATGCTCGAATTGGGAGGAAATGCCACTCAGATCGTTCTGGAGGATGCGGACGTTGAGCATGCGGCGAAGTGTGCCGCCTTTGGGAAATTCTTACATTCGGGACAGGTCTGCATGAGCACCAATAACGTTCTAGGTTCGTTTTTGTTTTCATCTTCAAATGCTGACCACACCAGATTCACGGACCATGCGTTCGCTTAGTGCACGAAAGCATCGCTGATGTTTTCAGTGACGCAGTGAAACGGGAGCTTGTGAATGTTGTTGCTGGCCATGCGGTCGGCCCCAATCAGCTCCGAGGGCTTTTCAATCCTGCGTCTGTTCGTCGCGTGCAGCAGCTCGTCGAGCAGGCGAGGAATGCTGGCGCAAAGGTGATTATTAGCGAAGGTGCAAGGCCTCGGACATAAACGGGTCGAGGAGGCAAGGGGAGGAAGAGAAATGGGAGGGGAGGGGCAAGGCGCGGAATGGAAAGAGAAGATCGATGCAGAGTCTGTTTCTGCGGAGGCCGCACCCGACGTTGCTCCTAAAAGTTCCGAAGGGTCAAAAGTGGCCAAGGGTACTGAAGCAGAGGCTGTCGCTGTGGGAGCCGTTCCTGAAGTTGCTGCCAGGGGCAACAGTGAGTCTAAAGTCAGGGCTGACGGAGCTTCGCCTGTCGGCCTGTCAACGCAACCGATAACGAAGTTAGTCAAAACGGCCATTCCGTTGGGGAAAGTCACAAATGTTATGCAACCTGTCGTACTGGATCATGTTACGCCAAATATGGGTATGTACACTTCTTTATGACATGCGCTGATTTTTTTTTTTCATATCACCTTGTTGTGATCCTGTCGTAGATATCTTCCGTACGGAAATCTTCGGTCCCGCATTGGGGATTTCTCGTTTCAAGACGGTCGAAGAGGCCATCACTGTCGCCAATGAAAGCGAGTATGGTCTTGCTGCTGCTGTCCATGGGAAGGATGTCGCACGTGCAATGCAAGTCGCTTCTCAGATCGATTGCGGGAATGTGAGTGTGAATTCACACACCCTTGATGGCAGTCCTGTGAGTGTTCCTTGGTGATGTGATGAATTTGTTTCATAGCTAATCTTCGGTGATACCTTTCCTTTGACTAGCGACTTCCATATGGTGGATGGAAGAAATCTGGATTTGGCGTTTTCAATGGGCTCCAGGGTATTCAAGAGTTTACCCAGATCAAGGTAGGTCTCCTTAAATTTCCCTTGTTATCCCCCTTTTGGTTCCTGACGAAAATTTTACTTTATTCACACCTTTTAGGTGACCGTTGTGTCACCGATCGGCTATGCTCAATCGCTATCCGGTTGAATATCCTAACCTTCAAAACCTCGTTTTGTTCGTTGCCGCCGCTCCACCGATGGAACGAATCTTCGGCAGATTTTCCTAGCCTTTATGCCAGCTCTTGGAGTACCCTGCACTCTTTCTTTCATGCACGCATTGTCCTGAGTATGAGGCAACTGTACTTTGTACGATATCTAGTTATGGATCGATGGTAGTTTTGGATTCCCGGCTATATCGCTGGAGCAAATATAAAGTTCAGATATCGTAGGCTGCGTTACATATAGTGAGAAGATACAGCTTGCCCGTATCATGAGAGCCAGTAATTTGGAGGTGGCAGCCCCGCCCAGCTTATTATTCGGACCCTAACTCGGACCGTCCGCACGGCTTGATTAGAATACGGGAGAGCACAGATTAGACATAGTCTTCCAATCCTCATGACACCAAACCTAGAAAGCTTGGAGGGGATAATACAGCAGGATCTCACTTGTGCCATTCATGAAGCAGTACCATTCGTCCCCGCCCAACACATAGTTCCTCCCAAGGTTTTCCCATCGAGGAGAGATGAACATTCTGCTTGAATGGGTCATCGATAAATAGGGTCACAGCAGTAATACAGCCGGCTTGAACCCTCGATGTTTTTGCGACCTCTAGCTTCGCGAGGCGTCGCAGGACGCATTACGGTATATCTGAATCCTGATCAACATTGCATGTACAGGGAAGGAATTCCCCGCCAATGTGGCGCTCCATCCCCTCTTTTCACCACCCGCTCATATGTTCTCCCTAGCAATGGAGCGTCTAGGAATTGCTTCTACTTTAGTAGAGGTTGGGATCCTGCCTAGGGCCCGGGATTGTCGTCTTGCTGTCCTGTCAAAGCTTGTGTCCACACAATGTTTCGCCGTGACACTGTACATACTGCTGCGCAGTGAGATAACAAAAATAGCCTAGTAGACCCGTTTGCTCAAACTCCACAGGGGGGAAGTTGTTGGCAAGCGCGCACGTCGTTATCGTTGCTCCCGGACACATTGGGCCTCCAGCAAGCGTACAGGATCAGTTTCTCGGTGCAGTTCCCTCACTAACAGCGTTGCCAGAATCCATTTGTATTTATCAGCCCACCTCAGGGATAATGTTCGCGTTGCCACTCTTCATGCTTGCAAACAGCAGTGAGCCCGGGGCAGTTCCAACTGAATAGTTAACGCCTAATATAATACTCCAGTGGCCAACAGAGTGCCACATGCACAGTGGTGATGCCAGTACGATGTCAGAGGGTTGTTCGATGATTAACACCATCCGACCTTCAGGAGTCTCCTCTGATGCTATGCTACTAGTCTTGGTTTGGATTTGCGCAGGTGCTTTGGCGATTCAGCATTACAATGGATCGCCGATCGTTGCACTGAGCAGTACTCCAGTTGTACGTACCTCATTAATGTCAGCGGGTCTCCCCACGTACCCACCGAATTCTCAAGGCGGGCCAATCATTTACTGCTCGTTGAATTATGTAGCTGTTGAAGTTCAGCCGTCCCCAAGTCCAGTTCTGTATATTTCCCCTCGAACACCTTAATATGGTATTCCCCGAGGCTGCGAAACGTTCAGACATATACCTAAATGCTAACCTGTTGGACCAAAGGTCCGCTTAACGCAGATAATCGACCTCGAAACGTCTACTCTCATCTGGTCCGACACCAGCCCAATGCTGGAGAGAGCTCAAAGACCATGCACAAGCATAAGAGAATTTCACACAGTCAATGAGCTGTGGCACAGAATACAGTGTCTTAGTGGGCTGTGAGCCCAGAAGCGGCTTTCTGGAAAAGCTCGATTGAACAGCTGGCGTTGGCCACTAAGTTGTTCAAGATGGAAAGGGTGGTGGACTGTCCAATTTCAGTCCAGAGCCCGCGCGCGACGCTTGGGGAGGTATACTAATTCTGTCATTACTCTCGTCCTCACAATGAGAAGACGTCATCTCCCACTTTTGCACCATTTGCATTCTAAGCCACCTGGGTTTGTGCCATGGACCAGTGTGTTCGTGCCTTGGATCCAAGCGACGGTGTAGTGCACTTGTTAACTTTCTTCCAGCCGACCTGAAGACGAGGCTTGGATGTAATAAGTTCCATGTGGCAGAGTTGATTTCGCGCGTTTGGACTGGGATCATCTATTTTTAGAGACCGGTCCCCCGAGATTGATGATGATGAATTCATTTTTAAGTCACAATATCTCAGACGTTTTAACGATATGCCATACTACTATCACTTGGGCCAAAAGTCTTTGTCAAGGGATAGGATCCCATACCAAAGTAGAGGAGGTTGATCGCCCGGAATAAGGACAATAAATCCGGACAACTCCGCTACAATAAAGGACTGATTGCGGTCACATGCACAACGGGCATTTGTCTCTCTCGAGGTTGGCAACTCCCTTCTTCCATTTGTCCTAAACTTTGTATGATCCTTAAGAAAGTCAGCGTATTTGGGGAGTTTCCTTACGATGTAGGCAGTATACTGGCAGCCTCGACTTACAGTGGACTCGGATGGTAACCACGATGTGACTAGTGACTCATTGACTGATGCGTGCTTGGGCTCATTAGATGTCCTTCCGGCCTTAGCGGTAATGGAATCCTTCCATAGACTGCGCAAGTCCTAGTTTAGCAGCGTAAGTGCTGCCAAAAGTCGAAGAGTCGACGAGCGATGTGGCCTATCTCAACCGCTGCGATCGGTCCAGATTGCGATACGTGCCTACTTTTCTTGGACAAGGCAATAAATACTCGCATTCACAATCGTCTCTCGGACTTCTCCCTCAGTCGACGTTGTTAAAGGCGAAATTTCTTGATTAGTTTGAAGCCTTGACTCTCCCTGTTGACTTGCATCTAGCGCATATCGTTAGTTACGATTACAATACAATACGGGTCGGGCTGAGCAGACATCGTTGGTGTCACAATGAGAAATCAACCATGTTGGGTCAATCACGTTCTGGCGTACACTATAGGTACCCTCTCATTGCAGTTGGGGAGTTTGGGCTGCATGAGTGTTACTCTTGCGAGGTTTTGGTTCTCTCACTCGCGAAATGGGAGCGTGCGACCGGTTGTGGAGTATCACGGAGAGAAGCAATCGCTGATGCGGGATCACATCATCAGTAGAATGCCCTGATGCAACAAATGAGAGCAAGTACTGTGCAGTAAACCCGCGCCCCATTTCCGCAGGATCAACAAGTCCACCTGATATTCCATAGAGAGCCTTGATTCTTCGCTCTCATTACGTAGATAAGACGGCCAGTGGTGAACTACATGTCCATCAGAGTATTCTCTCTGAGTCGCTCATCCTAGCTTGTCTGTACTCAGCAACCCGAGACTTCCAAGGCGTCTGCAAGCATCTATGGATATTGTGAAGAGGGCGACAAGGGACAACCCCCCTCCCAGGACAGGAGATACTGACGGGCGCACAACTCCTGAGGGAAGTGTGGAGGATGCGAAGACTGGCCTACCTATTGGGATATCCGATGCCTTCACCTTCAACCATCCATACCACCCTATCCATTGGCCTACATGGAAGAGATGGTGTATTTCAATCGTTTATTGGTAAGGTGTTGCGCTGTTGACATTGTCTCCATCACAGCTTGATCGCCTCTTAGCACACTTCAAGTTTTCGTCACTATTCGATCTACGAATTACTTGTCAGTCTTGCCCTTGATTCAGGAGAAATGGGGAGGATCGCTTCAAGTCATAACTCTGGGCCAGAGCATGTTTATTGTTGGTGCAGGTTGTGGACCTAGTGAGTCATCGCCATATTTGACACCTCAGCATTGCGCAAACGATCCACATTACATTTAGTTTTCCTAGGCCCCCTATCGGATATATGGGGCCGGAAATGGGTGTATGTCTGCTTTACCTACCTCTATGCATTGGTAAGTGTGGGGACAGCAATACGTACGTATGCATTCTTCCACAGTGTTGGGAACAACTCATTTCCGAGGGTCATTAATAGCCAATGGTCTACCGATGCTCATCATTTTTATGTTCTTGTCGGGCGTTACCGGGTCGGTAGCTATGTGTAACGTTGCCGGAACGATCGCCGACTTGTTCGGGGATGATGCGGGAGCTGGTCAACCAATGGGTCGTGAGTCAGAAGAGTTTCTCACGATCTGTCTTCGTCACGTTGGAGTTCTAAAATGGTTTCCCATCCGTGGTAGTTTTTGTCGTGTCGGCAAATATAGGCCCTTCCCTCGGGAGTCCGATAGGGGCGTGGATTGCTCAAAATCCAAAATTAGGTTTGCCTTGGACTGGATGGATTAACGTTATTATCGGCGGGGTGTTTGCCACGTTTCTTATATTTCTTCCCGAGTGTGTATTTGACTGTTTATCCATCATATCAGGTGCTTACGCCTATTGATCCCTACAGGACCCTTCCAAGAATTGCCATTCAGAAGGCGTTAAAAGAGAAGGATGGTGTAGAATTAAAGTTGCCTCAGAGGAATGCACTTGAGGATCTCACCTTCACATTGACTATGACGTTCAAGATCCTGATATTTGAGCCTATCGTCCTGTCTCTAAGTCTCTTTGACGGTGCGTACATGTGGGAAACTCAAAGCAAGCGTTCTCTTGATTGACGGGCTGGTTTCAGGCTTTATATATGGTCTTGGATTCTTGTTTCTTGAAAGCGTGACAAAAATCTTTGTTACCAACTATAGATTATCATGTACGTGTCGCCGATCAGGTAGTGTGGTTCTAAAGGCTCACCCCCTCTGGCAGTTACTAGCGCCGATCTTACCTTCTTAGGTTTCGGAACTGGGTCAGTTGATGCAACTTATTTCGTGGCCACGCCCTTATTGATGACTCTTTCGTTTTTCTTCAGAGTGGTGATCATGTTCATCTTCCTCTTACCTTTGCAAACATGGCTCGTGAAGCGCGATCGCGAGAATAATGGTGGTAAGATTTGTCCGGAAGCTCGTTTTTTACTTTCCCTATTCTTGTGTGTGGCCTTTTCAATCACTCCGGGGCCATCAAATAATGCTCCACTATACTAGGGTATGGGGTCTTCCAATCTCACTCTTCTGGTGCGCTTGGACATCTGCACCTCACTTGGGTCATACTACCTACTGGAGCCCCATTTGCGCCGGGAGTGAGTATCCCTCAAATTCCTTCTTTGTAAATTACTTTAATGCTCCGTACTGTAGCAATGCTAGGCACAGTCATTCCCCTAGTTTGGCTGGGAATTCTGAATTACGTTGCCGGTTGGCTTTCCGTTTCAATCCATACACCTCGATGGTTCTGATGCTCAGGACTGTTGAAGATTCATACCCTAATTTGGCCGGATCGGCCATCGCAGCTTCCCTCGTCCCTGCATTCGCTGTTGGTGCTGCTTGCGCGCATCTCGGTATATGGATTTTCCAGCGTCTAACTGTCCAAGAGGCGATAAGTATCCTTGGGGGTGTTAGTCTGGGTGTTGTTATCTTGATTTATACGTGGGTTTCTTTCTGCTGGACTTTCTCCCGCGCTTGGGCCCCAATTTGAGTGCTAATATCTTAATTATATATAGCGTGTATTTTTTTGGGCCGACCTTGAGGACATACAGTCGATACGCTCGGAAGTTCTAGTGTTTCACAACGTAGTGGAAATTAGCCATAGATCGGAGGGCTGTCTAGGCAACTGCTCAAGTAAGGTAAGATAAGAAGGCAAATAAAAATAAAAATAAAGCAAAACCGACATCAACAAGGAACCCATCGGTCTTACGTCTCACCCATCTATATTCTTTTCTCGGTGATTGTTGTCGTCTGTTTCCAGCCTTTCTCATGCTTTATGCGTGCTAGTACCGTCTACAGCTCACAAATGCAAGTCTGTTACATCTGTTTCAGGGAAAAGTGCGATTCGGAGGGGAGTGCCGTCCCGAGCGCTCCTAGGTATGCTATTGCATGAGATGTCCAGTATATGGAGCCAACGTTGTTGTCACGACAGGCGATGTTCGATAGGGCTCACGTCGTCTGCATCCAGATTAACCGAATCAACAGGACATTGATCAATCGTTCAGGTTGGTCAAAAGCAGCCTAGGAACATTTGTAATGACCGTTCCTCTGGGGTCCGTAGTAGAACCACTGCATTGCTTTGAGACGAGCAGGGTTTGAAGGTCCACGTCCACTTTGACATTGGCTGGACTGTCGCAAGTGATAGTGTCCTATACTATAGAGGGAACATCGTTCATAGTGGACTCCTCCGTCTTGGTAAGGAAGACAAACAGTTTCTAGTGAATTGGAATTAGTTTTAGAAAGCCGCCTACTCGAGACTGATTAGGGACTGGGGGTATAAATAGTGACGTCAATGGTGCTGGCACATTCTCAACTATGGTCAAGGCGCTGACAGGGGAACATTGATGCTTTCGGCCTAAGAAATCCATGTGCCGACAATAAATTGCTGTAATAAAGAAAAGCTTATAATATATCGGACTGGGTAACATGCTTGCGCTGGGTACTCTTTCAGGTCAACAAGCGGTCGAGTAGTACGGACGAACGCACACACGTCAGGGGGATTCACTGCTGTAATGATTAACATTTGCAAACACACACTGAAGAACATCCCCTATCGCGTTCATCTGATCCAGAGTGATGCTCTGACACGAACTATGCTAACGGATGCGGAGAGAACCGCCATAAGTAGAGTTGTACGCTGCTTTAGCCTCTTCTTCATCCATTTGGGCCCGGCCCCGGCCACCTCCGCAGAATAGGAAACGCGTGATGGAGAGAATGGAGGCCGGGCGATGAGAAACAGCACAGAAATGGTGACCATGAATGCAGGTCCAGTGCCTCTCGCAAGGTGAAGGAGATGGCCAAGCCTAAGGTGTGTTGGTCCAATTTTATATACACCCAAGTAACCACCAACTTCGCTGTAACGGCACGACTGCCGCTATGCGAGACGTGTAAGGCAATGCGCATGATGACCCCCCTTGCGATGACAAAATGGACAAAGTGTCACCATGGAGGCCGAGCAGCTTCAGCCCAAGCGCAAAGGGAGGCTCTTTCTCCACGCGCTTCAATGATGTGTTGGACAATAATATCCATGGTCCTTAGCAAACCTATCGGGCGAATCGATCTGCCCTCCGACCTAGCGGATAGCGGGGACATGGAGGCACGTCCTCCAGGGATAGTGAAGATTTCAGATGTGGACGGTTTCTCAGGAAGTGAGGCGGGCCTTCTGCACCTGGCCAATTCATCAAAGCAACAAAACGGAGTAGAATAAGGATGCGATGAACAGTAGGACTCGCCCAAGAGATGACCCCCCCTACTCCCCACCAACTAGGCACACAAATTGTCAGGCAAAATAATCAACACGGAGACGAGCTAGAACCCAGAGTCGAGATTGGTTGAGCATTTGGAAGAGAAGTTCACTACACTTGCCATAGAAAGCTGTTTGCAGAATACTGCGGATTGGTATAAGTATACGGCGCCATGCCCTGGGCACGCGCTCTCTTGCAAGCGGCCAGAGACTGCGCGTTAGTTAACATTCAGAGATATTCCATCGTAGCGCGCATCCCACAGGTTACCGCTAAAGAAGAGGACGCGTTTTGCGTTACATAAACCATCTTGACGGAAGACAGCGGAGGTACTTTAGGGTGGAGAATGAAGCGGAGACGATCATTTGGGGAAAATGCCGGTGTCATTATCGTACTATAACGATGATGATCGTTACCCCGCGGCCCCGTGACGAAGTGCGGCTATCCCATCTGTTTACGCAGTATAATGAGGGGTCAAGGAGGTCGGGTGTGTAGGTGATTCCTCGGGGTAATGACACGGAATTGCGAATCAGCACTTGGTCACGGGTTACCTCGCAGGTCTTTGGGAGTACTAGTGTTCCTATGGCGGAGTCTGGGATGAGTGGGGTTCTGGTGGCTCTCCTGGTGCTATCCGCCAGCATCCTCATTCCCACCTCCTGGCCCCCAACCCCCAGCCCGTCTGTCAAACTCTTTCAGGGTACGGTCGTTGGAAAAGTCACTGTCGCGGAGGGAACAGGTGTTGAGCTAGAGCAATTCCTCGGTGGGTCTTCGTTTCCGAGTTTCATTCATGCGCTCTAGGCTCACGTTCAATTTACGGCGTCACTGGCAGGTATTCCGTTTGCATTACCGCCGACAGGTGATTTGAGGTTTCGAGCGCCGCAGAAGATACTCGACGACGAGTCTCGTGTTATCAAAGCCACCGAGTACGGATATGCTTGCCTTCAACCCCCCGTATGTCTCAGAAGGGTTTCGTTTGCATACTGGCCCTAATACAAGCTCGAACTTCAGTGGCCCGGAAGATATCATGTTAGCGATCCGAAGGCAATGTCAGAAGACTGCTTGAATTTAAATGTAATTCGACCGAAAAGTCATTTAGGGGAGTTGTCGCTACCAGTGATGGTTTGGATCCATGGGGGCGCTTTTGTGCTTGGCGGCTCAAGCGTGTATAATGGTTCGGAACTCGTTGCACAAAGTGTCAAATTAGTGAGCGTTCTTCCATAATGGCCTCACTATATCTGTTTATGCGATGATGTAGGGACGTCCTATTATTTATGTTTCGATTAACTACGTAGGCTGTTTCTTCCACGCCTGTCGTACATTACGGACCACTGATATGTTCCAGCGTCTCAACCTGTTTGGCTTCTTGGCGTCCCCCCTGATTGAGGAAAGCGATGATGCCCACCTGAATGCTGGCTTGCATGATCAGCGCCTGGCCTTGTGGTGGATCCAACGGAATATCGGAGCATTTGGAGGCGATCCATCCAAAGTCGGTGTAGATTCTTGGCTTTATGTTTATGTTTTAATACCCCCTCCTGTATCAGGTTACCGTTTTCGGTGAAAGCGCTGGAGCCATGTCCATTGCGGCACACTTGCTGTGGAATCACGGCCGCGGGGCAGAGCAACTTTTCGGCGGAGCGATTCTGCAGTCAGGGGCTGCCTCTGGGTCAGTCTGGCTGTTCGCCATGTTAAGCTGGGGTGTTAATCGATTAGGCTAGGTTCCCCGTTCCTGAGCCCCTGGATCACGCTCAAGCATTCCAAGATTTCAATGGTCGGCTTGACTGTAATTCCTCATCAACCGAGAAAGCTGTTCTTAGCTGCCTTCGCAAAGTCCCCTCTGAAATTCTATATCGAGACATGGTAGACACCATGCTTATGGATAGGATTGAGCAATTAGCTGCTGCGAGTTTACACCGTCCATTTGCATTTGTTCAAGATGCACGGAAAGGGATGGATGGATTTATCTACGACCTTCCAAGTGTTATAATACAGAATGGCCATATTGCAAAGGTGCCGATTATTATTGGTACGTGGAAAGTCTGCAGAATGTATTTACCCCGCCTCAATCTGCCATGTGCCAAAGGCGCAAACCTTGATGAAGGGACCATGTTCGCCCCCAGAGATTTGAAAGATGAGAAGACACTGGAGGAGTATATCCGAGGTAAGGTTTATGCATTTCTGGTCGTAAGCCATCCATCCAATATGTTCCTAGTTGGATGGATATTCCCGGCAGAATCAAACAAAGGTGCAAGATTGACAAGGAAACTCCTTTCAAAATATCCCGATGATCCTTCCCTCGGAAGTCCTTATACCACCTGCCCGGCACTGCGGCTGATCCAGACAGCCGGATTTTCCCCCCTCTAGAAACAAACCAGTACAAACGTTTCAGTTCCATCATAGGGGATTACCTTCTTGACAGTGGACGTCGAATGCAGGCGCTAGCGACATCGAAGTTGGGCGTCCCCGTTTGGAACTATCTTTTCGAACATTGTCCAATTGAACCCCCTAATCCTCACTGGGGTGTGCATCATTCTGCAGAGATTCCGTATGGTGAGAGCTCTCCTTCAATTGTGCTCCCACTTTGTTTATCATCACCCCCAGCATTCGGAGTTCATGCGACGCGGAAAGACGAGCATGGAGACGTCTCCAGGTACTTGCTAGCTGCCTGGATCAATTTCGCCTATGACTTGGACCCCAATGGGCGTTTGGCATCAGATGGGGCGCCAGGTGTGTGTGCCTATAGCAAGACCCTCTATTCTATTTACTTACTGATTCCTCGTATTATGACTTCACAGGTTCTCTTGTGTGGCCAAAATACACCGTTGACAAGCGGCTCACTCTCAACATACGAACTCCGCTCAAAACGAAGGTGGTAAATGATGACTACCGAGGCGATGCGATTCAGTGGGTTGGTTCGGATCTCGAATTCAACAGAGCAACTAGACGGTAGTCCTTGTTCTGGATTTGCGTGGTGTGATTATTGTATGTCCAAACTCAGGTCACGATCGTGTAATTTAATTTATTCTGTTCCTGGGATTGAATTGCGATTGCTTGAGTTCAGGATGATCTTCCCGTAAGCAGTATTCTCGCCGTCTTCTCTTCATCCCAAGCTGAGCAATGGCTCAATGGCTGAACAAATATGTATCTGCATTCGTTGTGTCCATCGTGATCAATGCCGTGCAATGGCTTTTCTCTGGCTCTCGTCCAGTCGTGCAGTTACCACAAGGAATAGTGCATGGCGTACGCGTCACCTTTCAAGTTGACGTTGGAGTAAAGCCAGAGCGATTATATGAAGAAGACCAATTCCTAGGTGAGTGTTTCCTTGGGGGATGTTTCCATGATATTGCATCTTACTGCACATGCTTTCCCTTGCTAGGAATACCGTTTGCTCTTCCTCCCCTTGGATCACTCAGGTTTGGAGCACCTCAACCTATTAAAGACAATCCATCTAGGGTCATACATGCCACAGAATACGGCCTTGCATGCATGCAGCCTACGGGGGTAAGCTTGCGGGCGTCGACTAATTGGATTCTATCACCTCAATTACCCTTGTTCGCCGGCAGTGGGCCGGAAGATATCACACAAGTGATAGGAACTCCATGTCTGAAGACTGTCTCACTTTGAATATTGTGCGGCCTCACGATGTCCAACAAAACCTTTCGCTTCCTGTCATGGTGTGGATCTACGGAGGTGCCTTCGTTTCGGGAGGGTCGAGTCATTATAACGGTTCGTACTTAGTATATCAAAGCGTTTTGATGGTAAGCCTTCATTCGCTCTCACGCACGGCGTTTCATCATTTTCCCAACTTAGAATCGTCCCATCATCTACGCATCTCTCAATTATGTGAGCACCAGCGAATAATCGAGTCCTACGTAATTGACATTCCTCTGACGCATTCATTAGCGCGTCAACTTGTTTGGATTTCTAGCTTCCTCGGAAGTTGAAAGTAGGAACGATGCAGGCTTGAATGCTGGACTCCTTGACCAACGTCTCGCACTTGCCTGGATTCAAAGAAATATTGCTGCCTTCGGGGGAGATCCAAACAAAGTCGTATAGAGCATTCCAGTAAGCCTGTAGGAGTTGCTGATTAGATCATTTCACAGGTCACTGTGTTCGGAGAGAGCGCTGGTGCTATAGCTATCGGGACGCAAATGTTGTGGAACAAGGGCCTTCCTACGTCTTCCAATCCTAAATTCTTATTCCGAGGCGCCATCTTGGAGTCTGGTGCCACATCGGGGTGCGTCTATACTATCTGCATCCTCGATGTCTTTACATCTAACCCGTATACCCAGCTACTCACTACCCGAGCCATCAGTTCATGATAGGGCGTACCTCAACTTCGCCAAGTTCGTTGGTTGCGGAACAGGGCCAATGCAGCGGGGCAGGGCCGACCAGAAGACGCTGGGATTTGATTATCCCTCTCAACATAGCTCGATTTTAGACTGCTTGCGCGCTGTTCCAACGGATGTCCTTTTGCGTGCTACTATCTCGGTGATGGACAGGTCTGCCGATACCCAGATGGCCTTAGGCAGTGAATACCGCCCCTTTGGTCTTGTTCAGGATGCCGAATCATATTCGGGATCCGGTGGCTTCTTTCATGCGAGACCCAGTCACATCGTCCAGAACGGAACGATTGCGCCCATACCTGTTATCATTGGTTAGTACAACTCTGCTAAATTGGCACCGAAACCCTGTCATTTTTCAATTCGCATTTACATCAGGTACCAACTTGGATGAAGGCACTCTGTTCTCTCCGCACGATCTTCGTAACAAGAATCAGTTGAAGGATTATGTGGCTTGTAGGTACAAGGGCTTGCCTAGTAGCGCGAGTGCTAACCATGGCCCTTCTAGTCTCATGGTTCTATCGTCATCTGCGGCATCACCCCTCTGAAACCATTGACACATTTCTCTCTCTTTACCCCGACAATCCGAAGCTAGGGAGTCCTTATCCAAATCATATTTCAGGAGGCTCAACGCCATTCGACTACTTCCGTTTCTTCCCTCCTTATCATAGCAATCAATTTAAGCGAGTTTCGTCCATGCTGGGAGATATGCTTTTCGACAGTGGCCGAAGGGCACAGGCCATTTCCATGTCCCGCCGGGGCGTGCCTGTCTATTCATATCAGTTTCGTCAGCCAATGCCACAACCAGATGGCCGCGTCGTGGAGCCATATCATGGTGTTTTCCATTCCGCTGAACTCCCATATGGTAGTCGCTTTATCTGGTTTGTGTGTCCGACTACTTATTGACTGATTGACTTCTGCTGCTTTTCAGTGTTTGGTGTTTACGCGATGCAAAATAACGGACAGGGTGAGCTGTCGAAAATGATGTCTCACGCGTGGATCAATTTCGCCTACGATCTTGATCCTAATGGTCCGACTCTATCTGGAGACGACTCAAGTGAGCATTTGTCCTGCCATTTCCTTCCTGAATCCACACTGAAGGCGCTCGACTGAACAGATCGTGTAGCGGCCATACCAAAGTGGCCACTTTATACTCCCGGAGAAAGAAACATGCTGGAGATCCGTCACGGACATATGCGTGTTGTTAGAGATGATTATCGGGACGACGCCATGCAGTGGATGGCGAATGACGAACATTTTAATCATCTGACTCAGCGATAGCTGGGTTGGCCCGTTGTTCTAATACGAGTTGAACCGAGCTGGTGTCAAAGTGGAAGATTACTTGCACGCGTGTTTGCATCCCCAAAACGTCGAGTTGAAGCGCGTAGCACTCGTGGATATATTTATGTTCATCTTAACGTGGATGCATTTACGCCTACGAGGCTCCCAAATGATTATTGTTTGACATCTGGGCAACATGCAGTGGTTGACTCGAATATGAACAAAGAGAAATGGGCGGAAAGATGGGAAAATGCACGATGAGAGTGTGATTAGGGAATATCCATGATAGGATTATGAGATCAAAAACCGAAAGGGGATCAAGTCGAAAGGGTGGAAGGATAATTTGTAGTCCCCACGGTTTTCTTTTCTTTTCTTTTGGTTCCTTGGGGGGATTACGCAAAAGGTATGCACAAATAATGGTGCATATAAGCATATCAACGCCTTCCGACGGCAGACACGGGAGTTCTTGGGTAAGTCTCCTCTTTAACAAGGACTTTCATGATCTCATCCTTTCCTCGCTTCACCCAGTCATCAGGGGAAAGACCAGGGTACTGGGTATCGAACAGGCGATCATTAGCATGAGAGAACATCCAGTCGTTGATCTTTGGCATGGGACGGGATGTGATGCTGCGGAGCTCGAGACGGATGATGTTGTGGCAGAAGTGATCCATGTTGAGATCGTTCTGTATTGAAAGCATTACTACCATGATCCTCCCAGATATATCGTTGTTCTTTACCTTATCGTAACCTGTTGTCCCGCAAAATGGAAACCCAGTGAGCGACACGAAAAACAGGGTAGAGAAACTATGCACCGAATGGATCTAGAAAGAGTTTTAGATGGAATCACACAGAAAGAATACAATCAATGACGTACTCTCAATTTCCTCGCCAGCAGCCAAGAACCCGAAGAAGAAGAATGCCTGCCATACAGTCGGGTCAGTGTCTCACAGAGTACAATGCTCATGTGGACGCACGGCAATAGCAGTAGCTGGGATTGTCACATAACGCAGGGTAGACCAAAGCTGAAATGGCTGAAGGGGACATCACGTTCCCGACCATAACTGTCTACCAGTTGCAAGGGACTAACCAGGAAAAAGACATATATGATGGTCACCGACCACAGATGAATGGAGTAACTGTGCAGGCAGTAGGTGGGAAGATTCTTGAGAAATGGACAGGAAAAAAAAACCACCGGACGCACGAGAATGGAATTGGAGTGGTAAGAACGCGTTCAAGGCCAGTCAACGCATCGGTGAGAATGGCAAGAGAACCAAGCAAGCCATCTACGGAATGGCGCTTAGGCGGGTCGTCACTATGGGTGACGACTTCAATACTCACTGACTGTCGGCACGTCTGCAGTCTTCCTTTGTTGCAGAGTGGCGATGTACGAGCTCTGGCAATTGAAACCACGCTATGTCAGTCAGGTCTCCAGAACTCGGGAACTCTCAGACTGACAAGATAAATTGCAATCTCCAACGGGATGTTGTGGCTAACAACCCTAGTCTTGGCACGCGTCCTGGCATGCTTCTTGCCACTGACAATACGACCTTTCTTTGCAAGGTACTTGCCAATCAAAGAGAAGGGGAAGACATCAAACAAGCTGAATTTGGGCGGAAGGATTGGGGGTAATAAGACAGGTTCCGAAAACTGAGGGCCGTTCGGCCGCAAGCCACTCTCTTGTGTGGAGTCACCTCGGGTCAGGATGGGTGGAGTTTGGCCACGACGATGTGCCAAGGTGCCGACCCCAGAAGAGGGATCCTCTTTGTCGGAGGAATGATCGCGAGCGCCATGGCCGGATTCGAGGTCTCGTGGAGGCGCAGATTCATCTTCGAGACCAGGTGTAGGAGGCATACCACGGGGGAGGGCATAAACGGGAAGATATTTCACAAGATGATAAAGATCTATAATCCGGCGAGTTTAGTTGAGTCAAGACTTCACATCGTGGTTCCATACCTTCGTAATTGACTCCCTCTTCACCACGCAGGTAATGCTGTAGCGTAACGTTAGAAATTTCCCATAAGATACTGGAAAGTACTGTGCCTTTAGAGAGACACTAAATCGGGTCATGTGAGATAGAAGCAATCAGAAGTTTTGGCAGCACTCACGCAAAAGCCTCAATCAGATTGATGGCTGTCTTTTTCTCGATAAGAGAGCGAGCCTGCATCTCCTCTGTGCCAAATTGCTCCCCAGGAAGAGGTGACCATGTGTCCTGCCGGCCACCTCAGAGATGTGCAACTTGAACTGATCAGATGTCCACCTACGGGTACATGGAACCAGATAAACCTAGCAAGGGTTCTGGAACCAAGAATAACGGATGACCACAACCTCCTTCCTTCATTGTATCTTTCGAACGAGGATGATGTACGGTACGAGATAACGAAACCCAGGACCGTACCCAAACTGTGCAGAAGTGAATATGGGTCAGTTGCCCAAACACAGCGGGTAGAAAAAGCAGGAGCAGAGCGCACACTGTGAGCATGGTGGACTGGATGCCAAGATGGTGGACCTTTTGCGAGATCAAGCAGACGGCTGCAGCCCATCCCGAAAAGAACAAGATTAGATACTGTGCAAGTAAGCACCATTTCAGTCCACTAAGAAGAGCAAAAAAGCTCACCCAGCATCTAAACACAGCAGTTGCGAGCAATGCGTTGACGAGGGAACGGAATGTCCCCACGGGAGAATGGAAGGGATCTACTTGGACGAACTGTGAATGTTGTGGCATGTTGGGGGTGATTAGCCTGAAATCGCAAGAAGCAGCTATATATACTGCACGCACGAACGCACTTGCTCCTTGCAGAGGGGCCATCTTGGGAGAGAAGAACGTATTAGGAACAAATTGATGCCGTCGCTGCCGCCAAGACTTGATTGATTGGTCTTAAATTATATTGGTCCCGTGGCTCGGGCAACGAGGCAAACACCCTTTTCGCAGGCCAGATACCAGCCTTACCCTTTTCGATGAATTTCGAGTGCCACCTTTTTGCCTGTTTGCACACTGGCATGTGATGGCTTGCCCGAAATTCAATGATCCAATGCACTGCTCCGCTTGGACAGCATTACTACTATCTATCCAACTCGGGGGGTCGTTTGATTTAGGCAGGACTCCAGCCTCTTTGATTCTGGAGTGTTTCCCGTTTTCTTGTCTCGCACTTACCCGAACTGGGAATGCGTGCATCGCCTTTGAACTCGGATACCGGTCGTTTCACACCTGGTCAGTGCAGTGACTACCAGGAACGGCGGTTTGTGACCGCTTTAGCAGCACTCAGCACAAAGCCTTTGCGCCGGTCCTCCTTGATATGGATGATGGTCATTATCGGGTGCGCTGAGCCAGCAGGCCGGGCACTGGTTCAGCGTGAGCCCTGGTCATAGCGTGTGTTAACATTTCATTGCTTACATCTCATACATATGTTAGGCAGGTTACCAGCCTCTATTGGAATAGATACATATGTGCCAATTGCCCGAGTGCCAGTGAGTCATATCTAGATACATCAGCTTGGCTCTTGAATCATCATTACCTTTTTGGGATTCAAGCTACGAGTCGTGTGCTGCTAAACTCCTTGTCACCAAGGACTCGACCATTGGTTCAGCTGCCCACAGCTTATGAAAAGCCCCACTTGTATCGTAGGAACCAAGAACCATCGGCTCAAGGTCGTGAGCGCTTCGATCGTCGGGCATCGGGGGAAAAGTCGCCGCCTGCCCGATCTCCCAGCTCTCAACATTTCTACGGTACTGAAAGCTCGGTAGTGTGAGGGAAAAGAGGGGCACCAATCTTTCTGTCTATGATACTATTCACCTCTTCAAAAGTGTCGAGCCTCGGCTGTAAATGCAACGAAACCTGCAGATCATATGCTGCTGCTCTAACTCTCCCATTTGTTCCACAATGTGGGACGGTTGCGGTATGCAAGCACTCGCGTGTCATTCGGGATACTGCAAGTGGCAAAATCGCGCCATACGACACAAAAAGATACAAAATCAACATATTTAGATCAGTAACAGTCCTAACACCGAATGGCTCTTCGTTAGAAGTTCTTCTCTTTGAACCAGTCCAAAATGGCGGTCGCGCTACCCTTTGGATCCTCGGCAAAGATCCAGTGTCCCGTCTTGAATGGCTTCGAAGTGAAATCGCTGAAGTATGGCGCCTGCCCCTCAGGCGTAAATAACCCAGTCATGACAGCGTCCTCAGTCGTTTGGAGGAATAATGTAGGGATACCGATGTTGGGATTAAGGCCTAGGCAGACCATCTTTGAGCATAATCCACTGGAACTTTGGATACTCACCTTCTTCACCCGGAATGTGAACGCCCTGAACCAATGCTTGATACCACCTGGCGGGCGCTTCGAGTCCTGTGTGGAGAATAAAACCGGCGATGTCGCGCTTCCACTAGATAAGGTGCCGATTAATGAAAACCCGGGGGGGGGGAGTTAGTCCTATGGGTGTGTATCTCACATCATCTGTAACCCATGATGCCATAGGACAGATATAATCCTCTTTCAGCGTCTTTTCCATCGCACCGGTAGGACAAAGTCTCTCCTTCCAAACTTGTGACTCCGCATACCCGAGAGCAACGAAGGCGGCAAACTTGTAACAGCAGTTACTCACAATGACTGACAACATAGAGGAGGAAGATGCTATACTTACATGATCTTCTATGATCTGGGCGGCATCAGGGCGAGACATGAACTTGATATATCCAACATTCTCATAACCGGTAATTGGAGATAGCACCGCATTTATAACATCTGGATCGAAGGGTTTTCCGGGTGGGCTATAGCCCGCGCTCGCCCTACAGGCGTCAAAAAAATCAATGCATGTGCACTCAAACACATCAACCATCTATGCCCTGGACGCACAGAATTAAACCCTTGGCAAGATCGGGATAAAATTGAACAAAGCGTGCAGCCAAGGAGGATCCTGTTGCCAGGAAGAACTCGATCGTTGGTAAGTGAGAACTTCGCCCAACAGGACGAAACATTACCGAAATCGTGTCCGAGGACGATAATCTTCTCTTCAATATTCTCGTGCTTGAGTAGTGCACCGAGGATATAGCAGATATTCTTAGAGGCATAGGCTTGGATCTCTTCGGGTTTACTCGTATCTCCATATCCAAGCAATTCAGGGGCCAGTACGCCATAGCCTGCATGAATGAAGTACGGGATGGTTGCGGAGAATCCCAGTGGTCCTATGTTTGGTTGAATGCGTCAGCGATTAACATCCCGCAGTACAACTGGCGATCGCGCACCGTCGGGGAATCCATGCAGAAACAAGATAACAGGTTTGGACGAGTCTGATGAACGTATGTAAAGATACTTGTGCTTGAAGCCGTTAAAGCTACTGGTTTTCCAAGCAGGGAGGTCGTAGAATGACATGATTTTCTCGCTTCAGTGATGCGCTAGTGTGAATTCTAGGCGCAACGCAGGAAGAGTGTGCGAAATCCGCGGACCCGAAACAGAGGCCGCACCCATGATCCTGCTCATGGCACTCACAACCCAGCCAAAACTTATACACTACTTCTGCGGTGGTCTTTCGATAGAGTTTTGGAGTTTTGAGCTCTGCAAAGGAGGCTCAACAGCGCTAATATCAAAACTGGTTCGGTAAATTCGGCCTTAAAAACCATGGTGTATGAATAAATTATGTAATTCCTGCTGCTCAAACAATTCAAACAAAATCCACAACCGTACTAATGAGTCCCAGACTGGGCAATTAATGTCAATGGTGGGCCAGCACGCAAGGGGATAAGAGTAGCGGGATCTGCCGCTTCAGGCGGTGTTCCCTCGTTACCATCGAGCAGCTCGGAGAATGTAGTGTAATATGCAATATTACCCCCGCCAGGCAACCTCCCGGAACTTCCCGACAGCCAAGTCTCGTGCAACTGGAATACGTCAGCGGAGTAGCCCCACGTTGTTCCTAGACTCACATGCCGAATAGTTCTGCTTGTCCGCGAGTGAATCTGTCACGTCGTCCCCGTCTGACGAACCTGAAGCCAACTAATCTGCCTCAGTCCTGGATAATACGGTCTTCGCTGCATCCTTGATTTTTCTTCCCTAACGGCATCAAGTCTAGAGCTGGGTCTATAGAGTTGTGCAATCCATCAAGATTCAAGCATCAAGATGATGAGAATGGGCCTGAAGCCGCGTATGGAGATTTCTTTTGCCCTCGTGTGCATTTGGATTTTATCCTTTCCATATCTTCACTTGTGTTCCGGAGACCGTCCAACTTCCACTCGAACGAAACATAGCTAGTTAATTCTAGGGTGGAGAAGACACGAGGGTTTTCCACCTATCTGAGAGCTTCACTTAAAAGCGCTATCAAAACATGGACTCCGATGGTCACAACCTGGATGGAACGTGCGACGCAAAAGGGAATCAAATTTGGGCAAGCAAGATAAGGCGAGGTACCCAAATGGTTTTTGTACCTAAGGGAGTAGATTTGGAAGCAACGGAGCGGACTTGCCCTCCTTTTCCCGTTATGCCCGGTCTCATCGCAGCCATTGTGCTCCAGCGTAATACTTGTCTTTATTAATCTAGCTGCAGTCTACTGGACTGAGAGATGGAAACGACGGTACCTGTGCCAACCCGGGCCGAGCTCTGTCTTACACTTTCATCTCATTTGTAATGTGGGGATACGATGGCTAGTCATTATGGATTTGGTTCCTTCGAGTTTTGTTCCCTAACTACTAAAACAGCACTTCTCTACTCCCGTTTCTGGGTCAGTTGCCTTTCTAGTGCCAACAAAGGGTCAGTCCCAATTGCGGGAGAATATACATGCATATTATCTCTTATGGAAAAGAACGAGCGCGAGCGCATCATGAGTACCAAACCGGTTTACATGTACAGTGATTTCTTCCTTGATAAAGTTACAGGCTTCGTTCAGTTCCAATTAGTTGAACGCATCGTATACCTCCCGCGGAAGCTTATCCTCCGAAGATCTCCTATACAGAGATAGCTTCCCCGACTCGCAAAGAAGCACCATTCTAAATCCCTCACTCTGAGTTCGTGCATATTCCAACGCTATTTCCCGCAGCCTCTCTAGCAGACGGCCCAAGTCCTTGAGTGCATGCTTAGCACTATCCAGAGCCTTCTGCATATCTGCATCTGCTCTGATAACGTCTCCAGCAGCCTTACCCTTAGCATCCCATCTCAACGATATTGGCATACTGTGTTTCACTACTCGCTCAAAATATCCCTGCCTGTGGATCCCAATGTATAGATAAGGCGTCTGGGAGAGGAATAGCTGCGGCAAGGTGTGTGGCCAGTCGAACGTCTCATATGACCTTGTAGTACGAGACTTAATTTCTATCGTCGATGACTGGGGCGATAACTCATGTTTCGTTGGGATTACTTCGATGGAGTTCGTCTTGTTGTTGCTGGGGGTAGCTGTTTTACTTGAAGTCCCGATGTTTAAGGATGCTATTTGCGTGGCCAGGTGGTCCAAATCACTGTCTGCGCGAGCCGACGCCGTCGCACTGCGCTCAGTGGGGGTCAAAGCTGCATCCGCAGAGTAACGGACTAAGAGAGTGAGGCCCGCGAAGTCCTATCCCAGGGGTAAGCTGAGAAGTTTCGTCTTTTGAAGGAAGCAACAGCATACGTATTGCAGGATGCGGGAGTAGCTTGTTGCACCCTTGCAGCCCCAATGCTCGGAAGTCACTGCGCTCAAGAAATTATGACCATAACCATACCGCTGTTCCTCATGATTGCGGGCTTCCCATCGCGTGAGCAGTACAGTGCTGTTTTTATCCTTCCCAACTACATCGACATCGATCCTGAAATCTTCGCAAGGCTCCGTTGCAGTCTTGCCAGCCCAACTCATTAGCTTGCGAAGACCGTTTCTGTCGGTAATAATATTGATTTTTCCGTAATCGAACCTCGGTGAAATGTGCCGAATGGACAAAATAAGCGGCAAAACTGGATGCAGCTCGCTTCGATGCGCGTTCTGATCGATGAATTGAATGCCTTGGTCCCTTGGCACAGAGAACGGAAGGGACCTTTCTTGCCATACAGGTAAAGCACCTTTGGCCCGAGACTCATGGCTAAGCGGTTGCGAGGTTCGCTGCCGTACGGATTGGCTTACCAGGCACAAGAATAGTCGGCTCCTCTGCGTCTGTCCAGGAATAGGAGGCGATGACCTGAGTATTGATGATCGATGGCACGTACTCCTCATCGTATCCAGGTTCGTCCTCTGACAGCGTAATTGTTTGGAGTATATCGCTCACATTTTCACGAATGTTTCGACCGCCAGCAAGTGGAGTTCCGATTTGGAACTGAGGAGGACGGAGAGTAAGCATTTCCCTAGCGAGCGAGCCCCTGTGCGGTCGGCCTCCGCTCCGATATCCACGACGACCACGCATGTCAAGATTGATCAAGGAGGATGAATGGCAGGACCGCAGAAGTTGGCAACTTATAACTAGGTGGGGTCAATTTTAATCGTTATCGCAATAGTGGCTGGCCCCCGCTGGTTTTTGCCAAAATTAGTGAGGGAATGACCACTTGTGAATGATTGCGTGAGCACCTGACTGTTGGTCAGCGCATGTACAGAGACCTGAACTTCGTGCGCTACCACCGTTCCAAGGAACAACGAGGAAGCAGAAACCAGCCAACCAACCTCAACAAAAAAACAGGAATTGATCCGCAATTAATATACAAATGAGTAGCATCTGAGATACGAGCAGTCACATTAGGCAGATGTACGCGAAGCAATGTTTATTGATGCATTCGACAAGCTCTGGACAAGACCGTTTGCACTCGACTGCAGGCTGATATGGCACAACGTCGTGCTGTCCGAAATCTGAGTTTCAGCTGGGGATACCCCCGCCAGCGTCGAGTCGACCTCGGACTACAACAGCATTATCAGGGTGTCTTGAAGCTTGGGGAAACAAGAATTTCTGTGCGCGACGAACCGACAGGTCCTCTCCCTTCGGGGGCCACACATTCGTCAATTCGACGAGATCTTGGTGTGGAAAGGCTTTAAAGATAGTTGAGCGCCGTGTTATGAGCTGGGAAGGAGCATGGCTGTGTCAAGAGAAGTCACAGCGAAAGGACAGGAAGTCGGAGGCGAGTGTAGGACCACGTATGACGACGCTGCTGAATGAGTCATTCAGAGTCAAACTCGTAGATATGGTGGTGCCGATCGCGTAGAAATTAAGCGACAGGACACGGTGAGTGTTCCTTTCAAAGGAGAGCATTCCCGCTAGTTCTTAACATTGGCGTCGGTCACCGCGCCAATTACCAGGTCGTCTACTTCGCAATACTGACGCTACTGCCGGTAGAAGCGCACAGCGCGAGGTAGTAACATGTGTAAATAAATGAGCGCGTGTGATAAAAATGCTTGTAAAATGACGAACAGACTCTCAATTTCAAGCAGATAATGTGAGGAGAACTGAGGGACGAGAGTTGGATCTTTGAAGTATCGTTAGCTCAGAAGCAATGGAGAAAGATAACGAGCGCAGTGCAGGATCAAAAAATACAGGAACAGATCAAAAATGACTGGACGAGAGGGAAATCGTCAAAATAGTTAAGATAGTAACAAAAAGAATCCGGACGTCTCGCCGACATGGCGTAGGATCATATATCATAGCACGGCAGAGAGTCAGCGCTGCGTTGCTGCTCTCAATATATAGAGTACTTTAGCGGGAAGCACCACATGCCCTGAACAGCCACGCCCGGGCCGCCGTTGCTCACGTTGTCACGCAATATTGCTCTCAATTTCCGACGCTCAGCCAAGGGTGCACAAGTAGTGCAGCCATTGCGAGAACTATGCAATCGAATGGCGAATCCGTTATACAGGCACGCCGGTTCGGTGAACGTGAAATGAACAGTGTTCATATCTGCCGGAAAGCCGGGAATGGGAATCCAGAAAGGCCCCATTGGAGGGTTAAATCCGATCTCTGTACAATATGGGTCAAGGTTGGATCTGGTCCGGCCGAAAAAATGACTGGACTCCCACTTCGACCGAAAATTTGATCTTGCAATTTTTGACCTCTGCTCCCCACCCCGAGGTGTTTCAGAGTGTTGGGTTAGCATGAGTACCCTAGAAGCGTCGAAATGAGTGGCCCCCCAAGTGTGGTAGATGGCGGTTCGGGATGGATAGGCACCTCAGAGAGCAACGAAGAAGCTGCAGTCGCTTTGCCAGCTGTGGATTCCGGTTTTCATGCATGGTTGTTTATTTTCTGTTCTTTTGTGCTTGAAACTCTTGTTTGGGGCTTTCCTTCAGGTGCGTTGTGAACATACTGTTTCAAACCTTTGTACGAATAATACTAATCCCGATCTCGAAGTTATGGGGTCTTCCAGGTGCATCTCGATTAATATTTCCAGCTGGTCTCATCATGACAATAGGAATTGACTAGGAATGGTACCTCACCCATCCGCCCTTCAATAAAGCTTCACAGGCATCGATCAATGCCATCGGGACCGTCGTACTTGCGATCCAGTATTCTGAAGGCCTTCTTTGTGTCTTTCTCGCGCAGAAGTATCCAGGGAAAGTAAAGCTCGCGATGAAAATTTCCGCATGCGTCTGCATGGCATCCATGTTGCTGTCCAGCTTTGCCACCGAAGTAATGTTTGCATTTTCGACGCGGATACGGATTTGATTGCTCATTTTCTATCACTGAATATATAGGTCTGGCAACTCATCATGCTGCAAGGGGTGGTTTACGGGATAGCTGGCGGCGCGTTGTATATGCCCGTCCTCATCTGGGTGTGTCTGACTTGGGCTGTCAGCGTTGTCCGATGCTAATCAGCTTATGCAGTTTCCAGAATGGTTTGTAGCTGTAAGTTTGGCTGGAACCCTACCTCAAGTGCGACCACTTCCTGAGACACAGAAAGCGGCGATCACTTGCAGGTTCTCTTATATTCGGGGGTTCAGGAGTAGGGGGAGCCTTCTTCCAATTCTATCGACGTTCTTGCTGGAGCGTACTGGTTTCCGCTGGACGGTTAGAATTTACGGCTTTATTATCGGATCTCTTAGCACTCTCGCGCTGCTTGGAATCAACCTCGAATTGTGAACAACGGGAACCGCAGCCATACGTCTCCACGAATTGATTACGGGTTTTTGAAGACGCCTGTTTTTTTCTCTGTCGTACGTGCCCTCCTCGTGTTTTGAATATGGTAGATTCGAAGTGTTTTCCTCGTTCAAAGGCTGCCACTATTTTCATCCACAGTCTTGCATATCTTTCTGTTTCTCTCTACATTCCATCATATGCATCCTCCTTGGGATACTCCCGCATGGCTGGAACCCTAAGTCTCTCTGCCTTCAATATGGCAAGCGTCGTGGGTCAGGAATTACCTCAGTGCTCCTCGTTGTGTACCTCTTATCTCTGTTCTCCAGGTCAAATACTGATCGGCTACCACTGTGACAAACGGCCATACCCTGGTATCATGGTCATTACCGGCTTACTCTCCGCGTGCTCGCGTTCGTGCTATGGGGTTATGCGCACACGATCGCCCTGGTGGTCATATTCGCGGTCCTGTTGGAAGCGTTGTATGTGCCCCAGTCCTGGCTACGTTTGCTGTCGTGCTGACGAGCCCATCACATAAGAGTGGAGGGTTTACCTCAATCTGGACACCCGCATGCAGCGAGGTCTCAAGTAAGACTTCATGCCATTGAGACGATGAGCTATCGATTGGATGTTTTGCACAGGTTCCCAGCCTTCAGTGCCATTCATGTTCTTCTCCGCTGTGAAAGGAGTTTCCGCGGTGTGCGGACCGATGATCGCTGCAGCACTACATCCCATCTATTTGGAACCCATCGCATCACATTCGACAAAAGCATGGGGAGGCCATGGTTTACAGGTATGCCCCCGTAATGATCTGTTTTGTCCCTGTTTTTATGGCGTGTTCATACACCCAGGTATCACAATTTTTGTAGGGAGCATGATGGTAGCGACAACTATTGGGGGTGTGTTGTCTGCTGCCATAAGGGGATAGTCGTGTTGTATCACCGTTTGCATATATTCTTCCAATTGTGTAGGCATGGTTGTTTGTTGTCCGTTGAACCAGTATTTGGGCTTCCTTGAGTCCATATAGATGAAGCGTTTAGCCGTTGTCCCGTTGTCCCGTGGAAATAAGGTCTGACACGCACGGCTCGCAGATCGACGAGCAGTTGCTTCCTCACCTGTTGCTTTTCGTCACTAGCTGTGAACCTTGCATGAATCTAGCACTAGCACGCCCAGCACATCAGCCCATCCTACCATCAACACTATGCATGATTGACCCTTTACCATTTCCCAGTGACTTCGCCGTTGGTTCCATTCTGTTCACATATTGCATCTAAGCCATCGACTTCTTAGGTCTGAAGTAGGGAGAGTCGGGCGTGGAGCATGAGTGTGCTGTTACACCAGTTAGTCGAAGGAGGGCCCAGATTGTTGGGCCCGCCTCGATTGGAGACCTAGAGCGCGCCTACAACGCATGTTCCGATCCCAAACGCAGCGACACAGTAAGGAGCAGCTCGCTCCGTTGTGCTGGGTCACCTTCTTGAATTGAACCTCTCGTTGCATGATGGAGACAGCCGTGAGAGGGTTCGGATTACTTTTAAACGATGGCCATCACTTTTTACCAACAAATGCCGGGTGCCGTTCCACGGAATCCCGCACATAAGCTTTGATCGGTCTGAGTACAACCTTGCAACCGGTCTTGAATAATGTAGACCTCCTTACTAGGATAATTGTGATTATACTCGCGCAGCCACTCTTTGATTGGATGAATTTGTAGTATTTCCGGAAAGCGCATAAAACCAGCAGGCGAGGTTCGACGGGGAATACATGCGGTCACGACTCCAAGGGGGGCTCCTCCAGCGAGGTCGCGGGTATGTGGTCAGAGTTCTTTTTCAACTCAGGCAACCCCCCGGCCAAATGTGTCTGCGGAACAGTGCGGAGGTTAATGGGAAAAAGATCGACCAGCAAGCCGAGATGGGAAGGAAGCAGTCAATAAAGGACATTGGTCGTGAATTCTCGATCGGATCTGAGCACGGAAGTGGAGGCAATACAAACATTGGAGCAAACAACGGCAGGCAAGGGATCGGAACATGGACAGGAGGCGATACGCTTGCTAAGTTCAATTGAGTAAATGACCTCTTGCTAATAACACTCCACTGCACTTGTCATTCGTCCGCGTGTATGAATAGAATCGTAAGAAGTGTGCCTGCAGTGGTGCTTCATCCGTACACGGTTTCCTGTGGGGAGGCCCCGCCATTTCGTCCTTTCTGGACAGAACTATGGCGTATATTGTAGAGCGGCAGATATGAGTGGAAGACCACCCCAGCGACTGTTCAGCGAAATGCCTGCAAGTTACAAAAACGACTCATAGCGTGCAAAACACGCATTATCGGTGTATCCAAGTGAAACGGCCCTATTGTTGCGTCTGATGACCAAGAGATAAGCGAAGAACGTAGCAATTCCCCCTTTGATCGAGAATGACGTTTGCTCGCAAACTACAAGCAAAAGGCACGCAGAACCTAAAATTGTCGAGTTCCGAGCTGGAGGCTTCGCCAAAAACAGCAACCCAGGGAAATTGAACCGAAGGAAGCTTTTTATATAATGCAAAGCGATAACAAAGCTCTGATTTTTTGAAAAGTTTTTGTTGATGTAGATTCATGCCATCTTGGTCGATGACATTACGGTCCCGCTGTTATAGCGCATAACGCATGCATGGATAATATTTGGTTGATAGTTTGAAGCTTTCCAGCTCATATATGCTATTTAGTTGTTTCTGGGTAGGCTAAAATTATGTCCGCTATTAAGGAGGCCACTCAAATGATGATTGAGGTCTGATGCGTTCCTGCCGGCATAAAAACCGCACAGGCAATGGTCACTGGCCCCCAAGCATTTAGCGCGAACGTGCGGGCGGACGGTCACGGCCCAGTGAAGAATGAAAAGTGTTCGTTCTACTTTCTTCCAAATTTGGCGAATCCCCGGAAGATGCCAGCCCCAATTCATTTACGTCGACATCTTCTACTTCGCCACGATCAACCACCCTGTGTTCGTAAATTCTTGTGGCAGCATTTACGTCTGCATACACTACTTTCTCATCTTCCCCCAGCCAACATCCCTGTATTTCCCAATAACTAGCAATGGCCTCGCCAGCAGCTTCGGAACTTCGTCGAATGGCGTCTAATCCTGCAATCACTCTGTCACCAGCTGCGGCCACCAAGTCAACTGGTGCCTCCCATCTCTCGGCACGTAAAGCCAGCCCTCAGCCTCTTGCGGTGAGCTCGTCTAGCTCACGTCTGCCTGGCTCAAGGCCGTCATCGATCCCATCCTCACCAACATCTGTGTAAGTGTAGTTGTATTTACTCCTGTTGTCGGACTCATGATTTTTGCCCCATTATAGTCACTCTTCCTCCTCAGCAATTTTTGAGCGTGACATAGAGCCTGTTTCATTCCATGCCCCCGCACCAAAGCATGATCCTCACTTGGTGTCGAGAGCTCAATTGCACGAATCCACCGAGGCATCTGTTCCTGCAGTGTTGACCTCTGCGATGACTGCGCTTTCGATGTCACCATCTCCACCGCCTCCGGTATCACTTGATACATCACAGAGTTCCGCTTCGAAAAGGCATAGCTCATATGAAGAAGAAATCAGCGTTATCACTCCCGCCGTCAATGGATCACCAACAGGTATCATGCTGTCAGGCATCGCCACGCCGAAGAGTATTAGCCGAAGCCCGAGCCCTCCCAGTGGTGCCGGACATAGTCCATCCCAGCGCCCGTCCATGCTGGAAAAGATCTCGACAAACGCACCCCCGCCCGCATTGTCGACCCCACTCATTCCGACACCCATCTCACCTACGGGATCTCCCGATTTTGTTGTTTCTCAGAGTCAAAAAGTTGGGAAAGAAGGCAATATTTCCCCCCCAGGCACTGCATTCCTCTTGGCTCCGTCATCCGTGTCTGCACCTACTACTGCTGTTCCTCCTGTAAAGGGAGTGGAGCTTCCTGCTTCCCCTCGCCAAGAAACGCCCAATACCCCTTCGACTCCAATCCCTCGTCTCCGGAAATCGCATGCATCGCTATCGAATGTTCCTCTAGAAGATGCGACTCTTTCTCCATCATCTACGTCCACCAACGAAAAGAGGCTTTCTTTCATTTCTTATCACGTGAGTTTGTTTCTCTTTCAGCCGATCTGGATGCATTTTCTTTACCTCGGAGTTTCTTTTGCATTGTACCAATCGGGATGACTTTTGTGAGCCGCATTACTGATGGTCTTCCCCTGTCCGATAGGATCTACTCCTTTCCACTCCGCTTTCAGCAGCCCCTCTCTCCTCGCTTACATCGCCTTCGGAAGCTCCTCCACATGTCGCACCCATAGGCGCGCAAGCAGCGCCCCTTCGTGGCCGTGTAAGTCCCCCGGGTGCTGTTGGCGGCACGGGTGTTGGGTGGGGAAAGGATGATGGAGGGGAATGGGAAAGGGAAGGTTTTGGCAAGGGTCTTGAGGAGAGGCTGGAGGAAGTGTTGGCCGCTGAAGCGAAAGCTATGTACCATCCCAGGCCAGGAACTGACCTATAGGTTCCAATTTTGCGGTCCTGATGGGCCCAAATGAGGTCCTCTCATCTCTGAGATAAGACAGGAGTGATGGGCCTGAACAACTCAGTATAGTGTACGATTAGTGCTCGTTTCTTCCCCATTCGGTTTCGGTAGTTTTTGGTCCTCGTTATTTTCTTCTCTCAATCGCCCTTTCATTTCCCTCGTAGGCTTATTGTTCCACACTCTAGTTTCTGATCCTCTTATCTTTCTTCCGTTAACTTCCGTCACCACCACAACTAACACGAAGTCTGATCAACTGGCTTCTTTACTTACGTCATTTCCGCTCCCCGTGGAACGATTTTTAATGTGCGTCTGCAGTTTGTGTTTGCGCTCTCTTATTTCACCATAGTTATGTTGGCTTGTTCAGGACGCATGACTATTAATACCCATGTTTTAACCCGGATCTACAGTTGTGTTCAGAGTACTTCTTGATTCTTCCGGGCACATCGGGACATGTGTTGCCAGCTACCCAAACGTGGATTGAGTTCAATAAATCACATACGTTGAGATTCTGCATTCCCGGATCACAGTTACCGAGGAGGACCCAAGTCAACCCCTACTTTTGCGCGCTCACTGGTTCACTCGGCTGGAATGGTCATAACAAGCGCCAAAAGGCGATCACAACCTACCGAAGCACGTAACTGAATGACATTGATAATCATGCTCCATCATATGGACCCATCCGTTGTGGCTCCAACTGATATCGCCACGGTCCACTCTGATCAGATTTCAACGCTGCAGTGCTCATCGCTAAATGCCTGCTGTTCAACCTCCTGCTGTTGTTCTCGTTACCGGTAAGCCGAGTGCGCAACAGTTTTATCCATGTAATTTCTTAAGCTCTCGGATCTTCCAACATTCCTCGTGCTCGTGATGTATAGGGGCGTCCGGGTTCATTGCTGCTTGGATAATCCAAAGGCTACTTGAGGCAAGGTTCAACGTCGTAGGGACCGTCCGGTCCCACGATAAGGGGAAATTCTTGCAAGAACTGTACAAGGGGTTTGGTGATAAGTTCACGTATGCTATTATCGAAGACATCGCGAAGGTTCGTTGCACCAAGTCCCTTCGACGAGGATGTGATTATCGACAATGAATTGGCCATTCCGTTGACTTGGTGTGATTGAAATTGGGGTACAGAATGGTGCTTTTGACGAGGCTGTGAAAAATGTCGATGTGGTTGTTCATACCGCGTCGCCCATTCATTTTTCAGCCAAGTCCCCAGACGAGTACAACGTACCTGCCATCCGAGGAACAGTTGGTGTCCTCGAGAGCGTTGCGAACAATGGGTATGTGTGATATCGGTTTTGCACTGCGATTCGGTGATCACCTCCCGCGCGTGCCCCTTAATACAGGGCAAAGGTCAAGCGTGTGATCATTACGTCCTCCGTATCTTCCGTGCTCCACCCAGCCCCGGATGGATATGCTTATACCGAAGATGACTGGAACGATCATGATGTCAAACAGGTCGAAGAAAAGGGCGACAAAGCTTCGCCTGTCAGCATGTATAACGCCAGCAAAGTGCTCGCTGAGCGTGCCGCTTGGAAGTTCATTGAAGGGAACAAGGACAAAATTGCCTTCGATTTGGTAACGATCATGCCCTCCTTTGTGTTGGGAGTGAGTTTCGTCTTCTTTGGTCAACAGCATTTTTCTCTTACGGGTTTGGCTATGTGAATATAGCCTACCATACATCAAGTCAAAGACGCATCTTCCCTCAATACATCGATCTCGCTCTTCAGGAAGTATATCATCGCAAACGCGTTGCCAGCACCCCCTTCAAAAGAATCCCTCCTCACTTCCCCAGGAGGATACGTTGACGTTCGGGACGTCGCCGAGGCTCATGTTCAAAGCATCCTCCGTGACCAGGCAGGTGATCAGCGTTTCATTACCAGCGCGGGCTCTTTCCACTGGCAAGAATTCCGTTCGTTCATGTCAAAACTGTCCGATCAATCAGCCATTGCTAAATCTTAGTACCCTAGTGAACCACCTCATAGGCACACCACTCGAAGATGCGGTGAACAAAGGTTACCCCTCTGAACCTTCCCTTACTCCTAATCCCCCGTATTCCAATGGAGAGAAAGCCACAAAGATTCTTGGCATCCAGTACATTGACAAGAAACAGGTTGCACACGATACAACTTCTAGCCTGATTCAGCGATTCCCAGTGCAGGCTACAAAACCTGCCGAGAGCAGTACGAGGACTGGTGAGAGTAGTTAACAACTGAAAGACTTGAAGTATAATTACTCAACAAAAGCGCTATAAAATGAAAGAGTCACCTATGCATCTTTCCATCGCTTCTCGACTGTAGGCTCCTTCTGTACATTTAGCTGGCGAAGGTTGTGTACTCCAAATCAATGGAGGAATTAATCTCCCTTACTTGCATACCCAAGTATGCGCCTGTCCATGCATCTACGAAAGGAAGCTGCACGCCTACATACGAGTTCGAAGCTCGCTATGGACTTTTGGGGACGCCGACCAATCCTCAACGTGAGAACCCCGCATACTGTCGATTCATTAATAACAAGATATGGTTGAGGCTCTAGATCGATGTCGAACGACTTGTAGTCGTGGGAATAAATCAAATTCGTGTTACTTGCTTTCTCCAAGACAGTCCTGCCCTAAGTAATAGGGGGAAACCTCTGGTTGCTAAGTCGCTCATGTGATGGGATAGCTTTAGGTCATGAGAACACAGACAAAGCAATGCTGAACTCGTGGTAATAGTAGACAAGTGCAACAACAATTGACGGCTTGCCGCATACGCCGGACCCGGTTGCACGCTCTGAAGACTTACAGGAAAGAGGACGCCCGTAATCAGCATGCGTCTCTTTCGCATATGCATTAGGGGAGGACGGTTTGGTGTCCAAAGTCGACATTCGAGGTCCGTGTGAGATAATGGTCTAGTATGACACGTTTGCGTACACCCACCCTCGAATTTAGCGCCGTTCAAAGGTGTTGTACATGACGATATGAGGCAAACCTGCATGACCAATGCACGAATCCAGGCCGCATGGACGAAGTTAAGTACACCAGCGATCGCAATCAAACCATTTCATTCTCTCTCGTTGGGAGATGGATCAGGACATGAGCGTGCAAGGTAATGGGCCAACCAAGCCCAACCCAAACGAGTGATGACATAAGAAACCGCAACGTAAACAGCCTCATCATCCAATGAGAGTGTGGGCCAATCAGTGCCCGGTCGGCGGAAGCATATCCACGCCCACAAACCATTAATTTGAGAGCGCTCTGTTTTATCAGTCGTTGACGAGATTCGCGCTCGTAAGGTTGGGAAAAGGGGTGAGAAAAAAAAACCAAAACCGAAAACTGTAGCACTCAGGATTCCCATGTAGTCCCCTACCATGGTACTAACTGAGCGGTACTCGGCTTAACTTCGCAGATCAGACGGGATGCGGTGCTTTCCGAGTCCTGTGGCCACAGATGGCGGACCGTGCATTCCCACCTCTGATGAATCTCACTCTACCACTCGGGGTCGACAGACGCCACGGATGTGAGGCAAGTGAACGCAGTCGGAATATTGTCGCTGGGTGAGAAGCCGTCAAAGTTCGTTCTAAAGTTTAGACTAAAGAGGAGGTCAGAAACTGTGGGAGAAAGCGAAAAAGTGATCCTGAGGCTGAACCACGCATTCATCTTCCTTTTGCCTCGGAGCGCCTACCAGTGCGGAAGACGCATCTCGCCGGAGCAGGGGATGAATAATGAACGGCGTCGATTTTCGTTCATCTCTGTTCCCGCGTGATGGTGGTGTTGGGGATTTGACTCGAGAGTGAGAAGGAGGCTGACTGTAGAAAATGCATGGTTCTGCCCTCTAGCGGGTCTCGTCCCCTCTTACGTGTCCCACTCCTCTTCTATCTGTTAACTTGATCCCACATGGTGGTCCGTAGAAGCGAGACATCCTTTTGCGAAGTCGGCTCACTGAGCTTTCACACTGCTACATAACTTAACGCAGTGTTGGGTGATAGTAGAAGAGACTTGAGCCATTCAAATAGCCATAAGCCCGCTGTTTGCTTGACTTTCGGTTCCTGGTTTCAAGTTCAAATGGTTCCTCACTCGAGGGGTGTTAGTTGTGGAAGGCACCTCTCCAAACATGGAACTCTCTGCCACGGCCCCCATTGATCAAAGCGCTTGAACGTGAACTTTATTGTCAACTTATTAATCTGGCATCATATTGCTTGGCATCGCTCAACAATTGATGTAGTGGTCTACAGCGGTGCGTTGATCACGGTTTCTCTGTTCAGCTCCCGCAGCTCCCGATCTCATTCCTTTGAGGCAAACTACATTTGCAAACTGTAACCCCGGAAACACGGGTAGCGTCCGCACGTCGCCGCACTGGCCGGCCGCAAACATGGAGATTGCGTTCAGTGCTGTGACCGTACTTCATGAAAAGAGGTACCTTCAATGTATAAATTTTGGAAACATGGCTAAAATCTGAACAATTAGATCTTGGCATGGTTGCACTACATGAACAACCAAACGCATTGAAAGAAGCAGGAAGAGACACGCTTTTTGTTAATGGGACCTACCATTACTCTAAGGTGTCGAGATTATTTGATACATCTGGTTGACGTACGACTTCATTTACAAGGCCCGCACAAGGACAGGCAACTGGAATCCCTCTTCTGGCCTGGATTTAACTCGGGGCCGGGTCACAACCCTATAAGGAAATAAGTCAACTGCGATATTCTTTATGTCCTTTGGGATTTTCAGTGCTTGCCTTGCCTTCGGCTCGATGTCGTCCGGATCGACGGCAAGTTCGAAGGACATCACCCGTATCAGGCTGAATATGACTATCTTCATCCTGAAACAAAATGCTCAGTATTGGAAACACACAGGTGGGTTTGATACGACGTACTCAGTAATGGAGAATCTGAATCCAATGCATGCCCTGGGACCTGCAAGGAAGGGAAGGAACTTAATGGATGGTATCTCCATTGCACCATCTGGAACCCCGTTAGGCGATAACCAGCGTTCCGGCTTAAACTCATTGGCATCAGGACCCCAAACGTCTGGATCGTTGAGTGTCGTCTGTATAGGAATAAAGATATGGGTTCCTGCTGCAATTCTAGGGGATTTCCTGCTCAGTTATCGTCAAAGTGGGATAACCTATGTAATTCCTTACCGCAACTGGGGCAATGTAGAGCCATCAGGTCTGGTTATAGGCGTAGACAATGGCACGATACAATCTTTCGCTGCAATACGACTTGTGCCCGAAATAGGAGGTTGGAATCTCAACGTTTCCCGGATCACTGCATCAAGATATGGAAGGGAGCTGAGCGCTTCATAGGTTGGATGCTCGTTCGGAACGGCCCTGATTTCGGCCCTCAACTTGTCTTGAATGCTGCTGTTTTTGCAGAGTGCATACATCACCCAAGATATCCCGGTGCTGAAAAGGCGATTAGGTCTGTAAAAAAGCATTAGTCTCAGATGTGCACATACGCTGTTGTATCATTTCCAGCGAACAAGAAAGTGGATATTTCTGTGCGGGTAACGTCATATAAGAAGGTGGATCGAAGGAAAGGTAATGTCGTACGGGCCATAACTTCATCCTCAGTGAGCCTCTGAGAAGGTTTGAGGTTATCCGCCATGTTTGCTGTCACTGAGGGAAGGTGAAGTGTTCAATTCCGCGGTGTTCCGATATGAAAGGGGGCGGGCAAGCACACCGAGAATGCTGAGAAGATCCTTTCCCACAGCATGCTTCTCATCACCAATTTCACTCTGTGTATCGTGTGCTAATACGGCGCTACGCTTTTGGTCAACTATTTCCCTCGAAATACGATGCACGATGGACCCGGCTTTGTGGATGGCTTTCCTGCCCTTCGTATGTTTAACCTGCGAATTGCAGGAGTTATGCAAGTTCGGAAGACCAACTGCAACAATCAATCACCAAGTGGCCCAAAAACGGGAACATATACGTGAGGAACAGAGCTAGATGAAACTGTCCAACCGAGTGGAGCACTTCGTTGAAAGAGCGTGATAATTCTGAGGTGTCACCACGCTCAATAGCATGTGTCTCATAGCCGAAACCTTGATTTTTCAAATTTTGACTGAACTCGTTTGAACGACGAGACCGTCAAGAGTGAATACTGACCCGCTGAAGCGATAACATCCAATGTAGTCCTAGCCGCATATTCACAGACGTCGAGCTCTACCGGTTCACCTCCTTTCTCGGCTACCTTGGCTAGCATAACGTTACGAAACTGATAGATTCCGACCTCAGATGGAAATATCTGCTAGTCATTAGTACAACGGACGCACTTCCAATGCTTTCTCCGAGAAAAGGCTGAAGAGGGCTTTTATCTGGGTCGGGCCAAATGCGGGGTTCTGCGAGAAGCAAAATAGCTTCAACATATGGTTGGAGACATGAAGAGAATGGTTTCCGGTCTACCATTATCTTCCTCTGGCGTGTGTGATCGGCACCCTCGACAACAAGAAGTCCTGATGTATAAGTAGTATTTGATGGAAATCAAATGAAGGTCCATACTGGAACAACGTTGCGCACCTTCCCCGAGCAATTCACTCAACATTCTTCGCGACGCATTTGGCTTTGGAAACTCAGAGTAGTGCGAAACTAGGATATAGTTCAAAGCAGCCCTGTCGGTGATTGAAACACGAACGGTCTGGGCAAAAAGGACGGTAAAGTGCTGAGCCATGGCTAGTATCGCAGTATGAAATTTTCACACATTAAAGATTCCGTCATAGTTAAAAACGGGACCATATTTGGCATGCCACTTCTGATGCTGCACGTCTGGTGAGGCCTTGAAGATCAAAGGGAAGTGGCCATGGACAAGTCTGTTAGGTTCCTCGATTCGGGGGACACCGCGAAGAAAGAAACGTGGTCGAATAGTGTATTTGTATAGACGCCTAAGAGCGATAACGACGCACACGGAGATGACCGCAGCAACAGTCTGGTAGAGTGTCATCTCGAATCCTGAGGTAAGCTGATATGCAACTAGCGAGGCAGGGAATAGCTGAAGGGCAAGTTGAGGTCCAGAGCGTGCAGTGATGTGACTGAGATGTGGGGCGGCTGGTTATATGTACAATAGTACTTTGCTCTCGGGTGATGGCTCGGCTGCAAGTACTGCAACCCCGCAGCTAGTCAATGTACTACATATATGTAGATGTGATTAGGGACCAACTAGCCAGTGCGTGACCACCTGTGATTACATAATAATCGCTCACATAAGACGGTTGATGCGATTGCCGCCGACGGAATTTCATTGTCGACACTCAGGGGGTTTGTTCATTCACAAGTCCGAGGTGTTATCCTTTTTTCACCAACTTGTTATGTAATTTGTTGTGTTCTGCCCGTTTCGCAGGTATGTAAATGAGTCATGTATTGTTGTTATGGGTTGCCCGTCAGTGGCGCCACGGTGATTATTCTCAGTGGTGACACTTTTGTCTAGGATTCGCGAGTTGCATCAATTAGGCACTGTTTCCTCAAGTATTTCTTTTTTCCACCGTCACTTTTGGGAGGGGGATCTGAGTGCCAATGTTTTGCTTTTTTTTTTTTGGCCAAGTGACCCGTGCGTATATATATATGAGAGGCGTGTCAGTTTTACATTAGATTTTTTCCTAGTGAGATGGCTGCGTGGGTACTGTACACTACTTCACACACGTGGTGATGGGCCCGGCCCGCACTATGTTTTTGCCGAGGAAGTGCTTTCACTGAGGCATAGTGCTGGCTGTGCCCTGCTCAGCGAAATTGACCAAGAAATTGTTCAGTGGGACGAGGGAGGCCCCTGAATCGATGCTGTTTGCCCCTCTGGAATCGGGCCTCAGGAAACAAGGGTCCCTCTAAACCGGTCGTGACTCAACCGGCATTTTTCATCTCCAAGCGTCTATTGGAATCATTCATCGCGGTCATCATCACACCGCGTAATTCCTGACGCCTCGCCCCCCCAGTGGGCAATTCTACTTCTTAACAAACACAACAATTTCCTATCGCCAGCGGCGCCCTCTGGCACGCGAAATGCCAATGCAATCCCCTTTCCCCAACACGAAATGAAATCCCGCCCGGATGCGATCCATCACCCTAACTCCGAAGCCTTGAAGAATGAACACAAGGTATCGAAGGGAGTGCGCTGCGGTTACGGGGGTCGCCCGGTGCGGGTCTGATGGGGATGAGTTGTCGGAGTGGATTCAGCAAACCTCGGCATGTCTCCACAATCTACAATCCCGAACCAACTCCTGCGTATTCCTGTCAAACAATCTGCACAACTACCATTACCAACTCCTAGGAAGACCCGCCTCTTCCACTCCCAGAATTCCTCCCTACATCAATAGCAGACTCCATATCCGTCCTCTGGTCGGTACGATCAGCGATCGTTGATCAACGAATCTCTCGCGGCCACCTTCTTCGTTCAAGGGATCTGCTTCCGAAGGAGCAGAAGGAATAACAGAAGGTCATGATGTGGCCAGAGGTTGGAGCAAAGGAGAGAATTACCGGTTATGGATTCAGCGACATACTTTCTGAGCCCATGCGAGGAGGATGTGCTCAAGTGACTATGTGCCTGATTCGAATGGTGTACTGATGGCGAGCGACAAGACGACGGGAGATGAGGAATCACAGGCCTTAATTCTTTTACATTTCGTCATTGCGTGCATCAACTAATGATTCCCCTCCCTTTCTCACCGGTATTGTCGACATAGGCAATTAACAATCGAAAACGGATCCGCTGTTTCGAATCCGTGAATGTGTCACTTTGCGTGGCGTGGTCGGATTACGATCAATTGTCCGAAGACCCTACTGATAATCGGACGCTAGGCAGAACTCCGGCCTCTATATATGACTTTGTTACTTAGGTAGATGAGTTTGTGGAGAAGCTTTTGGGGGAGGGTTGGTCCAGGGGTGCTAACGGGAGGGGAGGATGGTTACAAGGCGGCAATAGTGTTTATTAGGCACAAAGTTTATGAGGGTGAATAAGGCAAACTTGACTACTTATTGCCAGTGAATTTTGTTCCTCTTTCTCATGGAGAGTTATTGATGGCGATTGGTCTTTGTTGACCTTAACGCGAGTCAGGAAATTCTGAAGAAAAAACCCACACTTAACATTGATATTATGACATCAACGTCCAGTGGCATAATTCCAATCTTCGTCATACATCATCCATTTCAGCGCATCCTTCCGATAATCATCCTTCACAACTGCAGTGGTATTAGCTCGAAACTCAAGCAATGGTTTCTTTCTAAATGTGTACTTCGGCCAAAATGGGTCTGGGCGTTTCCCTTCAGCGAAGAAACCAAAAGCATGAGGATTCTTCAGTGAGGCAAGATTAAGGCACCAACCGTTCGGATCAAGATCGTAAACAAAGTTTATCCATGCACTAGTCATGAGGCGAGATATGGCTCGATCTCCACCACCTTGGAACGCATAATAGCCAAATGCTGAAACGACTGATCAGTTCGCCGCGGGAGCGCAACAGAGGGTGTCCTTTACCATATGGAATTTCCGCCGAGTGGCCGACTCCGTAGTGCTTTGGACCCCTCACAGGTGTGCGGAACTGATATGTCCAGACAGGGACGCTGTCCGACATTATTTCAGCTTGTAGCCTTCGCGCGCTATCGAAAACAAGGTCGCCAAAAACTGATGCCGCGCGCCTGAACTGGTTTGACTCATGTTGAGGGAACAGCCTGTCATCTTGATCAAAATCCACATCGTTGTTTGGATAAGGGCTTCCGAGAGATGGGATGTCTGGATATAGGGAGGAAAGTCCCTTGAACACTTTCTCGCGCAAATGAGCGCCATGCGGGTATATAAACCAATCTAAACAATCAAGGGCAAACTAAGAATATTTCTGAGATACGAGAATCGGACAACTCACGCTGAATATATGTCATGAAGTCATCTTGGCTCTTGATGTTGTTTGGTGGAAATATAGTGCCTTCGTCCAAAGTTGTTCCTGAGAAAAGGAAGAGCCCCATAAAGGTTCGCCACTCAATGAAGCAAGCACCAATCTTTACCAATGATGATCGGAATATTAAGGATACTCTCGTTTCGAAGCGCGATGCTCGGTCGAGCATAGAAAAATCCACCGTCTTGTCGGCGTTTATTGTAATACGATGTTGCATCCTGAGTTACTCCCCAAGGGCGGGAATGGCTAAGGCCAGCCAGATGATCTTTCAGGCCCACGCCCTCGATGCGTGTGGCCTCACGGAAGAGAGTATCAACAGGTACCTCGCGGAGGCAACTGAGAATCGAATCTTCTCGTGGTCTATAATTATAGAACGAGCGCGGAGGGCAAAAGTCATGGGTGACGCTGCGCGCAATTGTCGATGCGCCACAGCCGACCTTTGTTGCAAAGCGACGATAGGCCACCTCGTGTGCCCAAGGTTTAGGAGATGGATAACTAGATGCAAGGGAAATGAAAACGGTTTGATAAGCCAATGACCCAGACGAACCCGGATGCGCCCCCCGATTGCAATATTGCACCTCTAAAAAGCGGATCCCCACCTCCAGTGTCCTTAGTCCCTTTGTTCCAAAGCATTTGTGCTCCAACTGACATTGCGCCGGCGCTCTGACCAAAAACGGTGATCTGATATTTCGGTGTAAGACTCAACGCTGAGGGCCATGACCAATATGACGTACCCTGCTGGGATCTCCGCCAAAGGACGCAATATTCTGTTTGACCCAACGCAATGCTTCGCGCTGGTCAAGCAGCCCAACGTTAAGGTCGGCATCCTCACGCTCTTCGACCTCGGGAGCTGCCAAGAAACCGAAAAGTTGAAGGCGCTAGGTGCAACACATCGAACAATTTTCATCGACGGAATACTATGAAGGGCTTACATAGTTCATTGACACATATATTATTGGACGATTCTTGTATAAGATAACAATCAGACATCGCGGGGGGAAAGCGTGAAACAAAGACGCACCAAATCCACGCTGCGAGCAACTAGCCAGGACCCATTATATACACCGCCCGATCCCATGACGAATGAACCACCATGTATCCAAACTAACACAGGAAGTGCTGCCTTCTTCGAAATGTGGGCGGGGCGGATGATGTTGAGAGTCAGACAATCTTCGGAGATTTCGCTCCGATTGTGGAAATGAACACCAAGGGTCTGCATGCATGCCCGACCATACTCCTTGGCTTCAATGGTTAAAAATGACTTCTGTTGTATGGGCTGCGGCGCTTTGAACCTGAGCTTATCCAGCGGTGGTAGGGCATACGGAATACCTGGGAGGGTTCATGAGGTTGATCGGATATCAATTCGTACACCCTTAGCGGGTTTCATTTGGATATTGGACACGAACCCAAAAAAAAGTCCTGCTGAAAATCCTTCAATCCACCTGGATTATCCCCGGTGTTAACATCGAGAGAGACTCGTTTGCCCACTACTTTGCCTTGCGGTAACTTTACTACTGGAAACAACCTGTCCACCCATGGATGGGGCAGCACGGTTACGGCGAGGGCCACCGCTAGAATAGAAACGCGATGCTTGAGTCGCATCCTTCAATGAGAACGGGGGATTGAAGTGCGACAGCGTGCGAACGATCCCGGGCAGCCTCGTGCCCCATGCGCTGAAGAATATTATCGAACCTACGGCGGAGAAGCAAAGTAGTCCGAGCGGAATGTAGGCAGGTTTCCAGCTTTTAATGTAGAGAATGCATGTTTCAGAGGGGATTGGATGATACAGGTGATTGAAGTGCCTCATTGACAACTTGCAGGCGCCGAGTGACGTTACGGCTTGGAACTTCCCTAATATGGCGATCAGAAATTGACTCAGGATAACTCGGAGCAGTTCAATGAATCTCGGGTGAATTAACAACTCTCGACTGGGAAACTCATATCTATGTGCGCGTTTCAGTACCCAAGGGGTCCTAACTCCCTGTGATGATGGCTAGTCGACTGCCTAGCGATGATGCAAGAGCATTCCGAACTGTGTTCTCTTTGGGGTACAGTGGTCAAGCCCTTCGGTTCCTTCCAACCGACTGTCATTCGCGTAGCGATCCTCGCTGGAGCGGCTCGTTGGCAGCTGGCTGCCATGTATCTGGGGAACTAGATGCGAACCTCAGGTTTGTTTATTCGGTGTTCAAGACAGAGTCTGTCTTGGAAATGTAAAATGAAATGTCCGTTTTATTGCCCATTCCTTGTGGAGAGGCTGTGGTTGGTGGTACTGATCGACAATGTTACCACCACTTGACAGCCGAGCTCGGTCCGACATATCACGGCCAGCGGTTGGGCCTCATATTGACACTGTGCTACTTTGCTATACACCTTTTCTCTGTTGCAAGTCGACATCGTCGACGAGCAGCGAGGCTTGATTGCTGCGGCCCTTTTAGGATAAGCGCTCACTTTCCTCTTAAGACATTCGTGCTTATAACCGATGGGAATTTTCTCGTCGGGTTCTCTCGGTTCACATTGTTTGAACCGAAGTAAGCTCCCTTGTTAACTTGTGTCTAGCGTGGATATCTGCAATACTAATATACGCAGTTCACATTGTTTGAACTGAGCGCGAATATTGCTAGCCCTTTCAATATCCTCTCCATCACTTCCGACAGACTCGGATGCGAAATAAGAACGTTCTGATTGCATTAAAAGCACTACATTAACCCCTGAAATTAGAATACTTTGCATTCATCACCGATTTCCCATATCAGCCACGACATGGCTCGGTACTATACTTCTCCTGTAGCAAGGTACCATGAATTGACGATATTGCGCCGACACACGCGTAAAGCACCAACCACATGCCCCTGGCAAGATGGAGGGATCACTCTTTTTCCACGGCATCTTCTTCTCACCCAACGTGGAGATACTTCCACTTAATGCACTCACCCCTGACATCGGGGCGCTGGGTGGAGCATCATGGCGGCTTTCTCGGTTCTAAACGTTGTGGTGGTTCGGTTACTCCGGCACATGTCACCCTCAGCAAGACACATGCGCTGAACAGGGCGCATTTATCGTATCCCGCAGCCATGTTGGAATCAGTAGATGTTACGATCTTTCCTGTCATTGTTAGACTCGCTATACTATGCATCCGGTTGGAGGTTCATAGTTGCTACAGCGTCCCGGATAAAAAAAAAAATGCACATACAATGTTTGAAGGCGCAAAAGAGTTCGTGCAACGATGATGAGTTGGATCTCAGATCTGGCGTTTGAAAGGCAATAAGAGAACAGGAAATACCAAACCAATAGATTGTGGAAGTGAGCTCGAATAAAAGTTGCAGAAATACAGGGTATAAGATGAGTAGTAGTTGAAGACTACGATGATTGAGAAGTACATCCCGGAACGTCACAGACCCTCAATTTGAACGATCAAAAATTGTTTCTCGTCCTAGGAAATCTTCAGTCTCATGCAGACTGTGGCACAAAGAGAAAAACAACTCACGCTGAACTGCTCGTCCTCTTTATCGTTATGGAATGCCCTCAGGAAGGACAGCAACTTCTCCTTGTTCCGCTGAAGGATAGCTTCCACAGTTGGAGGCTTCTTTGGGTTAGCAACGAATACCTACAATACCGTCAGTCCCAACAATCGCGACACTTATCCAGGGTCCCTCAGACGCACCTTAAACACGTGGAACGCCTCAAACTGGATGTTCTTGCTCTTATCCTTCAACAAGTTCATGATCACCTTCAGATTATGCTCGTTCGAAATATATCGAGTCATGACGTTGAAGTTGGCCCGGTCGAGAAGAATTTCGCCAAGAAGCTTAAGGGATTGCCGTTTGGTAACGTAGTTCGAGGAGTTGATCAAGCGAGAGTACATGGCGAAAAACTATCCCAGGGGAAGAGATGAATCAGGTCATATGGGGAGCGACCTCCAGAAGGGCAGGACGTACACGATCGTAATTCTTCTCGAGATATTCAGCAACCATAGGTTTGTGCCGAGTCAGGGTTTCCTAGCACAAAAATGGCGACTTTGAGAGGTTATTGGGGTACGATGGAGGAGAACATACTTTAAAGTTTGCAAAGGCATCGCATGAGACACCAAATGTTGTTTCCTCGATATAATGAGGAAAGGAAAAGAATTCGTCTGAATACAACAAAATCTCGGCCAACGGTTCATGCCTCAGCATCTCTTTCAAAATCATCCCAGTATTTAATGCCACATCCTCATTCTCATATCCTTTCAATGCCACAAAGATCACCTCTCTCGGCTTTCCAGGTATAATCAGATGTTCAACCGTAGGCCACCGGCTTCCGATCTGTCTCCGAAGAAGATTGTTGAATATCTGCGCAACATCCTTGCGTGCCTCAAAGTCCAGTTTGGAGATGTGGAAAACCAGGAGATTGAGGAGGTCATTGGAATACGTTTCCGTTGCGAGTTGCGCGACAACTTCAGGCAAAGGGTCTCCATCACCAAATAACATCGCCTTGATCTGGGACAAGTCTTTTGCAACACCTTCTGCGGCCTGCGGAGCGAACAAAAGTGGATGTTGGGGGTTCGATTGCAAACAGGCCGAACATCGGGAACGAGTAGGATCAAGAGAGATAGAAGACGGGTCCGATGTATAGAAACGACACGGGTAAGAAGTGACATGAGAAACGCGTGCATAAACGAAACAAGTAGTGTTGTTCAGTTTCAAACCAATGACAATCGTCGTGTTCTTACCCTTCGTCTTGCTTCGATGGGGCCAGTATCGACCTTCCCTAGTCCATCGCGCACACTCTTGACGAGTTCTGTCGGGCCCCTTGGCTTTTGCTTGAAGAAGTTCATTGAAGGAATGGGGTCAGGGCGTGTGAGTGTTTGGAACTTTCTGTAGTTTCGGCGCTTTCAGCGAGGCGCGCTTCTGCTTCAAGCCGGGTATTGGCACGAAAAGGTATCCCTCGAATATCTAGTGATAAACAGTACACCAGTACCCCAGCTTTAGAGGATAGGCGCTTGTGGCAAGGAGTCGAACAACACCCTGTGTTGATCGTCAATGTTAGGGGGGTTTATGTTGACCGCAGGATCCTCGGTAAGGAGTGTATCGAAGAATGGCACTCAGGGGCAATTCCAATGACTCGCGTTGGCAAGGCCGCACGAGGCAAATTAGTGGCAAATTCTGGAGAAGTTGTTGGCAGTAATGAACGCGGTTCTGCGGTCCAAACAAACATCCCGTGCCAAAAGCCATTCAATCACCATGCAGTTCTGGTCACAAATTTGCTTTTCTGTCAATTCACCCTTGATAGAACGAAGACGTAAAAAGCGATGACCATCACAATGAAAGCGGTCACTGCTTATGACCCAACATAGCCAATAGCTGCAATTATATTATGTACGAACATAAGGTCATGATCATAACTAAAACATCCCCATTCACCCCCCCCCAAGGGGAAACGGACAGGGGCAACTTGCTAGGCGTGGGCTTCAGGCCCAAATAACGTAGGAATCGAGGAAGCCTGTACTGACATACATCCGCTCGCATACCATCAATCATGAGCTTGGCACTCATCAAACGGGTGGATCTTCCATCAAGGATTCCCGATCGGACCATAAGGGTTTTCCTTTCTTGTGAGGAGAAAACCTTCAGCATGGTTGTTTTGTTTTTCGGTCAAACGAATCTACAAGCACGGGGCTTCGTATGAAAAAAGGAGAAATGCGTAATTGATGAGACAGCTCACATATATCTCCACGCCAATAATATGAATGATGAGCGCCGTCCATAAACCCACTGGAGACGCCAGGCGGGCAACTGCACCGCGGTTGACCTTGTCCCCATGCATGGATGCATGGATGCCCACATACACGGAGCTGAAGTTCGTGTTGGCTTGCTGCGCTGCCACGCAGGCAGGGTAGCTAGATACCGAATGTATCAATGCTTGAATCTCCTCACAATTGAAGAGCTACCAGAATTGGGTAGTTGGTGTGAATATCTTAGCTTTCGGTGTGAAAAATGGGCCTCACAGCATAGAACGTGCCGATGTTAGTAATGATGGCACGAGCAGCCAGCATAATGACGCGTCCACTGACGATAACTCCCAACATGGAAGTCATGCCTAGAAGTTGAAGAGGTGTGAAACTGGTGGAGTATGCGGATAATAGCGACTACGTACGAAGCATCCATTTCCGATGCTGCCTGATGTCACGAACATAGATCATTCCCAGAGTCGCAGAAATAAGAGTCAATAAACCGAGAACATAGAACATCAGCTGCGTCTGAGGAACCCCCCAAATGCTCGCCGAGCCAATACCCATCCCGTAGCGACGTTGATACCCGTGAGCAGAAGAGTGATATAACCGTTCAAACGGTGCAGGGATATGTAGTTCTGAAATCAATTGAGTATACGATGAGGGGAGAGGCAAGGGCGGCTCTGACTTTGAGAACAGCAGGGAGGAACTGGAAGACGACACCAAACGTGCCAACTAAACAGGAAAATCCTTGAATAAATGCTTCGGGCACGGTGTAGATGCGATCACTCACAAAAACATACCCAGACGTGAATAATGAACGCATAGCGATAAGGGGCCCGACTGTTCCAGAACATCTCTCCTATTACCATGACGGATCAGCCAGCGCGTCAACCCCGCCGTGATACAAGATAACGGACCAGCTGGAAGATTTTTTTTATAGTTTGAGAGACTGGAATCGAGCATCATTGAGCGTGCCAGTACAAAGCCAACCAATGCTCCAGCAAAAATTATGACTGCAAAAGGCAAGGTAAGTATATGACGGACAGATGATACGATGTGCGGATGCCGGCGTTGTTGGTAATAATTTAAGTAGCAACTCACAGAGTGTGAGGCTCCATGTCTCCCTGAAGCCGAGAACACGGCTGACTGTCTTATTGATGCGCGGAACAATGCCTGAAAGTTGGGGAGATCAAGACCGAGAATACCAACAACTGTTAACAACGCACCTTCATCTGTTCTTTGGACAAAAGTACTCTTTTCACCTTGTTCTGGTGCCGGTACCCAAGTTGGATCGAACGGCCTTATTACCACTCTAGTCGCGGGCCTTATGGGGAAGGCCATGCGCTGTGAAGCGGGTGTGGGTGTATCGCTCGTTGAGGTCAAGGATGATGCCCGCGGCAAGGTCGCGCTCGTTGGTAGTGACATGAGGGTGCGGACTCAGCAGGGATGCCAGAAAGGGGCGCAGAGCGAACTTTCGGACACAGGACCAATACTTATGACGGGCTCTGTCGACAGGAGCTGCTTGGGTAATTTGAATATCATAGCCATTGAAATTCACATGGACGCCAGTAGCTTCGCAATCACCGATCGTGGCAATGTCGACCCTGAACGGACACATTTGCACACAGTTACATAGTACAGCGGCAACACATCCTTGACCATGCAGATGTAGTTTTTTTTGCGACCATCGAGTGCAATGAGCAAGCAGGTTCGCCAAATCCCTCAGACCCACTCTAGCTGACTATGTAAAATACTGCTGATTTAGTTGGGTTTCCATGATGACCTGTTGAGTGAATAATGAGAACCATGAACATCGAAGCTCCGCCGGGTAGAAGACCGCTCGAAGGACACATTGTGCAGATAGTCCACAAGGTACCATTCGCGCGCATGCTGGTTCTACACCCTGGCAATGGATGATCCAGAGAGGCTGTAACTAGCACAGCCTCCCACGATCAGGACGATAGCCTTGAATCTAACGGCCAGCTGACATTTTACGTCCACACCCTACTTATTTCAGCCTGGCACGCCACGACGATCCCGACGGCCGTGAATGGGAGTTGGAGTGGCCGTGTGGTGTTATTTCAGCGCTTTTCTATTTTGGCGATCGATAACGAACAACACAGAATCCACAAGACCCTGACACCACACTTTATCAACGGCTGCCCCTGGCAACCATGGGGCGTTAGGTTATGGGGGATTATTGGTGCGGCCCATGATGCCCGTCGTCCCTACTCGTGCCATTGAGAGGGGATCGGAGTCTGCGGAACAGCAGTTTCCAATGGAATTGCCAGCCATATCTCATGACGCCTAAACCTGGAAACATTCCCGAATACTAGAATGCTTCCTTGTAACCCTCTTCCGAAGTTTCAGAGAGTTCTCAGGCTTCATGCATCAGCTCCAAGTGCATGCTGGGTGTGGTCGTATATATGCAACGCCAGGGTTCTTCCGGGGATGTATAGCCTTGCTTCTCTAGCGTCTAGTACTCCTCATGATCGCAGTCGCACACCGTGATCCGTGCTGTATTCGTTCACGTTAAGTAATAGAAGAGCCAGTAAAAATGCGAAGCAGGTTGAATTTCAACTGGTCGCTTCTGGGCGTCCAACTGTGAGGATCTCGAGATGGGCTGAAGCTGATGACTAAACTCAAACGGACTCACTAGGTCACTTAAGCAGTTGTTCCGATAAGCTCGGAAGATCTATCTAGCTAAATACGAGGGGAAGTATACCGGATCAGGGTAGGGCTTATATTATGTAGGCAGATACCTCGCACCAACTTAGCGCAAGTACTTTTGGGCCGGTACTCGTAAAATTTGAATGGAGATGCTTGAGTTTAGGAATTGGCACACAATCTTCCACTTAATGTGTTGTACAAGACAAATTACCACGGAAGAAATTGCAGATGGCACAAGCGTCAATTCTCTTAGTAGATGTAGCATAAGTATATATGAAATGGTGTCCGAAAATACAGCAGTTGTGCAGCTGCCTCCCTCCAACTCGGGTTCGGCAATGGCTGAATCAACACCCTTGAATCAGGAACCAAATGCCAAACACATCATCTTGAGCTGGTGAGCCTAGCAGTGTTCATGTGATCGGATAGCAAGGTCATGGCTGCGAAGCAGCCTTGAGTTCGGGTCATTCCGTCACCATTCTCGAAAGTTGGCTCGTCCGAATCTCTTCCTTCGCCGTTTTGGCAAGGGACAATATCACGGACTCTGCAATTCCTCCAAGTTTAGCTCCACTCGTTGCCCCTTCGTAAATTGCAACACTCGTTTAAGGCGCGACATGTCCTCAGACAGCATCGCAGAAGAGACAGATGCGCTCATTCAGAAGCTGAATGCGCTTTCGATCAAAGATAAAAGGCTCGTTAAATCCACGACTCACCTTGCTCCTGCAGATCTTAGCATTGAAGTCCAAAGCTGGAAGATGAATGAGTTTAAGTATGCAACTTATCCCAGTCCTTTCCCCACGCTTGCCCGGGGCCTTTTCACGCGTCAAGTGCCTAAATCGGGAACTACACAAAGTGATCATAGCGTTCCTTGGGGCCAGGCTTTGACTGATGATGACAAATGCGCAGGTGTGGGAGGTCAGCACACTGTTGTAGCTCGTGGGTATGATAAGTTCTTCAACATCGGTGAAGTCCCGTGGAATACGGTGCGTGAGTCTGCTCCGAATCGTTGTTATGCGATTTCCATTTAAACCGCTTTTACGCAGTGGCCAGCTCTCGAGAAAAACACAACAGCTCCCTACTATCTTACTCTTAAATCGAACGGCTGCATCATTTTCGTCGCCGCCCTCGCAAATGATAAGCTAATTGTGACCTCTAAACACTCGGTAGGCCAACATACAGGAGCAGAAATTAGCCATGCAATGCAAGGGGAGAAATGGCTGTATAAGCATCTCAAAGCCAAGGGGAAAAAGCCCGAGGAGCTTGCAAGCCGATTGCTAAGGGAAAATATAACCGCGGTGGCCGAAGTATGTCCCTCATTCTGACCACGCCAAAGCCATGCTGATTTTACTGTTCCAAGCTCTGTGACGATTCATTCGAGGAACACGTCCTTGCGTACCCTCCAGAGCTCACTGGCCTCCATTTACACGGCCTTAACAAAAATCAAGGAGCCTTCTCGACTGCTCCACCTTCTGACGTTGACGCCTTTGCTGAGGAATTTGGGTTCATCAAAACTGCCTATGTAACCCTCAACTCCGTTAATGAAGTCAAAGAGTTCACAGACGATGTCGCCCAAACGGGCTTCTGGAACGGTGATGCAGTTGAGGGTTTTGTTGTTCGTACCAGGGTGAAGGCACGCGATTCATCGGAGGCGCCTGCCAAAGTCGACCCAAGAGATATACATACACCTCCTCCTTATCCCCCCGGCACGGATTTCTTTTTCAAAGTGAAATTTGATGAACCATACCTTATGTACCGGGCGTGGCGCGAAATCACCAAGACAATCCTATCATACAAACGCGATAGCAGCAAACCACTCAACATACCGAAGTCGCGCCTGGAGCGGCCTGAATCTCGAGTATACCGTAACTGGGTCGAGGATGAAATCGACGCTCACCCCAAAGAATTCGAGGGTTTCTCGAAAGGCCAAGGTGTCGTCGCTACGCGAGAGAGGTTTTTGAAGTGGCTAGAGACGCCCACAGGTCAAAGGAAGCTGATCGCCGCAGGGGGAGCCTTGAAAAAGGATGGGGCACATGCTCTTGCCAACCCAGAAGCCGTCACTACCACTCCGCGGAAAGAGTTTGGTAAGACCATCATAGTTCCTATTGCAGTGCCTGGCTGCGGTACGTTGTTTATGATAAATGTCATCTTCTGAATTAACGGGTCGCACGTACGTGATCGATTTCAGGCAAAACTGCTCTTTCTGTTGCCCTTTCTCGGTTGTTCGGTTTTGGGCATACTCAAAGCGATGATGTGAAGGCCAAGAAAACAGCCTCCATATTCCAAAGTAATATTACGAAGTTGTTGAAGGAGTATGACGTGGTCATCGCCGATCGGTTCGTTTCCATTTCCTAGGGATCCAGAACTTTCTTGAATCTTTTCGTACGCAGGAACAATCATCTCAGGCAGCACAGGGTAGGAATTCTTGAAGCGGGAACCATATACGAAGAAAGCGTCGCGCGGGAGAAGCGTGCCGACCCCCTCCCAATTCGTCTCATAGCTTTGTACTGGAATATCCGCAAGGCTCCCCTCGCTACCGTTCACCGTCTCTGTGCGGATCGTATACTTCGCAGAGGGGACAATCATCAGTCCCTACGTCCTGCGGCCGTCTCGCACGAGGAGATCATCTGGCTTTTCATTACAGGGTCCCAAGAGCTTGCGGATGGGGAGGTAGATGATGTTATCGAGTTGGACCCCCGAACCGAGTCGTTAGAAGAGAATGTCAGGAAGGTTATCGATGGTCTCCTCCCGCTTCTCCCAGACCTTCAACGGCCGAATGATGAGCAAATTGCCGAAGCCTGTGACTTCGCTCTGGGATATAAGGTCACTGTCAAAAAGGAGAGTCAAGCGACAAGAACGAAAGACAGGACGCGGTACTATGGACTTCTGGCTGAAATCGATCTGCTAAACATCGTTGAAAAAGCATTATCGCAAGACAACGCGCCGAATGTTGCCCTAAAGTTTTGGGATGAGTTAAAGGAGGAAAAACGATACTCCCGAGGCCGCACATCACCATTGTCCATTCCAACAGTCTCCCAGCTGAGGAGCGACTATGGGATGCCTGTAATGCATTGAACAGACCTCCAGGTCCTCGGAAGAATAGCTCAACTATTTATCTCCTGCCCCTGTTTGACTTCTCTATTGGTAGTCTTCTGTGCGATGGGAACGTGATGGCTTTGACAGTCGAAGACCTCCGTGTCCGCGAGACTCCTGAGAACGATGTTGGTTCTAAGGCAGCACATGCCGTTCTCGCTGCGATGAACGAAGATCGCAAAATTAAGCTTCATATCACTGTAGGGACAAAAGGCGAGTCTGTTTCGGCAGTGTTAGCTGGTGAGATGGTAACAAAGTGGAGGAAAGGGGAGAAGAGTGGGATTGGGGAAGTTTCACTGGAAAATCAAAATGGCAGCGGTCTGATTAAAGGATTGTCATGATTGTATTGGAACTCTATTATCTACTGAGCATGTCATTCACATACTATACCCCGGGACGGTTAACGATCTTGTATTGACTAGGATATGTAATGCAAAAGACTCCCAATCATTCTTGCGCATCGGACGATGCATCATGTATGACCCAGGTGAAGGAATATCACCTGGTCAATGATCCCATTCTGGTCGCCCCAATAGTCATATAGGAGTCACTGAACGTATACCTGGTGCGAGCTAGGTCTGGAATGGTTGAAGGCTGACTCTCCCGATCTCCGAAGCGACGTGGCACTCCTCTGCGGGGCGACATCACAAGGATTTGTAGGAGTGGCCACAGTCGGAGCAGGGGAGGCCTGTCTACGTCCTCAACTGGGGGTTTGAGCAGAGCTTGGAGGTTCGAGAGCTAATGAGAAACTCTTCAGAAGTCTCTGAAAGTCTGCAGCAACCACGAGGCATGCTCTTCGGGAAATGATGAACTTGTGGGATAGTCCGCAATAACCTCGATCAGACGCGAAAACCCTCGAAACCTTCTTGAACCACTGCACGCTTTGGATTACTTATGCTTTGTCCCCCCGTCGTAGGATGACTTGCATGGAAGTTGGGCTGCAGTTGGTGCTACCTTGGGTTCCGGACAAGTCAGAACCTCGAAAATAGAAGGGGAACACAGGAGAAGACTGCTCACAAGCTTCCCATTCGCCGCCGGTGCTAGGGGTCATTCTTCCATCAGGAGGAGCGGACCTGGGAGCAACCTCCCAAAGGTGAAGGCTCTCTCTCAGAGAAGAAACCGGATCGCACTTGGACGCTGGAGAAGCTGGGAGTGCGAGGCTGAGGTTGAGACACCCCTAAGCTCTTTGCTTCGCGGTAGCTTCAACCTCCGTCGCAGGGAATATGGTAGGATGCGCAGAGAGTGGTGTGAGCGGTTGAATCTTTAAACGAGCGAGATAAATCCAAGCTGGAGAAATTATCACGAACAATCTACACAAGGGCGTGGGTCAGAAATGTGGGAGGGTGACATCCGTCTCACGCACAGTCCCGGTCATTACATCGTGATCCCCCCACAGAGTGTTCATTATTTTTTTCTACAGGTTCAAATATGCATCACAAGAGTCCGACACAATATTACTTCGCGTCGCACACTTTCTTTGACGTTGTCTTGGCAGGTCACGATATTCAGGAACTCGTCGGCAGGTTCGGTGAAACAGGCGATGCCAGGCAGGCGTATTCGCGATGTCGGCACGAAGGAGAGCACTTCCGGATTTGGAAGTCCCGCATAACGCATACTTCTGGAGTGGTGGTGTCGGGTAGGCGAGAGTCAGGAACGGGCGACAGGGGTGGGAGGTCAGGACTTACAGAGGAAAATTTTGGCGCTTGCTGAAGACAAGAATCACAAAAGATACTAAAAAAGAGGAAGGGTGCCATTTGATTCATGGAATAGTTGGGAGCAGACAAGCAAGTTCCCACTCGCTGATTTGGTGGGACCAGTAAATTGGGACCCAAAGCGACGGAGTAAATATTGGCGTTCATTACTGAGTGGTATTTAGCCATCAAATTCGTAAACGGTTTGAGATGAAGCAAATTGCTCAACATGTACTAGAGGGATGTGTGAATGCAATCGCGCAAGATCATACATAGTACGTGCTCTTTCTATCTGCCGGTGTGGGAGAAGTGGAGGAATGTGGCGGTCGCGGTGACTCAGTGTCAAAGTGTTCTGCATGAACGAGTGGCGCAGCCACTACTGGGTTTTCCGCAAGGGGTCTTCCAGCCCCGCGCTCTTTCTCTTCTCTGTCCATGACTACAATGATTTCTCAATGGGATGAGCACCTCCTGGGATTGCGTTGGGATCAGGACAACGCACCTTGTTCCCATTCACGCCATACCACTTCGTCCATTCTGTCTGATTCTTCCTTGGAAGTCTTTTGACCTCCAAAAAAGCTACTAAAGCTGGAGACCACAGTCCCGCTGCAATTTTGGTCCGTGGGCTTGATTGGCGACAAGCCTTGAGGCCCAGCTTCTGGCGTGCTTGCCAGAGCTATCAGCCTGGAATATTCGGAGGCATTTACACGCTCCCCGGCCTTCAAGCGACGGTATATCCCACTCAAAATACTTTTCTGAGCAACAAACTGCTGTTTCTCTTCGATTTGTTGCCGACGTTGGTAGATGAAATGCGTAGAGATCGAACACAAGAACATGGCGCCCATAATAGGGTCTAAATTTCGATGAAGCCACATAGGAGTTTATTTTAGATGACCAATAACCAAAGGGATGGCTTGACGCAAAGGTGTTCTGCTCCAAGAAATTGCTTCACCGTCTTTCCCACGACGACCAGAGGCGTTTGAATTGAATTGGAACCCAATTGGAACCACGGGTCCCACAACTTCCCCTACCTTGCGAGGTGGGTCAGGTGAAGCTTGTCAATGCTGGAGCCCATGTCTGAGCAAGCGCTGCTAATCTAGCCAATTTTTTGGGCGGAATTCCGTCCATGCTCCACCGTGCGAAGGGGCTGCGTTCAAAACCAGTCACCGATCGTTCGAAGCGACCCGTTTTGTCCTTTTGCACAAATCTTTGCTCGAATTACTCGCAATCCTCATGGTTATGACGGAGTGTGAGGGTCGGCGCTGCTGAAACTTTCACGAGGTTCAAGTGACCCAACCGGGCACTCTATCTATGTTGTTCGAATGATATTGTAATAGAGGCTGGTATCCTGCCTAACCGGGCACGTTATCGAAACTAGGTTTTGTGACTGAGTAGTCACATGGTCTAACCGAGTTAGGTTGTGAAGCTGTAAGATCCGGACAAGTCCGAATCACGAGCAGCTGTGGGAACGTGGCTGTACAGAATACTTACTCGCTTGACTCCAGCCTCTATGCAACATGACTTCATAATATTAGACACGGTTCTCCAACAGGAGCTATAACCAACTCTTTTGTGTAAACTGCTCCTTCCGGTGAGAATGCTTCCTCCTTTTCTACGTAAAAGTAAACAAAGGAAATGCATGGAAAGACAGAGGGAAGAAACTAAATATAAAAGGGAAAGAAGATGACGAATTTTCAGCGTCGAAAATTGTGCATTCTGCGTGCAGAGTGATTGGGGAGTGAATGGGAAGAGTCTAGTGGTCATGCCAACACCTGAACCGAGGACAGGGTGATGAAGACCGTTAGCACTGGCCCCCAGTCCCTCTCTCATCGCCTGTAGCGCGGCGGCATCTTGGATTTGGTTCCATCGTCTCAGAAAATGGAATCGATGTAAGCGCAAAAGTTTTGGTTTTGTACTCCTTCGCGAGCGTCGCTGCCCTGTTCATGGACAAGGGGAGATTGAGACGCACATTACTGTGCTCCTTGGGACCTGGATGGTGTCCGAACGACGTTTCCCAGTCTGCCATGGTGAAATGGGCCAACGGGCCGACGTAACTCTGCAACCCATCCAGTCCCCCACACACTATCTACCCCATAGCGCCTGATCTGCGTTTGTGTGAATGTTGGGCTCACTGCAGGAACCCCCCGAAGGGCTAATGCCTTTGTTCCTATTGAACAACAGATCTTAATCAGGGATCCGTCCAACTGCAGGCGCTACTAGCGCCTGCAGTTAGTAGCTAGCTTGGTTCGAGGCAGTAGGTTCCTCCCGTACATCCTTCGATACTTGAGGTATCCCAAAAATTGGATAGCATATTTATCAAGTCCGCTCTTCCCCTTGTTGGTGCTGTCGCTCGGTGGCGTATATTAGCCAATGTCTCAGTTTTGCTTGGGGCGGAGTGCAAGTTGCTCGAACTTACGCAATGCATACGGACGTTTTTGTCCTCGAGTCTGTGATATACTTGTGTGCATACGATAGAACCTGTGGCTGGATCCGAGAACATATGGTTACATCAATTATGGGCTGCTGAGCAGCACTATCTCGTCAAACATAACTGCTTGCTCATATTCATATTCGATCCTCCTGTATCTATCTCAGTGATATTGAACTTGGTTCTTCAATCTACTCACCAGGTGAATCATTCGGGCTCTAAGCTTATCCAAACCAAACCCCAACAGAACCAAATACGTTTCGAGATCTCCATTGCTTGGCCTTCTGGTTTTGATCATGTGGAAAACTCCTGAGGCTCCGGCATCATTAGATGGATTTTCGAGGATGCGTTCGGTGGTATTTGCCTTGGGCATGTTCCTTTGCTTCGGTGCACGACCGTTCAATCAATGTTGTGAGGGCATCCAGTTCACCCATTCGGACGGTTAATCATGAAAAGAATGTTGGACAAGTATAAATTGAAATAAGTTATTAATATACATATAAATCGAGGTGAGTCCCTGATACCAAAAGCAGCAACACATAAAGTATCATTGTCTACGGGACCCATCGGTTTATGCCACCTGTCTTCCCGTGTAATCCCCATACCAAGCCCTGACGACAATTTATCGCTAGTCAGCACAGTAACACCCCAAACTTAGTAAACTTATTTACTTTAGGCTAGGCATACCACTCCAAGTCCCCCGATAAAGCCCGAACTTAAGATAGTTTGCCCCTGTTCCGACCGATCTCTGCCCACTTCGGTAACTCATGACAATTGTGCCAGTAGTGGAATCAGTAATGACATAATTGATCCTCCCGTTCTGGCCATATGTGATGTCGATAGTGTGTTGCAGCGGCCTGCAGAGAATGTCGCTAACGGGGATTGAGGCAAGTACCTCGTTGGTCACCGCGTCTTGGAACTGGAACCCCTGTACGAGCAAATTGGTAAAGTAAACTGGACCCCCGTAAGTGGCGCTGAATCTAGGAGTCAGAAATGTCGTCAGGCCATCGATTCGAATGAAAAACAAGCATTTGACAAACATTTGCATTGTGTGGAAGAAACGGGTCCCCCCAGCTGATGGAACGTCAGAGCCATGAATAACAGACCCACTACATAAACGTGGATACTGACTATTATAGGCATTGAAATAGGACCGCCAGGTGTACCGGTATGTTCCATCTGGGACAAATCAAGCTTGAATACGAAATACAGTTTGGCGATGAGATCCGACGAACTATCTACGCGACTATTGAGGAACTCGACGCGTTGACGAGGACTCCCAGCATCGGGTTCCAATTGCGCGTTCGGGTCGGACGATAACGTCATTTCGTAGCAGGTGTTAATATTCTGAAGTCCAGCAGAGCATCCGCCTTGATATAAAGCACTAAGAAGTCGGTGAGGGACAAGCGACAATTCCCCAGACGGCACAGTACTTGCCCAGTGGCCTGCCATTTGAGACCAACAAGCCCAGTGGTAAGAGTGCCTGACCTGAAACTGGTCCCGTCTGAAATGACAGTAGCACGTCCTTGCAGACCCCGCGCTGTGCGCGATTGACAAGCGATCGCACGTTCCGCAGGTATCGCCACTGCTGGAGTGAACAAGCACAATAGCACAAAGTTGGTGATATACATGAACATGTTGAAAGCTGTCCCTGAAAATTGAAGCCCGCGAAGGGGGTCGATTGACAAGCCGTCGTAGCCAAAATATATTTTATAGAGCTTAAAGACAGACGTAACCTGCATTTTATTTTTTTAAACACTTGAGGTTTGCGCCGTTTCCAGCCCCAAGTTTAGGAAACGCTAAACACGGATGAGAAGCTCGGGATGGGTTTACTCCCCGCTCCGCGAGCCGTTTGTGTAGCCCAGAATCTGTGGAGCCAAGCTCGGTGAAACTCAGAAACGATACCGAAGAACAGCCGCCTGTATCCAGTTCATCCGCCAAACATCCTCACCCGAAGAGGACGCTAGCATTGAACTTATGAAATATGACAGCTTTCGAAGGTGCATGTGAAATTACGGTAGAGTGAAAGGGATGCTGACTGGACTCTTGTCAAAAGCAATGTGAACTACAGTAATATTGCATTGGCCGAGCGTGGGAAACTTGGGGGCGGGGACCGTTCATCCGCCTCACGTCCTGTCATGCGCTTACTTGACCCCTTTCCCAGTCCGTTACTCGTTAGACTACACAAACCGCCTTGACCTTCACTCCGACGGATGGGGTTCTATAGTTGAACCGCTTGCTTAATTGTCCATAGGACATGCTTTTCTCGGTCGGCCGAGACAACTAAGATCCAACCCTCCGGGATCCAGGGCCATCGCCCAAGGGACACCATCTCTTATCTGTGCACTGAATTGCCCATTGTGCAGTATACGTGGTACATGAAATGGATAAATTTGTGGGTCCACAGACCAGGTTGTTCGGAATCCCATAATCGCGAAGGCTCAACAGGAAGAGTGGAGGGATTCAAGCAGTGTGACAGTTCCGATTGACCTAGGAGTTAAATCACACACCACTTCGTCAATGAAACTGTCGAGATGGGGTCATCTCAGAAGCATGTACTAGTTATGATAGGTGAGGCGACAACATGCCTTGCGAGACCAGCGGGAAGGTCGGGCTCGACATAGTGGTCCCTTGTGCGCTTCGTGATATTGAAAGCAGAAAGGATAGAGGCAAGCGTGATGAAGATGAACGCTTCGGCAAAATGCAGACCGACGCATTTCCTAGAGAATAAGGATCGTCACTGAGGAAGATTGTTACGTTGGGCATGAAATAATTGCCTTCTGCCGAATCCAAATATGAATTCCTTAGGATCGAGAGCAGGACTGTCACCCAAAAACCGTTCGGGTTTAAATTTTTCGGGCTCTGTGTAATAACGTTCGTCTCTGCTCATCCCCCTGAGCATGCCGAATGATGAGAGACAAGCATCGAGTATTGCGGAGCAGGATCGGAGAACATACTAACCATTGATTTGGGAAGATGATCGAATCACGAGGGATAAAGTACCCTACGGAGCTGGTGAGCTTGTGTTTATGCTGCTCAAGACGACAATGTGGCACCTTTATAAATACCATCCTTTACAGGGGCATGACCCATTCCAAGAGGAAGCACTGATAGACTGGATCAATCCTGGAACCCGTCCGTATGGGCGTGTAAAACACACCAGGATTCCATCTGTGAACTTCTTTGATCACAGCGTTTAGATATGGAAGTTGATGTTGACTGAAACCAAAACGGAATAGTGTCAGAAAAGGATAAGGAACATTCCAGAGTAAGTACGCCACGCACTCATCAAACGTTGGTAAACGTATCACCTCATTCTCAGACAAGGTGCCGAGCACCTCGTCCAATTCCTCCTGTGCCTTTTTTTGCACCTCAGGATAAAGCATCATCGCAGCGAGGAAGGTTTTTATCCCGACGAGGGTCGTATCCACGCCGCCATTGTAGAAGGAGCCAGCAGCAAGCTTGACGGAATCTGGGTTCTTCCCAGATAACACGAGTCTGTTCACAATAGACAAAGACTAAAGGCAATCACTACCAGGCTTCTACGGAAGCTACATTGCAGACCTACTTTGTCTTGAGACAATGCATGCTGGAACGTTTTATCCAGGAACTTTTCACGCGCCGCGCGGAGGAACTGCAGATTCATAAATACCAATGAACACACCCCTCACGGCGTGGCGGAAACCTACTTCTGCCTCTTTTTTTAATCGTATCCATGGAATATACGCAAGGACAGGAAAGTAGTCGACCAAATGCCTGCCAAAAATTATAAAACCAAATGTTCCACCGGATCCCCCCTTCCTACCCAAATACTGGAGGTGTATGAGCGAGCTTGCGAAACCATGGATCTCGATCCTTTGCTTACCAACTTTTCGGCGTCTTTGGCTGTGATCCCATACGTCGTTTCGAGAAGCGCCCCGCCGATGCGCCTTGGAGTGTACATTCAGATGATCGATAGGGAAATTCCGCGATGCACCTGAGACTCACTGCTGCAAAGTGCTTTCAAATACGACCGGATTCTCAAGAGCATCGGCGAGTAGCCGTAGACTGGCCTCCCGAAGAGCAGGATGTAATCGCGTCATTGAGCTTCTTGTTACTAACTGGTGAAGCATTCCTCGTCGCTCTCTCCACGCCACCCCGTACCGAGCTAGAGAAAAAGCGGAGTCTTCTGTACCGATCCTATTTTCACATGTCGAGTGCGGAAAGTCAGACAGGCGCCAGGGAGAAGGTTCTACCACCCACAGCATTCCCACCATGGTCATTGTAGGTCGGTCAGAATAAGTGGCGGCATTGTTCCCAAGCATATCTTTGGCAGCCTCATAGCTGTTTAAAACAACCATCTGGCGACCAAAAAGATTAAAGCCGACGATGTCACCTGCGAGTTCTCCCCTTAGGTGCTTTAATCCCTAGGAGTTGTGCCAATATCACACACCATAAATCCCTCGGAATTCGAAAAATGCTTTCCAAGGCAGTGAAGATTTGAGGTTTTCCCGAAGGAGTCTATAGACCATGAAACCCCCGGCCCTTGGCCCAGGAGGATGGGGAAATCCTTTAGAACGACGCCTCCAACGACAGGTGTAGATACTTTTCCACAGAACAAAGCCCGCTAAAAGCAGCCATTGCACTGTTGAGATCATCCTTGGAATGCAAATGAAGACAATAGCCTCAAGAGTAAGTTGTCAAGAGGCGAACGGTGTGTAGGGAAGCACCCACTTATATAGGAAGGGAGAATCAACGGCCCAAAGTGGGAAGAAGTTTTGCTGCAGTGATTTTCAACATGGTGTACTTCCAAAATACCTAACGAAGTAAATCTCGCGGACATCCCCGAATGAAATACACTCACCCTTGGGATACGCGCAAAGTATATGAATCCTTCTGACTTCAAGTGAATGGATGTTGAAACTCCACAAAGAATACCGGAAAAATGATTTTAGCAAAATTAAGATCCTTGCCGGCTGAAGGAAGCCCAGAAACTTTTGTGACGAACAGTCCGTTGGGATTGTTTTCATTTCGTCCAAATTCTGCACATCCAAGCCGCAAACTAATGCATTATCAGGGCGGTGCTGCAAGCCCTCGAGTGCTACGCCGTTCTCAGCATAGCTGAAAGTCGGAACGGGGACACATTTCGCTGACCCTGTCCTGGCGGCCAGCTTACTATCGTGGAATATTAATCACAATAATCGCCCAAAAGTTGATTGGGTCGGGCTGTTGGAAAGCGGACCCGGGCAACTTCAGTCAGAACCTTTGGCCGCCTCATGCCACTCCGCACCACACACTCATCAGGCAACAGTTCCTGCAGGATGAAGACCCGCTTATCGCTCTAGGGAGCCATCAGGAACAGGACAGGAGCGCCCACTATTATGTAAGACCTCCAGTCAGAGCGGAACCACCTCCCCAAATCCGATATTGCCGGCACAACGCCCAAAATATGTCTCGGACTTACCTGTAGGGGGCGGTGTGAAGCTACGCGGGAAAACATATTCCCTACTTGCGTTTGTGTCGGAAGAACTCTGCCCTTGGCACTCTCACAGGCACTCTCAGTGCATGGGTTATTTTCGGGTCCTACTTTAGCTAGGAAAGCGGCTAGGAAATGCGTGGATGTATCATGGGGCACATCTGGTGGCGCCTGCTCGGCGCTTTAGCCTACGCTCTCGATCTCCTCAATGAGATCGAAAGCCCGTGTCCAATCAAAGAAATAAATATTATGCGTAGGCGACGACCCCATCAACCGCATAATCCCACCCGTCGCCACAGCAAGAAGATATCACTGAATCTGGTCGAGGCTCAGCCTCGCGTCAGACTTGGAGCACTAAACCAAATCGGCAAAAAAAAAGTATGGGATGAGCCAACGACGTGCAGTTGGCAAACACAGAGGTTGAATCGGGAATTTCCACCGCCGCGACCTTCGTTGTCCTCACCATAAACGCAAGTTACGGTGTGGATGTATCAGTAGTATCAGCAGGTGGTGGTGACAGGTGACAAGGACGACTGCACGGGTATCATGCGAATAGCATAACATTGATGATATGTATTGGTGTGCTGGTTGTTGGACAGGTTCGGGGCTTACTCAGGAACAGGCACGACCGTCTCTGAAAAATTTGGGCAATTCGCAAAGGTGAGCTACAGGTGACTAGCTTTTTCTTTATGGGAAGAGCTAGAGAACCGTGACGTTGGGAACTCGGGGAAATAACTGAATTGATCGGGTCTGCGGTGCTGCTTATATAATTATATATGCTCTTATTGCAGTCCAATTGACGAACACGACTTCTGTCCCCACGATCCAGTGACATGACTTCGAGTAGGCCATTCTTTTTGCTAGGGGTTGCCGTATAGCGCTTCAACTTTTTTCTTCAGCAGGAAGGGTGCTACCTGCGCCCTCGGGGGAAGCCCAATGTGTGGGTTGAGATCAGCAGGCCCGACATGGACTATTCGTCAACTCCGTTTAAGTTCAGACTCAGCGGTACATTACCAGCAACAGTTTAGCCTAACATCTACTCAATTCTGCCATCGCAAATGGGTAGCCACTCGCGGGCTACTTTTGCTTCTCCTGGGAGTGCTTCTATCGAAAGCTTGACGGTGTCAATGGACGCTATCAGTGGAAGCACCGTTATAGCGTCTACTATAATTTTGGTCTCACCCCCATTCACGAAGTCGGCCGTAAGCATTTTCAACGCCCAGGACCACTATATATATGTCGCCCCGTAGATCGGGTGCATTCCAGGGTGGCTGCAATGAAAGTGGTGCTGCTGGGAGAAACACTTTCCCTGGTGGGGGTATCGATCCGATCAATAACTATTGTTTCTTGCACGGAAAAGGCTTGAGGCATGTTCGTTTTTGCGGCATGGACTACACAAGTGATGTCTGCAGGCAGCAATTTACCTCTGGATACTCGGGATCTGCGAGTGAACGATATCTACTTCGTCAGGAAGACATTGGTTTGGAAGGATACTTGAGCAGGGTATCACAGGGCATGTCAAGACATGAACTAAACAGACAGAAGGGGGACCTGGTGCTTCGTTTTGTTGGAAGCAACAGCTCAACGCCACAGGCGGTCAGGGGCGGATCCACTCAGCTGGAAGACCCGGAACGTACAATCGCGCTTTTGGGGGAGCGTCGGGATGCCGTATATAATTAACTTGAGGTTACACAGCGGCGCTGGGATGGGGAAATGCGTCCTTGTTCCTTTATTCTGTTTCTGTCTTTCTCCTTTGTCTTGCATGTAACCCTTGCTGCTTTGGCGGACGACGCAAGCGGCGTAGGTTCTCTCTGGCTATATATTTAAGGGCTCGGCCTGTAGATGCGGATACCCCACTAATACTCGGTATCCGACGTCTCAGATCACGGGTGTGGCTTTTTCATGGGGAAAACATGTCACATTGGAGTGGAATTCCAGACCATCCAAGGGAGTTCACCGGCCTCTGCTAGTAGGTGCGATACCCAAGCCTCCGCGACTAATACATGATTACGAGTCCCTCCACATATGGTTTCAATGTGGCAGTGCATGACCCACGCATTGTCTGAAGTAGACCCATTTCATGCAGGGATATACACCGGACAGCGATTGGAGAGTACTTAGTTTTCTATAATAGATAGACCACTCGAGAATGTTCTGGTGTTGAGAAACCGTTCACATAGTACGGCTCCCGAATGTCAAGTTCATCAGGTGTGCCCATTCAATTAATACTTCCCCATTCCACCACGGAAACGCAGACTTGTCACAACTCTACTTAACATAACAGAGATTGGGATCCTGCTACACGTGGAACAAGGGTGTAGTGGAAATGGCGCCCCAGCATGTGACGCAAATAACCAGCCACTGGCCGCGAGTTATAAGGGGAATCGGCTCAGATAGCTTCCATTTTGGGGAGTTGGCATAATCCATCAAGTTTTCTGAGCTATGCACACAATCGGAACATCGATCCCCCCACTCTCGGAGGCAGCTTACGAGTGATACCAGCTTCCCGCGCCGAAGGAAACGACGTTTTGTGGTTGTCGGGCTACTTCGTGCCACTGGGCCCAGCTCGAAATTAAACATTGCATGCCTACCTGACATTGAGGCACGGCACGCAGCCTTGCAGTGCACATGCTGAACAGCACGCAGGGATACAACCAATAGGTAAATCAATCGGTAGATCAAAATGGACGGCCATGATTATACGCCCATGCAACCCTTTTTTATTTTCTGCCTTTTGCGTCTGGTGAACCACCCGCCCGCCGCTGCGGCACCGATGTGTGAACCAGAACCTTTAGTCTCGCCAGGTTCGCGCTGGATGGTGTGCGGGCTATGTCCCCCCACTACGTCATATGATAAAATGCAGGCGCCACGTCCTAGCAAATTCTCCAGTTGATGTGTCGCGAGAAGTGGTTGCCTGCATCCTCATCGGTGTCTTGCTGCCGATTGATCGTGGTGCGACCGATAATTGTGGCACATGCCGCATAGTGAAGATTAACCTGCACTGCTTTCAAGGGCAACCATGAGTTTCCAGGATCATACACGGAGAGATCCGTGGCCGTAGGCGGTAATGGCAGAGCAGTCGGGGCTAGATTGAGCAGCCCGTATCGGATAGTAGACTATGCATGTTGTTGGCGTGAAAAATCACGAAGGCTTGCGGCAACTTTGTGAGACCTGAGTGCGATATCGAGGGGCCAGTACGCCAGGATGTGAAATCACATCCACATTTTTGGGCAATTGACGGGTGAATCACCTGTAGCGAGAGACACGAAAGCGAGCCTTGCAGGACCAGCACGACGGACAAACTCTACGAAGCTTCGGAGGCATGGAGCATCGACAAGGCAGAGGATATTTTAATGAGAACGAGTGTGTACAGACTTTCAACGCCGCAGGACTTGGTGAAGTTGCTAATTTGTTACATGAAGATCCTCCAGGTCTAGAAACACACTTGGGTCAGGTAAATTTGCCGTCCAAGAGCTGGTAAGGCCCGAATCCCTGGGCATTCGATCAGTAGCTCTTCTCCATGTCCGTTCCTCTGGACATAATGACTCTAGTCAGTCGCAGAGAATCACAAGATCGGTGCACAACTGAGCATCGATTGACACGAGGAATGAAATATTTGATAAGATTTGGGTCCCAGTGTTTGTTGGTATGCGCTATGGCACGGCAGCTGATTATTAGAGCGGGAGCGCGTCGGCTAACCCCGCTGGCCAAAGTATTGCACTCCATTCGCTCATAAGGTGCCCATAATCGCGACGCATCATTCTTAGACGAAATGTCAAGGATAGCCTTGGGCTTTCATCTTCGCTTCTGACAGAAAAGTCACGACATCGACAGTGAAAATGAAGGGAGGGGGAACCGCCCGGAAGGGTTCACTGGTAGTTTTTGTTATATTTTCCCTCTTCCTTGAGCGTCCGGAGAGGAAATCTACAAGGCATCGGCCGAATATGCGGGGAAAAACGGGCTCGTCTTCTGAAAAATAATACGGGTGAGCATGTGGGGCGGTCTCGGCAGTTTCAGGAATCGGGCATCGGATCTTCGGGGGCACTCGACGAGGGTCATTATACCGGCACGACAGTCGTCAGGAAGGGTCCGATGGTCTCCATTAGAAGATCTCGAGGAGCATATCTGAGCCACTTTGTAGCAGCTGCTAAAGACTAACATCTGGCGATTAAAAGAGATCGAAAACAAAATGTGTGGCCTCGGATTCGTCCAAGAACTTTTGCGTTGGTGGGTTACTGATTGCCGAATCGATGCGACAGTGTGAGGCGTCAGTTACATAAGCTCTCCCACACGCGTATATAAGTACCAAGCGAGAGTACAAGGGGACTCTCCACCAACTCGGCATCCGCAATATTCGAATGCCGTGGCTGCATCGGCGTTCGCCGACTTAAGAGGCTGTGCTAAACCGCGGCACTGCCACCGTCCTACTTCATCGATCTGTGTTAAGTTTTGTCATGGTCCGTATCTGAATATGTTACGTGGTCCGAAAGCTTGTCTAACTTATGGGGCGTAATGGGTATCGTGAAGTTGCCGCTGTCTCTGCTAAATGCTGCCCAAAACAAACCAATGGCATGTTCAGGAACCGATTGATGCTGTGCTTTCAACTCTGATGACTTGCCTTCAGCTTGTGGAGTTAAAGAATGGGGAAACGTTTAACGGACACCTTGTTGACTGCGATACTTACATGAACTTAACACTTCGAGAGGTCTACCAGACCAGTCCGGAAGGAGACAAGTTCTGGCGCCTGAAAGAGTGTTATATCCGCGGCAGCACTGTGAGTACATTAGGATTGATCATTATTCATCAGATTACACGCTGATGTACGTAGTGTGCTATGCTGACTTGAGCGCCACAGATAAAGTATATTCGCGTCCCAGATGCTTTATTAGACACCGTGAAAGAGGAGCAGCAACGGGCCCGAGAGGCTGGAAGAGCGCGTGGCGGAGGCACAAGAGGAGGTAATTTGTTTGCGCATCTCAGTCCCCACCTACTGATACATGGCTCCATGTTAACAGCGAGAGGAACGCAACCCCGAGGTAGATTTTGTAGCATTTTTCAGCGGTACGAACATAATCCGGACTCACCCATTTCCCAAGGGAGGGGGACAGGACGAGGTGCATCTCAGGTGACCCGTGGCGCGCGAGGAGGAAGGGGTGGACGTGGGATATAGAAGTGCTCCCGCAAGCTATCCACTTGGATTTGAAAATAACTTTAGTTCTGGTGTGGACTTCTTTCCTCAATTCAATTGATCTGAGTATCGGATTTGGCAGTGGCATCAATTACGCATGAGAGTCCGTCAAGTCGACCAACCGCTCGCATTGTGCATGGTCCTAAGGGAATAAGGATACTACTGCATTCCTGTTCCGAAATCGAAGGATGCACATGGTCCTTTACCAGTGTACAAATGCTTGAGTGGTTGGGTGACATCTACCCGGAAACTGCATCGTAATTGATAATAAGGACAATAATAACAATAATATTAGAGCAAGAAATGTGAAAAGATAACCAAAATTCACAGGCACGCAACAAATGGAGGACACGGGCCATGAGCAGGGGACGTGTGACAGATGAGGACAACGATGAGAAAGGCAACGGGCGAGAGGATAAGGCGAGGTAGCCTTCAGATGAGGACGTTTTGGTAGAAGGCTGGCACTCCATTCAAGAACCGCCGGGGAAGAGGCTCCTTAGCTGGCTCCGACGTACCTAAGGCCGGAAGCACGCGGGTGAACGGTTCCCCTCTGTTGTCTTCCCATAAGAAGGAGAAGCTGCTGGACTCTCCTGTGAAAGATCTCTCGCCAGCCGACTTCACATGGACGGGCATGAGTGCGAAGCGCGCGTCGAGGAAGTTGGTTGCCGGGATGCGGATCAATCTGGGGGATGAGCCCGATGACTGGGAATGCATCTCGGAGGGGGACATCTCCAGCGCATATAGTGGCGTTCCGGTCCTGGCGTCCGAGGTGGGTGATGGGGATTGTAGCCACAATGAGCCGTCTTCTTCGTACTCGACGTCCTCGCCGATAAAGGACCCGTTATCGGAGTGATCTGTAGCGGGTAGCGATTCAGAATGATGCGCAACCACACAGCCGAATGAAACTTACCTGGCCCAGGATGCCGGCTGATGGCAGTCCGCTCCGGATATGGCTCAGGGTTGTCACGTTGTTCTTCGTCGACTGCTATGGATGGGGATGTAAACAACGTGCCACCAAGAACTGTCCTGATGGGCAAGGGTAGATGTGGCGACCCTGGGTCCTGGTGGACGTGCCAATGCCTGGGTGCGTGTTCGGATGAGATGTTGACTCACCATGGTCAGCATTATTGTCATCCACGAAGTAATTTATGAATCTGAACTCCGGCATCAGGGATGACGACAACCTCAAGCTCGTAAAGAGTTGAGAACAAGGCTAGAGTCAGGAAGACGTTAAGGGGGGGAAATCGTTGAGAGGAGACACGAGGGAGAGGCCAGACATAATAAGCAGTCATTATGCCCTGCCACTTGCCGGATGCAAAGTCACTTCCTCAGTTTTCTTTGGCCAACGAACCTTTGTGATAAAGCGAACGCCCGCGTGGCGAGGAACAACAATAGGAACAATTCCCAAGATGAAAATTAATCATAATTAACGCAGCAAAAAAATGATAATTACACGTCGCCAGTTTGAGGAGCAAAAAGGAACATTGTGAGATTAGCACTAATGGTGAAGGGTGAAGATGGCCAGCATCGAGAAAGAAAGCTCAGATCGCCTGGTCAGATATTGAAAAATGAGCAGATCGGTTTGTTGTCGCGAAAGCAAGGTTGGCGGAGACAAAAAAGAAAACAACATGTGGCGAGGCTTTGGGGAGTGCATTCTAAAAGTCGTGGTTGGCCCGTGCCGCATTCTTCCTAGACTTTCTGAGACGCATACCAGCAGCGTACTCCTCCGCTGGAGGTTTAAAGAAGAGCGCGGGCTTGGGTGCCGGAGGCAACTTGGGTGAAACAGGTATCTCTCTGACTTCTGGAGACGGAGGTTCCGCTTCGTTAATGGTAACATTACCTTCATCATACGCAGACGGACGAGGGGCCATCTTCTCGTCCGGATTCACAAGTAGGACGGGCTGCGGCGAGTTGACCCAAGTAATACCCAGTTCGCGGCAGTAGTGGTTGACGGCAGCGTGAAAGACAGTCTTGCGATTCAAATAAGCCCCCCAATCTTGCCAGTTACTGTTGTGGGGGATACCCATAGTAATTTCGAGACTCCTGAGAACAAGGAATGGGCTTTGGACTACGATCTCCGGCAACGGTCCCTAATCGGTACACACCTCTGATTGTCGATACGTTGCAATGTACAATTAGTGCCCCCTCCGAACCAGCGATTATCATCAGTTTCGATCCAATGATTAATACATTTATCGAGTTGATCGAGTTTTTCGAGAGGCGTCCGCCAATTGACCTGGATCCTCAAATTCTCAAACATTTTCTTGAACCACGTGTAATGTAAGCAGCACTGAAAATCATATGTCATTTTCAGTCACTTACCTCGCTACGGCGCACGTTGGAAATGAACTTGACGAAGAGTTGCGAGTTGAAGTAATAAACCTGTGTCCCATCCGCGCGTGTAAAAGTCGTCGCGAACAGACCCATCTTCTTAACAACTAAATTCTCCTCATCAATGAAGCATCTGTCACCGGTATCAAACGGACTGGAAGAAACGACGAGTCAGTCACTTGATGGTACGAGCATGCACAGACAAAATAATACATACTGGGTGACGAAAAGGAAGATAACTGCATCAAAAGCATTCGACGCAGAATTTTTGAAAACAAAGGAGGCAGCAAGACCGAGCTGTTGGAACATGCGAACGAAAATAAGTCGGTTGGGAAAAAGGGTTGTGGGGTCTCAGATGATACGTACAGTATAGATCGAAGCCAGGGATTTTCTAGTGCGAGTCAATGAACAAATCAGTATAATCCACTCGAGAATACAAAAAGCGGAAGCGGAAGCGGTTCATGTTATCGTTTACCACTATTTCCGCCACCCGGACTTACCCAATGGAGACACTGAAAACAGAGAGCGAGACTAAGTAAGGGGTCACGTCAGAAAAGAAGACCTTTCTCGCCACTCAACACAAAAAGGGATGGAACACTTACTAAAGAAAAGAACCATCGTAAAGAACACCATCATGATTATATCCAACGACGACAGCGCATGATCCACATCCCTCAAACTTCTAGCCAAGAACCGACGTTCTTTGTAAATCTTCAAGATGGTCGTCTTGATCTCCGCTCGAGTGATATCTCCATTCCCATCTTTGTCAAAAATCTTGAAAGCCTCCTTCGCTGCCTCATGTGTACCATAGGCAGGATAAAAATCCGATGGAATGAGATGACGACGTCTGTGGTCCCCTCGGAAAGCAAAATAAAGATTACGCGCCAGTTTCTATCGTTGAAAGAGGGTTTACACCACGTAAGTCGGACCACAGGTGTGAACAACGAAAACAACGGCCAACCTTCGCTTCATGAGGGCTGCTGATCGCGAAGCCCAGATCAGCGGCCGTGATGTCCTTTCCCTTGATATTCCTCGCATCGTGCAACACAGCAGTCTTCAACACTCTCGCAGCAGTAGTGGCGACAGCTCCAAAACCTTCATCATCCGTCACCTCCGTCTCACCACCCCCCACACGACGATTAGAATCATTGTTATTAGGAGGGTAGGTGTGAGTTTGACTTCCGGACCCCAACGCAAAACGAGGTGACGGGGAATTTGATCTAGATCTTTCCCCTTGAAAACTCCCCCTCGTGACATCAGCTGATGATATATTACTAACCCCATCCCGACCCGAAGATATGGGTGTCATCTCCGCGGTGAAAGCGTCGTTCGTCGGATCCGAGGTAGGGACTCGTTTACCCCCGCCAAACCAGCTCTTACTCGATCGCTGCTTTTTCCGATATTTTTTCGCACTTGCGGGAATCTCATCATTATCAGCAGCAAATCCAGCTTCTAAAGCTTGGGGATCTTCAGTTTGACTCTCAATAGGAGTCAAAGGCCGACTTTGGGGAGCGCGGAGTGGTGGAAAGATGACTCGGCCAAAATTGAAACCCGACTGCCGATTTTTGTGTGTGGGCTTGTAGTCCTTGAGGTGATCCAGCACGTTGGTAGCCTTATTTACTTCCTGGATGCGGTCCTCGAAGGCGACACGATGGAATGTGAATCCTATGGAGAAGGTTGTCGTCAAGTGCCTGTAGTCAGAAACTGAATTATGTACCGATCATTTGAAGAATGATCTTCTCTATGGAGAATAATAGAACAATGAAGAAGATAAGTACAACAACTTGGTGAAGCTGGCACGAGCATGTTAAATAGTCAGTAGTCTGCTGTCGAAGCGATGACAGCGTAGCCTACCCTATCAGTGTACGCTGCCTGACTAGAGGATCCACCCTTGGAATCGTATAAATGAAAGATGCCAGAAAATATAATCGACCAAGACACCCAGCCACTTGAAATCACCAAACAAGAGAGTCAGTCTCTTTTGGTGACCGTGGCAAGAAAGTGAGTAGCACCTTGCCGCATAAAGAATAGGTTTGATATGACCTTTGAATGCATCATACATGGCCATATTGCTCTTGAACCTTTCCGTAACGGTTCCCCAGGAGATATGGACGATCCAAGTCATAACATGTGGCACAATGTTCACGATCGCAGCGAGATACCAAGAAATGAGCAAATTGGCGGCAGCCCAATAGAACCAAGCGGAAATGTTATTTGAGACCCAACGGCGACGTGGCGTAGGGTGTGGTTTGTACCAGTAGAAATGAACGAAAATGGGGACAGCCGCGAGAACGCCCACAAGAATTGTGGACCCAATAAGAGTGGAGAAAAAGAAGGTGGCGATCCTGGAAGTTGTTTGTCAAGAATTACTATGGAGAAATGCTTGGATGGAAAGGCGATCAAACTTGCCGTTTCGGACCCCACTTCTTTTTCTTAGGGGATTTAACACCAAGCTTCTCCTCGAACCTTGCTTCCTCATCGACCAAATCATCCTCATCACTCCAATCGTACGTCTCATCCTCATCAGATGCCTCGTCCTCGGTATTGACAATGCTCTGTCTTCCTCCAGAAAAGACCCTTCTCTGCCCGGTGGCATCAATTGAATTCGGGTGAGCGGGATGTTTATGCCCAAGTTCATCAGGGTAGTGCACAGTATTGCCAGAAAAGTCCCTGTTGGTTTTCGTACCAACCAGCGTATCTCCCTCGAAAACATGTTGACCTTTTCGACGATCCACAGTGGGGGAACCCGGCGTATCCTTAGTATTCTTGACAGGCTCGTCAGAATCATCCGAAGCCCGAGATCCGTCAAGCGGACGTTTCTCATCGGATGTGCCAGCTCTGTGATGAAGGTCAACTTGGCTTGCGCCATCGGAGAGATACTCTGGGGGAAGTGTCAACTGGCTCATGTTCAAACGATAGGGTGGGGTAGTCTGGGGTGGATGGTTGCTTTCATCCGAGGGGCGGCCAAGCTCTAAGTGAGGCGGCGAGTCCTGTCGCTGCGGTATATCAGATGAGTCATTAGGGTTGGCAGACGAAGCCATAGTCTAAGAGTGAAAACAAATGAGAATGGTCCAGTGGTGAATGGGGAGAGACAGCAGTCGTTGCTAAGGATTGGAGCAAAAATGACTGAATTTCCAACCGTACACTAAAGAAGCCACCGGAGATCCCCTCCGACTCAGCAACATATTTGTATCGCGAAAGCACACAACAAGAAATAACTGAATTGAGTTGAGTTTTTTAAGTTAGGCTTCTAGATGCACGTCGTTATGTAATTTGAAATAAAAAGTGGAGTTGAGTCTTTTTTTGCAATTTTTAACCGCTCCGACTATAGGTGACTATCGAAAAGACCGCTCTAGGCACATGCAAGAACATCTAAACAGCTACGAGTACTGATATTCTATCATACAAGTATCAAGGCGTGGCACGTCCCGGCCACCTAAATTGAGAGTATTTAAATCGTGTCAGGAACGTACAGCCACCGTTGATCGGAAACCAGAACCACTCACCGAGGGTACAACGAACACTCTCGAACGGTATAACGGTTGAGCAACCACGCAAGGAGGCGCTGCAGAGCAAGGCATGTAAGAAGATAGGAGTGTCGGTACATGTTGATGACTCACTTCGACACCAAGGCCATATCCACCATGTTCACATGTCCCATATTTCCGTTGGTCAGTGAACCTGCGTCACTGATTCCAGCCAAAAGACCTGCGCTCCACAGCAAAACAGGCTTACCAATAATACGGTGCGGGATCTATCCCTTCGCGTTTATACCCATCTAGTAAGTCATCAATTCCAGGGATACGCATTGAACCACCTGCGCAAAGAGTTTGTCGACCTGGGCATCAGAAAAACAAAAACGCCGTCAAAAGGGCATTCTTCTGATCACACTCACCGACAATTTCTCCAACATTAGGCATCAATAGATCACAACTCTCCGTAAACTCCTCATCTCCGGGGATTTTCTTCATATAAAACGCCTTCAGATGCTTTGGGAATCCATGCAGAAACATAGGGACTCCGAGTTGATCCGTCATTTGACGCTCTGCCGCTTCCGCAATATCATCACCAACAACGTGGTCAACCAGTTCACCAGTGTCATCGTCCTTCCGCTTGATGTCGTGCTCGATGAGGTACTTGATGGCATCTCGGTACGACATGCGCAAAAAGGGTCGTTTCGGTGGTTGAAACTTGGGATGGAGCTGCTTCAACATGGCTGCTAGGCGAGGATTCTCGAGTACGGTGTCAACCGCTTCGCAAATCTGAGGATTAAGGGTACCACTGATTATAGCATGAAGCGAAATGGGGCGATCATTATGTACGTACGACTGTCTCGATATGGGTCATCAAATCGTCGAACGTTATAAATGCCAGTTCAGCCTCTAAGTGGGTATACTCGCTCAGGTGTCTGCAGAATGTAAGATAAGCGTCACTGATTCTGCTAGCACTCGCAATCGAACCTTCGAGTGTGGCTAAAGCAGTATTCGTTCAGCTGGGAGAGACGAACAAGACAATGAAATCAACCCACCTATTTTCAGCCCTGAAACTTTCCTGGATACAATAGACGTCTCCGAGACTGGGCAAGCAAGTTTCCAAGTACAGCTGACTGCTCTGCGTCAAGAACGCCGGCTCGCCATAATAATCAAACTTGAATAGAGTAGCGCCTCCCTCTACTTGAGTTTGTACCATGCACGGAGGAGTAACCTCCACCACGCTATGCGCCTCAAACACTTTTCGAAATGCGGAAAGAACCCCTGCCCGAACGTGCATGATGGAAGCGGCTACCTCTCCACGTAATACGAGATGTCTGTTGTCGGCGACAACACTGCCCTCTGATTCCTGGATACTACAACGTTAGTGATGAGCCGTCAATCCAGACGGAACTACGTACCGCATTGAGTTTACTTGAAAATGCGTCGTCCCCTTGAGGGGAAGCACCAAGAAGTCTCCAGTAATCAGCAATTAGCTCGTGTCCCCCTGGTGCAGTCTTCCCTTCCGGTACTTCAGAGATAATTCCATAAATCTCAACCGTTGCCTCCGTTGCCAAGGTTAAAGCATCATACGTCTGAGACTAAAAGGGAGTCCATATGAGCAATAATTAAATAAACCAAGAAAACCTCACCAATTTTCCAGCCAGAATGCTTTGCAAGAAACCGGTTCCGTCACGCAAAACAATAAAAGTCAATTCTTTTTGTTGTCGAAGGCGATGAACCCAACCCGACACCCGAACACGCTTTGAGCGAAACTTGGTAAGCTCTTGGATCTTACTCTTTCACATTCGCTTCACATCAGTTACCACATACGAACTACATGCAATATATGCTCAGTTACCTTGGTTGCTGGAGGTAAGGAGGTGTCTTCCTCTAAAACGATCTTCTTGCTCTCTTCTATCCTCCTCGCTTCTCGAGCAAGCCTCTCGGCTTCCTCCTTTTCCTTGGAAGCCTTCTGATCCTCGTTCTTCTTCGCCTTCCGCTCATTAAGCTCCATCGTCTTTTTGGCTTTCTTCAAGGCTGAGGTACCAAGAGGCTCGTACTCCCCTCCAGGTGTCTTCCGCGCAAAGACATTGGCTTGTATTCCAGCTACAGTTAGGGCTCTGAAGGCAGTTTGGAATGGTCTCTCGGCTGACCCATCACCAACCTCGTCAGAGCCTTGATCATCGATGTAAACTTTTCCAACGGAGTCTGCTGTAGTATCAGGCATAGTCACGCGTAAAATCCAAGTATTTATAGTTTTAGATACTCTTGCAAGCTAGGGGGATACAGATCGAGTTTTCGGGGCCTTGCGCGATCGCGTCGAATCAGATGGGAACAATTGAGTGGCGCTGAAGCTTGACTCGATATCAACAGAGCCAAATAGAGTCACCGCCTTGAATTTCTGGCGGTTTACTACATGGCTTCGGAAACGACCCCACTGCTCGGATCTTCTCTGGCGAACGAGGAGGAATGTTTTCAGCTTGAACTACCAGACCTTCTATCAACTGTTCATGCACTGTCCGGAGTGGAGCTTGTCACACCAGCATTGATAGAACAACGCCTTCCGTGGAGGGCTGACGAACACCTCTCTCGTCGAACTGCCTTTTACCTTGCCGTGGCAATCATACTTTCTTCCCCCGATGTCATCTTCCGGCCTCATGCAGAACAACATACTGCCTTCTCAGATATCCAACCTGCACTTTTGCCCACTCTGCTCGAAGATTTGTTTGGTGCATATATTACAAGGTCTCAGAGAGCGTCTTTGAGTAGAAGCGAAGAGGATGGGGGTCTGGACGAGGCTATGTGGACATCTTTGCGTGTTAGTGCGGATAGTGATGCACGGGTTTCCGGTGAGTGTGTTGACGGGGAGGATTTGGGACGACGTTTTGAGTTGAGTTTACCGCAGTTGTTGATCTGATCAACTACTCCTCGGAGCCGTCCGTATTATTTCTAAACCCCGTAATGAGTGCCTACATTACAAATGCTTGGAAAGGCGGCGTCAGGTGGCCCCTTCCTCCAAAATACGGCATCATGCAACGTTTGAACGCGATATGCAGCCCAAGGCGCGTGCGAGCAACTCACTATAATTTCGCTCTTTCTCACAAGCCAGGTGTCAAATGCAGGGCTTCGCACGCAGTGGATATCCTATTCCATATGCTGCATTTGGTTAACTTCACCATCTTCCTATTGCAAAGTGACCCGATTCCATTTGATCATACATGGCAAACAATCCTTCTAGTGATCTACGCTTTTGCATCGATGACTCCTCTACGGCCGGCGGCCATTCAAATGTCTCTCTTCCCCATTCTCGTAGCATTCGTTGTCTACGGACCTCACATTCCCGATCCTGGGTCCTTCTCGTATACCCTTCTGCTTCTCTCTTACTGCTGGAGCATACTGTTACTTCTTCTCCCATTCCCACCAACACCTATATATTTACTCACTCCTCGTGGTGCCCTGTCAGCCTCATTGGAATTCCGGTCCCTCCTCGTTCCAGCAGTTTTCCGACCCGTATTATTCTTCCTACCCCTTATACTAATATCACTATTTCTCCTGTCGAATGGACTTGGGGGGCCAGATCCATGGTCTCTTTCGCCCCTTCTGGACACTCCAGCAATCATCAGTGGACTAATTCCTTCAGCCCCTCCTCCCACAAGGATCGCATTCTTCATTCTGCTTGTTTTATCTTTTTTCTTTGCTGCACTATTTGCAGCTTCGTCCCTCATTCGACATTCAACTCGACCTGGAAATGAGATGGTAGCATCAAGTCGTACAGGGCGGAGGTCACTATCACCCGAGATTCTCCGCGAGCTATTGATTGCTACGACCATTTACTCTCGCCCAAGGAGATACCCACCACCGCTGAATCTTATTCCGTTTGTACTCATAGTTCTGCCCCGTTACGCCACGCGCTTGTTTGGGAAGCGGGATACAGTCGAACGATTCTTCACACACGTGGACACCGTGCTTTGGAGTACGCTTGTGTTGCCTCTCGAAGTGATCATTGCCGGATTGTGGCGTTGGAGGAGTCGGCCACTTTCGCAATCGCAGAGAGTTCCGGCTTGAATGTATGCGTACATGTAACATATGTACCGCAAACGGTCTTTACAATTAATTGTCATCATTGTGATGATCGTCCTCGTTCGAGCACACGCGTACTAAAACCTAACAATGACCTAAACTCTGGCCCCACGTACTACAAATAGTTAACCAGAAGCTGCGCCGAATGCCGAACCAGCGCCATGACTGACCTTAATCATTGGCTCAACTACTTAATGCCATTTAAGAAGAATAAAAAGGAGGGGGACACAACCGCGGGGGTGGATACCCTTGTACGACACATCTTGGATAAGGATGTCTGCAAGAATGTGTTCATTCTGGTATGATATTCTTTGATACCAGTTATTGCAGCGCCGGCGCTTAATTGAAACTAAACAAACGTCATAGGCGGGAGCTGGTATGCTTCAGGCTTCCCTCACAGGACGAACCATTAAGACTGACAAACGTTATCAGGGATATCGACTTCTGCTGGCATCCCTGACTTCCGATCGCCCAAAACAGGTTCGTCATCCAGTTGCATCCCTATTCCAGGAACTAAAGATCATACCCCCGGAAGGACTCTACGCCAATCTCGCACGATTGAATCTACCTTATCCCGAGGCCGTCTTTGACATTGGCTTCTTTGAAGAACGGCCAGAACCATGTCAGTTCCCAATGAGCCAAGGGTCTCTTCAAATCGTTGCTGACAACATGTTGAAACCTCAGTCTATGCTCTTGCCAAAGAGTTGGAGCCAGGAAAGTTCCGTCCTACAATCACTCATTCATTCATTCGGTTACTACATGAAAAGGGCCTTCTTCATACCTGCTTCACTCAGAACATAGATACTCTAGAACGTCGAGCTGGCGTACCTGTTGAAAGACTCATCGAGGCCCATGGTAGCTTTGCGACCCATTCATGCATCAAATGCGGTGCATCGTATCCGGATGACAAAATGCGCGAATGTGTAGCTGTCCAACGAATCCCGCGATGCTCAAAATGCAAGGGCTTGGTCAAGCCAAATATCGTTTTCTTTGGCGAGTCGGTGAGTTATATGCTGAACATCTGCACGCAACTGTATACATGTGCTCACAAAACGCTCTCAGCTACCCACTTCATTCGGCAAAGCCGTCCCATCTCTACGGACTGCGGACTTGCTTATCATCCTTGGCACCTCGTTGTCGGTGTTCCCATTCGCCTCCCTTACCTATTATGTCCCAAAAAGTTGTCCTCGCGTGCTCATTAATCTTGACAAAGTTGGGGATATTGGATCTCGAGAAAAGGATATTCTCCTCCTAGGGGACTGTGATACGGTTGTACGCCAGCTTTGTACGAAGTTGGGGTGGGGTGACGAGCTAGAAGCTCTATGGGAAGTAACGGGAGATCTCGTGGAAAGAGACAGTGAAGCGGAAAGCAAAGGAAAATCCCTTGCCACGACGGAGGAATCGAAAGACGAAAAACTTTCCCGGGAGGTGGAAGCTCTCACTAAAGAAGTCGAGAAGACCCTCAAAATATCTGAGGAGCATGTCAAGGTGGTAAATCTGGAGCTTGCAGAATCTTCCAATACTGGGGAGACACCATTGAGAGAAACAGTAAAGGACTCAGACGAGAAGCTGGGGAACCGCTCCGAAGTCCCAAAGACCGAAAGTGACGATCAAACGGATACTCCTGAAAACGCTGGGACGGTAGCCGATTATGAGAATCCTGGTACTATCCTGGACAAGACGAATTTGTGATTGTTCGCTGTCTGGCCCACTTATTCTATTTCTTGTCATTTCGTGTCTTGTATTACGTCGTGTATGATGTACATCTCTAGGTGTTTGGCAACATATGGTCGAACCTCTTCTCGCTCGACCCGCTGAGTTTGCATTTTGTGTCGCTGTCAAATTAAGCAGCCAAGTCGGATCCTCAACGTTAGAGCGAGACTGAACCCGCACTCACAAAAGCTAGTACAATCCCCCTAGTCACACACTGATATATTTCTTTGAAGTCGAGGTGTGTCTTCGTGACTCCCATACTGCTCATACCTGAGACGACAGCCTTCTTTATTGTCTATTTTAGAGTGTCCCATCAGTCCATAGGCCGCAAAGATATTGTTCTCTCACCTCTTTATTGATTCTGACTAGGGTCTCTTCTCCTGGCGTGACTGTAAGGGATGGTTTACCATCAGAAGGCTTGCGATCTGGAGGCGACATGTCTCTAAGACCACTGGGCGCTCGAAGGGCGTCCATTGTGCCAAAGACATCATCCTCTTCCCCATAAAGATCCGGGTGAAGCCGGCCCTGAATAGAAGGCTTTCGTGGTTTGGGGACTTTCATTGCATTTCCACCAGGCCATTCCCTCGCGCCATCCCCTGATGGCTGGAAAGACTTAGTCCGTGAGAGTGTTCCTGACACCTTCACTTTGGATGGGACGGAAGGTTCCAAGAAAATACTATTCCTCACGGAGTTGGTGCTTTCGGTCCGAGCCAACTTTTTAGCACGGTCCGAGCTCACCACAGAGATAGATGAAGCGGACATTTCTCTTCGTCGCTTAGTGAAAGAATCTGACTTGGAGAGTGTAGCAGCAGATAACAGGGGATTGCGTGGAAGGGGGTCATCGGGTCGTGGTTTTCGTTTTATTTGGTCACTTGTAGAAGATATTGGGTTGAGCCGTGCGGCACGGATATGAAGTATGCGAGGGGTATCATTGTTTACACCATTCAATTCTTGAGTGTCCAGCTCTGCGTATATGACGATACCATCGCTCTCGTCTCCTATGGTGAATGTGAATATCGGCTACTAGAAAGTCATACGTCTATCAATACATACCTATATCATCCAATCTTATCTGGACACAATATGAAGCGCGACTATCCCGACGAGAGAGTGTTTCGGTGCAGAATATACTTTCAAAGTAAGCCAGCGCCAGCAGGGACTGAGGATGTATATGCCTATGGTCCAAGATTGGAAGACTTTCCAACATAGTCCTCTCTAAACTTACACATGCACATCAATCGAGATGTCGAGTCGGCTCTCAACAGATGAGAATGGCACCACCGAGTTAATGTTCAGGGTTGGTCGTCCCCTTTGTGATTCGAGGGCAAGAGCCAGACGGGAGGTCATGAGAGAAGAAGTTGGAGCCAGGGGGAAACAGGCAACAAAGCATATTCCTAGCGAAGGTTTGTGGGCGTGAAGTTTGTTCATGAAGGTTATTGTTCGCAATCACCTTCAAGGGAAATGTTGGTTTCTCCATTCAAGAAACACAATGAGCCACGATATAGCACCCGAAAAGACGTGTGAGGGGGCTTAAGAGTACGGGAATCCCCTCTCAGTGTTGGTGTCGAGATGTTGGCCTCGCGGTTGCGAATATCACTCTTGAGCGGTGTGGGGGAGATGACATTCACGACAGGGACCCCGCTCAAGTCGGTCAAAGGTTGTTGAAGGGTAGCATTTACATCCTCGACGGGCATGAAAATGGCACGGTAGCCCAGTCAGATCGAATTGGAACGTTGAGGCCTGGAGGGTCGGGGAACTTCAAACAACAAACAACACGCATTCAATAAAAACATCTCGCGTCGTCCACGCGTGACGACGCGTTTTCCTCAAAAAATTCAATGTACTAAGCATTAATGATTCCTCAGCCAGCTTTTCATCTGTCTGTTGCGATACGCGGTGAAGATTGTAGCAGAATTCTGATCGTTACACATTTGTGGCTTCAACTGCCTTTTGTTTCTTTAATTGATACGCCCTACCCCGAAAAGCAAGCCCTGATGTGAGTGGCGCAGTCCGCAACATATATAAAACTTGGTATGATGCGTGCTCTGCGCGAGACTTAGGCCTGGAATCTTCTTTATAACCTCTTTCTGTGCATCCCGTAGTAGCTGGCTTGCATTCCTCTTCGTCCAAACGCATAGATTCTGTCTACAGTATGAGAACCCTTTAAACATAAATACAGTTCAGTAATCTTTGTCATTCTCATGTCCACGCCACAGCACCAGCATCCATTTATGCAACACCTACACCAACACCAAACATCCATCCAATCCCAGGCGAAGATGGCGTAGCGCTTGAAAAAGAGGCAAACGACCTAATAGTAAAAGCCTGGAGGAGAACATTGGGTTCCCCACTCTCAGCATCTGCACACTATGAACAAAGTTCCGTAAGTGCTCTAATTCCCGAGGTTGCCAGTACTCGTGCTAATCTTTAAAGAAGGCGCCCAAAATGTTTCAGTCTTTACGCAGACAGCTGAAACGAATCCCGAAGCTAGGGAGTCGAATATTCCATCTTCCCGCTTGGTCACGCCCTTCAGCCCGCCATCGAAAGGCCAGCGGACCCACGCGTGACGTTGGGCAGAACATAAGCTCCAAGATGTCCTCTGAGCAACCCGTGAGCCATACCTAGTGATCATCTGAGCATCATCACCTCATTTAGACCCCGCAAAGAGCAATTCCGGTATAGAGGCTTCACAAGCCCTCGCCCATAGTTGGCCTCCCTTCTCCGAGCCCTCACGTGAGCAGGAAGAAGTGGATGAGGCGGGTTTGGTGCCAAATGCTGCAATCGTCCTGCAACATCCTTCGCATTCGCCACGGAGTAACGGGGATCCAGGGCCACACCTCGGAGTCTACACTCAAGATGCATCAACGGTTGCACGGGAAGTCGGCCCGGAATGTGCGGTCGCCGATGCGTTCGGTCATCGATTTGATGACTTGCCTTTGCCTCCCGCCCCTGTATTCGTTGCCGATTTGGCCAGGGACTGGGCAAGAACATCATGGACAGGGGGTACGGGAATTTCTGTCGCACGTACAGTCTCTCTCCCGCCGTCCATCCTCCCCAGCTCCCGTGCAAGCATCACTCAGTCAGACGTGACTAATGATCAACCAAGTCCAGTATCTGGATTAAATTCCGAGTGTCCAGAGTGTTCCAACAAATGTGCTGTCTACACGACCCCGTTAGAGCTGCATTTCATGATGGAGGAAATGGGTCGATCTTTAAGGACTACGTGCGGATGCGCCAACAAATGATATGGTACGCGATTGATTGTTCCTGCGCATCCAACAAGCCGAGGCTTAGATGGGACGCCTCGTTCAGACTGCACCATACAATATACCTTGTATAATACCGGTTGTACATTGCCACACGATGTTGATTTGATCAGATTCAAGTTTGAGGACGACTTGCAGATAAAATCCTGAGATATTGTTCAAGCTGTCACGGGGGACTCCGTAGGCACAAGGCTCCACCAGTAAAATCGAGTGAAGTATTCAGCGAAGATAGACGTCGTTTTGAAGAGAAAAACTTCGGGTGGATGTTGCCGGTATAGAATTACCGCAACTGTACAGTCCCGAACGCGCTATTCACGTGCCTCATCTCGAACTTCTCTCTGCAACTTCAAGACCTGAAAAATGTCCAAGCAGCAGCGTGCGTAGAGGAGGTGTTTTCGTCACGACCAATCATGTTTACTGATAGCTGCATGCGTTCTTGATAGGCTCCGTGGGTCAGGGTAGCAAATACCGCCTGACTCTCGGTCTTCCTGTTGGTGCAATCCTGAATTGCGCAGATAACAGCGGAGCAAAGACACTTTATATCATTGAGCCTTACGGTTTCGGTGCTCGCTTGAACCGGCTGCCAGATGCTGGAGTTGGTGACATGGTCGTTGCCTCGGTGAAGAAGGGCAAGCCTGAATTGCGAAAGAAGAGTATGTCTCCACACCCGTTTCCACCCATGCTCTGTTGCTGAATAGTTCGTTTAATGTGCAGCTATGCCTGTTATTATCGTTCGTCAAAGAAAGGCGTGGAGACGGAAAGATGGAGTGTTTTTGTACTTCGAGGTCCGTACCCCGCACTCTCTCTGCGCGCTTATCCCAATCCAATCCAATGATTGGGCCTTTCAGGACAATGCCGGTGTTATCGTGAATCCCAAGGGTGAAATGAAAGGTTCTGCCATTACAGGGCCAGTCGCGAAAGAATGTGTACGTGGTTTTGTCCTGATTCGTATTACGTGCTCACCACGTTTGTTCAGGCTGATTTATGGCCACGTATCGCTGCTAATGCGGGGACTGTCGTTTGAGGATCCACCCTTCCTTCCGTGTCCCTTTTTTCTGTGATATTCTAATGAATACGCCTACGCATCCTTATTTGTGCCACAATTGTTCGCAAATATATCTCCCACCACCGAACGTGGTCAGGGCATGCATGGTGCTCCTCACCGGCTTCGAGGGTTTAGCCCCTTTTTGCTTCGCGAGATATTAGGATGATGGAAATTTCAATTCAAGACGCTGCAAAAAGGTGCAAAGATTGACTCACGAGACCTAGATCGGATTCCACCGAGCATCTTCGAAAGTCCCATTGACACGCTGTAGCAGTTCGAGAAGACAGGTGCTGCAGCACAAAAAGCTACTGACGTGTCTGCGTAGTCATGCTCCAGTCTGGTTACCTCATTTACCTTCCGACGGAGCTCCTCGCTCATATTCTGTCATTCCTTGATGGCCGATCTCTGGCTCGTTGCTCGCAAGTGAGTTTGTCCCATTGTCTGAGATTTCATCCCAAAACGTGGCTGGTCAAGGTATGTAGGACTATCCACAAATGCATCGACAACTTCTTGCCATTCCAATACGCCATGCTTCTGGAATATCGATGTTACGTGGATGGTCCGCTCACCCCTGATGAGCCTACCGTTCGCACGCGTGCGGAGAGAATGATTAGGCACTTGAGCAACTGGGCAACACTGAAATGGGAAAAGCTGGAGATCCTTGTCCCCGTCGATGAGAGCGGACGCTCGGGTCTATGGAAGCTTTCCGACGGCATCCTTGTGCTGGCTGCCCGTCATTCGTTACAGTGCATTCGGCTTCCTTCTCCATTGAAAGGCATTGAATTCAAGAGATGGGAACACAGATTCCCTGCTGTCACTGTCCACGATATTTCTTTGGATCCCTCCCAGGATCTCGTCATCATCAATTCCTTCTTTTTGAGGTCCTGCACATTTGTTCTGCGTGTGACACATATTCTCACTTCCTTTGATAGTGAAGATGCCTTGGAAATGAGGGACGATGACGTCGTGGGCCGAACCATAGTTTCGCGTTTCCTGTCTCTGGAATCTGGCAGTGCCCATCCTTTGGCACAGTCTCCTACTTTAAAATCACAGTCCTCTTCGTTTCGCCGAGGCGGAAGACTAGAATCCCAAATTTCAGGTGACATGTATGGAATACTTGTCCTAGAAATCTCGGGAACCTCGAGTGAATTACTTGCGTATCAGTGGAAATCTGCCAGCTTGAAATCCGTTAGTTCGCTTGGTTGTTTATTCTTGCACCCAAACCAACCGCTCTGTAGGCGCTACGTTTCCAGGGTTATGCAAAGTCCTTTGCTTTCTTTTCAGAAAATATCGTGGCTTTGTGTTTCCAGAGTGAGCCTGGATGTCCCCCTTCTGTTACTTTGTTCAAACTCGGCGTCCCCTCTGGAACGTCGGGATATACGGTGCTCGCGAACTTTCTATTTCCTACAGTGTTGGGTGAGCTTGAGTCGTATTTCCACATATCTTGTCTCTCCCCTCGAGCCTCAGGTAGCGACCTGAATGCAACGCCGCACGGTCTCCATCCTTCCTACTCTCCCGAAAACCAGATGGTTTCCATATTGTGGAGACTATGCCGAATGTCGCCCAGGCGAACATCACTCATCACGAGTCGGGATTTATTCGTATATGTTCCATTACATCGGTTATTGCTACTTTCACGCCTGGATTGTGCCAATCCAGGAGCAGATAGATCCAGTACCAACGATGATCCCGTAAGCCAGCTCATCGAAGACAAGAGCTTCTCTCGAAATTGACCATAAATCCAAGATTCTCAGCATACCCTGGGAAGAATGGGGCGAAAAGTATGCATACGTAAAAGATGTTCCTTTTGTTCTACAAAGAGGGGATGGTTCTCATCACCAATGCGAAGATGAGTTCAGACGTGGGTTATTCCTCGGCCGCGGCCCTAGTTGGGGAAGATTTGGTTCTGCCGCGTACGGTAAACGTTGCGTCACGGCCGATTTTAAGATGGGCATAGTTGCTGTACTCGACTTTGTTTCTCCAGATAAATTTGCTCCTGTCTGGGTGGATTACGACGACAAGGGGGACCTCGTACGACGAGAATATCCCTGGGATGAAATGTTCGTCTCTGACGAATGTGTCCTTCCTATGGGCGAGGTCTTTGGGCTGCAGGAGTATTCCATGAGGACGAGGATGAGGTATTCGACACGTGCGAAAGTTTGGAGCGATGGCGTGCCGAACTCCGGGAAATCGAAACTCATGATCGACGCTGAACATATCGTCTTATCTGAGGTGGGCTCCCAGCTTTACCGACTCTGCATAATCTGATCATTTGACTCCATGGGTTGACCGATTGTAGACGTCTCCGACATCAAGTACCATGCTCACCGTTCTTACCATGTAATATGTTCGTTGTGGAATGGTCAAAATTGAGTTTGCGTCATTTGCACAAGATCATATGATAATATCCCCTGCATCTTTGACTGGAGCGCGTTTCAAGAGCGTTTTGACATTTTAGCACCATATTGCCGAGGTGAATGCAGGACTCCAGCCTCTAGGCTGCGATGGCAAGGTCCCGTACTTTTTGGTACTCAACGTTTCCTAGGGATAGTGCAACAAGCCCTTTCATGCCATCTTGTACGTTATGAGCTACCAATCGTTCCAACCGTGAAGACTCAAGACAGTGATATAATGTATTGCGGACAAACAGCCGAAGTATGTATAGCCACCGGAAGCCAAAGGCCCAATAATTCTTTCGATTGGACTGGTTCTTTCGACGAGGGGCGTATTTCCGCTGTTGTGAGCCTCGAGTTTCACCGTATTGTTGGTCCGAGGGGTGGTCGATCATGGGAACGGAGTATGGAAATTTGAGGAGATTGCCCAACGAGATCGTGCTTCAAATTCTATTGTGTCTGGATGATGTGTCTTTGTCGAATTGTTTACGAGTAAGCTAAACAAGAAATCTCTAATATCATTCCACACCGTAATGGATATATATTAGGTGTGCAAGTCGCTCTCTCGCTGTATTCTTGAAACCGCTGCTCTCCGATACGTGTTGGAACTCGCTTGGCACGGATATGTTGATGGACCGCTCACTTCAGGTGGCCCTCACGCAACTAAGGCTGCTCGGCTTCAAGCGTTCCGGAAATACATGCATTCGTGGGATACCCTTTCTTGGACAGAAACAAGGGTACTGATTCCTCGACTATCATCCTACGAGATCGGTGGTGGTGTGTATGCCGCAGCCGAGAAGAATGCATTGTGGTGTATAGAACTTCCTTCTCCGCTGAGGGCACGAAGCTCAAACGGTGGGCGCATACTGATCTCGGGTTTCTGGTGTCAGACTTCACTTTCAACCCCAAGCAAGACTTGCTCATCGCCGTGGAATTGTCAGTGCCTTTTCCAATCCATGCATGCCGATCCTAACCTTGGTCTTCATCAACACACAAAGGAAGGAAATAGCAGGGGAAGACTACGCTGATGCCAATGCGGCTTCCTGGAAGCCTGTTGCGCACGTCTTATCCTTCAGAACGGGTTTGCCCCACCCTTCCGCATCAAACCACCTTATGCCAGAAATCTGCGCAAATATCGGTCTGATGCAGATGAGAATCATGGGAAACTTGTATGGATTGCTGTGCCCGGTTGCAACTGATGATAAAGCTGGCTTTGTTGTGTATGAATGGGATACGGGCAAGAAGCTTTTGGTCTGTATCACCCGTCTCAATGTATCACCGTCTCAATAACGTTTTTCATACAGAGCGTCATGCTAGAAAGCGATGCCACCTCATTTACGTTTGTTGACGAGCGGCACGTCATAATGCCATCAGACCTTAAAGTCAATCCCCTCAAAGATACCAACTTGACACTGTACCGAATGGAAGATTCTGGTCTTGTTGCGATCGCGCTATTCGAGTTCCCTGACCTGGCGGATTCACACCACACCACTATTCTGGACATCGCCTCTGATCCGTCACCAAACATCGCGGCCGGCCAATACGAGCACTCTGACAATCCCTCTCCATTCGAAATCAACAATAAGCGTACAATATGGGTCCATTGGGCTATTTGGGATGAATTTATTCCTCATGAAGGTAATTTGGACGATAATCTCAAAGAGTTCAATCTCGTTATACATACGGACGAGCTGGTGAAATTGGCGCTCTCGCCCCCGTCCTCCGATGCGAGGGTCCAATTCCTGCCCGCCGACGACATGGGAGGGACTGCTGCTGTTCGGTGCTATGATTGGAACATGTGGGGTCCTAAACTTGCACTGATGATGCCACGTAAGAACGTTCCTTCCAACAATTTCGAGTGCTTCATGCATGGGAGTCGGCAAGTGGCTTTGGAAGAACATTCGGAAATCGTTTATACGGACTGGAGCTGTGTCCGTTACCCAATTCCATCATGGCTCGAACATCATCCAAACTCGGGCGTACCTAGTTTCGAAGAGGCACTGTCGCGGGATTTAGCCGTTGAACCGTTTAGCAAAGACACGAATGTTTTCGGATATCTGTTTCAAGATTCGTTCCACAGTGCACCGATGACATGCCGGACGCAGAGAAGGCGACTTTTAAAACCTTTGGACCCTGTGGGAACCGCGGCGAATGGCGTGATGGTGGACGCGGAGAACATCGTTTTATTTGAGGTTCGTTTTTCTCGTTGTAACGTAAGGCTCTAGCCACAGAATGCTGAATGGTCTTTCGTGCAGGAGAGTCCAGATAAAGGAATGGTGGAGATGATCATCTTGACCATCGGCGGGGCCGAACCCACAGCCGAAGATCTGGAGGAGAGTAGGAAGAGGGAGTTAATGTCCTGTGGATGGCGTACTGATCAGTGTTGAAGTGTGATCATGGGCAGTGCAACCTTGACTACGCTTTGTTAATGTTTCAAACGGTATAATGATCCTGTTGCAAAGATCTCATGGGGGTTGAAGCAGGGATATAGTTTGGTATTCTTTCCTTTCCTAATCCTTGTCGACCACCTTATTGGGTATGTTACGTGCAGATAATGGGATATGTGCTTCCAAGTCTGGGGAGCCGCGATAGCCATGTGGAAGATCGTACGACGTCGGATCATTAGGCCTTTAACCACTATTGAGGCGGGCAGGGTGTGTTATAGCTTGGGCCGTTCAACTGACCAATTGGCTTTATTTGCTAGATTGATCAGCGGTTCTAAGAACACAAGAGTTCTCAGCGCCACGCAAAGTCATATTCATCGTCATCGAACATTTGGGCGCTCAGACCGATAGCTAGTGTGTGTCCATGAGCGCCTGTGCTGACACATCTGAGCCCTCGAGCGGATGGATGCGTTGCCATAATCCACCTGGAGCAGAAGGCAATACCGCTAGTCTTCTAAATTTGACGTAAACACTGCCCTGGTCCAGTGTTGTTCCCCCGTTTGGCTACAGTGAGGCAGTATTCTGGTGACCTAGTGATCAGGGCAGAGCTATTGGGTCTGTCGAAGAACGTTAGGGTGGTTTGAACGGATTCTAATAAACCCGCGCATGATGGCGACCACTTTGGCAGTGAGGCCACAGTGTGTTAATGTCGGCGGGGTCCGCCGGAAGCTTCGGAACGGGTCACTCCCGAAGTAATCACGGGCGAAGCACTCCGCGAGGTGAGAAAAGCCAAATTTGAGGATCACTGAAACGACAGTTACTGGGTGCCATTAGACGCCAAGAACCTTGTCGGGGGCGACCAACCGCCGGACAAATTGTCAAAAAGGTGAAAGCGCCCATTCAGTATTAATGGAAGTTGCGCCATGTGACGGGAAATACGGGCAACCTGAGATTCCCAGGTTGCTCCCAGGAACGGGATCCCGAGCGGTTGATGGCAGCTTGCGTGAAGCTCCCCAATTTCCAAATTGTATTGATGGCAAGAAGGCCGAGTCTCCACGATGAATCCGCATCAGAAAAAGTGCATGAGTATAGGTTGAGTCTTTGATGGCGAGCGTGTGTATGGGATAAGCGCAAATATTGGATTTGAAACTTCCGCAAGGTAAGCTAGGTCAAAAAGGCAGCCCAGACAATAGTTGGTCATATCGTCCTTGTCGTCATGGGTCCCCCGATAATAAGAGTTTATGCCAAATGAAGAAGACGACAATCGATTGGTACTCTAGCAGGTGAAGATTTCTCAGCGCGCGCTGAAAGCAGCATCAAAGTCATCCTTTGATGGGGATTACTATGTAACTGGAGGCAAAGCCCCTAAAACTTTTGTCAGTTTCCCTGTATACATCTCAACGCATGCAATAGACGCGCGAGAGCAGCTGTCGGATATATCATTAGGTCAGTTCTACGTAGCAACCATCGCTACTGCTCTGGGTTCCGGTGAATAGGTCGACTAATAATTTGATGCTGATACCCTTAAACGAGCGCTTAATTTAGTTCAAGCAAAGCAGAATGAACCAAAGCTGGAGAAGATGAGTCGCATTGAACACAGCTGTGCAGCTTTCAGAAGCGATAAACCGGTTAGGTGATTCACATCAACATCTCGTAACCTTGGTTGTGCTTGATGCAGGTGAGCTGAGGTAAAGAAATAATAATAAAAAATAATAAAAAATGATGGCTGCGAGTTTCCGAGATGCAATTCACTCGACTAATAATCCATCGGTGTGCGAAACAAAGCGCAGTATTAAAAATATTTATCCACAACTTTCACTCTAACTTTCTTCTCTCACAATCGTCTTTGCTGCACCCATCGCGGAGGATAACCTGCAAAACTTCATACCTGTTCCAGCCTCAGACTCGCTGGAAGAAAAAAATCACCTCAAATACCTCGTCCGGCGCTTCCTCGCCGTACAATCGACTCGTCAGTTTCCGCCGCAAGCCCGCCAACCCCCCTTCCGAAAGCTCGCTTAATCCACGTTTAGCTTCCTTTCTGCCTGCTTCCCACTAACACTCCTGCCAGTCATTATTGTATACTGGGCGTGTACCTATCAGTGTACTTTCAGTTGGTCATCGGTAATGTTGCTACTCGCGTCCGTTGCTCCTGCCGCTCACGATCTCCTCCCTAGTCCTTGAATACGTTTGCATTGTGTCAAATACCCCGCACTATCCTACCATAACCTACTACATTTCGTAAATACAGCATAATGGACGTCTACTCGTCGTCCTTCAACATCTATCCTTTCTCCGAACCACCCTCAGGACAAGGGCATGCCATAAACTCTTTCGGTCCCTTGGGCGCTCCATCGCTGAATGCGCCGTTCCCGAACAGCAGTTTTGCACCTGGATCACGCCCTGTCCTGTCATACCCCCAAGAATACGACACTGGCCTTCATCCTCCTTATGCCTCGTCGTACCCAAGCCAAGCTTCTTTGGATGGCTCTAATCAATCTTTGCCGTTCCCTGCGGCTGGGAGACCTAGTCAGTCATTGCCTATTTTAACTTCGCATACGCCTGCACCCCCTTCGGCCTCTGTACACCGTCACCAACCAACCAACTCTGGAATTGAAGCAGTCCATACCCATCTTCTGACGCTCACCCACCGCGTTATGTCTTCTCATCCTGGAACAATGGTGACTTTTTCGCGAATCGAGGACCATATTGCGCAGCGCACTACGGGAGGATTTAACATTCTCATTTCAGGTCCTCCGGCCTCCGTGATCGCAGCCAGGGGAATCATACTTCGCGAAAGCCCCGTGCGCAACCGATGCATCATTCGTGTTCCAAGGGCAGACATACTCTCAGTAAACCATTCAATGCTGATTCACCACCATGGAAACGGAGGCTCTACCACGTCTTCCAGTGTTTCGTCTTCGCCTGACTCCTTTACTGCGTCTCACAATGGTGTTTCAGCCATGGGAAGTGGATCCTCCGGTACACAGCTTAAATCACAAATCGTTCCTCGTTTGGATGAGATCGCTGCGCTGACAAGGGCTAATATCTCGGTGGTGAAGACCGCCAGTTCTGGCTTGGGCGCCAATTTCGGCGTCGGGTATGGTGGTTCCTATGGTGATTACACTGGATATGCCAATGTCCCTGATGGGAATCTATGGAACGCGGGCTTGGAGAGCGAGAAAATGTGTGATTTGATTGTAACTGGAGTGGGAGATTCGGTTGATATTGCCAGAGTGCGACTGTTGGTGATGCTGGATGAATTGGTGGGTTATGTTCCTTTCCTTTCTTTGGTACTTACTAATGTCAATTTTTACGTCTTGCGATTTTAAGTCTGGACTTCACGCTGCTTCCATCGACATTGATTACAAACTCCATGGAATCATCTCGGGGCGCAAGCGTCGTGCAATTCAACAAATTATGGAGGAGACCGGCACAAATATCTACTTCCCCCCAATACGTCTTCAAAGTTTTTCTCAAAATCGCGGTCAGCGGGCTATGACGCCTGGCTCAATGGGCGCAGCGAATTCTGTCAATGAGCCGGTTCACCCGACGATGGGTCGAACCAATGGTGGATCACCTGATGGGAGGAATGGATCACCTCCTGGGAGCGGGGGTGACCAAAGTGTGGATTACAATCCAAACCTTATTTGGATTACTGGAGAGTTCTTCAATGTAGGACGTGCAAGAGATGCGTTATACCAGCTTGCGTCGCAAAAAGTCCGAGTAAGTGGCAATGTTCCCGTTCTTAACGACATATATAACTCCAACATACCATTTTTAATCGTTGACATCAGAGCAAAACCATCATATCTCGTGATTGCGCTATCCTTCCCAGAAAACTCGATTGGATGTTAATGAACCGAGTGGACGAATTGAAAACGATCATGCGTGACCAAGCAACATACATATCCTTCCCAGCTCTAGGCTCGTCTGCCTCGCTGATTACGGTTTTTGGCGACTCTCGCTTGACCATTGAACGCACGATTGAAGCTGTCATGGCCCTAGCTGCTCAGTTCTACACTGCGAGCTTTTGGTTGCTTCCCATTCATTTCAACGTGCTCATTCCCCAGAACACGCTCAACCCTGCTAGTGTTTCACTTGTACTTAACAAGTTGAGTATGGCCAGTGGGTCGGAAGTGGTATTTAAGTCCAATGCCTTCGAAATGCACGGACTCGAACATGAGGTCATTTGGGCTGTCGCTAAGGTGCTTGAACTGGATATTGTTCGAGTAGGTTTCCTTGATTTTGATGTCCGTTCTGTATCATTGCTCATATTTTTGCTCAGAATTTCCATCATGAAATTCGCTTCCAGCTTGAACTCTCCAACGAACATCGCGAATTCATCAGTGGGAAGAAGAACGGCAAAATTAACAAGATCATGTCTTCCGCGAACGTGAAGATCAAATTTGAATCCGTTAACGAGCACAACTTCCTTATAGAAGTTGCTGGTACCGACGCGGGCACCATTTACGGCCTTAGGCTCCTGCAGGAAGAGTTACCTGCAGAGATGTCGTTCCATGTCCCAGAGGCATACCATAAACGCATCATTGGTGTTGGAGGCAAGACTATCCAGCGTATCATGAAGAAATATGGTGTCTACGTTAAGTTCAATAGCGCTGATGAATTGGTTGCGGCAAGCTTGGACGACGAGGAAAACGTGCTTGCAAGGACTCCCGCGAAGAATGCACTCAACCTGGATCAACTGAAAGCAAGCGTGATGGAGATGATCGTTCCGAAGGATAGGGACTTCATCACCGAAATTGTGAGCCTTTTTCTTGTTCTTTCTTGATTCGGGCTCAATGGGATCGTTGCTGACTGACATTTATTCTTCTGATGGATTGATGGTTTCATCATCTGGAAAAAAAGATCACTATCCCTCGACGCCATCACCGCATGCTTTATGGGGAGAAGAGCATTTTTGTCAGGGATATAGAAGCGAAGACTAACTCGAGGATCACTTTCCCCGGAGATGGCCTCGGTATGCTCTCCGGCATTTCACACAGGTTAGAATAACGACATTTTCCCTAGATGTCGTCCATATCTTCGGGCCAGAGAGCCAGATGCATATTGCCGTGGCGATGCTTTTGGTATGTCATCCCCATTAGTTTTGGGATTTTTTGATATCAACTTCCCATTTTTACTCAGGATCATGTTCCCTTCGAGGCCGACATGCCCGTACCCGGTCATCCGGACTTGTTGCGTGTTGCCACTTCACAGGACTTCATTGTCTTCAGTGAAAATATCAAGCGTGAATATCAAGTCGCCGTCATTCCAATGGTCAACGATCAAGGGCTCTCACCCTCGTCCTTCAAGTTCAAGTGTCAGCGCAGCAACAGCGACTGTCTCGCCACTGTTCGCGAAGCCCTAGAAATGTTCCTGATCAATCACCGCGTACATGTTTACCCTTCACCTAACTCGCACAAACGTGTTGATTCATTCACGGACGCTTTCCCGCATTTCAACAGTAAGCTGCTCTCGACACCTATGGGTATGTCTGCGAATTTTCGGCTTGTTGCTTGTGTGTCCTGATGATGCCCGCTCCTATTTCAAATAACTGAAGATCCAGAAGTCTCACGAACGCCTGATGGTTTAGCGGATCGTCGTATTCGCGCGGCGGCTTCCACCCCTGATGTGAAGACTCTGTTCCTTTCTCAGTCCTCCGCTCCGGTATATGGAGTACTGGAGCAAGAAGAACTCGAAGAGGATAACTACAGGTCCAGCTACACCACCTCCTCATCAGGACCCAACGATTACTGGAGCACTACGCCCACGGCCATGGGAATCGGTCTCCCGCGTGGTATACACCGTGTTGTCGACGACCCGAAACGAGGATCAGACTCTATGCTTGATGCGAAATTGAAGCAACCTCGTACCTTGACCAATCGGGCTCAGAGCCTTGACCTCACCTCACTATCGACTTCGCGCAAACGACCAGGATCAATCATTCCTTCAGCGGCGGCGATTTCTGAGACGCCAGATCGACCCGACACTCCCTCCGACTCTGGCACGAATCCGAGTCCGCCAGCGTCCGCCATGATACCCTCATTCCCGACTGTTTATGCACCAGCCCCTGGCTTGGGTGGTATGCCCAGGCATCCTCTTGGAGTAGGAGGTCCTCCACATACAGCAGAGGACATCGAAAGCATGTTCGCGAACCTGAACTTTGATCATCAGGCCCAGTAGTCACTTGTAACTTATCCGCCAACGCAACATGGCGCAAACACTCATCTGCCCAAGTCATGATAAACACGATCAATTCACATACCTCGCGCATATCAGATTCCTCCCAGTCTTCCGAAAAAAAGTTGTGTACTTTAGAAGAAATTATTTGTTTCCGGAAGCGTCCCTCGGCTTCCACCGTCTTTCTGTCTTCCCCCTCATCGAGCCTACGCAGAATGCACCCGTCTGTCGAAGTTGAGCTTCGACAGCTTTGTTTTCTTGTGGTAACTTTACCACCCCATGGACTGCTCTTCTGAGTCGTTCTCGTCTTGCTGCATCTTCAAATCTTGTGCTTCCGGCTTGTCACTGTTCACCACCCATGTGTTTGATTACCCTGGACTATGGATAATGATCGATACCAAATCAGTGTCTTACCAAATCGAATATCTTGCTTGTGCCCGAGTACCGGCCTCTTCACACAGATAAAGATCGTTGTCAAGTCATCAATTTGTGCAATAGGCAGAAAGTAGGGGAGGACATATAAGTGGCGAAAAGCGGCGAGCATACAGTAAACAAAGCTAGAAACACATCTAGGTAAGAGAATACGAAATCGCGGAACAAGGAGAATTACAGGAACACGTCTAAGATATATAGAAGGCAACAATAGGGGACGGGACTTCACGGAAGTCCAGGGAGGATTGAAAATATTACAAAGAAATAGCCTGGCCAAAGAATCGGAGGACGCCCACCAACTGACCGGGACTCACCAAACTAATATACATGCGGAAGCTCGTCCAATCCCTCCACATTCTCGGATCGCTGACTGTAAATGGACTTTTCGGACGTGGCGGTGGATAAGGCCGAAACGCGACGTTCAAATCGCAGAGGAGAAGGTGCCATAGGGACGGATCGGTCAGCCCGGGCTCTAAGGATCTCCAACCGACGGATAAGCGTTTCCCCTTCAGTAAAGCGACCTTCGCGTTCCAGTGCTCTAAATGCAACCTCGCCTGCCCGGATACGGTTCGCATATGACAAAGAATCCCTGTTACGAAGATAGGTGATACCATCATACACGCTCTCTTCAATATCTCTGCTCTCGGAAAATCTGTAGTCTGGGTGCGAAAAGTTATTGATATGTGCCCAAGAGTCCCAGTGATTTTCCAGTATCAAGAAGGCTTGGTCCGCTTGTGCGAGGTGAATCGCCGATGTGTGTTCAGGCAGGCCCTCAAAGGAGCCACCGTCATCGTCATCGGGCCCTGATTCTCCCTCGCTTACGATGTCTCTCATCCACTCATCAAGCTGTGCCATTTCAGGGTCTAAAACTGGTATCACAGACTGCATAAGACGCCCATCAGATGATCGAACAACAATTGCACGAGCTTCGGAAAGCCTAGAAACGCTGAAACTTTGGATCTCTCCGGCAGAAGGGTCGCTAGACAGTGTGGACTCGGCGCCTACCGACGTCGAGAGAGACAGACTGGGTGCTGAGTGAGCAGTGATAGATTCATCGGTAGGCATCATAAGGATATCCGACAATATTTTGGGGGGTTTCGTGGGATCGGACCCAGAAGCGAAATCCTCCACGGCTGTCAATGAGGACTCCCCACTCAGTAAATGTGTTTCAGAGCTTTGCGAAGAGACACAACAGGTGGACATATCGAAGATTGAAGGTTCATCAGATGGCGGCACATCCTCCCCCTCCGGGAATGACAGAGGTGGAGAGAAGGTGATAACGGGAATCGGGGCAGGGAAAGGAGATAGGCGGGAACAGACGCTATGAGAGGGCGAAGATCTTGGTGTCGTTGGGGGGGTCCCTTCGTTATCAGATTCCAACGCTTTGATGGCTGCTTCGAGATCAAGAGAACTCTTCGAGATCTGAGCGAAGACAGCTGCACAATGCTTCTCAGGGGAAGAATCGACAGAAGAGCTAGTGCGAAGATCTCCGAAGCTGGGTAATGAACGAGTCTGTGTAAGTCCACCGGTATCAATATGATGTGACGCCCCGCTGCTGTGAAGGGATTGTAACGATAGCAGAAGACTATGTCTTGGGGTGCCCTTTGCACATGACAACGTCGAGTTCGCAGATGATGCCATGACTCCGTCAGAGCTAGGAGATGCGGGAGGAAGTATGTTCAGAGATGGATCGAAGAGAAGCGAAAGTCTTATTGCGGCAGAGAATCCCTGCGATTCAGTCTGTGAAAGGTGTGTAGTCGTCTTCCGTAGATGATAAGGTGTGGATAACGTAGCCAGCTCAAACGGGAGCGGCGCTGCCAGACTAGGCGTGTCAGCCAGTAATTCTTCTGGGAAGGGCATTGGAGGGGCCGGTATAACCTGTTCAAGTTTAGGTGCTGATGCAATCTCATTTGAAGACGGTGGAGGTGCAGATGGTACACCAACGAACATAGATTCCTCAGAACCAGAGAACAGTACAGCTACATCCTGACCTATCTGAGATATTGTCGATTTGGGACGTTCTGGAGAGGAAAAAGGTGATTTCCAGTTCTTACGGGAGTCGAATCTAGTGCGGAATGACTTGGGACTGCGACCACTATTTGTGCTATAAGCCATAGAGTCGAGTACACTTCCAGAAATAGAGGCGCGCTCGACTGAACCAAGAAACGAGAATCGCTCCTCGATACTGCCTCTAACAGATTCAATGACTGCAGTCGGCTGAACTTGACTAGGGTTTCGCGGAGGCGGCGCTGAGCTGACCATCGATTTTGCACCTGGTGACGAAGAGAGGAATGTCTCTGAGAAAGCAAAAGCCGCTGATACCTCAGCCATCAATTGGGCGGAACCCATCCCCAAAACATCGGGAGGGCTGTGTCGCGACGCAATCGCAAAGTTCCCTCGATCAAGCGAAGGAAAGGGCCTTTCTAGAATGCCAGTTTTGTAGAGGTCCTGAGTCCAAGAAACAGAACCGGGCTGGAACTGATCTTTGTGGAGAACCCCGTCTGCAGATGCAACTCCGTGATCCGAAATTTCAAGGCGCTTATGTTGAGTATCTCCGGGGCCATTGGCACTCGAATTTCCGTGTTCCTCTTCGCCTGCACACCATTCGCCATGAGTCAGTGGTCGTTGAGGTATCGCAGGACCAGAGAGATTGCGAAAGACGTCTTTAAAGCATATCCCTCGTACTCGACGAAAGAAAACAAGGAACAAGATTCCAGACAGAAGAACTAGAGTTGAAGACACCAGACATGCGAGAACAACACGAAGTTTCCAATCATGGTTTGGCAAGTCTCGGACAGCAGGATCAGCTGCAGAGGTCGTGAGAGCGTCAGGGCCAGTCCCGGAAGAAGCACTCGCCTCCAGCTTAGGGGTTTTCGTTGGAAAGAAGAGAATGGAAGGTGGAACGGGCGCGGGAAGATAGAACGAGACGGATCCAATGTTAGTGCTGGGTGAGGCTTTGGTAGCTATATGAGAAATCTGGTTTTTCCTCAACTGCGCGGTAGAACGGTTTTGATTCGCGTGATGGAATACGGTCGTGCGCGTGGCTCGAGCGGTGGCTACAACATCGACAACAGGACTGGAGTGATGATGCTGGGGTGACGTGGTGGGCAGGTAATCGGTGAGACGCGCTGATGGTAGATGAGAAACAATTTGGGGAAGACAGACAGCAATGTAGACTCACTCCAAATTGATGTATGTGAAGAGAAAGTAGATGTGGATGCTTGGGTAGTGACGGCTGTTAGTACCGTGGCATTCGTATCACATAGAATGCGGAAATATGATGCGCACAAGTATCAGAGAAGGAAGTAGCAGTGGCGTTCGGGCGGTGGGCAGCAACTGACTCGACATTCACCATCAGTGTGTTTGAGATCGGCGCTCCGAGAATAGAGGTGGGAAGGAATGACGCGAGCACGAAGGTAACGAATGTAGGTTGCATCATGGATAGGGACCCTGAAAGTGCAGTAAGGAATGTTTTGCGCAAGAGGCGCGAAGGAGAGTGAGTAACGCGTGGTTAGAATGAGGGCAAGGACGCAAACAAATGTCAACAACCCTCCCAAGAGCGTGGGGGGGGAAGTAAATGGCCGTAAAAAACCATTTTTGGTCTAGTTTTTGACCATCTACCACTGTTTTCGTGATATTTTCTTCAGTGTAAATTACAATATACGTTTCACGATGCTACCTTGCTTGCAAGGTCACCTTCGAGTCAGGAATTCGTGGGAATTTTCGCTTTCCCGCCCTCCAATTCATACCTCGCTGTACGCTGTACAGAAGCCCATCTCACACGACCGCGAAGTCGTTAAACTAGAAAGGTAAAAGCAAAGCGAACAGCTAGTACGCACGAGAAAGTGAAAAAAAAAGAAAAAAAAAAAAAAAAGAAAAGAAAAGAGAGAGAGAAATGAAAAAGGGGCGGCAATGTCGACCAGGGGGTAAAAGCTCAGGCGGCACCAGGGCGGGCGTCGCGCCGACCCCGAGCCCAGGGCCGTCGACCATGAGCGCCCAATTGCCATCTTATAAAACGCCGAGCGCGGCCTAGGCAATTGGGTTTATGGGTAGTTCCGCAAGAACTAGGACAGTTCACGGGAACATCCACACAGCCTACGCGCCGTAGACTAGGTGTCCCACTATAGACTCGCAGAGTCAGGAGGTTCTACCTCTATCTGTCTTCCCCCCTGACGAGGGCGCAGCCCGAGCAGACAACCGAGCCCGGGACCCCCCCAAAATCAAATTAAAAACTAGAGCCCTATGAAACCTACCAATCGCCCGCCTCAGCCCTAACCTCAATACAGTGCCCATGAAACCACAAGTACCACCTCCCTAATGCTCACCCAAATGACGCCCTAACCCACCACTAGCCACCGATCATAACCGAAGCCTGGCCCGTCACCTAACGGCTACCCAGGCAGCCCCCGGCCACTATTGGCCAAGATGGCCCAGCAGGAAACGCTCTCCCTCACCCCCTTACCCAATCGCCCTGTCCCTTTATAACTACGCCGATCTGCGTCTCAACCATATGACTCCCCAACAACCCCTCCGAGAGCATATCCACGACACACCCAAACTGCACCATTAAGCTCGACCTGGTATCCCCAAAAAGCGAGTTTCGGATCTCCCGAGCGTTCTGGAGACACCCCCTCTCATACCTCTGCAGCCCCGGCTCCAGTTTCCCCGCGCCCACGATAGGAGTAGGGCCGGGAAACTCCCCCCCCCAGCCACAGTGGACGAGATCTCAAGGGTAGTTATGACAATGTACAACACACTGACGAAAACCCTGACCAACAACCTAAGTGCGGAAAAACAAAAAATAAAAATAAAAATAATTACCACCTGCCATCCCGCTGCAATAACCTGTACAACCTGTGTGAACTAACCCATACCACAACCAAATGAGCATTACCTAGGCCACTCCTAAATTGCGTAGTCAATTTGCCCGCTGATTTAAACCAGAATCGCCGCTGCCAAATCTCCACCCTGGCATGGCTACAACATCCGGGCAAGAAACCCGCTACACCCTAATGTCTCGTAGAATCAACTTTCCCCCGCTAGAATCAAGGGGCACCACTATCCCCCCAGGCCTACCCGTAACACTCTGAACATTTGCCCCCAAAACGCCACTGGTAAATGACCCCCGATGACTAAACAAACCGACCCGACCCCGGCCCACCCCACACGCCGAAATTGCCCCCCACCCGGATCCGGGAAAACCCAAACCCCCCCCTAACCGCCAACCGAAAATACCGACGCATTCTAGCAGCCGGGAATAAAACGGGTAACTCCGCAGGAACTGTGTCAGTTCCCTCCCCCCCAACAAGTTCCCCGCTAAACCATGGAGGTAAATATCCCCCCTGTTCACCCCATAACCTCTGACAAGGTCCCAGTCTGAACAGCCATCCGTACCCCTCCATACAACCTTCCAATCCCTGCTGAGGGCTGAGGACGAACAAATGGCAGCAGCCATAACCAATGTGCCACAAAATTTCGCCGTCACTATAGCTGACCAGGATGAGGAGATCACCCACGACTCCGACTCCGACAATACAGACACCTCCCAACCCAGCCCCCTCTTCGGGAAGAACTACCAAGGAAGCGGTAAAAACCAAGACCCTACTCCAGCATCCGAAAATGAAACGAGGAAACATGCAAGATCACCCACCGCCGCAAGACTCCAGGGCCCTTTAAAGGCCCCCCCCCGCTTTCTCCCCCCTAAAGCGATGAGGCCCCTCCTCACCACCCCCCAAAACTTCAAACCCTCCTTTGTGCCCACCCCCGATGTCTTCGACTTTGAGTCTGGAGGCTCAGCGGCTTTCCTAAAAAATATAAACCCCACCGAATTCCCTCCATCCCGGAGCCCAGCCACGGACGGTGATGGATCCCCCATTGCCACGGACCACCCAACCTTCATGCCGGTACTTGCAGAAAAACCCGATGACGGAAGAGATGACCTCAACTGGCTACCTCTCGGCCCTGGCCTAGCCAACTTTTACGCACACGGCCTCCGCCCAGGTCGCCTCCTTGAAGGAGCAAACCCTGACCGTGCCAAAGCCTGGCTAAAAAAGGCAGGTGCCATTCTAGTCCTACCCCTAGATGCCGCCCACAGCGAAGAAAACACCAGCAACTTCCAGACCAACATGGAAGCTTTCCTCGAAAGAGCATTCCCACACCAAGTAGGAGAAGTGAGCATTATCCCCCCTGTCCCCATTGACCTCAGACGTGGCGGAACCCCCCAATACGCTAAACCGTGGGGCTTCTTAATTGATGGCCTGAACCCCCAATTCGCTGACCTCCTCATACGCGAACACTTATGGATATGCAAGACGTTTGGGTTCATCGCTATCGGCACTAGATTCAAGCCTTCCTCCTTCATGATTTCAATTGTAGGAATGGGCAACAGGTTGAAGGACGCGAACAACATTAAAGACGCTGTCAAACAAACTATCACCAAATCACCAAGCCCCTTCTGAACATTCCTAGAGGAGGCAAGCATGACAACTGACCAAATAAAGGAAATTGTAGACAGCGTCAGAGTAATCCCAAGAGGATATGCCCCCAACGGAAAGGAATATAACGAAAACACCGAGGAAAAAAGAAGACCGACCTCGGACAAATCGGTAACCATGTGGGAGCTGCATATAGACCCTCCCTTCAAGACCCTCAAAGAGGCACGAGAAACCGCACACGACCAATGGTCCCATATTTTCAAAATGGCCTCGTTCGTAAGTGAGAGAACCCAAGCCGGACACGCCTTCAACAGACAAAGAGTCTGTAACACCTGTAAAGCCTCCGACCACTTATTCCACTGCTGCCCGATCCACTCTCACTCTGCCTGGAATCAACGGTACCCCAAACAAGATGCCGACATGGAAGCAGATACCGACGGCAATGCGATCCCCTCCCTCCCTCGACACCTGCCTTATTCAAACTTCCAACGTGGAAGAGGACGCGGCCGTCCCCCCACCCAATATGGCTCACGATTCCTCTCCTTCGTCCCTCCAAAATACAACTTTGACTGATATGCACCTTAAAAGGATTTCACCCCGAACCGTGGACAAATGGCAAAATAAATTAGATAACCAAAAGAGCCTCGCTCACATCACGTAGTAACTCTGCCCTGTCCTGTAAATACTTCCCTCACAAACACTACGATTCAATTGAAAACCCTAACTAACCCATAACCTCCCCTCCTCCCCACACCCTACTGAGCCCACACTTACTGAGCCCACGGGCGACAGGAAAGCCCAGTAGCTTGATCCCAAAACGCCCGAAAACACCCCGAACCCCGGCTGGCAATCGGATCGGGAAACACCAAAATGCCTGTAAAAAGATCAACCCCCCAAAGCCCAATCACACGGTGAATACCCAACTGGTAAATAGACCACAGCCCCCGGTGCCCAGAGGGCAGAGAATTTATACCGTTTTATCAAAACCCAATGATGGTCACCAGGGATCGGAAAACGGACCAAAAACCCCAGCCCCACATATACCACTCCGCCTAAGAGGCGGAAGACCCCCAACGACCCCAAACGGCCACCTCTCCATTGCGGCCCTCAACATTAGAGGAGCCAACAGTCCACAGACTAAACAAAAATGGAACCTTATCACAAATAAAATGAAGAAGGATAAGATCGCTGTGATGTGCATATCAGAAACCCACGTCGACTCACCCCAAGAAGACCTACTAGCCAACCGGTACAACAATGAATTCCACATCATCCACTCCTTCAACCCGACCCACACCAGAGCCGCCGGCATTGCAATTATCATCAATAAAAGCATCATAAAAAAGATGCCAATGGAATCGACCAACCTTATCCCTGGACGAGCCATCCTCACCACGATCGAATGGCCACCTGGCAACGAGATCACACTATTAACAATATATGCCCTGAACACTAGAGGGCAGGTACTGAGAACGCCGCATTCTGGCAGAAACTAGGTGAACTCACAGAAAACATCCAGGTCGACATTGCCCTGGGTGACTTCAACGTTGTTGAAGAAGCAATTGACCGTTCCCCCCAACACGAAGATGCGAATGCCGCAGTAGTGGCCCTAAAAGAACTCCTCTACCTCCACGACCTAAAAGACGGATGGTGCCAAGCCAACCCGGCACCCGCAAAAAACTACACCTTTGGACACTGTACAGGAACTCATATGTCACGAATTGACAGGATCTATGCCACAAATGAAATAATAAATAAATCACTCACCTGGAGTATCAAAAACCCAGGCATCCCAACGGCTGACCACCAGCTGATCTCAATAGACATACATGATCCCCGCGCACCACACATTGGCAAAGGCAGATGGGCAATCCCAAACTACCTAGTAAACGACCATGAATTCCTGAAAGGAGCCGAAGATCTTGGGAATGAAGCACTGGACAAAACCAACCAACTCACCGCACTAAATACCCCCGGAGTTCAAGACTGCTTCCTCCACTTCACCCAATCCATTATAGCGTTAGCATGCAAACTCGCCAAAACCAAGTCAGGCAAGCTAAACTCAACTCTTATCCGTCTGGAGAAATGCAGAAACAAAGCCGTCCGGAAACTGAGCTCCCCCCGAACAGCGCGCCAGTTAGAGGAAACCCAATACCAGATCATGATGCTAACTGAAAGGATCCAGGAGGTGGAAAGAACCCGGCATAGGAATAATAAGACCACAGCCAATACAAACAAGCGCCTCTTCGCTGAATCAATAAACAAATACTGGTGCGGGTGGGGGAAAAATAAAAGGCCACGTGACACTATATCCGAACTTCGAATCCCCCACTCTGACCCTCCCCGCTACACCTCCAACTCCTCAGAAATGGCTAAGATTGCCGCAGAACACTACAACGCCGTGCAATCAAGAGACCTCAACTTAATCCCCCCCTCAGAAAGAGAACCCTGCATCACCGAATGCCTCTCATCTATCACAACCACACCTGCAACACAAACTGCTCCCATGGCTTCCGGTATCAGCTACAACGAAACCCTAACCGCCCTAAGACAGTCCCCAAACGGTAAAGCCCCCGGCCTCAACGGCATCCCAACTGAACTTTACAAGAAACTCCACGAAAGATGGGCAGCAGAGGCAGATGGCCGTGTAGATATAGTTCAACTCCTCCATAATGTAATTAGTGACATCGAAATGCGAGGTGTTTCCTCCCCACAGTTCACTGCTGGCTGGCTGTGCCCTTTATATAAAAAGAAAGACAAACGAGAAATCGAAAATTACAGACCAATCACTGTACTAAATGCTGAATACAAAATCATGACAACAGCACTCATGAACAAAATAGCGCCAATCGCCCCTAACCTCATAAATAAATGCCAGGCTGCCTTCATAAAAGGCAGAAGCATCCACGATCAGATTGACCTAGTCAACCGCATGATAGACCTGTGCGAAATCATCAGTCAAGACGGTGCAATAGTTGCCCTAGACCAAGAAAAAGCGTACGACAGGATCCGTCACGACTACCTCTGGCGCACACTGGAAGCCACCGGGATCCCACCACCCACCATAAACTCCATAAAGGCCCTCTACTCCAACCCCGGTACCAGAGTGATCCTGAACGGCGAAATCAGTGATGAATTCTTAATAGACCGAGGAGTACGTCAAGGCGACCCACTGTCATGCCTCCTCTTCAACATAGCTATTGAACCCCTATCTGCCATGCTGAGAGAATCCGGTAAAATACAAGGCCTTGAAATCAAAACACCAGTACTCACACAAAAAGTCATTGTCTCCCTATTTGCCGACGACGCCGCGGTCTACCTCTCAAAAAACGACGATGTAACTAACCTATTCAACATCCTCGACACCTGGTGTACCGCCTCAGGAGCTAAATTCAACCAAGGAAAATCCATGGTTATCCCCGTCGGCTCAGCGACATACCGCAAAAACCTACTTGACACCAGAAAACTAAACCCCAACTCATCTAACCCCTTCCACATCGACATGACAATCCTCCAAGACGGCCAGACCACAAGGTATCTAGGTGCCCAGTGCGGTAACCGCCCTACCGGGATCGACCCATGGCCGGACATTATGGCCAAAATCAACACAAGCCTTAAACACTGGCAGAAAACCTACCCGACCATCGAAGGGCGAAAACTCATCACCCAAATGGTCATCGGCGGAATGACCCAATTCCACACCTCTGCCCAGGCATGCCAGCCAAAATCGAAAAGGAATTAAACACCCTAATAAAAAACTTCATATGGAACTCCCAACTCCCCTCACTCAGCATGAGGACCCTGAACAGCCCTACTAGTGAAGGGGGAAGAAACGTCTTGAATATCCAAGCAAGGAACGAAGCGATTCACCTTATGAAGCTGAAAAAGATCTTAGATAGATCTCCTGACAGACCACCCGCTGCCGACGCTGCCGAGGCCATAATAATTTGCTCACTCCCAAAACACACCCGCGACCAAGAGGCCCACGACCCCCGAATAATCGACGTCTTTACCCAACAGATCTTTAACAAACACCGCTATGTGAGCAAAACCCTCCCGCGCGAAATTAAAGCCATACTCAACACTGGGGCCAAGTACAACCTAGCCCTCGACGATGTCAACCTCCCCCTGAACATCAGGCTGGATCTCCCAGCATGGTACCATATTGGAACAGAAGAGCACGTCAAATCAAGAGAAAATACGCCTGCAGCGAAATGCCTCAGAAACACTCACAACTGCCAGCGCACTGGCGACCTCCTCATCCTAGCGAACATCCTAGACGACCCACAACACAGACGATGGAACAAATCCTGCTCCTGCCCACCATGCACCAACTTCAAAATGGCCGGCTGCAAAAACCCCGAAACCTGCTACCAACTAGCCGACAACATGATATCAAACCTGAAACCCCAATACAACCCCCGCACAGCTCCCATACGCCGCCCTCCCCCCTCGGGTGACAAGAGGGCCATCATCAAATCCCACTCCCTCAACGGCCCCTCAAGTATTAAGGTTATCAAAACCTTCCCTGACCCAAAAGACCACGCGTCAGACTACTTCCGCATTTTTCGGGAAAAGAATAACCAACCCCCCCCCCTCAGGCTCACCCCCCCAAAGAAACTAAGCACCGATACCGTGGCATACACAGACGGATCCTGTACAGGAAACGGCGAAACTGATGCCAAGGCGGGCTTCGGAGTATGGATCGCCCCCGAGTGCCCAGACAATGCAAGCCTCCCAGTAGATCGGGTTTTCCCCCAGACAAACAACTCCGCTGAGGTACTGGCAATAAACCACGCAATTACCACAACGCCCCTAAGAGCCAGACTCCACATCAAAACCGACTCAAGATGGTGCGTGAACGCACTAACCGTAAACCTCGAAAAAGCCGAGGACCAAGACTACATCAGCACTCCCCAACCCCTAGCCATCAAAAATACCATAAGCTCCCTCCGAACGAGGAATGGCATCGTCTCGATCGAGTGGATAAAAGGCCATAACAGCTGCGCCGGAAATGAGAATGCCGATGAACTTGCAACACTGGGATCCACGAAAACCCCTGACAATGGCTCAGTCACCCCCAACCTCCCACTCACCCAGAACGGTGCGAGACTAAGAACCCTGACCCAATCGACTATCACGAAACTAATAACCCGAGAGTCAGCCAAGAAACCCCACAAAAAGAACCACAGAGCAACAGAAAACATGAACCATATCAGAGACGTACTGAGAGACCTAAACTGCCCCACCCCCAACGACAACCTCATTTGGCTCACCATCCTGAAAAACAAGAAAGATCTGAACCCCAACCTCAGAAACTTCCTGTGGAAACTTGTCCATGGAGCCCACAAAGACGGCACCTACTGGAGCAAAATCCCGGGCTACGAAGACAGAGGTCAATGCGTTAAGTGTAACACCCTAGAATCGATGAACCACATTATCTTCGAGTGCCCACACAACCAGGGCCCAAAACTCTGGGCTGCCATAAAAACCATGAGCCTAATCAAAGGTATAGACTGGCCCGTTAATATGGGAATATACCACATAATGGCTGCCCCACTAACCGTTATCAAAAATCGTAATGGCACTATAAACCACGGCGCGTCCAGATTCCTCAGAATCGCCATCACCGAATGCGCCTGGCAAATATGGAAACTGAGATGCAAGAGAGTCCTCAGCGACGATGAGACCGGACAACCAAAGATCTCACTGAACGAAGCCATGAACACCTATAAAGCCGCCATAAACGAAAAACTAAATCAGGACAGGAACCTCACGAATATAAAGAAATACCGCAACAGAGCCCTCCCCGAATGGCTCGTTCTACACACTTGGTACGGCACCCTAGAGAATGAACTAAGCCTCCCTGAGAATTGGCTGAAGTGCAACGGGGTTTTAGTGGGTATACCGGACCCCCCGCGGTCACGGGAGCCCCACACAGAGCGATAACCACTTCGCCAAGTGCGGAAACGCATTTCCCCATGGTGGCAATTCCCGTCATACAGAGGCACCCATCATCACTGCCCTCTGGAAGGCCCCGCCCTTCCCTACAAACCTTCAGGCATCCTGCCCGCGAAAGCTACCGAAGGTTCCACCAAAAAAAAAAAAAAAAAAAAAAGAAGCCCATCTCACAGTGGTTACCGTCGATCTCAAGTTCCGAAGCAGTGTAGCCGGCATAAAGGCCAAGTTGGTCATACTGTACTCACAAGACCAAGGGGTTTGACGGGAGAGCCGGCCGCAGGTATATCTATTGTTACGAAGTCATAGAGGCTGGAGTCCTGCCTAGGCCGCAGGCTGCTGATGATGCGTGACAGCCAGCCGCGGGAGAACTGGCCGGCACTTGCCTATTCCGTAACGGGGAGCCAAATCAAAATGGGTAGGCATGACTATGTGATGATTCTATTCAATCAGTCCTCGCAAATTCCATGAAGTGTCAAATGGAGTCTATACAAACAGCTTCTAGCGCTTTCAGCGACTATGGTGGCACGAAAGAAAACGTGACCTAACACAGAAGAGGAAGGCGAATGACGTACAAAGCGTAGAAGGTCCAAAAAGGAAATAGGAACATGTAATTTCAGCGGTTTCAGCGTCAGAAATTTACTAATACCGCTACGGGAGTGAAGTAATCGATTTCGCGATTCCCCGACAATTTCCCGTTGACTTTGCTTTTCTCCCCCCAATCCCAAATCACTTACTTCTCACCCGACTCGCTCATCAGCGACTTGCTCATTCCAAAAACCCTCTTCAATCCATGTCTGCCGCAGCCGACAACAATCCACTCAGCCCCATTTGCGAGTCTTTTTCACGTTTTGTTGCTTTCGCTCTGTAGTAATCTACTCGTATTCTTTACTTAGTGGACGACGCCATCATCCTCGATCCGACAGCCTTGGCCTATGTCAACAGCCCTGAGTTCGAGCGCAAGTGCACAGAGATAGCACTCGAGCGCGCCGCCTCATCCTCTGACGAGTCCAGTGACAAGGAGGACGACCTTTGGTCTGGCTCAGATGAAAGCAACTCTTCTGCCACCACCGTTGACGTCGACCGCCACGAACCTTCAAGGCTCGAGCAGCTTCTTTACTATGCTGGTATCCGTGGTCCAAAAACTCGCGGGCCCAAGCTCATCTGGAGAGACTCTAAGGACAAGTTCGACGCACCCTCTGGCCCCGAGGCGTACACGCGTCGTATGAGACTCATTCCAGTCCAAGATGATCATAAGTTCGGTGATAAGGTCGCTGAGGGTATTTTGTGGGACGTAGTTCGCAAGCATGTGCGTGGCCTTCTCGCTATGCAGCAATTTCTTGACCAACGTTGAAAGATTGTCGGTTTACTCAACGAAAAGAACGTCAAAACCTCCGCTGTCGACTTTGTTCGATTCACGTGGCTCAACCAGAGGCCAGGCCAGGTGATCGACGACGACAAGGAGGAAGGCGAGGGCGACGATGCGGGGGATGAGATATTCAACGTCACCGAATACGACAAAATTGCAGCCATCACGCCTGTCGAGGACGGCAATCGTTTCTTCAGCAACCCTACTGTCTGGATCGGTGTGTTGCCCGATTCTCTCACCGCTCCCGGTGCGCACGATGTAGCCGGAGGAATCCGTGACTACCTCAACGGGCTCCAAGTCGAGAATATCGACATCGCGTTCCGCGAGAAGAAGTTCAAGTACTTGGCCGGGCCAGCCCTTTACCGTCCCGTCGAGGAAGGTGACGCTCTGCAGCCGGTGATCGACGGCGTCTCCGTTGCTCTCAGTCTGTCCATCCAGGGTTTCAAGACGTCCATGCAGGGAACGCTTGGACCCTATTTCCGCGTTGACAAGAAACTGTACGCCATCACTGTCCGTCATAATTTGTTCCCTCTCGACGACGACAATGCGGAATATCGCTTCAATCGTACGTTTACTTGACCTTCTTGAGAATCTAAGAGCTTTCTGACTCTAGCCCCTACAGCCTCTGCACCCAAGAAGGGGGTCCTTGTTATGGGCGACATCGCGTTCACGAACTACAAAACTTCTATCCAGGTGCACATTGGTACGCTTCTAGACACCGTCAAAAGTCTCAAGAAGAGAGTCGATGCGTACAAATGTAAGGTGGAGGATGGAGTCGACGTCGATCAGTCGAAGGTCATACTGCAGGAGAACGAGGTCGAGCTCTCTAAGACGGAGCGGCATATCAACGAGCTCAAACGGTTCTTCCTCATCATCGATAAGAGGTGGGGCAAGCGTAAGGACCGTGTCATTGGGCACGTCGTTTGGGCTCCCCCCATCGGTACCGGTCAGGCTCCTCACGACTACACCTGCGACCTGTGTGTCGTGGAGTTAAACAAAGATAAGTTCAGAAACTTGATGGGCAACGTCTTGTGTCTAGGTGCGGTGATAGTCTGTCTCATTGACTTGCGCTGATCTGAATTATACATCTCTTTCAGGAACCAAGTACACCAAGTCGAAGCTGCTGAGCTTGATCTATGGACGCGACGATGTACTTGCTGAGTTCAAGTTCCCCGACCACGGTCTCTTGCACCTTAGACGCATTCTCACCGCCGACGAGGTCAAGCACCCCAACAGCAAGGACACTCAGGGCGATCCCATTCGTCGCGTTCTCAAAGATGGCTACATGACCGGTCTCACTGTTGGTGGTCTGGGCAAGTTTATGTCCTTTGTTCGAAAGTACTTCCCTACAGGCCATCAGGAGTCTGTCGAGCTGCCCATTCTCAATCACGAGGACGAGCCTGGCACCTTCTCCAAAGGATGCGACTCTGGATCCCTCATCGTCGACATTCTCGGCAGGTTTGTGGCATTGCTTACAGGTGGGTCAAACAAAGGAATGGATGGCTCTGACATCACCTATGCCACTCTCTTTGAATGGGTCTGGGAGCTCGTGTGCAAGGAGTTCCCCGGTGCAAACTTGTATTTTGAAGACCTTGTGGCTTTCTTTGCTGATGACTAGGTTCGTCTCATTCATTCATATTGTTCCAATCATACCTGCAACTAATGATATTTACATCAAGGAATTGCAAGATATATCTTGTCCTGTGTCTTTCTGCAACTTCACTAACCCCCATGCTCACTATCAGTTTGTGGAGCCATAGGAGCCAAGCCGAGCCATTAGCTGAGCCACAATTAGCTGTGCAGTGGGCTTGGTTAGCCAAGCTGTGCCATTTCAGCCCATGTCACTTAGCTGTGCTGCACTGTGCCATTAAAATTTGTCAGGGCATGGCCTAACTGGCTACCCTGACTCCCTATGCTGGAAGGGAGTTGCTGTAAGATGATCTGGAGAAATCTGAAGAATGCAGGTAATTTCACTTAGCTCTCGCTTAGCTCCTGTTTTCTATCTTCTGTCCACATGTCACCCCTTTCCCACACCTTGCTTATGATTACCCAAATGAATATCTATCTTTTCATGTCATCATTCTATTGGCTATTCCTTATCTTGATGTAGCTGCACTCTAGTGGGTAGTGGTACCTGTGTATATAACTCCTATCTCTGCTGAAGGTGGCACTTCAGCGTTAACAATGACTAGGTTTCTTGGGAACACCCTCATTGTTGTGAACTGACATGCAGTCCCTGACAAAATTACTCTGGCTTTTCACCAGCTAGAGAGTGGCTTAGCTCACAAGCTGGCTTGGTGTAAGGCTGGTATAGATTCCAGCCTGGGTGACTCATCAAGTCTCAGATGGTCAAGGGCTAGGTTGCACAGAACTAGGGAGAAGAGTGAAGTTCCCTTCACTTGACTCTGGGCTATACATATGTAAATACATGAGTACATGATTTGAAATATATTTTCATAGCCACTGGCACCAGCCAGGAATTTGTGTGACATAGGCTGCTGAACCACCATGTTAGATACAGCAGATTCGGATGACTTAGTGTGGAAGGACCTTGGCCTCAGTGACTCAGGTGGAGTGCTGTGCCATTGCTGGGTGTCCTGGGGGTCCCTAATTTCAGATCTAGCAGAGGGGAAGTCTCTTAGGGGGGAATCAAGTTGATTTTGGACTGAGGTTACAAGTTACTAGGTACATTGTATATAAGGAGGGGTCTGGAATCAAAAGGAACAAGGGTAGGACGAAAGGAGACAAAGGGAGCTGGAAAGAGGAGTGACACTGAGGGTCAAGGGTTTGACTCAATGGTGTTTCTCAAAGGAGGAGTGAAGGGCCAAGGCCCAAGGAGGAAGGAAGGAGGTTGGGAGTTGGAATGGCTAGCTGACTGAATAGAAAGGAAGCAGCAGCCCAAATAGGAATGAGGGAGAATAGCGGAATTGGAATGGGACAATGCAATAGTTGCAAGGTCCAAAGTAAGTCTGGAAAGTCTGAACTTGGAAGTAAAACTCCGGAATATTGGCAAAGGTAAATAAATGGAATTGGCTAACCAATACAATGGGTATAAGTGGAGGTGGGGTCAAAGTCTGAGGTCAGAGCTAAGACCGGAGTTCCAAGATGGAGATGCGAATGGGATTCCGGAGTGGAGGTCTGGAGTTGGGAGCATAGTTGCATACTTGTCTGGAAGGTGTTGAGGTTGAGGTTGGACCCAGAATGTTCCAGAGTTGGACTGAAGGTGGTGTCGGAGCCAGAGGTGGGATAACCTCTTGGGAGTTGGCAAGGAGAAGGTGATGGAAGGGAAGTGGGGCTCCAGAGTCAGTTTCAGAGTTCCAGGAGCCTGGAGTGGAGGTCAGGATTGTATGGATATGACACACCATCCCAACATGATGCATGACTGGTAGTTGGTTGTGTGGGTACAGTATGTGGAAAGAACCAGGGTAGAGGGTGATTGCATCATGGCATTGTGGCCAATAGTGGCCTGCAATGGCCAACCTGGGTGACCCCCAGTGCTGACCCCGGACCAGTATCTAACAGATCAGGACTGAGTAACTATTTGATTTATGATTAAAGGTATTTGGTACAAATACCAATAAATATGAACTTTGAGGTTTGTTAGACACTGGTCCAGGGTTGGCATCAGGGGGTCATGCAGGTTGGCCATTGTGGACTGCTATTGGCCATGATGCTGTGAGCAAGCCCAAGGGTAGGGCCTTCAGCCTCAGCAACTCTAAAGGAGTGCTGAAGGAGAGAACAAAGGAGGGACACATCTTCGGGCACTTAAGTTTATGAGGGATGGGTATTATTGACCCATCTGAGGACAACTATGCCCTTAAGTTAGTGTCAGCTCAAAGAGCTGACTCGCTCCTCTCCAAGGAGCAAATCATCACTGAGCTGGTAGATGAACCAGTTCGTCAGTTTAAGACTGAGGGGCAGTTGCCTCTCCTGAAGCCAGAGACTGATATAGTCCCAGCAAAAATCACAAAGAAAAACCCACCTATGTTCGATGCAAAGTTCAGACTTTTGCATGAGGCAGGTAAATGTTGGAGTTACAACAACATGTGACTCACTAACCAAACTCACATGATCTTACTTTTTGTTTCCGTTGTATTGATACCGTGACTGCATTGTATATAGCTTCCATGTTAGGTTAGTACTAACTGTAGTAATTCAGTTCTTCATTTACAGAGACTGAGCTTCTGCGTTAGCCCTCCTATTAGGTTATGAGCCCAGAAGCTCTCTAATTCTAACCAGAAAGAACTCCCATCAACCCAGTATCAACCATGACCACCATTTCCCACAAAGTTCATACCAGAATCTTTGAGAATGATCGGCTATGAGCTGATGGATCGAACTATGGAACTTGGAAATCAATGATTGAACTTGTACTCGAGAATCATCATTTACTGGAATATGTTGATGGTTCAATCCCTAAACCTTCCTCCACTCCCCTTGCTCCTGCACCCACTACTGCACCTGCCAATACTGGTACAGGTTCAGGAAACACTCCCCCTGCTACTCCTGCCCCACAACCCAGCACTGCGTTAACTCCACTCCAAATATGGAAAGAGGGTAATTCTGTGGCTTTACTCCAACTTGTCGTGTCCGTCGATGAGGAAGTCAAACTCCTCATAAAGGGTATCAAAGAAGCTCCTATAGCATGGGCGGAAATCAAAAAGAATTTTGAAGGAAAAGGCGTGAAGTCTGTCTTTTACCTTATGAAGAAACTCTTCCACACCGTTATGCTTCCTGAAAAGGATATCTACAGTCAAATTCAGGAGCTAAAGGAATTGTTCATTAAACTTGACTCACTCGGAACCAATATTAGCGAGGAAATCCAGACAGTTGCCATACTCATGGCACTTCTGGAAGAGTGGGAGATGATTCAGGAAATTCTCCTGAATAAGGACAAACTTACCCTGCAAGACACTATCGATACAATCCTCGTACATGTTAGAGACCAGATCGAGACAAAGGAGTTGTCTCCATGGTGGAGGGCTTCAGCCTCAGCAACTCAGACCAGGAGTGCTGTGCCAAGTTACACGTCCATGCCCTAATTTACTTACTGGCAACGAGAACTAAAGAGGGATCAACTCTACTCAATTTTATCACTGAGGTGTAACCTATGTACAAGTTAAGTATATATATAGTTACAGTGAGGGTGGGCCTGTGAATGGTGGGGCCGAGCAGAGCAGAGCTAATGGAGTTAAACATTAGCCGATTGAATATTACTGACAAGTCGGGTTACGGGGTCAGCTGAATGGCAGGTGATAACCCAGAAATGGAAAGGAGGGATAGGCCTGAAGGTGGACTTGCAGGGCAAGCAAGTGAATTGCCCAGAGGAGGTGGGAGTGTGCTAGCAGACGTCAGAGCTGTCCAGAAGCCTTTGGGGCTCCGTACTTAGGGAGGTGTAGGTAATATATTGAAAAGAGGGGGTGGTGACCATTGAGGGAGGTGGAGGTGATTGCGGAATATGGGGGCTCCGAGGTTAGTGAAGAAGGAGTGGAGGTAGTCCAGAAGGATCGGAGGTAGTGGAAGATGATGGCCGTGGATGGATATGACAGTATCCCCTTCTTAGGCCTGAACCCTTGAAGGGCCAGAATTAGTAAGGTGAGGGGAGCTGTACTTACAGAAAAAAGAAAGTGGGAATGAGGAGTGGAGAGAAAGGAGAGATGGGAGAGGAGTCGAGGTTCCTAAGGAGCTTCGGGACCAGGCTTGTCTGGGTACCAAGAGTGGAAAGCTTCAACGAGGTTGGAGGCATGATTGAGTTTGCTGGCGAGGAGCCATTGTGTCTCCTCGTCGGTCCCTTCATAGCCTAGCCACTTGACCAGGTAGAGCAACTTGTTGCGTCTACGTCAGTCGATCTTGGAGTCGAGTATCTCTTTGATCTTGAACTCCATTTTGCCTTCGATTTCTATGGGAGGTGGAGGTGGCTGGTGGCGGTTCGGAATGATGTTTGGGACAGAGGGTTCGATCTGCAAGACATGGAATACTGGGTGAATGGCTCGCATGTTTTCCAGCAGGCGGAGGGTGAGGGAGTGGGTTCCAATGCGGGCAATGATCTTGAATGGGCCAAGGTTTTTCTCAGAGAGCTTTTTGGAAGGTTGGGTGGGATGGAAATACTTGGCCTTTACATAGACCAAAGTTCCTACCTCGAAAGCTGGGGCAGGACTCCGACAGGAGTCTGCTGGGCCCTGGTAATGGATCTGAGCGAGGTGCATTTCCTTGCAAAGGAAGTGATGGAGGGAGTCAAGATCTACAGAGTACTCTTGGGTGCGTACTGATGTTAGGTCTCGCTCCAGGTGAATGGTGATGTTCAGATGATAGCCTTTGTTGGCGAAGAATGGGGAGACGCCTGTGGTGGCATTCAGAGCGTTGTTGTATGCGAACTCCGTGAGAGGTAGGAGTTCGGACCAATTGTCCTGCTGGTAGTTACTATAGATATGCAGGTACTGCTCGAGTATCTGGTTCATCTGTTCAGTCTGTCCATCTCCTTCCGGATGATAACTGGAGGTGAAGTGGAGGTGGATGTCGAGGGCCTTACCAAGGGAATGGAAAAAATGAGAAACAAACTCCGGACCCCTGTTGGAGGTGACGTGGGAAGGAACTCCATGCTTGGAGAACACATGGAGGAGGAATAGCTTGGCCAGTTCTGGAGAGGTGATGGTATTGTGGGTAGGAATGAAGATGCACTGTTTGGACAGGCGGTCCACGACAACCAAGATGGAAGTGAATCCGGAAGAGGAGGGTAGCTGTTCGATGAAATCCATGGAGATGGAGTTCCAAGGACATTTGGGGATAGGGAGTTGTTTGAGTAAGCTGTAAGGCTTGTGACAGGGAACTTTGGCATGGGCACAAGAATTACAGGAGGAGACATAGCTCTTGACGAAGTTATGGATGCCTGGCCAGGTATACTCACGACGGACTAGATCCAGAGTCCGGTTTTGACCGAAGTGTCCAGAGAGCTGGTGGTCATGTTTGTCTTGCAAAACGTGGAGATGAAGATCATTGGAATCCAGAATGTAGATGCGGTTGTCCAGCCTTAACAGGCCTTCAGCATCAACGGACCAGCAGGAATTGGGGAGGTTGGGGGAAGCGAGATGAGAAGAGATTGTGGTATCGGAGGAGAGGGAGGCTAGAATGTCTCGGTGGAGAGCCTCTGTGTCAATGAGTATGGCTGCTCGGATTACTGTGGCAGCTAGGAATGTGGCTCGTAAGGATGCAGTGAGCTGCTCCGAAGTGAAGACTGGTTGGAAGTTCTGCAGATTGACGCAAGCGTAGTCCATATCCCCTTCTTTGGGATAGATGTCCCAGCATCTAGTCAATGCATCTGGTTTTACTCCGAGTCTTCTGGGATGGAATCGGACAGTCATGTGGAACTGGGAGAGGAACTCCGACCAGCGGGCTTGCCACTGGGTCAAGAGTTTGGTGGTGGAGAAATACTCGAGGTTCTTGTGGTCGGTGACAATGTCAATTGGGGTTCCTGAACCTTCAAGGTAGTGATGCCACAATCGGAATGCATCGTGAATGGTGAGCAGTTCCTTATCATGGGTGTCGTAATTGAGCTCCGGCACCGAGAGTGTTCTAGAGTGGAAAGCGATGGGGCAAATCTCTCTGTCATTGCAATGGATGGACAGGATTCCAGAGATTGCGTAATCAGAGGCATCAGTTTCTACAATGAGGGGGCATTGGGTACCCAATGCGTCAGGATGGGAGCGGACATGAAGGCTTCTTTCAGGGTGTTGAAAGCAGAATGACAGTTGTCAGAGAATAACCAGGGGGCTCCTTTACGCATAAGGTGCATCAAGGGGACCACAATGTTGGAGTATTGGTGGATGAAGCGCTGATACTGTCATATCTGTACATACCCGATCCTGATCCGACTCCCAGACCCCCATCTCCACCACCTCTGGAGTCCTACCCTACCGCCGTCCATTCCGATATTCACCTTTGGACCTGACACCACTCCTCCTCTCATTGTCATATCCGTGCATACCTGATCCCAACCCGACTCCCGGACCTCTTCCTTCACCACCTCCAGAGTCCTGCCCTGCTGCTGTCCATTCCGATACTCACCCTCGGTCCTGGCACCACACCTCCTCTCACCTCCCATGCCATCTCCACTCCTCCATCCCTCTCCTGTCCTATCTCCATCTGCTCCGATACTCACCTCGGACTGAACACCACACCTCTCACCACCCTCCTCCTACTCCTCCTCCCACTCGATGATGGCAGTGGTGCTGGAGATGACGGGGGAGAGCTCGGAGTAACTGTCTTGGTAGGTTCGGAAGTTTGGAATGTAATACTGCTTGAGACCCAGTCAATCAATGGATTGTAGCAGGTAAGCCAGTTGTGTCCTAGGACTAGAGAACAAGATCCATCCAGCGATGTGACAAAGAAAGTCATGGGGGTGATGTTTCTGGAAGCGAAGCGGAGGGAATATCAATGGCGTGGGTTATGATTGAGTTAGTGCTACCATCGAAAAGGTGTAGTTCTAGAGGTTTAATCTGATATGTCTTCAGGGCCAACTTCTTCATGAATGTGTCGTTGATGAAGCAGTCTGAAGACCCAGAGTCTATGAGTGTGGGAACATTCTCATAGGCAGGAAGTGAGCTCCACCAGCCAGTTCTCGAATTTTTCGAGATCATTTCCCCAGACCACAAAGTGGTGGGGAATGGCACAGAGTTCTTTTCAGTAACTCTGGTTTTACATCGGCTGGGAGAGGTGTTAGGATACGAGCCTTTACAAGGTTCGATACCCTTCTTACAAGATTGCCCTTGAAACCCTCCAGGTCTCCAGGGTCATACTGTTAGGGTCCCTAGAATAGGACCTAAGAGTAGTTTCGATGAACCCATTGTTCGGGTTGGCGGCACTCACCATCCTCGGAACAATTGAGCTCATCACCCGAAGAGGGTTCAGATTGTTGCTGAACTCTCTTTTCACAGGAGAAATTAGGTTTATCAGGGCCTCAACCTGAGGACCCGGCATATGACGAACAGTAGCTGGGGAGTCAAGACTTCTTGTCTCAGCTCCTGCTCTTGTTCATGTTGTTTACTAGGCCAATTAAGGCCAAAGAAGGTGGCCGCATCGCTGTCGCCACCACCAGGAGGCACTTGTGCCTTGAACTGCCTGTAGGTATTTAGCTACTCTCCAGTTCTCGAGCATGGCCTTGGTGTTCTGATTCAAGACCATGCGGCATATAGACATATGCCACATCGTCATCCACTCGCATCCTATATTCCTTGGATGCTTCACTTGGTGCAGGAGTAGCAAAGAGGTGTCTTTGCTTCCTCTTGATTTCACCTCGCTGGTTGACCACAATGGCCAAACCAGTTCCATGACAAGATATACGAGGCAATCCTGCCTCAACATCTGCATTATCAGAATCTGATGAACTAATGAAAACCACAGGTGGTTCTCAAGAGTTTAAGCGAGACATGTTCAGTTGTTCCACAACTGTCATGACCACCTGCCCCAACATTTCAGTGATGTTCTTCTGTAGACCCTCACTCCTGTTGGCCTCATCATCAGGAGGTTGATTCTGTGGCTCGAGAAAGTGATCAGGTTCGTTACGATCCTTGTTCACCCATTCTCTTTCCAATGGGAAGGTATCCACGCCAGTGATGAGGCAGATTCCTCACTTTCTGGGTCAGGGTATATAGTGGCCATCTGCATTCCAGATCCCCTGAACCTGGGACATGGACAAACTTGGGCAGGCCGTTGTCGTCATGCAGATTCCAAGTCATTGTAACCATGGGAAAAGTCCCTTGGTCACACAGCATCTGTTTAGATGCCCTAGTTGGATCTAGGGTTCGTCCAGGCACAGTTGATGCAGGCTCTGAAGGTCCTTCAGGACCTTTGGAGTCTCTTCCAATTTGTCAGGTTCGATGGTCAGGGGCTTCTTCAGGGCAAAGCTCCTGACGACCCTTGAGCACGTCTAACCTTTCCAGAATGGTGTTAAATCAACTGTCGAGCCCTTTTTTGAAACTCACAAATGTCTGGATGAATTCCCTCCATGGCACATCTTCTCGTGGTGCAACAACGGAGACGGTAGGTCTCCCTTTGTCACTGCTTTGTCAACAGGGGATTATTAGTCCCTGTTGGCTCACCACTTGTGTTGAAGTAGGGGCACAGGTGCTGAAGGGCCTGTGCTTCTCACCGCTACTGAGTCTCTGTCAATCGTGTGAGGTTGTCAGGGACGACTCCCGGGTCCCCATGACCTCCCCTATGGTCCACAGTCCCAGGTGTAACCAGCCCTGTCCAGGGCACAACCTACTGTGGGTCAGAGATGTATATAAAAGAGAGGCAAGTATATACAACTTGCCTACTGTGGTCAGAGATGAGAAGGAAGTTAACTTCTCATCTTCCACAGTGGCCACAATACATCGAAAACTTCCGGAGATATCCGGAAGTCACATGAGACCCGAGACCGAGGTCCGGGCCATCCGGCACAGGGTGCATGCGGGGAGTGCAACAGCCGGGTGCAGTCATGGGTGCGGGTGCGAGTGCGGGTGTGGATGCGGTATGGGCTAGGTCAGGGTGTATGCCCTGACAGAGGTCCAGATCGCAGTGATCGCAGCTGGGCTTCTGTATCAGCCACCACTCTCAACGAGTCTAGCTCATCTGGAGCACATTAGGGCTCCTGATCGGGTCGGGTCAATTGTGCGGTGTTGGCCTCACCAACATCTACAATGGGATCAAGTTCTCACGCAGATTTCTGCACAGTCTTCATCTTCTTCAATAAGAAGACGATCCGGCTGCCCCTGAGAACTCATTGGGAAGAGGGTCTGGTGCAGATTAGATCGACATGCTTTGCAACGTTGATCGAATCGGGAACAAGCATGGTTAACTGGATTAACTTACTGAGCATAAAAAAGTGTAAGCACATGTTATAAGCGCCTTACACTCCTGGTCTGTCACACAAATATGCTTTAATGAGCTATATTGTTAACGGGAGTAAAGCTGAGGAGCCTTTCCTCCTACCCACACATCTTATATATTGTATTTACATGATGTAATGCGGCTTAGTATTATACAGGTTGTTATGTTACTGAAGCGCGACTGCAGTCTGCTTGATGTGAAGTAAGGAAAGGACAGACAATGTGTGGTACACATTGTAAGTCCTTACAGCATCAGCAACCTGGATGTGGAGGCCTGAGAGCTCATAGAGCTCTCAGAGCTTCAGAGCTTCAGTACTTTGAAAATTGCAGTCCCCTTCTCTGAGAGCTCCAAAAAGTAGTCAAAGCTCTGAGAGCTCATAGAGCTTATATTTGCACACAGGGACTATTATCTATATGACTCCTGAGGTTTAATTACCCGATATCAAATTAAAATTTAAAAGCATTGACTATGGCATCATGTGACTAGCCATAGCCAACTCCCTACCATACAAGGGACTGAACAAACTCAGCTTCACTTTCAGCACCAATGCGGCACCAGACACCAAGGTATGTAGCCCAATCAATATATAGACCAAATTTAGGATATAAATGCAGTTAATCTGAAATTACTTAGGGAAAATGCGGGAAAATGATGGGGGGAAATGGGGGGAAATGGGGGAAAATGAGGGAAAATTGAGGGGGAATGAGGGAAAAATTAAAGGGGAAATGGGGGAAAATGAGGGGGGAAATGGGGAAATTGAGGGGGATGAGGGGGGAATGGGTGACATTTGGAGGGGAAATGAGGAGGGAATTGGGGGGAATGAGGAGGAAATTGAGGGGAAGTGGGGAAAATGGAGGGGGAATGGGGTGAAATTTGGAGGGGAATGAGGGGGGAATGGGGTGAAATTTGGAGGGGGAATGAGGGGGAAAATGGGGAGGAAATGGAGGGGAAATGGGGGGAATGAGGGGAAATTTGGAGGGGAGGATGGGGGGAATGGGGGAAAATTGAGGAGGGAATGAGGGGAAATTGAGGGGGGAATGGGGGGGGAATGAGGGGAAATTTGAAGGGAAATTGGGAGGAATGGGGGGAATGAGGGAAATTTGGAGGGGGAATGGGGGAGAAATGGGGGGAAATTGAGGTGGAATTGGGGGGGAATGAGGGAAAATCGAAGGGGGATGGGGGAAATTGAGGGGGATGAAGGGAAAATGGGAGGAAAATGAGGGGAACTGGGGGGTTTCTAAAAACTTGAAAAAAAGTCAGGGAAAATTAAGGAAAATTCAGAAAATGGGGACTTTCTAAAAAAGGAGAATGTCCAAAAAATCAGGGGAAATCAGAATTTTGGGATAAGTTAGGGAGAGATATTTCAGGAAATTAGGAATAATTGGAAAAAAAATTAATTCACTTTTTTGATAATTCAATGTGCATTGGAAAGTGCCAAAGTGGGCAATGTATGTTTCAGTGTTAGAAAAGTCTCCCACCATGTTTTGGTGAGTGTCAGGGCACAGCCCCTCACTATTCCACAATCCGCATGCATGCAGACCCATGGGAAAGTTCTGGTAAGTTACTCACCCAGAAACCATCACAGCCACAACTGTGGGAACTTTCTGGGTGAGCAGCTCGTTCCCACGGGGGGTGCCATTTATGGGGAGTCAACAAAGAGCTGAAAACGTATAGTTCCTGGCTCCCATTTGTAGAGGAGGTTGAGAAGGTTTAGCCCCCTCAGTGAGTTTGAGGATCTCGACTGGACTAGATACCCCAGCGACTAGGAGGATCCCCCTGGGCCGTCACAGAACAAGGCTGGGCCCTGACAGTGAGCCAAATAACCATGGCTTTTGACCATGGGAAATTTGGTGTCAAAGGCTTGGATGATATCTGAAGAATACATCAGCTTTTTGTTTGCTTTATTTTCAATTTACTTCATTTGGAACACTTTGTTAAAACTGATTTATACCCTACATAACATGCATGGTTACATTGCCACACTTTGGTGCTTTCCAATCACATAGAATCATCAAAATTGGTTGAGTTTTGAGCAAGAAATGAGATGAAAGATAAAGTGCAAATTTTTGAATTTCAGAGTTTCCTCAAATTTTGTAAATAGCAATAAAAATAAGGTGCTGATTTAGTAAACACAAAAGGTATATGAGCTCTATGAGCCACTGAGTTCATAGAGTTCATAGAGCTCATAGAGCTTTCAGAGCAATGACAATGGCCATTTTACACACACATATATCCATATTATCTTTGCACTACTGGTGCCAAAATAACTAAGCAGATTTCATGGAGATATGAAGACCATCCATGATTAAAAACAAAAAGCTCTATGAGCTCTATGAGCTCAGTGAGCTCATAGAGCTCATAGAGTGTTTCAAGTAATGATGCTGGCCATGGAATATGCATTTCCAAAAATGTATATACATATTATCTTTGCACTTCTGCATCCTTAGGAGAATAAAATCATTCAAACATTTAATTTTCTCCACCCAATGTGTAGAGGGTGCACAGCAAAAAGACTCAATTTGCTCACAGAGCTCTGAGAGCTCTGAGAGCTCCAAGAGCTCCCTACCAAGTTTGCTGATGAAGCTTGCAAAGAAGGTTGCCATCTCAGGTGTCTACCTGAGTTGTGGTTTTTCACTTTGAAATATTCCAAAGCTTTGTGGTCTGTGATTACTGTGAATTCACAGCCTCCATGAGATTGTCTTGCCATCTCATGAGTGCTTCGAGGACGCCCAGTGCCTCAAGCTTGTAGGTGAAAGTACCTACGTTGTGTGTTGGTGAACTTTTTGGACATGAATGTGGCTGGGCGCAAGTCTGCCACTTTTTGCCTTGTCCAATAGTGCACCCATGCCTGCTGGGCATGCATCTGTTATGACCCAGACATGGAGTTTGCTCCTCTTCTTCTGAGAGCTTTCTGGTGGATTCCACTGGACGGGCTTCAGGATCGGAGCCCTGCATGCTAGATGTTTATCTTGTCAAAGCATTTCTGGTGGAGTGGTGTCCACTGAATGTCTGCTTGTTGGAGCAGATTGTTTGCAGTGCTCCTGTGTAGCCACTGATGTTTGGCATGAATATGATAGATATTCTACCATTCCCAGAATCTTAGGACT